GATATGGAATTTGAAGGCGAGAGTTCGAAGAACTATTATCAATACCCCTCGGGAACATGTATTCTTTGTCAAGAAGAAACTAAAGATGGTCGTCTTTACGGAACCTTTGCATTGATGACTACCAGTTCGGTCTTGCGACAAACTGATATGTCCGATGCAGACTTTGTTCGAGAAGCTGCTAATGTACCTTCAAATTTGGATAAGTCTGCAGAAGATATTCGGCCATTTGGTGTCTCGGGCGAGAATAAGGAACAAGTCCACAAAGTTACTTCTAGTGGGGTAGATATTGTCACCGAACGTTCATTCATCGGAAAAGGATTTCCTTCGAATTTTACAAGACCTGGTCCGGTGTCCGTCGGATGTGGACACATCATGCATTACAAGTGTTTTGAAGTCTACTATGAGGCTTCGAACAGACGACATCAACATCAAATTGCTCGACATCATCCTGAGAAGCTTGAGTTGAATGAATTTGTTTGTCCGCTATGCAAAGCCTTAGGAAATTCATTCTTGCCGATAATTTGGTCTCCAAAGGAAGAGATACAAGATCAAGCCCTCAAACCAACAGTCACTTTTGAGGATTTTATCGAAAAGTTTGCTGGTGCCTCTCAGCAACCTAGGACGGAGAAGATCAACCAAATCGGTAGCGCTCATAATTATGATAACAAATCCGACTTTCCAGCTAGCAGAAGAACGCAACAATTTTTCAAGAAGCACAATGATGATACCATGGCGAGCCCTTTGGTAGCCAAGATGCCAGAACTATTAATGGATGCCTGGGATCCCCCATCACCAAGTCATTGGTCGCCATTCACATCAACCAACATACGGGCTGCCCTTCCAGCAGATATCGCAAGTGCTATTTGGTCTGAAAATTCATTTCCTCTTCCAAACGATAGATCATCGAACGCACACTCTTCTGTACGAGAATTGACCGACATATATCGAAGGCTAAGAGACACAATGACCAAAAACAAATTGGAGAGTAGCCACAAGGAAAGCCTCGCACAACATGAAGAGAGAGACTTTTGTTCCAGCGACGTACTAGCCAAGGCTCTGGGATTTTCTATATCTGCTGTTGAGATTCAGCAGCGTGGTGTTGCAACGCCACCGGGGCAGACATTCCTCGAAAGTATTCCCCAACAAGCTCTTGTTCACCTTAGAATATTGTCTGAGACTGCTCTCTCCTACGTTACGGTGGGGGGGCTCAAGCTTGCAGGAGACAATCGAGTCGCCAGAGAATATAGTAAAGATTACGAATTGCAATATTCACAATTGTTCGGGAAGAACGCATATTCCACACCTAGCGACCTTCCAGCACGTTCCGAATCCTTGCTCTCTCAAGATACATTTGTCTTCCTGGCCAAAGCTTCCTTGTGTCTCGCGCCTGTTGAAAATATCGATATCATTCATCTTGTCCGTCTTTGCTATATTGCAGAAATGACCAAGGTGGTTCTCCAATTACAAAGACACATCGAGAAGTCTAAATGGTTCGATATGGTTCAAAAATATCAACAGGAAGGAGTCGACAACTTTGGAGATTTTTGTTTCCATGTTTTAGTATTTGACGAAATCGCTCTAAATACCCATGAGTCTGGAAGTTTTGGTATTTTTGAAACACTAAGAGATTGTCGCGCATTCGTGGAAAAATATGCACTTGTATATCTGAGAAAGGTCATGATTCTTTTGAATGTTCGTTATGGCATCATCTTCCAAAATTACGCCTTGTCCAATTCGGAGATAAACGAGCTCGATCGCCTTACTGAAGCACTCCTTTTGCCAACTTTAATTGAGATTTTCTCCAGCTTTGCCGAGGAAGAAGGAACCGTTCCATCTTTAGTTACTCGCTGGATTCGTCATGCGAACTCCTTGAATGATGAGCTAGTCTTAGCTGCTACTGAGATTACAAGGAATACAATGGAAAATGACATAAACATCATGGATGTAGCCGCTCCTCATCTACCAGAAGTGTTCAAGGATTTCTACACACAGGCCTTTGAACGCAACATAGAGGCTGTAGAGAAGAGAGCTCGTGTCCACGGTATCAATAACTCATTGTGTCCTAGTCATCCCACAATCTTCGAACTCATCGGTCTGCCTAAAAATTACGACACGCTGATGGAGGAAACAATGAAGAGGCGCTGTCCTAATAGTAAGCGAGATATTCAAGATCCCATGCTGTGTCTTTTCTGTGGAGAAATCTTCTGCGGACAAAGTATTTGCTGTTCAAGGGATGGGCCGGAGAAACCTGGTGGAGGACCAAGAGATAAAATTGGTGGTGGACAACAGCATATGCTCAAGTATATTTTTCCCTTTCTCCTTGCAATTTCCTTGCCTTCCTCTTCCTCTCATTTACTTTCATTGTAATCGTAACTAACGTTTCACTCCAGATGTCAAAAGAATACAGCTCTCTTCCTAAACATCCGTAAATGTTGCATCTTCTACCTCTACCGCACCAGCGGTTCATGGATGGTAGCTCCATATATCGATAAATATGGAGAAGTTGATCCAGGTTTAAGACATAGCCGTCAATTGTTCTTGAGTCAAAAGAGATACGACGCATTACTTAGGACGGTCTGGCTAGGTCATGGAGTCCCGAGTGTGATTAGTAGAAAGCTGGAAATGGACATCAATAATGGAGGGTGGGAAACTATTTAGGACAAGGCTATGTTTTGTAGAGGGGGTATTGGGGAAGAGAGAAAGATGGCGGAGGACATGGGTAAATGTCATACATCTCACTCACGGGCGTTATTCGGACATAATTTCTGGAGGGGATGGGTGCATACGGAGTGCTTCGCTTATATCTGTTTTTCCTCTCTCCTTTTTTTATATATACTAAACTATATCAGTATAGTTTGGAACGAAATGGAATGGAATGGAGTGAAAGGATTAGTGAATGGAAGAGCGATGGTGGAGTATATGAATAAATGTATGTTCCTAGATAAATGAATGGTTTGATTTAATCATTTGATTTGATTTGTTGGTTGTGTGATCGATTATTGATGTTGTGTGGTCTGTTTGGATGAAAATTGATAAAGGAGGGGGGAAGTGAGGGATGGTCTGAGGTGAAGTGGAGTAGAATGAGATAGTGACTATGTTGGAGGTGAGTAGTGGTAAGACGGCTGAGGGAGAATGGGGGAATGATTGAGAGAGATGGAGTATGTTTTAGATTCGGATTGGGATTGGGGTTAACGGGGACAGATGCACCGGTGTCCTTCCATGCGGAGATGATGTGTATGTGGTTTCCTAAAGGTTGAGTAGGAATTCGGCGTACTCTTTTTCTTTTGACCTTTTATCCTTCCTTTCATTGAGCATGGAAGAGGCAATTGAGGATTATATATAGGAAATCTTGTATATACACAGGGGGGTTGTGAGTGGATGTGAGTGGGCTTTAGGGGGCATTCTTTCTGTTCTTTTCCGGAGTAGGTAGAAGAAATGGAGATTATGTGTGGAGGGGTGTGCGATGTAAATTTTATGGAGATGGAGATGGGAATGAGGATGGGAATGGGACTTGGATTTCATGATGGCTGAAGATATTTTCGGGCGATTTAGAGGAGTGTGTGCATACTGAAAATTTTCAATGCGGGAGTTGGAGATGGCAAGTTGTTTCGTTTTGTGAAATTCTATTTCCTGGTACTTTTGTCTCTATTCTGATTCTAATTTCTAAGTACAGATGTGCGTCACTCTCCGTAGATTTGGAGGGAACTTTTATCGTACAGAGAAAATTGAAGGAATAGATGTGGAGGTGCGAGTGCAGATGAAGAGTAAACGTTTAAGTGAAGAGTAGGCGCCGAGTGTCGTACATGTTTGTGTATGTGTATACGAGTTGAGTTGTGATGAGTCGTGAATAGAGTTAGGTGAGAAGATGCGGATTTGCCGGTGCGGAATTTTGGAGCGGGAGAGGGCAGTTTTTGAGACGAGGTCTGTTGATGGGGGATTTGTTAGTAGAGTTCGTAGGGAGGGATACCAGGGATTGTACTTACTGCTACTTTCTTGCCTTCGGCGTCTTGTCCTTCTAAGCAATACACTCCGCAATTTATAGATTCTTCTTCTCGACCTGGCTTTCAATCACACAATTCTTCATGTTTGCAAGCTCTTTTGTATCTGCAAGCTGCTTCATCTCCTCGGTATCTCTGAGCAGTGTAGGCAATAGTATTTCCCGTATTTCGTATACAGGTTAGTTTAGTGGTGTGTATCGAGTTTTTTCGAAATATATATATATGTGATATAGAATTCAATATTACTAAAAGTATTTAATATTATTTAGTTATTTAATATTATTAGTAATATATTGAGATACTAAAATCTAATATAAAATATATATTCTTATTCAAATTAGATTAGAAATAAAAGATTCCTATTTAATTTGAAATAAGAAATGAAATTTTATTATCTAATTTGAATAGGAATGTATACTTTATATTGGATTCCAATATTTCAATATATTACTAGTATTCTCTAGATATATAAATATATACGAGAATAATATAGCTTCCTTTCTATACATACTAGCTGTAATATCAATATAGTAATACGCGTCACAGTTTTACTGTAGTATATTATTGCCTACATTATCTCTGAGTCGGATTCGAGTCATCTCTCGCTTCAGCTTCAGAGCTGCTTCTGAAGCTGCAACTCTTTGCTCACGCTCCAAAACTGCTAATTCGCGGGCCATCAACTCTGAGTTGAGCTCTGTTTGCTTTTGTTTGAGATGACTTAGATCCGTGTAGATAGGACCTTTGGGACTTAAAAATGTAGAATTATTTTGCCTAGCATCATCATCTTTTTTTTTTAAACCAAAGCTTCTCTCGCGTTTAATTTCTCATTAATCTCGTTTTCGCGAGATACAAGACAGATTTCAAATCCCTTGACCACATGTTCATGTATCTTGATCTCATCCATACGACGGGTGACTCTTGCACACTCCACTTCCAGTGCCTTCTTGTCAATCACAGCAAGTTGTTCACGCTCATTGAGTCTCTCTTCGCGTTCTTTCAGTGCTACATTGCGAATTTCAATAGATTCTTCGAGTGACTCGGCATCGAGAATTCGACACTTAAGCTCTGCAGTGATTTTTGCTCGTGTAATTTTCTCGAGTACGCATTAGCAGCTTCTCCCTGTTCAACCCTAGATTCTCGCTGATCCGGGTCAAATTCTCTATCATTGAGGTCAAATTTGATATTTTGTGCTTCTGAGAAGAGTTTGCTGTATTGGGTCCAGCTAGCGAGTAATTCGCGTTCACGAATCTCCATGTCATTCTCCCTTGTCATAACTGTTGAGAGACGTGTATTGAATTCTTGCTCATGGAAATCGATGTCGGACTCTCGAGCTTGTAGTTCTGCAACACGTGCGGTGATATCCTGTTCCATTTTATCAAGGTGGGCTTCCCGAGATTGGATAGCTCCCTCTCTGCTTTCGATGACTCTAGCAGATTTCCATTTCATAGTAGTCGAACCTGCTGCGGCTTCAACACTCTGGCGCTTTTTGGCTTCTAGAGCAGGTATCTGAAGGGGCAGGTTGTCGAAATCCATTAACCAATCTGAAGACAGCTCGCAGTTATCAACTGGGGTGTTTTCATCACCACTTTCACCGTCGAAGGTATTGGTCAACGAACAGGACGAGGAAGCGGACAACAAAGAATCAGAAAATTTGTCAATTTCTACTTGGTTGCTGCTTCTAGTTAGTTGAGCTCTCTCGAGATATCACGGCATCAAAGATCTTGATAAAGAATTTGGTGAACTAACTTTTTGGGTGTTGATAATTCCTGATTGCAAATTGCCACATTCGAGGTCAACTGATATCGCAGGTAGCGATTACTGGAGTTATGTAGGCCATCATCTAACAGAGTGATGGTCCGGTCATTGACAAACTCCCCGCCAGGTTTAGTAATGAGCGCGATACGATCTTGCACAAGAGCATATCCATCAAATACCTTCCAGAGATGATCATAGATAAGCTGTTCCTTTTTCTTCTCGAGCTTGAGATTGAACAGTTGTACAAAAGTTATGTCTTTCGATTTGTAGCCAAAGTTTGACACTAATGACAGTACAGGCGATTGTAGAGCCAGGCGTTGCAAATTTGTAGAAGACTTTCCTGTTTTTCATAGCGGCTTTTGATCAGATCAAGTACTTTAGTGACAGCTACTTGACGATCCTCAGGCCGACCATCATGGATTACAAGCTTGCGCTCTACCATGATTTCTGCTTTGGAGGTTTTGGGCCCGTCGACAAGTTCCAAGTAATGAGCAAGTAAAAACAAAAAAAATTCGTGCCCAAACGTGAAGTCTCTGAGGATGCTAGTGCGATGATGGGAACAACGGAAGCGATGGCACGTGAGTAGACATCCATCAAGGTGAAATTATTCATGGGTCTTTTCCTCTGCATATGCCGTTTCTATTTCTGGCCTTTGTTAATCTGTCATTCTTCTAAAGTGAGTATTGTGATTGTATAGATTTGTAATGGATACGGGAAAGATCATGGACGGATGTTTTAACTGGTACTTTATCGGTGTTGGGTCATGGGAAAGATATTGTTTGGGTATGATGGGGATACTGCTGGAACATCCTATTTCGCCGTTCCCAGCTAGGTATTGAAATATCCTATCACAACATTCCTCCTATGCAAAGCAGAAAAGCTTTCACCAAGTTGTCATGATAGTTTTATTATCACTGAAAGGATTTGTGAACTTGTATTATTAGGAATAAAGTGCAGATCAAAAATAATAATGATCATCAGAATCCCCTGCTTGTTCTTCTTCCTCACCCTCATTCTCGTAGCTAGAACGTGAGTATTAATGGTCAGCTATGTATCTTCCAAATATTCAATTGTAGAAGGCAGTCTGAGCTTCTGAAGACTTACCTGGAATGTGGATAACAATTGTACAGGTAGGTGTCATAACGTCCGTAGTCATTTCGAAGTTCCCGCGCCATGGCTAACTCTCTCACCTCCGAAATCTCTCTATCTGTCTCCGCTGCTTGAAGATTCGAAGCTATTCTTCTAAGCGAGCTGAAAACTCAGTCTCACGTTTATTGAGAAGTTCGTCTGGTCCACTTGAGTTGCAGTTGAATGACTCCAATTCCTGTGCACTATCACGCGCGAGACTTTCTTGCTCCTGAACTTGGGTCTCAAGCTTTTCAGCCGATTATTCTCGCTTCTCCGTGGTCGGTTGAAAGCGATCAAGAGCAATTTCTCGAGTGCTAATATCTAACCCGTAGCTTTCGAGAGCTTTGTCGCAGTCTGCTAACTTAGCCTTTGAAACTTCGAAATTCTCAATGCCTTCATTGGCAGTCTCTAGAGAAGTAATTTGGGTCAAGGAGTCCTTCTTACCGGTCAGTGGTGAAGGATGAGCAGCGTAAAATGTAGTTTTAGCCAAGCTAATCAGTTTTTCTTCGAGTCCTCTAAATGCATCCCACAACATAGCTTCAAGGTGCACCATAGCTATCTTCTCCGAGCCCTGAAGGTCTGGCAATACAAGATCTTTTCCCTTAAGACTTCTTTTCTGCTCTGCAATTTCGCGTACTGTTGATTGTGAAGCTGAGTCAAAAACACTGTGTTGATATAGTAAGCATACTTCATTTAAAAGGTATGAAAAGGGAAGAATCTAAATCGATCTACACTCACACAGTATCTTGCTCAATATCCAAGTCTTTTGCCTGAATGACTTCGGCAGCCATGTAATCTTCATCAGATCGCAGTGGAACGGACATAGTTGCCTCGAATTTTGTGAGACCCCTGCCATCGATCTAGAAACATGAGACTAAATTCTTGGAAAATCCATCATGAGTTGTGAACATGACAAGACAGTTAAGGGCTACAGTAATGTCACACTTGATTCTCTCAACAGACAGTTCTTCCTTATCACTTCCCAATAATGATATGCGCCGACGATTCATTGGGGCTCCTTCGTTGACCTCAATAAATCTGAGCTCTTCGGGCTTTTCGAAAATAAAGGAATCGTCTACCTGAAGAGAGCCAGAGGTGCATTTCCATAGATGAGAGATCATTATCTTGCCTTTAGAGTCGATCTGTGCGTAATTCAAGGAATGAAATGTCACTGCCGCACCACTTGGACCGTATCGGAAGACTAGTGAAGGAGCAGGTGTTGTGAGTAGAAGAGACTTGAAATTTTCATGTATGAAAGTAATATCCTTGATTGATTTCTGGGTGGCCCTTTGGTGAAGTACGATTTGACAAAAATCTGTTGCATCACAGCATCGCCGTTTTCTAGACTTGTATTCAATTGAAGCGGAGTGGGATTCTCAGAGCATGTCTTGGATACTTGATCCATTGCTGATGATTCAACAAAAAGGTCGCAAGTATGAAGAAGTTTTGTGGTGGGAGGGAGTAGGAGAAACCCAGGACAGTCTGAATATAGAAGCTTCAGATAATCGATTTTAGAATCAACCGAAAGTGAATAATGGAGACTGTTCAAGTTCAAACTTGATTTGACCTGGCAGAAGACTTGGAATTCACTGGTATAAACTTATCTCTACCCAGGATACTGTATTCATAGGTACCTACCAAGTGTTGGCATGGTAGCGCATTCGCGGAAGCCGTAGTCCCGTGATCTCAAATGTTTGACCATACTAGCTAAGAATTTGGTCATATAAACTCATCAAAATCGCCTTCAATCCTACATCCTCTTTGTATCCGCAACAATTCTCCTCTTGCAACTCCAGAACAATTTCAAAGACGAATTATCACACAAAGATACACCGAAATAAAGCATAACAATCATGGCAAGCCAGCCACCTCCTCTCAAGGGGATGAGGGAAAGTTTCAAGGAAAACCCTTTCAAAGACTCCATGTCTTCACAAGTAAGTACCGAGATGCTTCGACAATATAACCCTCCAGTAATTTCTCATCCTACCTTGAGTCGCCAATGCAATACGATGAGCCTCGACAACAACAATCTTCATGGCAGATACTCTCAAAACATTTCTTCGATGCCATCACGATTTTCTACCCACATTTCCAAGAAGCAATGCGATGCTGCCATTCAATCCTGCAGTGCTGATTCCCCTACTTCCAACATGATGGAACTCAGCCAACAATGTCTTGAAGATATTGAGCGTCCTCATACCATTTCTCAATCTTCCAAGAACACCGTCAGAAAGATGATCGACCTCCCACAACCTCTCATCGATTTCAACAAAGTTCGCACACCCACTTCATTCTCAGGCTCCCAGGATGAGATGATTCGAGAGTCATACAAGGCCTCGTTGATATTCGCTCCAAGAGAAATACCACAAGGCTCTAACAACTTCGAGAAAGCTTACATTTCCCATCTTCCAAGCAATATGCACCTTGATAGTAAGGCTCACATGAATCAAAAAGCTTCCAATGAAACATCCTACTCTATCAACTTTGATCATCAGCAAAACATTCTTCGGGACAATCAGAAATACTATCCCGTCAATTCAAATGGTGGTTATTACGGTTCCGTTGAATTGAACCAGGAACTTCTCAATGTCAATGCTGCAGGTAAAGTCACACAACAGCCGATGAAGCATTGCTGCTCTGATTTTGCATCCAAAAGTTTGAAAGACTTTCATAAAAAACAAGCTGCCTTCACTGGTGAGGATTTCAGCTCCGATTTGCTTTCTGTTGAGCATATGCAGATCAACGCACAATCCACAGTCGCGGTCAACCCTGATGTTGGAAAACAATCGGTCGCTGGAAAAGTTTCGGTCGAAAAGCTCACTCCGTTAGAAATGGCCATTAGAAATCCCTTGCCTTGTTGGAATCATCCAGTTTCTGCGAATGGAAAACTATATCAACGCATCAAGTCACCTACTATATTTAAGTACTTCAACTATTTCGGATTCTCGGATGAAAACTTGCTTGTCCAAATGACCAAGAGTCTTGAACAAATATCTACTCCAATCCCATTCCCTAAATTGGCTGGGGCTCCAAAGTGGTTGCATGATCATTGTGTTCTCAATGGGCAGGTCTGCCAGCCATTAACCCATGCACCAGTTACAAATCTCCTTCCACTGGTATCATGGAATTTACCGCACAAGGCTCGGCTGCCCGTGGTTCCAATCAATAGTTACAAGTTTCCTGGAAGTGATCGTCAGTCAACCGCGTCCATTCCACAGGAAATGGAAATGAGATCGGCATCCTTTGTCAAAGAGCAAATTTCTTCAAGCTCCTCAGCCCTTGGATCTGAATCACACCAATATCCTCGCGCCTCTTTAATAGCATCGGCACCCTTAAGCCCCGAAGGTCAAGGTATGATGAATGAAGCTTGGCAAAAGGCACAGATATTAAAGTTCTCGCTTAAAGGAAGAGACAAGTCAGAAGGGAACGATTTCGATGATTCCGGAGTCCATACTATGAACACCCCTATCATCGCTGATCATTCTACCCATGCAAGTGTGGCACGAAGAGAAATGACTGGCATTTTTGACCGTTCTACGGAATGTACAAAGGAACGTGATAGGGCAGGAATCTTACCTACACAAGATAGCATGGTCAATGCTGCTTGTGATGATTTTTCGGTTGTAGTCATCTTCCAAGAGAAGCTCAAAGCTCTTAAGAGTATCGACCAGAAGTATCAAGAGCAAAGAGCTCCACTTATCCAGAACAAAAATATCGATCTCAACGGTGGCGATGCGATGTCTCTAGAAGCTTCAAGGCTTTCCGAGAGAAAGTGGTATTTGGAACGCAAAGCTTATCTTGAGACCCTCCGCGAGACACGACATAACTTTCAGCAGAAGAAGCCCAAGGAAATCCTCAAAGATAGGGAACTCGATTCAAGACGCAACGATGCGACATGCTTGGATCGCAGAGAGTTCACGGACTACGGTTACTTGAATTACTCAGAATTGAATGAAATTAGAGAAGCAAAACATGAATTTCAAGCTTCGATCGACTATGTCTATTACACTCATCATGGCGCAAAAATGGCTAAAGATGCTGCTTGTATGAAATTGGAAAGAGCAGTTGCTGATAGAAAAGCTCTTTGGATGGAAAACATTCACAGACTTGATGATCCGAGATTCGAAAAAGAGAGTTCCGACGCAGATAAGAAACTTCTTGAGTGCCAGATTGAAAGCAACAAGAGAGTTGGTATCTTTGATGCAATCGAACACGCTTGTCAACAGAAATACGAAGATATAGAAGCTTTCCAGAAGGTAATCGGATTTCTAATTCGTGCTAGCGGCGATAATTTTACTCGAAAGACTGAACCGGCAAAGAACGATTCGGTTTGTACTACGTTTACAGGAGACCACCACTCGGCTCGTGTTATTATTGCACGTCTAGAAGCCCACTATACAGGAATGGGTGCCAAATCCAAGCTTCAGCCACTTCGTACGATAGATGACGCCTGGACTGATGGTCACTATGGTTTTCTCGAAAAACCAATGTATGATAAGAAACAGCGAAATAACTCAACTTCGTCCAATGACTATATCACTGCAGAAGAACATGCTGAAGGCCTTAGAGACGATTACGGTCAATCAGCATTCCAAGCTTTTACTGCCCGTCGAGGTAGAGTTCCTACACATCATGATTCGAGAACGTTAAAGACCAACACTTCCTCAAGGTCACCAAAAGCCACAAGCCAGTACCCCAATCCAGGTTCTCGAAACTATTACTCGGTCAAGAGCACAGATCACGCTGAATATACGACTATGTTCAAAGGATGGAAGCCTAGACCAAGCCATCTCGATATTATGAATGCTATGACTCTGGGTCGAGCGGCAAGAGAACGTCAGTTAGCTCATAAACAACCAGGAAAGATGAGTTTTACCACCTTTCAGTATCTTAGAAAATGGGGATATTTGAGTTCGGATACTTCTTTGAATACAGCTGATTCTGCGGCTCTGACAAGCCCCGCGCTTAATCTTTTAGATGTCAAGGAACAAAGTCAATGTGCTGTGGAGCTTGCAGATAAGGAAGTAACTGTGTTCAACAATGCCAACGACACACTTACTAAGACAAGCAAAGCTACGGACATTCCTGCCACTGTCATGAATGAGCAGACTGTCTTGCCTAATGATCTGGTTACCGATACCATCGACGTCACCAAGAAGCTCGCTGATATCGATGTTGCTACTACCGATAAACTCGTTACCATCGCTGATAAAGCCGATGTCGAAGCTGCCAAGAGTGATGATATCACTACACTCCAGCAAGCAGTCAGTGACGAGATTTTTCCAATCGGAGAATCCACCGCCAACGCCGAGATGACCATTATCGAAGATCCCGCTCTCAATGACCTTCTCATCTCTGACACTGAAAAATCTGAGATCCTCAGCAAAGATATGATGCAAAAGTCGCTCGTTTTAGATTTCCCCTCAGCTCCTCCTCCTACTCCAGTACGCATCTCTAGCCCTAGGCAAGAAGTCGATCTTGAATATGATAGCGATTTTCAATCTGATGCATCTTGGGCCACGGCTGGTGATGATGATCATGATGGCGTTGCAGAGGCTGGTGGACTCGAGGAACTTGAGAGTGTTGAGGAAATCGAGGAAGTTGAGGAATGGGAGATGCTTTAATTAGTGTTTCTGGGATGATGTTGCGTGTTATATGGATGGACAGGGGTGGATGGGGAGGTGAATTGATTTGATGGGGGAGAAAATGGGCCTTGCGCAGATTTCGCAAGGGAGTCATGGGCATGGATAAATTGATAAATACATGAACGGATGGGCAGATGAGTGGTTGAACGCATGAATACTACCGAAAACCCACAGCGATCAATCACGAGAAAGACCATACTGATGATGACACTTCACCAGGCAGCAGTCCGTCACAGCACAGCAAGATGATCTTCTCCTCCTCTAATTTCTTTCCCTATTTTCTAACGGCCGAAAATCTATGATTTCTATGGAGCTCCTTACACTGTAAGGTCAAGACCAATCAATAGGATAACAAAAACAAAAGTCACTGGCAGACCATGTCTTTGGAAAGAGAGACATCTAGGTACCTAGGTAGTCAGAGACATATTTAATAGCAATGAATAATGATTTCTATGATGTTCTTTTTTTTTGGTGTGTATGAGTGAGTGGTATATGTATATGTATAAATGAAAGTAAAAATGTAAAGATTTGATTCTTATGTTTGATTCACGTACCTAGGTAAGCATTGATGTTTTTACGTATTGTGACAATCAGTTAGTTGATACTTCCCGAAACTCCACAAATTGAATACCCGAGACCAGAGGGGAGGGACTTGTCTGATTATACATAATTTTCTTGAGAAACTAAAGATAATACGCTAGTATGCTCCAGCCTTTGACTACATTTCTCGAGAGCTGAGTTGTTACATATCCAATCCTGCATGCACCTTTAACCGCTTCATATCCAAGAGTACACCTACTTCACGACCGCTGGTAAGGTCTTCCGTCCTGAAATCGAATCAGGAAAATTCCCTTATACCGAAACCCTGAACCCGAATTGTTGATTTCAACCATCGATACCTAGATATTGATATTTATCAACAAAAGCTTCAGAGATATCAAAAGCACACTCACAAAACCAACCATCAAACAAACCAAGTCAATTCCTCATAAAATCCAAATCCCTCCCAAATCCCCCAGACGCAGATACTTGAATCGCGAAATGTGGGGGGTCATCTTTTCCCCAAATTTTCGGACCGACGTCATTTCGCCGAGACGAAGCTGATGGGATAGCGCAATGCTGGAATTCTTCCTTTGTGATTTCTGTGCAGTCTCCAGGATGGTGAGGAGTAGTCATTTGGACGGAGTGGAGTGGAAACTCCGTTTTGAGGATATTTGGATCGCCGATAGAGACCCCAGGCAACGATGATGGTACTGCATAATCCGGGATCAACTTTTCCGTGATCTTTGCACAGCCTTCAGAGTCCTGAGGAAAAGTCACCTGAATAAAATCGTGCGGTTGATACTCGTGCATGATATCTGGGGGATGGGTAAAGCAGAGACGTTTATTATTTCGTTGAGCAGGGAAGTTTCCCCTCAAGACTTTCTTTGGAGCTCGAGTTACAGCTCGTTTCTTGCAAAGAGATTCATATTCTGTCTCTGGTAGAGAATGAAACAATTGCGGTGGATTTGCAACTTCAGCTATCGGCGAATCAAAAGACTCATTGGCCACAGCGTATATAAAATCTTTGATGCCAGGTTCGCTGATACATGAGTGCGAACCGTCGGCATAATTTTGCACAATGAGAAAGTTGTATTTCAGCAGTAAATCAACGTGCTGCTCATAGCCACGCGGAAAACATCTGAGCTGACCAGATAGTTGCGTGCCGTCCGGACATGTATATTTCCACGGTACACTATCTGCGTCTATTTTCGACTCTTCAACTTTTGCAGTCATAAGAATTTTCCCGATTCGCTGCTCTGCGACTTGCTGATCGTATTGGTAGGGAGCAAAGGTGTTATGACTCCATGATACTCGCTTTGAATTTCTATCCACGTGGAAGAGCCACGCATCGGTTTGCAGTCTCTGGGTCTTCCTATTGATGTAGTCAAGAGCGGCAGATACGTATGTGACTGTTCGTTCCACGTCTGAGCCTACAGAATATTGTTTATATACTATGGGATGCACCTCCCACGGGGGTAGTCCTGCGAAAATCAGTCCGTATGGAAAGAACGTGTCATCAACGGCACTGTTTTGCTTTCGAAGTTGGTGGAGCATGAGTAATTCTTCTCGTCGACACGCATCTTCGAACCATCTATCACTAAAAGGGGAATCCATAATTGGTTAAGAGGACAAATTATTATCGTATAATTGTGTGTAAATGCATGAAGATTGAAGATTGAAGAAGAGCATTTGACAAGGTGATTTTGTCATGAAGAGCAACATTTTTGAAGCAAGCGCGAAAGAGAATTGCATGAAATGGAAAGAGCTACCAAGCTTGTGGACTCTGGAGACCGACAAGAGTATTTATAAAGATCTCTTACTCATGAATATATTCACAGCATTAATACTTTTCAAAGAATTGACCTCAATCACACCGTCGATAGCTTGATTGAGCTAGTCGATATGCACTACCACACTAATAACCCCCAGGACTTTTCATTGACCAAAACTAGTAGTACGAAGTCACAGAGAATATTAAACAACAGAATGAATTCACCCATAACTATGCTTCAAATATGATCATGATAGAGCAAGTGACACATCGAAGACTTGTTGGAGAATAGTGTCACGGAACTAACACCAACATAGGAAGCGTTTTTTAAGAGCTTCAAAACTATTTTACTTTCCCGCACAGAAAATAAATATAAAATTAGACGAGCAATAAAATACACCCAGAGCTCACACAGCTTACAAGGAGACTTGTATTTTACTATCATTTTTTGTCAAGTGATGAAAGTGCGACAGGAATGATAGAAAGTTTCTGAATTTCTGAACCGAGACACCGAGACATCTTCGGTTCGCGAATCATAATCACAGAATGTATTACAATCTCCAAGGAATAATAAGGTTAGGTATCCATACAAATCACCTACAATATCAGCTAGATACTGTAACTAGGTATTTCCGCTACAGTTGTCTGAATTTTTTGCACCTCATGATAATGAATCCTTCTACAACCATAAGTGAATCAAGACCGCATAGGACAGATATAGTTCATCCGATTTGGCGAATGCGAGCGAATAAAGACAGAAAAGATTGTCAATCTCCGAAAATTCATTTGACGAGAGAAAAAAAAATGTGAATGTTGAAGTGGTAAATGAGATTGTTAGCACACTTGCAGTCGCTTTTCCCCTAGATTGTTTTTTATTATATGTTGGAAAAGTTATTGGTATAATTTTGTACATTGCTAACTCATAATTCAGTATTTCTTGAATACATATCATAAGTGATGATATTGAAATTCGTGTATTATATACAGCATTTTTATTAAGATTCTAGCACGATATTTGATAAGCGGGTGAAGGGGGAAAATGTACTGCAAGAATTAATGGATAGTACAGTAGGAATAAAAAAGAACCTCGCAGAACTGGACTAATTGGAAAATCTGCAAATATTCTATTAGCTGATGTTGCTATCAAGTGAATCGAAAGTAGATTGGTCATGAACATGGATACACCTAATTTTGATTTTAGCAGGTGTATAATGAGTGGGTCCCTCGGTTAAAAGACAGCTACAGCTGGGTGCTATTTCAACGGTCATGAGTATCGAAGCTGGAGTATTAGAGTAATGCATCGTTCCATATAGAGGAAAGTCCTTTCAACTTGGAAGGATCTATTCTTTCAAAAGAGGCCAAACACTTCTCTAGTACATGCCTCCTCTTTACTAGTTTGAACAGGGTTTCTACTTAAAAGACCAACAATTCTCTAAAGGAAACAACTCTTCACAGACATCTCTTTCCTCCTGCATTCAATTCAACAATCTCACAATCTCACACACAGAGCTCTGCATAAACAAGCAGCGACACCATTCTGACAAAACTCAGTTCGAAAAGATGATTGAGAACACTCAAATCTACTATGTCCTTGCTCTGGGCATTGTCATAATCTGTGTTAATGCACTCTTACCCAGCAAGTCCGAGAAAAACTCTATGGAGCCAGTTCGCATTCCCTCAACTATACCATTCATTGGTCATTTCATTGGTCTCTTTCGGCATAGAAATGAGTACTACAATACTCTGAGGTAAATTACACTCCCCGATTGTGTCTTTAGATTGATTTCAAGTACTAACAAGCTATTTGCTTTTAATTCAACAGTCAAAAATGGGATTTTCCAATCTTCACTATCGGCATGCTCCATAAAGACATTCATATCGTTACTTCAGCCGACTTTATTCCATCTCTTCATCGCCAATATAAAGCAGTTTCGCTATGGGAGTTAGAGGCACAATTCACAGTGAAACTGGCTGGCCTGACTAAAGCTGCAGCAGACAGGATGCATACTAATATGTCCTCGGAAGAGAATCCAAGTCTAATGCTTCAAGGAATCAAGGTGATCCAGGGTACACTCGCTTCCACGGAGTCCATAAAAAAAATGCTTCGTATCGGAACACTAGTTACGAAGGATCAACTAGATAAATGGGCAAACCCAGCTGAGAACAATCACAACAAGAAGGTCAACTTATTAGAATGGTTGCAACACGAATTGACCATTGTTATTACAGACAGTTTGTATGGAGACAAAAATCCTTACCGGGATCCAGAGGTCGAAGAAGGATTTTGGTAAGTCGACATCACGCAGCCTCCTCCGCCTAAAACGAGTACTGACAGAAATAGGGCTTTCTCTGACGGCTCATTGAGACTTCTGTTACCAGATTTCCTATCAAACATTATCGCTACTGAAGCTGTACGCGGTCGAGCTGCCGTCGTAAAGGGATTCCAAGAATACTTCTCGAGCGGCGGACAAGATGGTGGCTCAGATCTCATGAAGAATAGATTTGAATTGTTAGTCGATCATACGGATAGTCGTCACAGCGACCTGGCGAAAAATGAAAACCTGATCAATATTGCGGCCTTATCCAACACAGTACCTTCAGCGTTTTGGGTTATTTATCATTTGTTTTCTGATGCAAATCTTCTCGAGCAGATCCGGACCCAAGTAGGAGAATTGACAACATCAGAAGTTTCGGCTGAAGGAGATACAATCCGTAAGATCAACCTACAGAAGCTGATTCAACTACCAATTCTCTCCTCGTTGATCTTAGAAGTCCTGAGGTTCCGATCAACTGGTACTGGACCTCGCCTCGTTATGGAAGACACCTTTGTTGGTAAAGATCAACAATACCTACTCAAGAAAGATTCCCTGGTAATTATCGCCAACAAGAGACTGCACTTTGACAAGCGTGCATGGGGAGAGACAGCAGATTCCTTTCGTTTCGATCGATTCTACGGTAAAACTCCTGCGAACGCATTCCGTGTCTTTGGAGGAGGAGCGAATAGGTGTCCAGGCCAGAGCATAGTGACAAATATCATTGCCGCTTTCACAGGAATGTTTGCGATGAGATTTGATATTATTCCAGATGGAAATGATTGGACTGATCCGGGTCAAGATCTTGAAAACATGTCTACTCAGTCAGGTCCGCCCAAGAAGGAGTTCATGGTAAATATAGTACCCAGGGAGAGTGCGAAGGATGTAGTATGGAGCTTCGAGATGTAGTTACTTTCATCTCCTGAAAGGGAGAAAGTGGGACACGAATTGATCGTGTTTATGGGATTCTTGAACTCATATTTGATACTCTAGATAGCAGAATCGGAATTCATCATAGAATGATGAATAAAAATCAAGATTCATACACATGTTTGAAGTAGTCGAGATAAGTTGTGTGCACCTAATAGTAATTTTGTTCGAAGTAGGTTCAGATGCAGGTGGGTTACCTAATACATTTGAGGCGGTGAAATCGGTTGTAAATATTGCCGCATGCCAAAGATACCTACGCAATGATTGATGGCTTCACGACTTGGACATTTTTTGAAATTTGCCAATTCAAAGCACAATCATTATGAATAATCAACAGTTCCGCAAGCTTGTGCTGGATACGCCTGCAAGACAAGCTGGAACAGGAGACAAAAGTTCAAGCATTGGCGCAACTCCCAGACGAGATGGCGCAACACCATCTGCCCTTGGTTCTCGGATGCGAAGTTCAATACCCATGACACCGTAAGGCGCGAATACTCCAGTTGCATGAAGCTATACAGTGAGTACTAACAAATATACTAGTCGCTCAGTGGGTGGTGTTGATTTCGCACGTCAAGTCGCTGAACAACGAGCTCTAAATAATCCTTCGCAACCAAAGAAATTTCGCTCAATTGCCGCACCTAAAGGCTCGAAACTCGCAGCCGGCTATACCGATCGCACAAAACACCGCATTGATGAGGATGAAGATGAAAAAGCCTCCAGAGTTAAGGCGCTGGAAGAGATGATGAAGTTACAACAGATTGACGCGTCTACATTTTTAAAATTGAGGGACGAAATATTAGGTGGTGATGTTCAAAACACGCATTTAGTAAAAGGATTGGATTACAAGTTGTTGGAGCGGGTCAGGAGGGGTGAAGATGTTTTGAGCGGAAATAAAGAAGACGATGATGATGCTGAAGAGCCAGATAATTTGGACGACGAGTTTGAGAGGTTGGAGGAAAAAGACGTGGTTGCTGTTGAGAAGGAGAAGAGTAAAAAGAAGGGAGAAATGGCACCACCAAGTTTGATTCCGGGAAAGAAAAGGACTAGGGATCAGATTCTGGCAGAGATGAAAGCGGCCAGGCAAGCGGCAAAGGAGGCAGCTCAGCCATGTTTAGGAGCAAGATTCAAAAAAGTTGGAGCCCCAAAATCTATAAGCAGGATTGAAATGGATGGAAAAGGGCGGGAGGTTCTCATTGTTGTCGATGAGAATGGAAACGAGAAGAGAAAAGTCAGGAAACTACAGATGGAACCGGAAGTTGAGAAAGGGCATGGTCTACTAATGCCTGATAAGGATGCCATACCATTAGGCATGGAGGTTCCAGAAATACCAAAAGAACCAGAACCAGAGGAAGAAGATATCGATATATTCGACGATGCAGGAGATGATTATGATCCATTAGCTGGGCTTGAAGACGAGGATTCGGAATCAGATGCAGAAGCTGAAGACGGAGAAGTTACGGAAGATAGTCAACGAAAGAAGCCCAAGACTCAAGATTCGCCGCAAGAGCCAGCTGTATCTGAAAGTATGGCACCACCTCCACGACCTAACAAACCTAGAAACTATTTTGGCGAATCAGAACCTGAAACAACAGAAAATGAGACCAAGCCAAAAGCCTTCAGTGATCCAACTATTCTCGCCGCCCTCAAGAAAGCCTCAACTCTTAATCCTATATCCAAAGTTCCAGAAACTGCAGAAGAGGCCGCAAAGGAAGCGCGGCGGAAGAAGATGCTCCAACAGGATGATCGTGATTTGGAGGATATGGATATGGGATTCGGAAGTAGTCGGTTCGAGGACGAAGCTGATTTTGACGAGACGAAAGTCAAGCTATCAGCGTGGGGTCAAGGAGATGATGATGAGGACGAGAAAGGGGAAGGTAAAAGTAAGAGGAAAAGAGGATCGAAGAAGAGGAAGGGGGATGCAAATAGTGTTGCGGACGTCATGAAGATCGTCGAGAGTAGGAAGGCTGGACCATAGTCATCACACAGAAAGCAGATAGATACCCTCATTTTTAACACTTAGCCACAATATTTATTTTTAGTACTTATAATACGCCGTTAAATCCCATCAGGCTGTCCATGGGAAGCCTACGTAGGTAACATACAAATAAATTGAGACAATGTCTTATCACGTGCCTTCGCGAGACGCGCTTTGCTTATCTATATGTCCCTAACGCGCTTGGAGATCTTCAGCCATGAGCTTTGAGAACGGAAAATAACCACGTCACTCGCAAGAAACAATGCCTCCTCGAAGATCCGGTCGAAATGCTATTGCTACAATTGCAGATGTTCCAGGAGCTGAAGCCTCGTCTACTGCAACGAAGAAGGGTGGAAAAGATATAAAAACTGAGAATACCGAGGTTCCAAAGTTAGCTGCGAATAGTATCCGAAGCAAGGCGAAAGAAGAGAGTGGCAGTTTAGAAGACGCAGACGAAAACGAAGACGAAAACAAAACTATTGATCTCCCAAAAATAGCTAAGACTGTTAGTATAAAGAAAGAGGCTGTGGTGGTCACAAAAAACAAAGCTCCCGTGAAACGCAAACTCAAGGAAGAGGAGGACGAAGACGAAGAGGACAAGGAAGAGAAGAAGGTTACGAAGAAGAGGAAAACAAAAGAAGAAAAAGAAGCAGAAACTATGCCATTGGTAGAACGTACATTGGTTTCGACTTTAAGAAAGGCGGTACATATCGGCGCTCATGTTAGTGGTGCAGGAGGCAAGTGTATCTCTCCTCAAGTCGCGAAGATCTTCTCTAACATATGCATCGTAGGCGTCCAAAACTCAGTAAATAACTCTTCACGTATCGGTGGCAATGCATTCGCTTTATTTCTCAAATCTCAACGCAAATGGGTCAATCCTCCTTTAGCTTCTGATGCTCGCGATCAATTCAAGGCTTTATGCAAAGAACAAAAATACGATGCCTCGAAATTCGTTCTCCCACATTGTTCATATCTAGTCAATTTAGCACAACCAGATGAAGAGAAAGCCAAGCAAGCATACGATTGTTTTCTGGACGATCTGAAAAGGTGTGAAGAGTTAGGTATCAAACTTTACAACTTTCATCCGGGAAGTACAGGTGGCAACCCAAGACCGGAAGCAATCGAGCGTATCGCAGCTCAATTAAATAAAGCTCACAAAGCAACGAAGACAGTAATCACACTGTTGGAGAATATGGCAGGAGCTGGAAATGTGATTGGTTCTACATGGGAAGACCTTCGGGACATTATTGCTCTTATTGATGATAAATCCCGAGTTGGTGTTTGTCTAGATACATGTCATACATTTGCTGCAGGATATGATCTGAGATCACCCGAAGCTTTCAAGAAAACTATGGATGGGTTCGACAAGATTGTTGGATTACCATATCTAAAAGCTTTGCATCTCAATGACAGTAAGTCACCGTTAGCATCAAACCGGGATTTACACGCCAATATCGGTACTGGATTTCTTGGCCTTCGAGCATTCCACAATGTCGTAAGCTTTGAACCCTTTCAAAATATGCCTATGGTTCTCGAAACACCAACTGAGAAGAAGGACGCAAAGGGAAAGACTGTCGAGGATCCATCTACGTGGGCTAAGGAGATTAAGTTACTCGAGGGACTACTCGAAAGAGATCCTGAAAGCAAGGAGTTCCAGGAGGAAGAGCAACGTTTACAGGACTTAGGAGCAGATGAACGACAGAAGTTTCAGGGTCAAGCCGACAAGAAAAAGCAAGAAGTTCTCAAAAAGGGACAAAAGACTCTTGATGCAATGTTCAAGAAGGGATCAGCAAAAAAGGGCAAGAAAGGTACAAAGGAGAGTGATGGCGAGGAATCTGAAGATGGCGGTTGTTCACATTGAGCTATCCATGTATCGCGGAGTTTTATGTCTGAATAAGAGTCTGGCTACATAGTATCTCCTCTACAATATAGTAGTATAATAATATAGGTAATCGACTAAGATTCTTCACCGTTCCCCCACCCCTCAGGAGATTTTGTTAGTACATCTACCTCGCGTGAAGCATGAATTCAATGATCATCGACCATATCCTGCGGTCCGACGTCTTTGGTCTGTATTACCCGACATTTGACAAGGCGGAAAGTTCCTCTTTACTCCAAACGATCACATTTTCTACAACCCTTTCACATATAGAACGAAAAGGGCCTTTTCTGCACAGTTCTGATTGGTCAATACGGTTACTACATGGAGAAAGCGCACATGTACCTAGGTACATGTTGAACACATTACAATTGAAAAGTCTTGATGTGAGTCATCAACGGAAGTTCCGTGAAGTGGCGATGTTGAGGATTAGAATGAGGCGATGAACCAAATCTCCACAAATACCATAGTTTTCCGAGGATGATACTTGAGCCAGCTAGCATCACAGCAGTAAGTCATCTGAATAGATTCGTATCTGCTCGCTCTACTAGGTCATTTTATTCAGAAAGCCATCTCATGTTCTCCTATAGCCATCTTTTAGTACCGTGAAACAATACGATCGAGCAAACATATGCGGCGTCGCTAAGCTTTTCGTCACTCAGCCTCGATGTCCAAGTGTTTTTGTCCTACACAAACAACTTCTAACTCATTTGCCAGATCTTCAGTTCCATCGACCAATTTAATTGGTCCACCAATATACATGTGGATGACTATATCTACACAAAAACTGCGGAATTGACTAGTAAACACTAATCGTGCCGGCATCTGTTACATTTATATTTTTGTATCACGATAACGAACAAACATTGATTATAAATAAGAGTCATGGATCTCCATTTCTCGGCCAAGAATCCTCCTCGGAACATTCCTATATGCTTGATTTCTGCCTTGGTCTCTTTTGCCCGGGTCCCGGAAGAAGACACAAGAAGGAAAGATATATCAACCCCGCTTCGCTCGCTTTATCAAGACCTCGTCGTCGACATCCCCTTCCAACACCTGTATATCCTCTTCCTGCACCTATAATTCCTCCTCCAGAACAGAACTACGAACAACTTCGTCCCATCAGTCCCATATACTATCCAGAACCGGAGTTGGAATTTGAACCCGAGCCTGAGCTTTTTCACCCTCAGGTATTTCAACGAGTTTCTTTTGATCCGGACTTGGGACGTAGATTAGAGCCTGCAGCTCAAAGAATTCATTTTGTACAGCCAGAGCCAGAAGTTTATTTACCTCTTCCTCGTCCCAGATCACCGCCCAGACAACACATACATTTTGTTCAACCGCTTCCACCACCGTACACCCCTTCACCTCAACCTTCTCCTGCGAGTCACCATATTCACGTATTCCCTCCTCCTGCCATTATTCGTCCACCGAGGAAGCCCTCTCCACCACATACCCATATTCACCTTCTTGGTCCTGCTCCTCCTCCCCGAATTAACACGCCACCGGCTCAAACACTTGCTTTGGTTCCCCTCCCAAAAGTCAACAGGAAAATGAATTTTCCCAATCATCCTCATCCTCATCCTCATCCTCATCCCCATCCCCATCCCCATCCCCACCATCACTACAATCACAATCACAATCGCAACTATCGACACCGCTCTCCTTCTTCTTCTCCTTCTCGTTCTCCTTCCCCTCTCTCCCATGCACACCATCCCCCTCATGATCACGCCAATAATCAACAAAATAATCCGAATAATCTGAACAACATCCCCCTAGCCGATCTTATCCGCGATGTTTTACATCGCTATCTACAAATAAATTTGCCACCTGGAACAGCTATCAGTATAGCAAGATTGATGTCTAACAGTCGAAATCCAAATTTTGATTTGAGCGTCCAAGCGAATGCTGGGACTAGTAGAAATCGCTCGCGGAGTCGATCACAAAGTAGGGGTCAGGGGATAGGAAGAAGGGGTGGAAGCAATAACAACAGTAATGGAGCAGCTGACGGGAATGCAATTAGCAGTGGCAGAAAGGGAAATAGAGGAACTAGACAACCAATTATGAGTTCGGACTCGAGTTCGGAATCCTGTGATACACTAACACAGAAAGGCAAAATCGCATTGTTGGAAGAGATTAGACGGTTGGTCTTCCTGCTTTGGTTATCTTTTCTTCTCCTTCCTTCTCCTACTCTGAGTTTTTGAGAAACTAATTCATAATTCTCAGAGTAAACATGTGCGCCCAGGTTGCAAATGGAATCATCAAATCATCTATGCTCAACGCTGAGGTTCATCCTAAGCTAGACGCTAAAGGAAGATTTCCGAATAACTTCCAACGTCCTTTAAAAGTTAGAGACTTTCTAGCCATGGATAGTTTGTTCCCTTATTCCCTTAGGCATTAGACTCACTATCCCTCACAATACCTGAATCTCTTTTATCCCATCTCACATACATACACCAATCCCCTAACATCACAACCCGATCCCCACACCAAGAAACAAACTAACACCCCTCCCTCCCCTAGTAAAAACCCTAGACGCCCTCCTCATCACCTACGATCTCCCTGTAGGAACGCGTCACAGCTCTACCGGCACCGGAGTCCTCGCCACTTTCGTGGCTCATCTCCAAAGCACTTCAAACCATGGAACCAGAAATCTTCCCTGCGATTGCAGAATCTGCGAGTCCGTTCACGAAGAGCAAAAGACGGAGAAGAGAGAAGTGCTTTTTGAATATCTCTGTGTGGGTGCGCTGCATGGTGGGTCGGGGGCTGGAACTTTGTTGGCTCAGGCTCATGGTCAAGCACAAGGTCGAGCGCAGGCGCAAGCGCAAGCTCAAGGTCAAGTGGCTCGAGCAGGAGGCGCCTTAGTAGCCGCGAACGCAGGAGGCGGAGGTGGTCGCGGAGGAGGTGGAAATCAATGCGCAAACGCAAATGCAAACGCAGCAGGTTATCTCAATCTCCCGCAACCGGGTCATGCGATACAAGTGCAGAATGTGCAAGGAGCGGTGCCAAACCGGTTGAATAATAACAATATCGGGCTTGCACAGCCAAGTCAGCATGCGAGTCATTCGCATCATCAGTCGCAGCATATGAGTGGTGGGAATGGGAATGAACGGGGCAGGTTGAAGAGTTGAGGAACTTGAAATTTAGGTTTGGGGATTTGAATTTTTTTTTTTCTTTTTGCTTATTCATATTTTGCTATCTGAATCGTACAGTTTCTCATAGATAGGAGGATAAAACTTATCATACATAATACACAACAGCATAAAGATAGATTGATGAGAAGAGAAAAGTGCAAGATTAGGAAACGCCTTGAGGCTTGTCATTATCTAGTTTCATACCCAAGATGATTTTCACCTCGGGACAGTAGTTCATTATATGGGAGACGTATTCGGGCTTATCCCAGATCTGTGGATTGGGGGTTGGTGTTAGTTTCTTCGGCTGTTTCGGGTTTTGAAGGAAAGCAAGTGGACAGACAGGAAAGGAAATAATACAACGAGCAGTACACGTGCGTGCTTTACCGTGAAATTGATACAGAGGAAATAAGACACATTTGCCAGCGGGATAAGGATCGTGAAAAGAGATGATGAGATGGCTGACCTGTTCATGGTGTACCCCCAACCATCCGATATGATAACCCAGTGGCGCTTCGTCCCAAACACTTTCGACACTAAAAGTCTTGCTCACTGCTGCATTTGCCATTTTACTTCCTTCCAGCTTATTCAGTCCGGTACTCAGCCATAGATCTTCAAGTGCTCCATCTCCGGGCTTGCGTCTTTCTGTTTCTAATAATCGGAGTATAGATGATACGCGACGGAGAGAAAGACCACCGTTGCCTCCATGGGTAGAATATGACGACCATGGCGCTCCTATATAATCGTATTTGATGAAATCGTTCAGAGTAGTGGGTGCTTTGGTGCAGAATATAGAGTCGGGTTGGAAGACTAGAAGGTGTTCGGCTGGAGAGAGGGATTTGTAAAGTTCAGGGTCGGTAAACATCTGAGATATGGATTCACGACTTGACACATCCCAGTGGGACGGGAGAGGAATGAGTGTGAGTTTGTTTGAGGCTACTAGATCTCGCAAGTGGTGGAAACCAAGTAGATAATTGATGGAAGCGTTGCTACCCATGAATTTAAAGGTCCACTCTTGCGGAATGACGCTCGTCATGTGTGTGAGCTGAAGAGGTAAATGTGGTAGCGGGCGAGTCTCAACCATAAATGCTAGTTTTGTGGGATCGAGAGTAGAGGTTGGTGAAACGTATTCAGTTTTTGTTGAAACAGAAATTGATGTACTGGTATGTGTCACTGTTTGTTCTATCGTTTTTATTTGAACAATTGTAATAGGCCCGGCGTCGAGGGGTTTAAGTTTTGGTTGGACTTCGTCATGGTTCAAACGATATGCGAACCTGAACGACAAGGTCAGACGTGAATCAAGAATTCATTGACACGCTCGAAAATTGAATGGCAAGGAAGCTTGGAACATACCCATAAACAAGGACAAGACTCAAGAATACACCAAATATTACCATTGATCTCATTCTGCTCCCGAAACTCCATGATGCCAAACCAGTAGACATGTTCAACACTTATCAGAATGCCAATTCCTCTACATATACTCCTTACCCATAAAGCCAAATTCAAATCTCGAAAAGAAAGAAACGCTGCGAGACAGGCAAAAGGGAAGAATACAAACGGAACGAAGTTGACAGAAAAATGGCTACCCCATACTTTGACTTTATACGAACCCACATTATTCTTGATGGTTACTTTTAGACCCCTAGTTACGCGGCTTCACGCTAGCACAAGGAGTATTTGTGTGGGATGTGATCAATCCGATGATGAATCAGGATCCATATCAATAAGGCTAGATCATCCCATATTTACGAGGGGTTCCCAAGTAAGGCTTGAGACAAGAGAGATCGATCATTTTCAATGCTAGGGAAGCAGGGTCTGCTGTGCAAACTATCATTGCGTACTCGAGAGATTCATTAGCAGCTGCTACTCCCCGGTCACCAGAGTTTCAGTTGCTCCTATTCAACATGAATGAAGTAGTAAGTAAGCGAGAACATCTACAGATATCAGTTGTCCGATGTAAACAATCATCCAATCTTTGTACTTTGGGCGTAGCTTGAAAGACCGAAGGAAAAGACTGTTTGGAAAGATCTGGCTGTCGTCGTAAACATGTGTGAGTCAAGGCGTACATCTGCCAAAGCTTATTTTAGAAACCTTGATGATTTAAGCTTTTGATCTGAGACATCGGGGTTTTGTCGGATTATACCCACATTGGGAATGGAGCACGATAGTCACGTGGTTATTTTGAATTTCCAGCGTTTGCTTCGAGAACGTCTGTTCCAGTGACAGTCAATCTAATTCTTCTGATGCCTTTTCGGAACAACGAACGATAACTTCGAACTGAAAATCGTGTATTATGTGATAGGGTACGGTTGAATCCCGACTCCTGAGCTGAAAAGCCCAAACCACTTCAATTTTGAGTCGAAAAACACTTTGCATTGTGGTTTGAATGAGCGGAATTATATTTTGACGACCAAACGGCTATCATCTAGTATGATATTTTTTTTGCCAGAGCTCCTAGCGCCAGTGTTCTCACTCAATAACCCTCAATGTCTATGTAAATAGCCAACATTCGGGGTCCTTCTCGCCAAGTATCAAGTCTCACACACGATTTAGTATGGCTGTTATCACTAGAACCTCTCGTGTCGATTGGGAGTGTGCCACAATCTTACTATTCTAGACTCGTCCGATAGGCAGGCAGCTATTCAGCACGAAATCACGAGATTTTTACTCATCTGAGAGCTCCGTGATATATACCAGGCAGCGAAACGACTTGTATTTTATCAGCGTCCATCGCCCTGCTCTTGCTAATCACGACCTCCTTCCATCTCAAACCACTCAATGCGGGAACTCGAGTGACGTGATTCAATCATCCGGCTGATTGATTGCATTCGGCAAGTGCTGAAGTATCGTTGAGTTTGGCGACGCCCAAAATAAACATAACATCCTCGATTGCTCTGCAAGATTGAGAATCTGTTTACTCTAGACAAAGTAATCTACGCAGTTCTTTTGGAAATAACAATTTTCACACCCAGATGTTAAAGCTTGAATACGCCATTGTTTCTCATGGCCAGAATCCTGTCTCATGATAGCCTATGCCAACTTTTGTGATGAGAAGGCTGACCGCGCTCATCACGACAACGCCATAAATTTTGTTCGACAATTTATCAATCTCACCAGTCAAATAACCTCCTCGTGTTTTCCATTTTCCAATGACACGGTTTGTCCAACGGAAGGCCACCCGCCAAGAATAAATGCTTATGCTGGGTGCTGACTTGGAGCATTTGCACCAAACGCCACTCAACGCCAATCTTGAAGCTGAGTGGTCAGAATCTTGAGAATCATGCTATTTTGAGATTTTCATCTAAGGTTTACGATCTGACATGGTGAGCAACGGGATGTGACCCGCGATCTTTTTCGACCAAACAGTTCATCGACGGTCTTTTCATCGTCAATGATCATTGGCTTGATAGGAGATGTTGACTCTTGATATGAACACAGCCTTTGGAAAAGTTCCTATGCGAGAGGCTGGTGATATATTCTGATATCAGCCCTACGGTGGCAATAATTTCATCTCAATATTGCCGTCCCAGAAAGAACTTCACATAAGTAGATGAAGGTTCTTCGTCATATTTTCATTCCTCATCTCATTCTGCATCCTCTTCAGTTTCCTACCTGCTTTCGTATTCTCAGTTTCTCCTTACTACAATCGTTAGATTCTCTCTCTTGTTTCGATCTTCAAAAACTTGAACTTTGCTCTTATTTCTGTCCTTTTCCATGATTTTGTTTTAGTTCGTTCCATCATGAAGCTCTCAAGCATTTCCACCGTGAGCAGTTTTCTGGCTCTTGCTTCCGCTCAGCTGTATACCGAAACTGTTCCAGTTGTGTGTTCTGGCGCCCCCCCATCCACTGTCACCCAGACTGTCACGATCACCGAAGGAAGATCTGGTCCATATTACCCCACCACTACTTTAGGCTATCCCATTACATCAAAATATGTTATCACAGCAGATGGAACGGTGACCTCTGTCAATTATGATGGAGAGACCGTGTCCACAGTCTGGGCTTACCCAACCGGTACCGGGAACAAAAAGCATTGTACCGTTGCTACCTATGAGAACGACATTGTAATCGACGTTAGCATTGTCGATATCACGATCATCATCATTGATGGTTTTCATGTGACGAAGACTGCTACTGTAACCGATAGCATCACTTATACTCCAACTCCTCCTATTCAAACCACCACTACCTGGCCCCACAGCACTGAGACCGGTAACACGTATGGCGAAATCCATCATGTGACTGTAGGCGATAAAGGTCTCAATGTTTACTCTCCAAACCAAATTAACGCCAACGTGGGTGATATCATTCGATTCACATTCCTCGCCAGAAACCACACCGTCACTCAATCCAACTTCAACACCCCCTGCAACTTCAACGGTGGTTTCGATACTGGCTTCAATCAATTCAATCCCACCAACGCTACCAATATCACCCGCGATTTCGTCGTCAACACAAACAAACCAATTTGGTTCTACTGTGCTCAAGCAAATCCAAAATCACATTGTCAATCCGGCATGGTCCTTGGTATCAATCCCGCTGGTAGATTCGATACTTTCTTAGAAAAAGCAAATAATAGTGGTAACTCCACAGTCTTTCCCTCTGAAACTGGATATATCACCGGCGTTCCAGCTCCGACTGGTACTTACGTTACTAAGACTGGATCTTGGATCAGTGGGGTTCCAGCTCCCTCTGGATATTCCTCGACAATTTCTGAGGAGGCGACATATACTCCTTTCTACAAGTATCCTTCTATCAAGAGAAGATCATTCCAGGCATAAGCGGGGTAATTTATAGGTATTTGAGACTTATGAGAGAGGGCGCGACCCCGGGAGTAGAGTAGAGAAAGTTGCTTGCATAGCGTTTGGTGTTTTAAATTTGTGATTTCTTTTTTTTATCTGCGTGGATTTCGTTTTGCATTGAGTTGGCTTTTTGGAGTTTGAATGGATTTTTTTTTTCATATGGTAACTATTAGCATAGAGTAGTAAGATAGGCGCCTACGTAGAGTGTTGAATGAAATTTTATTCAAGACGTTTTACTTTCCGTGCTGTGTGAGGATGGTCGATAGAACTTTATTGGCTAAGAGCAATTCTTTTATACATGCTTTTAAGTTGGGTCATTGACCACTGTTAGATTCAAGTCTGGTTCATGGATCATTGCTCAAAGATAATGTGGGATATCGATAAATCAATTGTGACATCCAAATTTCATGCAAATAGTGGGTTCACACTTAGACGCTAATGATCAATGAGAGAACCGGACACATTGGCAGATGTAAATTTTCAAAGACAAAAATGAAATTTTTTGGATTACAAAACACACTCGCCTCTCTTATTGATAATGTTAATTGAACGAATCTTAGATCAAGATGTCAAACCACGATCTCATCAACAAGAATTCAGGAAAAGTATACATAATTTTCTATCCGATTCCCAATCTAGCTCTACGGGTCAGAGTGCCTATTCAAATTATCGCAGAATTTCAGGATGTCGAAGTCACCCCAAATTTCATGAAAGAAAGAAAAGTTTGCGCGAATAATAATATTAGCATCTACCTCTGTGTCTCTCCGAGCTAATACTTAACCCCTCACCGCGCTTCGTTTTTCGCTCATCCTATTTCATTCCCTCTATTTCTTTTTAAACCAATGTCTTTCTTCTCTCAACCCGTAGCTTTTGTTCTATCTCATTGATACCCCTGCAACTCAAGATCAAAATAATCAAGGCAGAAAGGTCTTCATTTTGGCCTACTCGGAGGTCATGGACTGCTTTAACAATCGGCCGTGAGAACTTCTCTGGTTATATATTCTGCAAGTAGATGTATTTCACGACCAATTTCTCAAGGGAAGCAGCCTAGACCGCTCGGTTATCCTTTGCATATTTGATATCTTGATTTCATTGATAGGACATCTCTTGGTGGTGCTCGATGAACTAGATGGATAAGCGAGCAGATATGCGGGCGCTAATATTTCTTCGACCCAGTTGCCTAGTAATCTAGAAGTTCAGGATTTCAGTAAACAAAAGTCTTGACCCTGTAAATTGTTGCCTACAAGGCGCCTACAAACTTCACAGTAAAAATTGCTAAGAAATCACAAAGTAAGAAGATGGATAAACAATCCAACAGTGCATATATAAATCATGAAGTTACATTCATAACACATTCTTTTTCATCATCATAATCAGAAAAACGTAACAATAAAGTTTTCTCAACAATTCAACTGAATAATATCTCACATCCACAATGATGCCGCCTTCTCACATCGTAGCTCTGAAGCATGATACACCTTCAGTTCTTCATGGTGCCTTGTATAATCACATTTGGCCATCCGATTCAGAATCAGATTCCGAATCCGAAGAAAATCAAGAGGAACGAGAAGAAAAACGAATGTTGCGAGCGAAAAGAAAACAGACAGCAGAAATTGCCCGTAAAGCTAAGATAAGGGCAGATGAAAAGAAAAGAAAGGACAAAAATAAGTCAAGCTCAATCGAAGTTGGGAGCACAGCGGTTATCAGACGGGAAGATGATGGGGGCCAGGCGAGGAGAGAAGAAAGACCCAAGATAAATATATCTAAAGAGGTACCCGGTCCTAAAAGGGTATCCGGTCGTCAAACAGAGTCCGGTCCTAGAAGAAAACCTGAATCTCAAAGAGCAACCGGTTCTACAACGGTACCGAATCATAGAGCTGTACACGATCCTAAGACACCTGATCTCAAGAAAGCATCCGGTCCTAAACGGTCATCCAGGAACGAACGGTGCTAGAAAGAGACTTTCAGGATTTGTGAATATGAGACTGAGAGTTGGAGTTGAACTAGAAGTGTACGGAAATATAGAAGTCAAGAAGTGATGAAATGACAGAGATGTAGCTCGAGACAAGAGTGAGATACTTAACTTATACGCTCCTTAAATATAAAGTCATTAATAAAACAAACCTAAACCTCCCAATGTAGCTTCTCGTAGATCTATTAACACTATTACATATAATGTATAACCCTACTTTGAGAATGAAATCATAGAGTCCTAATGATCATCAAAATTTCAAATATGAATCCTGTAGGTATCTTTAAATTCCCAACATTTTCATGTTCGCTAAAATTTTGAAAGCATATAAAGACATTAACAATCAAGTCTTACCTGCTGATAATTCTAAGCCTACAGATGTTAGGAATCTAAAGATTTCAAAAACATATAATCTTAGACCTTGTTACCTAAAAATTACCTATTTTTCATATTACAAACTCTAAATCTCTTACAGAATAAAAACTAGACAAGTAGTTTCTCCGACTAAATACCTACCCAGGTACCTATACTACAAAGTATTCAAACAAACAATAAAACCCAAGAATAATCATCATCATTATCACTTCATCTCACGTCCAATCCCAAAGCCTCTCATCAAACATTTCCTCCCCTCTCCCCCGAGAATACGTCCCCAAAGTAGCGATGACAGGAAACCGAAGCCTGATAATGTATTTATTTATATACTCAATAATATGCCTCCACTTTTCATACACCTCTCTCCATCTTAATCTCATAAGAACATGGATAGATAGATAAGTTATCAAGAAAAGTTTAATAATTACAACGACTTCAAGAAGAACTCCACGGCAGAGAACTACAACCTCCAAAACAGACAAAAAAAGCGCACCACTACCGACACCACTCACTCACTCGGTTCCAACATCGATATCTCTATACAAAGAGAGAGTCAAAAACACGAAAGAAAAAAGATAAAGATAAAGATAAAGGAATATGTAGTAAATATTAATATCTAGATGCCTATATACAGATACGTTAATCTTGGGTATACACAGATATTATATAGCAATATATATAGATAGAAATGAACATAAATAGAAACAAATGTAAAACAATACATGTATCTCACCGGCCTAGATCAGTTATTACAGTATAGAGCAAACATCATAGATCGTAAACTTCTCATAAAAATTTCTACCATCTATTTCTATCCATTCAAGTCTCAAAGTCCTACAAAAGTATTGACAACTCCCCATGAGCCAGAACGCCATAGTTTGAAACTACGATAGAAAGATTGGATATACCCGCAAACTCCACCGTACCAGTATTCTACTCCCTACTCCCTACCTCCTAATTGCCAAATCATGCCCTAATAGCACCCCCTATACCCAAGCGACTAGACCCCCCCAAGTCAAACATTTACCTCCTCTTAGCCCTCTCTCTAACCCCATCCTCCAACCTCTTAACCCCTTTAAGCAATCCCGCGCCTTTCTCACAATTGCCCTCCAACCACCCCTCCATTTCCTCTCTCATAACCCTCATTCCCCTAAGCACCGGTAATTTTCCGCCTTCCTCACCATCCACATATCCCTGCGGATTAAGCAAGATATCGAAAACCCCTGCCCAAATTTCAGTTTGCCAGTATCTCTTAAGACCCTCTTTAATTTTCCACTTTCTCAATCCACCTCCCATTCCACCAATCGAATCACCTGGTCTTTCAGCAATCGTATCGATATATTTTCCAAAAAGCATGCTATGAATAATGCCCGCCAATCCATGATAATCAATTTGATAGGTCCATGGTCTTAATTCTCTCATTTCCGCACAATCTTGAGGACCAGTCTTCCAGTCCGCGATAAATTGAACGTCGGGTTTGAAACATTTCATGTCAATTCCCCTGCCAAAATCGATAAGTGCAATGCCCTTTTTGTTCCAGCCGTCGCTTCCATCTCTCTTGTATTTAGGACTCCAAATATCAGAGTCCGAGAGAGAATCGAAACGGACGAGACAATTATCTGCTTTAAGATCACCGTGAAGAATACCCTTAGAGTGCAGAGCTTCGATTGTGCGGAATAATTCGATGGTGAAGAACATAACGAGGAGTTCATCCATGACACCACCTGGTGACTTGGCATCTGCCCGGGAGATATTGATGATATCCAGAAGAGTACCTTGATCTCTATATTCTTCTATCAAATAGCATTCATCTCTATAAAGATGCATTTCGTAAACGTCAAGAATACTTTCTGCAGGACGGGATACTCCCAACCTTCGTTTCGCTTGGCGCATAATGTAGAATTCCCATGCACTTGGTGGATCTTCCATCTTTAATGCTTCTAATGATTTGCGATTAAAGTGATCGAAAGCTCCCTTGCCCATAATTGCCGGGGTTTCGTTCTCATCTTGCTCAGCATCTTCTGTTCCACTTTCGAGTAGATACACGGGAGCAAATGCGCCTGCACCAAGTTCTCGTCTCAATGTGTAATGTCTATCTGTTCCAGGAAATTTCAGTATTGGGGGCGCTGAAATACTAGTTCTATCGCTTGAGCCTTTTGCTCTCGAGGCTGCTTTGGCATATTTCTTCAATTCTGCTGACTGTCCCCTCGTTCCGTCGTGCTGAGAAAATCCTTCATAAGAGCTGAGAGGAGGTTGTAACTTCTCGAATATTAATTGTCGAATACCTTCATCAACCGGATTACATTGGGAATCGTGAACAATAGGACCTTTAGGTGCGATTTCTCTGGCGAATGCCGTGGAATTTGATAATGGCTTTTTCTTGCCCAATTGTGGTTGCGGAATTCTGTCGATGGGCTTCGCTTCATTAACGATTTCTCTCAAAGGACTGCTATCTTCATCCTCTTCATCATCATCATCATCTTGGAAAACCTGTATCTTTGATCCACTACCTCTGCTAGGACTAGTGGTAGAATTAAAGTAATGTTTCTGATCCCTGATAGTTGGTAATCCAAGCGACGATTCAGTTCTTTCAACAATTGGGGTCATGAAAGGAAGACGATTTTGAGAAACTTGAGCTGGGTCTCGATATGGATGAGTTGGTGGGTCATAATCTTCTGGAGGTATTGGCACAAAACTTGTCGTTGATCTGAATGATCCATCCTCGGCTATTGGAGTCACGAGATCATCGTGTTCTTCCACATCACGAGGAATTGCAACCTTAATAGCCTCGAACTCTTCATCTTCTCCATCGGTGAAGGTAGAGGCTATGGCTTCATCTTCATCGTCCACATCTGGACCAGGCGCCTGCGCTGTAAATTCGGTCCACTCGCTTTCACTCTTTACATCAGTAGTTTCGTCATCGTCACCGGCTTCACTGGTACCATGAAGTCCTCCTGTCATGGTGCTTTCTCCGCCACTTGTATAATCACCATCAGTCATATCTTCATCGTCGTCATCACTTTCTTCCTCTTCTTCCTCTTCCTCCTCCTCATTTGCTGGTTTGAGGGGTTGGTTGAAGATATCGTAAATTTCATCCGTGGCTGCTTTAGTATGAAGAGTCATCGTTTGCTCCTTAGATGCCTTCCTCTTTTTCATTTTCTTCCCCGTCGGTGAAGAAAGTTTAGCGCTGACTACAGATTATTAGCTTTCCAAATCGCCAAAGGTTACTAAAATACTCACTTATTTGCGTCTTATTGACCTCCTTAACTTTCATTCTCCTATGCTTGGTTTCTCTATTATGCTCTTTCTTTGCTCCATTCTCATCCAGATATACTGAATCTCGAGCGACGACGAGTTTTTCCGGTCGATGATTTTCGTCAGTATATACAGGATCCCGAGCAATAACGAGTTTCTCTGGCCGATTTTCATCCGTAGGTACGGGATCCCGAGCAACTGCAAATTTCTCGCGATTCTCATTGGAAAACACTGAATCCCGAGCAATAACTAGCTTCTCTGGGATTTGTTGTGTAATAGTTTCAATGCCCATATTAGTATCTTGAGCTGGTTTACTTGACAATGGCTCCGATGGTATATCTAATTCCGGTTCCCATGACTTATCCAGCCATCCACGATGAGCAGCACGTAGCTCTTCGAAGCTCAATTCTGTCCCAATTTCATCCGGGCTAGGATACACAGCTTCAAGATTAACAAAAATTCGTTCACTTCTGCCATTTCTAGGATTAATAGTCACTTGTTGCAATTCTGGAATTGTAATTTGAGGTAATTTTAATGACTGAAATACACAGCACCACAAATGCCAACAATTAGTCCTATGATCATCAACATATGCAAAACAAGGGACAATAGAAAGGAAGGAAAAACATACCTCGTCCTTGAAAATTGCCATCTTGGTACTGCTCTTCTTTCCACCCGCTTTTAATGTTTCTCCAACCCATGGCTTGGGTTCAATCCTATTTTCCTTCTTCCGGTCTGCCAATGATCCTATACTTTCCCAACCTGCACCTGGAGATGCAGAGACCGCCGGTGCAGATCCATTCTCATCATCCGAGAAAATCTTCAACTTTTGCTTGCCACTTTTTGTAGTTGCTGAACCGCCGCCTACACCTGCGGAAGGTCTAGGTGCTTGAGGATCCTCTGGAGCTGGCGCAACTGCAGCATATGGGTCTATTTTTGCCGCAAGAGCTGGTCGAACTGTAGGTAATGCGGGGGATGAAGGTTCATTACTGCTATCTGGTCTAGCAGCGAATCTTTCCTGGAACTCGTTGAATTTGCGTAACAAACGTGGTGCTGGTCTAGCCTCCTTATCAATACCCATCTGAAAAACTTCCTCTGCTTGTACCCATCTGCCAGCACCTTCCAACCATCCTGCAAATTCTTCGTAGAACAATGCTAATCCTTCCCCGATATTATGACGAGCTAGAAATGCAAATGTTTCGCGCGGTGTATCGGAGAAGAATCGTATGTATAAAAGCCATAGCTTTAGGTATCGTGGATCATTTTTGTATTGTGGAGAATTGAGGAAGGTCTTCGTTGCGCGCTCGAGAAGAGGGGCAAGTTGTGAATTGGGTGTTGCTTGTGCGGAGGGGTATGCATCGAGTGTCCATTTGACATATCGATCATAGATATCTAATGGGTCGTCTGATTCACCAATATTGGCTAGTTCTTCTTCATATTCTTCTCTGACTGCATCGTTCAAATTTCTGGTATCGGATGGTGTAGGTGTTGAGAGGGGTTGTAGAGGTGATGGAGAGAATATTTTTGCGAGATTCCTTGCGGATCGTCCTTGTGGTAATGATTGAATGTTTTCTTTTTGATTCTCAATTATGTCGAAATCGATCAAGTCCTCAGAAGCAGACATCGTGAGGTTCTTGTGGTGGTTAGTAGTTTGTCGAAGATGTTCTTGTCGTAATGTTTGGAGTTGGAGTTGTTCTTTAATTAAAAAAGGTAGTTGAGTTGTTTACGTTTTTTGTTTACGGTACCCAAATACCCCAGCAACCCCACCATACACCAATCAAAATCCTTTTGCGCATGTGAGTGACAACACCGACACCGATGTCGATTCGAGACCAGTGCTTTTATTATTATTGGTTGAGTATTAAATTATCATAAGTACCTAGGTAGTATTCAAAAGCCTCAATATCACAGCTTTGAGAGTAAGTCAACCACAAATGAATGATACTTGAGTCTTTGAAAGGATTCCCTAATGCATACGGTAAGATCTATCGAGTAAAAGGCAATATATTGTTCCCTTGACACCATCCAACACCATCAACGTAGTCGTATGAGAAAGTCTTTCATAGTCTCGCTGTATGATCACCAACATACTCTTTCCTCAATCGTTACCACCATATCTTATTGACTTCCAACTGCCATATCCACCGTCGCTGCACCATGCTCATACGACCCTGGATTCTTCCGTCGAAGACGGGCCTCACGTGAATAGCATTCTTCCTGATCCTCCTCATCTAACACAATCCTCACCCTCGGAGGCTTCCATTTCGCATCTCCTCTCTCAGACCTTATGCGCTCGAAACACTCTTCGAGTTCCGCGATAATTTTAGACGGTGTCATATCCCATCTTGCCGAGTGACTTCGCCAATTTCCTTCTATCGCAAAATCCGGATGGTCAATCCATCGAGGTCCCTGTTCTTTATAACGATATGTATAATAATCGACAACATATGTGAATGTCTTTAGATTTGGGAACTCGGCTATCCACGACGCGAGCTTCAGCCAACTGAAAGGCTCATGGTGTCTTATAGATTCTTCCCAAATCCACCGGATGCCCGTAGCTTTTGTTGAAACTGCAAGATGCTGCATCGCACTCATACGCTTTTGGAAAAACGGATTATCCAGAGGAAAACTCATATCTTTCACACCTGGATTCAAATTGGGATTGTCTTTAGAGTGGATCGGAAGCCAGTAAGGAACGTAAATGATATCCATAGATGGATTCCACCAGCGACCCGGAATGCTACAACCAGCTGCCTCATCATTTTGCTCGTTTTCTTTGCCACTCCATGACTTTTGGTAAATTCTTAATGTCTCTTCTCGTGATTCTTGGCAGACGCACAAGAATTTGGGTGGAGGCAGATATTGAAGACAATAAGTGTCAAACTCCTGTAGTCGGACATTTGCATCGACTTTGAAGTGAAGTATCCTCTCTTCTGAACAACAAAATTTCCAGATCTCACGGCGAATCTCCGTAGGCAGATCACAGAAATTTGTAGCTGGATTACTTGCGCCAGACATTTTGGTGTAGAGATATGGGTTTGATTTTTAATTCAATAGACCGACCTACAGGTATGTCTTGTACACGGTGAATGATGAAGATATACAACGTATGCTAACGGACACAGTGAACAAAGAGGACACACATGAGGGGTCAAGTGGATACGGATTAGAGTGGAGCTGGGGTGCGTTTAGTGATGCATAGACAAAAGCACCATTCTACTGGATGCTTGTCCCTGTGTAATTTAATCTGCACGTGACAGTGCTGATAAACACACATCTACAATTCTACCTAATTGTTTCTCCTACCAACTTCGCCATTTCATGAACATAATCTCAAATCTACTTGTAAATCGAAAGCATAATATATCCTCATTAATTCTTAGGATCGTGAGATAGAAACAGAACTTTATTCCTGTACATGTTCCAAGTAGACTTGTTCAATCTACTCTATATTGCCTAAGAAAGGCCTGAATCAAGTCAGAGAATTCTAACAACAAGTGACAGCTGAAGGAACGATTCCTAGTAGATCTATAAATCCAGATCCAAGTTCACGCCTATTCCACCCATTCCTTACACATTTCCAACGAAGTGAGCGTCCTTCAAGACGCGTTCAAACCCATCAAAGTCTCAAGCTTAGACAATCAAATCTAAACCGAATTTCTATACGAGTCCTCGGTTATCAATCCTCAATCATGGAGGTCTATGAGTCCAATTTTATTTTTCCCTTCTTAGCGAGGATAATCCAATATAATCGCTCAAGTTAATTTAAACCGTTCCTATAATGAACAAATTGATTATCACTAGCAAATCCAGAGATTGAGAATGAGATTCACAGGTTTTCCAATTGTTTCTTTTTCGGCTCTCATCTATTCAGGCATTCAAAAACAATGCGCTTATTTTATAATTTCTTTAATGAGATATTCTCTACCGAGAACCAAGAAATATCAATCACAAAATATTTGGACAACCGCTGCTACCCAACTATTAATGTGCGTTGGTATTGGTGTTCTTATTACATATAAGAAAGGTTTGGAAGACAATTTCCATACAACTGATTTGTTAGTTTCAAGCTTAGTAAGGTACGCGAATACCCCCTTTTGAAAGCCATAAACGCAAAAAAAGAAATGAGCCTGCTAGTCGTAGCTGAATCACGATATCTTGAGAGTAGACATTCCACAAAATTTATTATTTTATAGATTTCACTCATAGGACAGTCACAAGAATTTGGCGTGTAAGAATGTTTTATATATTTAAAAGAGAGACTAGCTAAAGTAATGAACTATTTTTGGGGTTTTGGGTTGTTTTTATTGTGTAAAGATACAGTACGCGAAGGAAATAAGGAGAATTTGGAGAAATGCCATGCTTCTCCGTTTCGTATGTCCGTACATATCAGACCTGGCCGCACTGTCATAGTAGCCCACCCTAAATGTCCCAAATACTTTGGGTGCTGAATCCGTTCTCAGAACCCCACTGCAGTTAGTCAATCCTAAAATATGATCATCAAGCGAGCTTCTCCCATACCCTGCCCGATTCGTTCATATGAGTCCTACGTTCTGCAATTTGCTAGCTTGTAAATCTACATACATCATAAATCTTCCCGTTGATAGTCATTCCGTCTTTAACAGTGACCAATCTACCACGGAGCGCCCTCAAAGATTTGCGCTAATCCTTTATACTGATTCAGAATCGTACCATCAGCATGAGCAGGCAAATAAGTGTTGAATCCCATAAAATGGTACCTAGGCTCTGGGCAACGCTTCTTACGTAAACGCCAATCTGAATCTGCATCAAATCGCGCAATTATACCTAGACCCGGTGCGTGTGCCTTCCAGAAATCCATGACATCGTCCTTGAGTCTATACTGAGAGTCAGGCTGTCTCAGAAAACTCCTAAAGCAATGATCGACATGAGCCTTTGTTTCCATTAAGCTATAGGGATGTTCTTCGTGCAAGGATCCATCTTCATACTCAAAATCCTCATAGTATAATTCATCATCGGCTTCAAAGATCACTTCTTCTATATCGATGTCCGTCTCGGTCATCGGGTCATCGTTTGAAATGATATATGTAAATTTTTCGAGATTAGGACATTCGACAGCGATGACACCGTGTATCAAACTGTCAACTTCCTCTTCTTGAAGACGGTAGTGTGGCCAGTCCCATTCAAATGATTTTACATTGGCGAGTGCGATATGCTTAACATTTGACAAGTCGATGGATCCACCGACGAAGTAGAGGATGAAGAGCTGGCGATAATCGATGATCAATGTGTCCGTCTCGGTTCGAATATATACATGGCTTAAAGATCGATATCCGGAGCCTCTCTCACAGAAGACGTTGCGTCTACAGCGATCCCAGAAATGGTTGGGAGGGGAGTAATTTTCGTCGTACAATGCCTTGTAAAGCTTTGACTTTACACCTCTAGAGTACTTCTGAAGCTCAACTTTCTTGAACTCCTTGTTGACCTCCGTATGGAACAGCCAGGAAGTACTGAGCAATGGTGTGAGATGCATATCGGGCAGCATCTGGAAGTTCAAGATCATGTTGAAGTTGTTGAACTCGGTTCTAAATCCCATGCGAATGATACGCTTTTGAGGAAATGCGTACTTCGCAATCATCACCTGAACTTCGAGAGGAAGAAATTCAAATGCAAAGAAGCTGTCGTCTTCGGTTGAGCGTTCAAGAGCCTTGAAGGCCTGAGATTGACTTGGTGTGAGCCAGCTTGAAGTAGGGCGATCGATATCCATATTATCCAGAGACACGGTTGTCAGATCCATGGCTGTCTCTTCTGAGGCCGTCTTCTTCAGGGTCTTCTTCATGGTCTTCTTCTTCATGGCTGTCTTTCTCGTGAGTGCCTTTCTCATAGCTGCTTTCATCAGGCTTGATTTTTTCATGGTTTTCTTAGTCATGATCGTCGTTTGAAAGAGTTAGTGTGTAGATAGAATTGATAGTATATTTGATTGGAAGAATTTTCAAGTTCGAGGTGAGTCGTTGTCGATGGAGAGTTGTGATTGATGTTGGTATTTTACTGTGTTAGAAGAAGGGAAGATCAATTGGAGGAATTTCAGCAGTGCCTCGACAATGACTATATACTAATTGGGTAAGGGGACCTACGGTTCGGGGTTTGCTCTAGGCTATTGCGTTAATTGTATGAACATTGGGAGATTTGATCTAGCGCACAAATGCTGATACGATTATACGGGCGCGAGATGCCAAACAGTGAGATGACCGTTAGAATCGGTAGATGCTTGTGTAAAAATAATGACCGTGAACACTCTGCTATTCAGTACGGTCTACTGTTCAGTCAGTCATCTGTAACAATATGGCAATAGCATCAAGATATTTCAATGGGACTTCCTAAAAACCTATATGTGACGAATATCACATACGTGTGTGATTACTCATCACGCTAACCTCAGTTCAAGACTAGCTCGAACTAAGCGACCTCTAATTATATAAGAGATAAAGACATCCCTTATGGATCTTTTCCCTCTTCAGCTTTCTTGTTCTAATTAATTTGACCTCCTTCGATATGCTCTAGCATCCGATCGGAACTGAGAGTTTACCCCAGTCGTTTAGCAAATTCAATGGACAAATAATACGGCGTCAGTGCGTTTCAACCGTGATCGTAAAATTGCCAGTGTATACGTTCGTCACGATTTATTGAATATTATCATTACCAATCAATACAGCTTGTACGACACAACTTTATATATAAACGACATATCCCCTTTTATCCAAAATTTCTCTTGGCGTCACCCGTCTATTTTCATTAAATCTACAGATACCAAGTCCACACCCTCTCGTCTCGAGTCAAACCACTCAAATCATCCAATTCACAGCCATTCGATCGATAATCATCATTATTGAATTCTCAACAGCAAGTCAAACCAACCAGCTGCATCACGAAAAAGGAAAACGCTTTTGCCAATCTATAAGAGTATTCGAAATCCTAATACAATCGGAGAGCTTTCAGAGAACGATTCACAGCCCAAGATGAGATCATTCGCCAATCCTTCAAAGAGTAATCCCACAATTTTCCCTTGATTCTGCCAATTTCCTCTCGAAGTTCAATGCATGACTTTCGAGCAAGCATTACCACCTCCACAAGTTCTAAACTTCCGCTTCTGGATCCACAGGAAACGTGGTGGATTCACCCACATAACTATCTTCGGATCTGCGCTTGCAAAATTCCCCGGCGTTTCATCCCTCTTAGAGATCTGCAAAGCCTCGAATGAAACTATGCATCGTCGTGCTGGGCTTGAGAGGATCGAATTATTCGGTCCTCCAGCCCGTCACTTTCTTGACACGACAGAGACTCTTCCTGATACCCTTAACTACATGTATCTTCGACCTTCGGTTGATATTTTCATGGTCGGCATTGATAGCCTAGTCAGATTATATCAACTTGGCAGTTCGATAGACTCTTTGTTCAATATTGAACAAATCGCTGTAACAGGAATAGATTATAGTCATTTCGATGATTGCGACGACGAGGAAATAACAGCTCTATTCGAGAAGTTCTGCAACGTCATTCAAAAACACTGCCCAGCACTCAAGAAACTTCATCTAGTCATTGGCGACACAGAAGCAATCCCATTTGGCAACGTGAAAAACAATCTTGAGTTGACTCAAGATTTGAGACTGATTGAAATAGACGAAGACTTTCAAGATTTCGGTTTCGAGGAGGACAAAGTGAGGCAAGAATATTATGAACTGGAAGGCTTGAAGGAAGAAATGAATAATACTTCCGAGTAAGCGCAACACGCATTGATTGAACTTAGAGACTATAAAGAACTGAGAGAAATACTATCAGACAGCGCTGTAGCGGATTACTGGAGAAAAATAAAGGTAGTTCCGGCTATAGTAGGCTGGTTGGAAGGTGGGAAGAGACTCCAACTATGGTTCCCTGCACTATCATCTGTGCTTCCATGCTATGATGATGGAACTCTTTTCGACAGATATGAGGGGATAGTGGATCTTTTTGAGGGGTCTGACTCGTGAATTCGTCGAGTTTGAAATCATTCACACTTGTTCATGAAAACACTCTCGCCCTTTTAGCGAGAAATACCTATTTCAAGCCTGGCAGAAGAAGATTTCCGGGTTCAAGCCATGAAATTACTTGTGTTTCGTTCGCAATTACCTCTTCCATATTGTGGAGGTTGTAAAGGGGTACCCGTTTCGATCACTTAGCGAGATGCTAGTGGGGGAAAGCGAGCATGAAAAGGCTAATATCGGAGGAGTGTGTGTGCTAGTAATCACTAGCCAAGAAATGCAAAAACACTGTAAACTTTTGGTAATTACGAAACTCTAGTATATTTAATGACAATTCCACCCAATTAAAATCACAAATAATTTGTGACTGATTGTGACACTCCTGCTGACATAGATTTCTCCCGTGTATATCTCTTACAACCACCTACTGATTTTTTTCAAGGGTTTTCCAACGAAGTTTCACAAAAAGAATGATTTCTCGCCCAAAATCAGTCTGCTGACATGATGTTTAATATGTTGATTTTCAGCTCCACGCCAAGCCAAAACGCCCACATATCCCTTGCAGCCCTAAAGTGTCTGCAAATCACAGCTCGGCATTCGTTACACAGCCGAAAGCTGACATGCGAAGTGTCGGTGGAACTTCATGGAGCTGGTGCCTAGAACATCGAATTCGATAAGAAGAAATTGTTTTCCGCATTCTTAATTTATAAGAGAGCTTTGGAGGCAGGAATCGTGAAATATCGTTGAAAATAAGTGAGAAGTCATGGATTCATCAGATGGGTTTGAACATGTTACGCCGCCCTCAGAGAATGTTGGAGAGAAGGTTGAGGTGGATAACGATATTGAGTGTAGTGAGGAGGAGAAAAATAAGGAGAAAGAAATGGACGACGGTGAGGAAGAGGCTACCGGTGATAAGTAAGCAGATCTTAGGATATCAAATCTTCGATTTCATTTTCTAATATTCCAGCAGAGACTCAAAGGCGGTTCAAACAAGTCCTGAAGATGAAATACCCGAAACACGCCCTACTTGGACCCGGATGCATCTTCGACACTTGTCCACCGAGGTTTTGAAGAAAAACAACATAGATTATGTGATCGATCCCGAGGTTAGTTATCCCGACATTGATTGAATTCACGAATTACTTATGCATGCGATAGGATCCAGATTATGTCTTGATTCAACGTTGGGTTCCTGAATATGAGCAAGATTTTTTATGGGCTGCAACCCGTGCTTCACGTACTAGAAGAACTTCTGAGAACCGTCGCTCCAGCTCGCCATATCCATCACGCGTTCGCTTTAATCGAGCTTCGTCACCTGGTATCATTGAAGTCCGGGTAGGTAAGCAAGGAGCGGAGCTCAAGCTGGATATCAATAGAATGGACTTTAAAGATTGGGCAGCATCAAAGTATATGGAACAAAGAGGAAAACATGTACTAGATGTTGCTGTGGAAGATGGAAAAGCGATTAGATTGGCGATCAATTCAGAGGCTTTGAGAGATGAATTGCGAATAGTGATAGGAGCTGGTGTAGGTCTTGTGATAAGTGAATGGTGCAAAGTTCTGACAGGGCCTTGGAAAGTTCTTGTGGAGTATGAGGGAGTAATTAGAGCACGATTGCGCAAACTGGAGGAAATGATGAAGTCTCGAGACGAGAAATTGGCGAACGACCCGGTGGAAGACAAAGATAAAGTAACCGATCACGTTCATGAAGACAGAAAATCAGATCGCAAGGTTCGATTCAGAGATCCACCATCCAGTTGCGAGGTGTGTGATGTTGTTTACCCTCCTCACGAGACCCCTCTCGCATGCGTTGATACTAGAGTGGCTCACCTCAAGTGCCTGATTGAATTCATGGACCGCGATCTGAAATATGTTTTCGAACTCCGACAACAGATCAAAGACGGTTCTGTCACCGAAATCGCGTTCACCGATCTTTGGCATTTATTCAGTCCCGGTGATTTGATTGTCACCTATCCTATGTCTCGCGCGTATCGAGTCTTTCATACATCGGGTGGTCGATTGCGCTTATCTAAACCGGAGCTATTCGAAAAGAAAGCAGTGTGCTCGCCTTTCAACATTAACTGCTTTTATATGATGTCTGATTGGAAAGTCGTTGGCCCAGTCCATGAAACTTTAAGAATATCAGAATATGCTGGAAAGAAGTCAGTCTCGGAATTACTAGTTGAGCTGGATGGGAAGCTCATGACAGAGAGAGTTACTGTCTTACCCCTTAAGTTACTCTCGATCAGTGAGCGGAAGGATCAAATGTCATATCTTGTTGCTAGAGGAAAAAAATTGAGATCCTTGAAACAAGGCGATCACAAATATTATTTTGGCAGTGCTGGGGAAGAAGTATCAAACTCTTCAAATAGTGAAGATTTGAAATTTTCAGGGCGACATCCAGTGTATGGAACGAATTATTTCGTAAATCTAAAGAAAGAGCGCGAAGAAGTGAGTGAAGCATCTCACATTGATTATCAGGGCTGACATTGAAATAGATCAAGAGCGAGGTTATCATAGATAACGAGTTTGAGATTGAGAACAAAGCTATTGGTCTTTTTGATGCAATTGAATTCGATTCAAGAGAAACCGCAGAGAATTGTACACATTATGGAGTATCGAACAACCAATACTTTAATGATCGCGGATTCCAGAGAGGTTGTCGATGCTCGGACTTGATCGTGGACAATGTTGTTGACAACGATCGTGCGGCCAAGTGCAAAGATGATATTCATCTTTTGCATCCTCGTGATGTTAACGATGAACTCGAAGATGAGTTCCTCATGTTACTGCCACCCACTGTCGAGGGGTTTGTGCTGGAGAGAAAAACATGGAAGATGCTAAGTGTAGATACGATAAGCGATTTGAAACAAGAAGGAGCGGAAAATCCTGTAGATTTCAAATCTCTCGTGATACCTGAAGGACACGAGAGTCTATTGAAAGCATTGGTGGGAACGCACCCCAGCAGTCAATCACTACCATCTAGAATAAGCAGGGATCCATGTAAGTTCTTGACACAGTTCAAAGGAAGAACTTTACTAATGAAAATAAAAGCCAGCCTCGCAATTCTGCTCCACGGACCCAAAAGCACAGGGAAATTCCTCACCGTGAAAGCACTCGCCTCTCATTTCAATAGACCGCTGTACACCATAACTAGCGCAGATCTTGGCATGATTACATGGGACGCTGCACGGGAGCTTGCTACCCATTTCAAACGAGCCACAAAATGGAATTGTATAATTGCAATTCCAGATGCGGAACGTCGGTTCCCACACCGCAAGAGCCCTTCGGATGGCGATTCCAACACGTCAGGATTATTTTTGAGAGAGTTAGAGCTATTCAGAGGTATTGTTATTCTAACGACGGATATAAAAGATGATGTGGAGGAGCAAGTTGTGAGAGGTATGAACATGTGTCTCGGAAGCGATTTCTGGAGCAGATCAGAGAATCTTCAGGTTTGGCGGAAAGTTTTGAAAAAGCGTGGAATTTATCCTGCAAAAGAAAATGAGAAACTACCAGCTGAGACTGAAGCGATAATTGGGGAAGCGGACTATGATCGTTGGCTGAGATTCATGGATGGATACTATGGAAAAGGAAAGCGGTGGAGTGGTGTGGAAATGGACAATTACTTTGATACAGCATTGGCTTTGGCAGGGTATGAGACCTATGCTACCGTCAGATCGGCGTATGTCTTGACTGAAAGTCACTTGAGTATTGCAGCAGCGGTTACTGATGGTTCAGTGTTCTCCGTGTTGTAATGTTACTTTTGCTTTTCATTTTGGCGTGTGATTGAGCGGCAGCTGTCACAGGATCGAATAGCAAGATAGAATCTTTACAATCATTTAATATGTTATTTTTAGCATAATCCTATTATCCTAATGTCCCAGTCATCAATATATCAGCACTCCGTGTTCTGTAATCCTGTTCAGCAAATCGTAGCGCTGACGAAGAAGCAAGATCCTCAGTCTCTACATGTTGCCACACTTCCGAGCTGTATCCTAGACTACCAAATCTCTCGCCTAGAAAATCACTACTTTCATAACCTCGAAGAATCTCTGGCTACAATACCCTTTCTAGGCTCTGCACATCAGCTTTCCGTTAGCATCCTGAGGTACCCAGGCGCTCACACCCATTATCTTCGTTGTATTTTCCGTTCCATTTTCGCAGTCATCGGGCCTAGCTCGGAAGCCAGGGATTACATCGACATTCTTCCAATACTTAGCTTTATTTTCGTCGTCCATATGCTCACTCAAATACTCTGCTAGTACAGTCGATGTCTCCCTCAGCTCAACAACATTCTTTTCTTTTGAAAACAGCTCTTCGATATCAAATCGTTCACCGCCTTTCACGGAGCGTTGACCATATGATTCATCGTGAAAGTCAAGTTGATGGAACTTTTCATCAACATCAACAATGATTTGATGTCTATCACTTTCAGCAGCGGATTCATCATCATCGTAATTGTCTGCAAAGTCGACACCGAGAAGGAGACTGAGTTTCTTCAATGCCGGGCAGTGCTTTTCTGCAATAATGAAGACCCATTTCCAGAGATTTCGAGCTCTAACTTTACTGCCATTATGCCGATCTCTTTCAACCAAGTTGTGTACCGCCAGATGTGTAATATTAGAAAAGCTCATGGAGCCGCCATGCTGATACAGCATCACGAAATTTTGGGCATAAACCACCAATGTATCCTTGGCAGGGCGTAGCCAAGTATGATTGCGCTGTGGAGGTGGTAATGTAAGATATTCGATGTTCAGGTGAGGCTTTTGCTCCATAACATAGTTGTTCTGTCGATTGTTGTTGTCAGGAAAGGAGATGGCAATTCTTTCATATCCGCCGCTTGATACAGATTTGTTAGAAACTTTACACGCTAGTAAAAGTGGCAATAAAGAAGGAGATTTATCACTCCAGGCAGAGGTTGTGATCGTAAAATCATTATCCGAGTAGTAAATCTCTCCTGTTTTCTTGTTCTGGCGAATCATAGTAGGAAGCTCCTGAACGAAGATCTCAAACTTCAAGAGAAGTGCATCAGAGACAGGCAATGCCAACTTGAAGACCATTTCCTGCAGCTCCGCAGGAAACCGACTGAAGGGATGGAATTCTGTCATGGTTTGGGGTGCGGTTTCGGGTGGATTGGTTGAGTCAGAAGAGTCTGATTGAGGTGCCTCTAAAATTATATTTCATTAGCATATATTTGCAAAAAGACATAATAAAATGCATGAGGTCTTACCAATAGTGATTCCAGATAGTGGATCATCGTTTGGTGCTATGGAATCCTCATCAATATCTCTTCCATCTGCCGATAAACTTGCTGATAGGTTTTCTTCTTCTGTGCTTTGTTAGGAAGTCTGTCCAAAAACCTTTTTGCAATTAATTTTACCTTCAGAATCTTCAGTGGAAGATTCATCATACGAGCTTGAATCTTCTGAATCAGATGTGTCATTCTCAGTCAAAAGTGTTGACATTGTTGCTATGGTGTATTATTTGTCGCAGATTCAAGTTCTGAATTCTTGGATATTGAAGTATTGAAAGTTGTTACAATAAAATAGAGAGAAGTGGATTATTCGGCCAAAAGAATCGATAGAATCAATGTGGATAATCTGTGGATGATCCGTGGATGAAATCTACCACCTTTGTGGTGTGACCAGAATGGATTGAAAAGTCAAACTGAAACCCACAAAGACTTCGAGAACTTATAAACACTTTTCAAGCACAAGGCTAGCTGTATAAGTACAGCCGATATTCGAGCCGAAATCAAGGAAACTTCGGGTAGATACGGTTATTTCTTTGAGTGAATGAATCTTGGGATGGCAACCTGGAGGTAATGATAATTTAACATGTCTGATAGAATAGAGTGAATACCTAGTATACAATTAATCCTCAAAAAGAGTTGCATTGTGTGAAATTTAGAGTTTGAATGTGATTCCATACCATCAATATTAAATAGAAAATGAATAGTATACATTACTTATCATTTCCCCTTGAATCACTCTGATCCATCGCACTTAAACTTATTTGGTAGGCGAAGATATGTTCTCTACATTGCTATGTCTGGTTACCATCCCCTATTTCCTTCAAAAGTTTTCCCAAGCAATAAACAAATAGTATTGTTATTCCTCCTCAACTCTCTACATCATTTATCCAACATGGACTGTCAAACACTAACTGGGCTCTGCACAAACAAGAGTACCACATTTATGCCATTCATCGCCTTTCCATCCCCAAGTTGTATTCTCCAAAGTACCATCATCATTTCGACCCACATAGGCATCTAAGTCCGAAAAGTAGAGATCTGAATCATCGTAAAAGTTCTGCGATCCACAATTTGTAACAGGAACCACCTGAACTTTCTTCCAGTACGCCACCACTCTCTGCTCCCTGCTTTGTCTCATCTCCATAAATACTTCTTGAAGCTGAGAATGTAGATGTGAGGCACTCTTGAGCATTTTTCTCAATTTTGAACCTATCTTGAACTCTTCATCTTGGTTGGTCCTCATCATATAACACCTGTAATTCAATTTGAGAAGGTTAAGGCTATCATCAATATCGAGGAATCTGATATTCTCATAGTGAGTGAAGTCCCTATACCATTTATTACAGATGAAAACGCTAAGTCTCTGGAGGAGTGGACAATGAGCCTGGATAACGTCCAGTGTCTCTAACAGTAAGTCTTGTGGCCATTTCTTATATTCTGCACTTTCTGCATACACGGCAATATGGGTGAACCTTTCAAGGTTGATTGATCCGCCATTTTGATACAACTGAACCAGATCCGAGCAATCCAGGAGAATAATATCTTGATCAGGCCGCATAAAGGTATAATGCTTCCACTTCCAATTCAAGGGGGGCGCTCTACCTCTTCCACGCTCAGACTGGATCTTGACAAATCCACCGTCAACATTTACCGACGCGTTGGAAACCGAGCATGCTTGAAGTAACGATAACAGACCGGGAAACTTCCATTGATCGAATAAGGGATGGGATGTATCAAATGCGGGCCAGTAATTACGTCGAGAAACTCGCTCCGCCCATCGAACGACGCGCGAGGCTGGCATCGCATTCTTGAATATCCTCAGTTGCAACTCTCGAGGTAAGGCACCGAACTTATGAAAGGTTTTAGTGTCTCCAGTGGAATCGTAGATTCGTGGAAGCGGTGGATTAATGACAACTTTGTAGTGTTAGCGATAACGTCATTGTTGATGACAAAGTTTTGGGCTTTGATAGTCTGAACTGCTGTCCAAAGGACCGGCACTTTCAGTTCCCTAACAATTGAGCTAATTTCTAATGTTTGACTTGTTTCTGGGTATTGAAAGCCTCTGTACACTCTGCCAGTCTGGATTGTTGAATTCTATGGAAGATTACTTACATTGAACTACCTCATCAGCCGTTTCCTCTTTGAGAGGAATCATATTATCATTGCGAGAATGAGTGATTTCGAGTGATATAGTGTTGAATTGTAAAATTTTCGAAGTCTGAAAGTAGCTTGAGAAATTATTCTTAAATAATCAAGTGAGTAGTTGGAGATGTTCTTGGGGAAATGAAATTCTTATGAGAAAAGTGAATTTGCTAGAAGGATATGGTAGGTGCCGTATTAGCGACTACGCTTAGCTGCTTTGTAACATATCACGGGTGATCTAGCCTTACGTGATCTCTCCACAGTATCAAGAAGCCTATCAATATTATGTGTCTCATCCACTGTCGACGGTATTTTCCAGAAATCCATCAAATCATTCATGTTTACTTAGAATTTGCTGCACCGCAGAATAATCAGTGTGGTGCGCCAATTGGAGAATATTTTTAATGTGAAGCTACGGTTCCATGAGAACTAAATCAGTGCTGATCAATGTGTTGATTTTGATGATCAAATACGGCTTGACGTGAACATCCTCCTGTTGATGTACAAAAGCCGTGCAGAGCGCTATACTCGCTTCCAATTAATATGTGAATAGTGATGCTTGAACTATAAAGCTGGTACGCCTATTTTTCCGACTGTACCCTCCAGATTTTACTATATAATTCACAAGAGAAAGCTTCTCAATTCCATCACCTCAACCTTCGAAATTGCAACCTCGACTCTCAACGCGCCCCAAAACTGACATGAAAGGATAGACATACCGATTAGATTGACGAATTCTTCTTTGTACCACACCATGTGTAAAGACTGTCCTCCATTAAACCCTTCCCAAGAGGGGTATCAAGATAAGCGAGATCCACACGATGGAACCTTCGAAAAATTCACCCTGCTTCCGAAGGAAGTTCAATGCGCGATCTTCAAGGAGGCATTACCAAGTCCCCAAGTCATCGATCTGGCTTTTGAAATTACTGAAACCCGCGATCACAGTGCGCGAAGAATAGTTCGACAGCTGGAGATTTCCATACCCACGAATCCCAGCATGCTCCCGTTACTCGAAGCCTGTGCTACTTCGAACGCGGAGGTATATCGAAACGTTCAACATATCGAAATCACACGTCTGGGAACAAAAACACCTTTCGCAATCTCGAACCCAGTGATGGGGGTTCCTCCGCATATTCGTAATTACGAAGTCGTAAACCGCTTGAAAGCATCTACGAAGCCTAACACGAGAGCTTATACTTACATGAGAGCAGATAAAGATATCCTCATGTTGGATGCCGCTAACGTCTTCACCTTGTATAGCTACGGTGGTACTATTTCGATGTCCAATATCAAGTGTCTAGCGCTCCAAAATGCCTCCCTTGATGGTATGACCTGGGAGCTTCCCGGAAACATGCTTGGTATAAACTATGAGCTTCGCCGTCTGCACATTTTTTTCAAGATGATCAGTCTCCATTGCCCCGCACTCTCAAAGGTGTATTTCCTCCTTGACGGTCGCAACTATTTTCATTTTAACGAACCGCCCGTTCAGAGTCAAAAATTGGAATTACGGATCCTTAATATGGAAAGCGATTTCTTCTTTCAAGACTTTACTGGTATGGGAACGAAATATAAGGCGGAAGGAGCATGGGAAGAGTCGGCAAGGTTGAGTCTTCAAGGAGATGCTAAATACGTAATGAGAGATTGGAAGAACTATAGAAAAGCTATCGTTCGAAACATTGCACGGGATGGAGACGTCGTGAATTTTTGGAAGACTAGGGAACCAGTCATAGGCTTGGTGGGCTGGTTCTATGCAGATGCTCAAGTTGACCCTTCAGTTTTTCCTCTTCCTCGAATGTACGTACCATCTCTACTAGCTTGGTTACCGGCCCATGCTGATGGTACTATCATGGATAGGTATAAAGGATTAACGCAGATATTTGACGGTGCTCCATGGTAGATTTTGAGACGATTGAGTGGAAAGGCAGATATCTAGGCGAATAAAGTTCGAGGAAATCTGATGGGGTAGGAAGTCGAAGAATCTAAAATCTTTCAGCAAATTTAATTGAGGAAATCAATGCATTAAACAATGAAACGTGCTATTCCAATCAGGCAAGATCTCCATCCTACTAGTAACCCTCCCCTCCTTGTAATGATTGCAAGAGTCTTTCAAAAATTTCAATTGAACAAAGCTTCTCGTTCTTTAAGTTCGACCAGAGCCACAATGTTGCGACGCCTTTTGCTATTCCTCTGTTCATATTATGTGAAGCATTATATTTCTATGAGAATTCCAGTACATACCTAAAGTTCTTACAAGATTTAGTGAGCATATGCTTCTGATATCTTGAAGCCTCTTTGTCTGAGAAACACGATGACATAATACTACTCACTCCCTCGAAGGAAGTAGTTTTTACTCTAGAAACACGGTCAAAGATCACGTGTAGAACTAAAAAATTAAATCCAACCATCCAATGTTTCTTTGAGCTCGAAAGATTTAAGCTTCAACATTCTGCCCTACATTCTAAGTTTCACTTTAAAATCTAGTTTAAATAAGACGTGCAACAAAACACACATTGGAACGATAAGATCACGGAGCACGATTAGCTTTTCTCGGTTAAACTTATGTGGAGGTCCATCACGTGCTGTGCGGTTGGACTTTATTTGTCCAGAGCGACCTCCACTCTTCTACGTCATGATTGATGGACTCCGAATACCGATTTTCAAATTTTTTATATCTCGGAATGTTCTGATAACATCGAACATCTTTCTCCACAGCGACAGCAGCGAATTCGAGGATTACACCCATATGGCAGGTAGGCAATTGTTGACACATTTTACTAATCGTGAATTCCTATCAAGACCACAATTCCATGGAATCTTCGATCGGTATATTGGATATAGATCACGACCGTTATGGATCCCATATACGCTAAGAGATGTCAATGCCGTCAGTACATGGAACTGCCGCATACCAAGCTATGCAAAATACTGGCAAAATGTAAGTCGAGGACCATGTAGACGTTCCACTTCCCCGAGTATCCATGGTATTGATAAGCATTCTCTTTCCCTGTTTTCTCTACATTGTATAATATATATTTGGGATGTATAAAAGTCGTTTTCTGGAAGGAAAGTTTAGAGTTAGTACTCGAAATCTTTGCACTTTTATTACTCCAAATACTGGAAAGAATTCAATCGAATTCAAAGCTATACCACGTAGAGTTTTGAAACCCGATCTCTACCCCGCCAGCATCAACCAAAATTCTCACTTCAGCATGTCACAAACTACGAGAAGTAATGGCTCTAAAACCTCAATATCCCGTCCTCCTTCTACATCTACAAATGAAGACTCCTCGCCACACCCTCAATCCCATCCTCACAAGCCAACCATAGCCATCATTGGTACTGGCTGGGCCGGCTGGACACTCGCTCAAGAGCTCTCCGCCACCACCTCCTCCACATCACCCTACAACATAGTCGCCATCTCGCCCTCTCGAACGATGGCTCTCACACCCCTCCTCGCCTCAGCCGCTTGTTCCATCTTCGATTTCCGTCTCGCCGAAGAGCCCGTTCGTCGGCGAGATTCCAAGTTCGAAAAATATCAAGCTCTAGTCACCTCTGTCGATTTCAAATCGCAAACCATCAAATGTAAAGCTTGTATTGGAGGAAGTGGCGTGAGTGGCGAATCGATGGATTCCCCAACTTATAGTAACATTGAAGACGATGAAGCGCATTTCGATGTGAAATATGATAGATTAATTCTAGCACCCGGATGCGAAACAAATACTTTCGGAACTCCGGGAGTGAAGGAATTTGCATTGTTTATGAAAACGGTACCGGATGCGAGGAGATTGAGAGAGGGAATTCTGGATTGTCTGGAACGGGCTTCTTTACCTACAATATCCGAACAGGAAAAAAGGAATATGTTACATTTTGCCATTGTTGGGGGTGGACCCACCGGTATCGAATTGGCGGCTGAAATTGATGAATTGATTCAGGAACATTTGGGGGCTGTATATCCGAGACTAAAAGGATTATGTACAATCAGTATCTACGATGTCGCAGATCGACTACTTGGACAATTCGACGAAAAGCTCAGCGAGTACGCGATGGAAAAGTTCGAAAACAGAGGATGCGTCAAAGTGAAAACGGGGAAACACATCGAAGAAATAAAAAGACATAGTATGACCGTTAAAGAAGAAGGCGAGGTTCCATTCGGAGTAGTAGTATGGGCCGTAGGCAACACTGCGGGAAAACTCGTCGAAGATTTGAACTGTAGAAAAAGCGAAGGATTGCAGAGGATTCTCACAGATAAATGGTTGAGAGTTCTCAAGCCGGATTCTGACGGTGTAGAAGGGGCAGGCGCGGATATTATCGAGAATGTCTACGCGCTCGGAGACGCAGCCGATATTCTCAATAACGAATTACCTACCACTGCGGAAGTCGCGGTGCAAAAGGCAAAGTGGCTGAAACAACACCTCTTGGGGAATCCAGAACAAGAACTCGGAAAGCCTTTTAGTTATGAGCAGAAAGATTTAGTAGCGTATATAGGACGAGGTGATGGGGTCATACAGGGAAAGAAAGATTGGACGGGCGCATCGGCTTGGTTGGCGTGGAGGAGTGGGAGTATTGCGTGGACGAGGGGGTGGAGGAGGAGGGTGATGGTGGTGGTGAATTGGGTTGCTAATTGGGTTGATGGGAGGGAGATTGCTAGGCGGTAGGGTAATGGGCAGGAATAGGGGAAATAAGGAGGAGAGTGAGGGACCGTGAAAATAGGGTGAAAAAAGCAGGTAAGGGATGTACGATACTGTATACTTTTGAAACGGCAAAGATGCATGCATTGTATAATATCCATGCACAAATAATATATTTGATTATCCGACATAACTCTTCTACAAACACATTTCCCTACAGGAGTACCCGCCCATCTGTGGCTAACCCCCCTTCTCTCTGTGTCTTTGATCTAGCTCCGTCCTCCAATCTCACTTCAAATACTAGTTGGGTAGTCCCAGAAGCACGTTATCACGTTACGCATCCATATATAAGTAGAATTCGGTGTGAATATCTACCATCTTCCTACCTGTATTTTGTAGTGTACCTCTTATTCCAAACAATTCTCCCATCATACCCATAGGCCACTTTTCAACAACAGTCTTGAGTAGAAGGAAAAAGATATCACCTTCAGCCCAGTGGAATGAAACTATTCTGGATTTACTTTGGAATTCTTTGTATTGGATTGGATCTCTAACAAACATCATTATCTCATTACTCGAAACATCAAACTTTATCATATCGTATGCATTATATATGCATTACTATGCTTTTCCCCCTCTGAGTCTGTTTAAATCAATCCAAACAGTAGCCAAGGCATCATAAATATCGCACAGACCCGCGTTTTTATGATGTCTTCCATATCATCTCTACCCACATGCGTTCACCAAACCATGTCACCTTGAAATTAAGTCCTCTGTGTCATGTCTATTTGATCTTATGCATCATACAAATTTCCATGTGAATAATCGGACTCTGCACCTGTAGCTTCATCTTCCGCTTCATCTGCAACTTCTGCGTCCTCCACGTCTTCATCTCCTTCATTTGTGGCATTCCCCTCTATCTCCGTTGAAAATGACTCAAGATCAGGTTCGTTGAATGTCTGTGTACTATTCGGTGCTGTACTCGTTGATTCTACACCAGTGATTTGTCCAAATTCTAGAGTTCCCCGAATTGGTTGCCAAGTTGATGGCCAAATTAATGGAGCATGAGCAGATGATCCACCAGCCCTGGGAACACGAAGACCGGGCCGACTAGCAGATGATCCAAACCCACGGAGGAACCTAGCACTGGGCAGACTAGTAGATATTCCACTAGCACTGCTTTGCATTATAGCTGTTTCCTCTATTATTTCTCTCATTCTCTCCTGCAAGGTGGGTGTTTGAGTAGAGCTCTGGCTCTCCTCTTTGTCTTCTTCTTCTGCTTGTTTCTCAGCCAATTCTCTTGAGGCTCTCGATTGCATCATCAATTCATTGTGCCGATCATTTTCGGTGGATCCTGTCTTCGTGGACTTTGTTCGCGGAGATTCTGGATGATCTTCATCGTTCTTATGACTATTCTCCTCTGCTTCTGCGTTTCCAAGAAGAGCTTGTCCGGTCTCTGTATTTAATCCAGGTCGAGTTCTCGCATCAAACCCTACGCCACGAGAAGGATGGGATGATCCAGTCCCACCACTAGTAGAGACGTTAACAATCTGATGCGAAAGCATTAAACTATCAATCCAGCGACCTAATCCAAGTTCTTGTTCATGAATTCGCTCCCGAAGTCCTCTCTTATACATTGCAAGAATGATGTCTGAATTTTCATTCCCTAATATACGGCATAAATCGCCTAATCGAGCCACATTGCGGGCAGTTTCGCCATCTGAAACTGATTGTCTGCTCCCGGTCGATTGTGACGGAAGAGGCTCAAGAGTTTCTGGTTCCGCCGTAGGGACCATATCCTTATTTGCGTTATTCAGAGAATTGTTGAACTTTCCAAACGCGAGTTGCGGGTAAGAAAGAGGAGCAAGTTGTTCTGGACCGGGTAAATCACCACTCGTAATAGGGTAGAATTGAACATTCTTGATCCAGTCATATATCGTTTGGTCTTCGAGGATGTTTTTCAGGTGCGTGTGTTCCTGGTCGTTCAGTGTGTTTCGTCTTGTCAAGATCACCTCCTCAATGCTTCCTTTCAGAACCAATGTCTCAACATGTACAGGACGGAGTTGACCGATACGGTGAGATCTCTTGATAGCTTGCGCCTCAACTTGTGGTGAAAATACTGGATTGACGAAGTATATTCTTGATGCTGCGCTCATATCCAAACCAAAAGCGGCTTGATTAACATCCATGAGCATGACACGAAAACCAGCGACGGAGTTGAACTTTGCAACACATTTTGAACGCTCAGATGTCGAGTCTCTCTTGGTGTACACTAAATGCTCGATGTTTACACATTTCAATGCCTGCGCAATATAATATCCCACGTTTTCGGCCTCGTAAAATACAATTAACTTCTCATTTTTATGGTGAAGAAAAATCTGGTCCATGAGATATGAGAGTTTAGATGAAGCTGTTGATGTGATAGTAGACTCTCTCCACATAGAGTTATTCACTGACGCTGAGGTATTGGGGCTCGCACTCGGTCTCTGATCTGTAAAACCTGCTTGTGCTGTTTTGAATTCGACAGGGTCTATATCAGCGTCTAATGCAAGCCTGCGCGACAATTTCTCTCCAAATTCGGTGAGTTTAGCTGTGTTGAAGACAGAATCGGATTGATCGACGAGGCCACCACGACGATATGTATAAAATGCCTCTTTGGCAGCACATATCATACTAGCGCCCATCAATGTTGGATTGCCATCATGGTAGTCAAGTGCCCATGCACGCCTAATTTCTTCCGGCAGAGGATTCTGTACATACATGGCCATTTCATGTAGTTGACTAGCAGCTCTGAATATACCATTCGAAAGGGCTATCTGTCCAACTCGAATCGCTTCCTGCAGAAGCTTTTTCTCTTCAGGGTTAATGCCATTCTTTGCAAGAAACTTTTCAGCGGTTTGAAGCGAGTTCTCAATCATTGCCTTGGTATAACCTGACCAAGTGAAGGAAGCCTGTCGTAGGTTTGAGAATAGAGTCAAAAGAACTCTTCTATTTTTCGGATGGAAGAAATAGTCTACACCTTCTCTTTCCGAGGTAACAGCATTTACAGTAATCATCATCGAAAATATGTTCAACGACAACTTATCCTGAAAACATCCTTCGAGGTAAACAATCTTATTATTGAAAGGGGGGAGTCTAAGTTGCGCCGTGATGTCTCTTGCTGTATGTCGGATGATCATACTTTCCAAAGTAGATTTAAGAATTCCTGGGTCGCTATGGATTTGTTGGTTATATCGTGGTCTGATGACTAGATCTAGCCACGATGCTTGATCACCCACCACGGCCGTGTTTGCCCATGGTCGAGCTTTGAGATACGACTTCAATATATTTCCAAGCTTCTCGAGGTCCTTAGTCTCTTGTTGGATAAACAGTCCTTTTGAGTTTGTAGAGCTTTTCTCTCCCGGTGTCTTAGCATTCTCTAGGCCGATGGGCTTCGTATCATTGTTTCTGAGCTCATAAGTCCTCGAAAATGGGACGTCTTTTCCATGAAGGCCGTTCGTCGGAGTTCCAGAAACAATCCAACGCGCATCAAGGTGCAAGAAGTCAATCATGATTATCGCGTTTGATTGTCCGCTTTTTGTTACATTCCCAAAACTATGTCCTTCATCAGTGATCAGACGCTTGAAATGAAGATCTCGAAGTGGGGAACGATATTTAAAGGCTTCTGCCGGTGTGGGTCCTGGTGACATCTTGCAAGAGCAATTCGAAGCTTCCGGGCTACCAAAACAGTGCTCACAAGTAGTGGTGCTCTGTCGGCACGTCAAAGTCGCTTCCATAGCCTCTCTCTCAAATCTCCTTCTGCTAAATAAAATGATGTCGTATTTTGCTAATTCATGCGCGGCAGGTACTTGAATTCCCATATCGTTTAGAACCAAGTAAGTCAAGCTGGTGGTATGTTTCTCGATCTCTTGTATCCATTGATGCACCAAGTTGGGTGGAACAACTACAAGTGTAGACTTTGCGAGCCAAATCTTCTTCTTAGTTGGGGTTATGGGACGACGCGTCTCGCGAGCTGGTGGGTCTGGCTCATACCAATAGTAGCCGATTCCTCTATTTAACGCGGCATGCATTTGGCTGAATCCAAGTTCTCCTTCGGATTCCATCTTTCCAAGGACCATCTCCCACGGAATTCCTTGTCTGCCGACGGTCGAAGCGCACATGTCGAGAAGAGAGCCTGTCTTCTTTCGTGTAGGAAGAGAGTTAATGGAGTGCTCATCTGGCATTTGAGGTCTCAAATATTTCGTGGATAGAATCAGAGCTAAGCAGATTAGACTCTTTCCTAGACCCATGTTTTCTGCGCATATTCCACCCCTCGGAGCTTCGTAGAGGCGTGGTTCTCTCAAACAACCGTTCGCACTCAAATCGCAGTAAAAACTCTGTCCATGCCGATCTTGAATTTTTCGAAGACGTGGATCCACAATGTATCCTGGCTGTGTTTCTCGCTGTAACATCATAGCAGCCGTTTCACATCTGACAATGGTTGATGAGTTAGTCCTTGCTGCTTTGAAGTGTAAAGATGAAATAAAAACAAGATCAGAACATAGCCATGCTGCGATCGGGTTCGAGAGATTGGCTCAAAATGGCAACGCACAACTAAGTTGGGAAGACGGCGGGAGGTAGGAGAAATTGCGAGCTGACTACTTACTGATATGGATGCATTCTCGTATTTGGATTCAGCCCCTGGACATTACCCGTCAGGAGAGATCGTGTCGCATCTTGTACATAACGATCTCCAATGATTACCCTTGGGTCTGGCTTTGGGGATGGTAGATCATTAAACATGTCAAAGAGCGAGACGATGTCTGTAGATTCTTTGCCATCCAAAGCAGAGTTGATGTGCTGAGTTGGTGTGTCATCTGACCATGTTCCTTGCCAAGTCGCATCCGAAACGTCTAACTTGTCTAGTAAGGTCTGCATACCCTTACGAAGTTGCTTCATTGAACTGAAAGAAATTAGCACGAGTCTGGAACTAACGCAGTATCCAATGAACACTTACCGATCTAGCACAGCATTTCCAATATCATCTGGTAAGATATATACCCTTATTTGACCAGTATTCTTATCCTTTGCCTTGAACTCCATTCTAATCCAACCAGCATTGTGTATTCCAGTGTACTCAGCAAGGGCAGCGGAACGAAGCAACTGAGCTTGTACGGTATTTGGTAAATACAAGATACTTTGTTGGAAATTGATGATATCGGACGGAAGATGAAAAGTATACCAATCTCGACACTTAAATACTTCTTTCGTCAAGAGTGAACACTCGTGCTTGTGTATTCGAATCGATCCTACAGGAATATAATTGCTAAGATCTGAAAAACATGAGTTCTTGGAACCTGATATCGAATCTCGAGAAGGAGGTGATAATGCAGCGAAACTTGAATCCGAGCTGATCTGTTGGGTCGACCAATTTTTTGTACTTGGATTCTGTCTGGATTCGCCTTTCTTCATATTACTCTATAAAATGTGATTAGTAGGAACCATCAACAGCGAATTATTCATTGTCTTACCCAGATACTCTTCATTCCAACAGAATTCTTGGTCTCAAGAAGATCATCACTGATGGGAGTGGGACGAGCCATGTTGGTTTTGGAAGACCAAAGTGACCTCGAATGATGAAATGCTCAAAAGAACTGCAGTATTTCAAAAGGTTGGAGTGGCTGATGAGTAATGCTTGATCTCAAAATTGAAGAAGATCATACAAGACCCGACCGAGTTGAACAAAATTGAATAACGTGATAGAGACAGCAGCTTCAGGCAACACTATCAACTCAGTATCAGGCAAAGAGAATGAATTGTTGTAGGTTTAGAAAGGTCATATGCTAGAGACAAAAAGAACAAAAATTGTGCGATGTTTATCAAGAACCAAGAATTGAAGGTTGGATGTTGTTATCAAGAAAGTCGGGTATCAAATAGAGAAAGTAATCAATATCAGGAAAGAAGCTATACGAGTTCGAGTGATATGGCTTAGTGTGTGGAGGCGAAGACACTAAGACAGATTGAGAAGATTCCGACGTTCCGATGTTGTTGTAGTCACGTTTGTTTGTCAGCATAATCAACTACACCTCATCACTCTTCGAAGTTCATTTATGTTTGAAATCTAAATTATGATAGTTTTGGACTGAAAAAAGCCAGTTCAAGCGTAAAACAGGGCTATTATTGGTCTGGAAGTAGATTTCGTCCTTGTCATCCTTCATTGATGATGTATTACTTGTAAGTGAATTGGTATCAAAGCCCCCAATGCTAGCCTATTCAATATTCTAAAACGAAATATAGATGTACAGAGTTGAAAGTGACAGGGAAGAGTTGAAGAAGTATTTTGAGAGATTCCTGAAGAAGATACATAGACAAGAGCACTCTTTTATGTCTATTGACTTTCGGAGACACCTGCATCTACTGAGTCTTCAAAGACAGAGACAGAAGTACCATCTAGGCTTGCTAACTCTGTCTTTAAAAAATTAAACCATGTAGTCTTGAGCAATAGTTGCAATAATCTCCTGAAAACTTGAGCCACACTCCTGTGGGATGGCGCAATACCACAAACCTCCTCAATCCATTTCCTCAAGTAATCTCACTGCGACTTTTTCACCCCAGCAAACGTCATCATAATCGTTCCTTCAATAAATTTATATTGGAATGCCTCAGGCTCTTGACGAGACTACAATCCATCTCAATCAAGCACTCAGCCAGGGGTTTTAACTCGGCCCCAATTCACATATCTTCCCTATCTTTGGAAGCCTAGGGAAGCTATCCCATACAAATCTTTTCCAGTATCATGGTTTTGCAGCTCAAGTGATTCTTTTTGTACTAAGTCAGTTGATAACAGCCTGCTTGTTTCAAATCCTCCCTTAGATATCTTTCCATAATCCACCTGATAGACCTCAAACTCCATAATTAGCCAATATCACCACTTTACTACTATATCTGGAATCTCCTCTAACTAGGTATTCAGAGCCAAAGTTTTCTACTATTTTGTTCGAGAAAAATTAGTATATCGAGAAATCTAAGTTGCTAGAGAATAGTTACATAGAACGTGACTTCACAAGCGAAAACCAAACAGTAGCATTTAGTATCTTACAGACAGAATCTCTTTTGCTCCAGGGTCCCATTGTGAAACCTTATGCATCGGATAGTTGAATATCACAGACCCATGGCTTTCAGTTGAGAGAGGGGCCATAAAATTGCAGAGGAAATGGGCTCTTCATACGTTCCTTCCATTACTGAGTGATGTGCTTACTTATATTGATAACTAAAGGAGTTGGATGTTTACAAGTGCTATGCTTGAAATGGAGAGCCACGACGTATGGAAGACATGCATGTAAAGTATCTATACTGTTGAAATAGACAGATATCAAATGGAAGGGGATTTGTGGAAGTAGGTAGAGTAGAATAGGGTGCTGTCATACTCTGGCGACAGTCTAGATTCATACATACACAGGATTCCCAGAAGTCAAACATGATAGCAAATCTTCTCAAGTTCAAGCTACCAAAATGGTTGCTTCTCAAATCCATTAATATCCTCTTGAATCATACATTAATCAACAACCTAGCATCCATGCCGACACCTCACCTATATCCCGGTAACAAAGCATCTCCTTTCATCCTATCCTATCACAACATACAAAAAAAACTACGTTTACTCTCCCAAATGACACCAAACCCAAAAAGTCCCAAGGCTACCTCCACCCATCCAATCTATCAACCCCAAGCAAAGACCCAAGCTCAGAACAAGCTCGAACCACCACCATCCCCTTCGGCCCGAAGTTCCCCCAACTAATAATCGTCCCCAATCACAAATTCTCCATGTAACATCCACAGAATCACAAAAGATTTGTTGCATATCAGAAAAGTTGTTTAATCAACTATTTTGCCAATCTTTGAATCAAAGAGCTTTTTTTTTATTTTCGGGTTCATATTTTTAGTTTTGCAACTTTATTCAACTTTTCACTTCAACTCTTTTGTGGCCGACCCAACTCTTTCATTTAGGGAAATCTGTGAAAGGGTTACCACAACGTTGAATTTTTGACTATTATTGTTTTTTCCTGCTGTTTATGTGTCGTAAAGATCTCTGGATTTATTTTGTTTCTTTTATTTAGTTGTATCTTGTTCTTTGGTGGTGATAATTGATGTCACTGTGACGAATATTATGCATGACTTGGAGGCCTGAATCCAACCACATTCAAATGTTTCCAGTATGTCTATTTCTAAGAAAATTATATCCGATCTTCTAGCAATAGATACAGAGACTATAAAAATCAACTTTTTACCTGTTCTAACATCGTTTTGATTCCAGTGTTCCCAAATCGACGGTGAGGGTAGGAGACGATGTCATTCATGATAAGCGAATCAATCTTCAAGTTCGTTAGATCATACATCATGTATACGAAGATATTGTATCATCACATATGAAAAGGGGAAAATGGAACTCTCTGAGTTTATGGTATAACATTACTTGTATTTAGATACTGGCACAACTCTACATGAATCTAGACTCTCGGTTAGCTCCTTGTTGTTGAACTCAGATTGCAGCTTGCATTCTCACTCCTGGAACTCTTGATATGATTCATGATTATTTTGTTGAATTTTGAGAATTTTTATACACAAAGGATGTATTGCTATTCTAACTAGACTATTGACACAAGGTGCGGCTGATCTTAGCTCCCCATTAACACTGATATACAAAACTCATATGCGATGTTTATCCGAGCACATTCGCACAGTGTGCCTTGTGCCTAATCCAGTACTTATTCTGCTTCTCCCCGTGCTATGATAATGGATAATGAGAACCGTACGTCTTGAATTATATCAGGTCCTTGATTGCTACATTGCCCATCAGCCAAGCCCTACTGTGTCTACCATGGCTCTCCTTCAAACATCTGCCTCAAACCCATGTACTTGTGCAGTGATTTTCCATCTTTATGGACTCTTAAGTGGAGTTCATACGTATCTATGAATACTCTTGGATACTCGGACTTGCAAGAACAAGGACTTTCCCGAAAATGGTCTTGGCATGTCACCATTAACACCGGAGTTGGTCTGATGTTTTTCCAGTACTTTAATGTTTCCTTTCCAGGCTTATCCCATGTGTCTTCCTCTGTGGTGTTTAAAAATCGATCGAAGTTCTTCTAGTTCTTTGGCTTTCATGTCGATTTCTGTAAGATATTCGAACACAGCGTCTACTCGGGTATAGTATCCTGGACCAGATAAAGATGCAAATTCTTCCTTCACACATCGTCTCAATCTCGTAAGATCCCAATCTAGATCTACGCAGCCTTTACTAATATCAATGAATCGGGAGTGCTCAGAGGTGTGCGAAATATCTGCACTCACACCATCATCGAAAACGAAATTCAATGTGTTCAAAGACGGACAGCTGATGCTGAGTGAAATGTAGAACTTGGCTGGAACACGCATGTATAATCCATCTAATCAAAATCGACGTCCAAGGCAAGATGCGTGATGTTATTCAACGTCATGCTTCCTCCTTCCACATCCAATGATATGAAGCTGACAAAGCTCACCGAGATAGTATCAACAGCCTTTCGCAGATATCTGTCACGATCAGATTGATTGCAACTCTGGAAGTCCATGGGAGTTGGAAAATTTATCTCGATCTTTTCGTAGTTCCGGAAGACCTCTGCGTGTGAGTTCTTGCATGCAAGCAAGAAAGAGAGTAATGCGTGACGTTTGTTTTTTGAAAAGAAGATAAAAGCACCTTCTTCCCCTCTATGCTCTACCCCGAGGCCAAAATCCCAATATACTATTTCTGGATCAGTAAAGGCTTCTTTGAAAATCCGGCACTAAATTTCGACCGGTAATGAGGAAAACAACGGGAACTCGTCCAACGTTCCTGATGCTGCATTTGAACATGCTGTCGTTGAGATGTTATCGGCCATATTGTTATGCATGTAGTCTGAATATCGCAAGTTGTAAAGGGAGAGTCTCTGTCCTAGTGATAGATGATTTGTCGAATTTGTAAATGTTGCGTACAAGCGATATGATGCTGTTGGGGTCAACAATACAAGTCTTAAGTCGTGTCGATGATGGAAGATGTCGAATATTTACGTATGGTGGGAATGATTTATCCGAAAAGAACCGTAGCAGCTGTACCGCTTTCGTTTAATTTAACGAAATGGAATACTGGGTATAAAAGTGCGATTTTCATGGCATATGGGTGAGTTAATCAGGGCCAGCAAGTGAAAAAAGCGCCTAGACGAATGAGATGGTTGGAGAGTAGCTCTTGTCACCGAAGATTATTCATCCCAGTCGGTAGAATTTTATCCTGATATGAATGCGTAGTTTCAGCCGATTAAGAATAGCAGATGCTTAGCGCGCTTAATTCAGGAATTAATACGTTCAACGGTTAAGCCAATGTTATATATTAAAACTTAGGAAACCAACCCACTAATGGGTGCATGGATTGACGAGACACTGACCAACTCTCGAAATTTCTAATAACCTCGTTCTTGACTTGTTTAATATCAAATCTTGTAATATTGAATGTTTGAATCTAAAAAATGATGGTGATAATTTCTTAGATATTAAATTCAATATATCGAGAGATATTCACAAATATATTTTCATAGTGTCCCGACAATGCGAATACCCACTGGTGACCTTGTAAAATTCTTACTATTCTCAAATTATACACAATTCAATCCTTCCTTACCAAAGTGTAGAGCTGATAACCCGCAAAAGTTCTCACTATCATAATGGATCCAATATTTGGACATCATGCATGAATAAATTTGGGTTGAAATGAAAATCAAAGCCAACTTCTACTTTTCGAGAACTTGAATCTGTTGTGTACCTAGGGGTAGATAAAAAAATGCATTACTATCACAGCGTGCATGTGAATGAAGTATTTGAATTTCGAAGACATGGAAATAGTGATATTCATATATATACTGGGTTTATGGTGTACATCAACTAATAAGATTCTGTTTTCGACAGAAAATTCCTTAACATTGTCACAAGCTTGCTTCATTTTAGATCACTAGTTTCTTCAATTCAAAATTAGTTTTTGAATAATTGCTTGTGATCACTTAAGATTGAATAGCATTAGGTGCATCTACTTCCAGAATGCTTTTATGCGAATATGGGCCTAGATTCAGAAATATTGTAAGATCTTATGTTATAAGCACAAATCGAACGTCACTTATCAGGAGAGTCAAGAATGACTCAAATGGGGGACTAGAGCTCCGAAATCAAGACTGATTTCACTAAGAGAGAAAGTTTGTCAGAAGAAGTTACGTGAACAAATACTTCATTATGTGAATTTGTCTAACCAGGTGCTTTGTTCATCTAGTCAGCTCTCCGTCCCTGAGTTTCTGTTCTCTAAATCCTCTCAATTAGACAACCTTGTCTATCTCTAAGCGAAGATGTTTTGCCATTGATGTGCTCTCTCATGCATCTAGCTTGGACTACCACGGTTCACCATCGAATATCTGAGCCAGCCCTTTGTATTTGTGCACAGGACTTCCGTCCTTATGACAAGCAATGTTGACGCCCAAAGTGGGCACCCAAAGCCAGGCTGAAGTATCACTGTGTTCGACTTTGCATGAATAGACATCCCTGACTATTTCATCTCTAGTAATCAAGCACATAAGAGCGGGTACAGGCCTACGAATCTTCCAGTATCTTAGAGTTGCCTCTCCAGGTGAAGGCCAGAGATCACTTTTTTTCGTATTCAAAAACTGACTGAAGTCTCCAGCAATAATCTGCGTATGTTTTTTGATATCTCTCAATTTTCGCTGGAAGATCTCTTCTTGCACGTCCTTTTGTCGGTCGCTTAGGCCCGGGGCGTACTTTACGCGCAAATCAAGATCCATAAATCGAACTGAAACATCCAGAATTCGACGTAGGTGCTTTATTGATGGAGACTCTTCGCGAGGATCTTCTGCCTTAACTATAAGCCATAGTTTTCCAAAAGCCGGAAAATGGTTACTCAGGAACGTATATAGCTTGGCTGCGTTGTTCATTCTGGCGCGAAAGCTCATGCAAGGATGATACCACAATCTCAGACCCAACGCCAACTGTGTGATGTTTTCTGCAGACAACCTTCCGCCCATGTCATACAATCGCAGAATCATACTGGCTTTGACAGCAAGAATATCGATATGAGGCCTAAAGTAGCTGCTGCGCTTATGTACATGATCGTCAAACAAAGGTGGGGTGATAACTTCAAACTTTGAAAATCTGCGAAAGATCTCTGCGCGTGACTCTCTGCTAGCTAGTAGTAAACTATTCAGCTTATAATATCTAGGAGGAGTAACAATAAATGTGCTATGATCTGCTTCTACAAAGATATATAAAAGTAAATCAATGACCACCAGACCAGGATGTGCTTCTTTGAAAATTCGGGCTTGGAGCTCGAATGGCAAGCGTGAGAATAGCCTGAACTCAGTGAGGGCTTTTGTTTCTTGCTGAGGTGTCGAGTTCATGACAGCGACTTAATGAGGAATGTCGATGGCTGTTATATTTTTGTGGATGTGGCGACTTAAGTTTTGTGGCCGATTCTTAGTTGGATAGAAGATGGTGTTCTGGAGGATAGGTATTCTATAGATGTTGTGTGAAGACCTGTCGCTATAGATCTTTCTGTATGTTGCATCGAAGATGTAATTGATACAGTTTACAACATGCGAAGACGATGGATATATATCAAAGTCGATGCAAGTACGGCGCAGTGAGATGGTGAATCTGCGTAAATCGAGCAGCTACAGTGAATTCGTGGAATACCTTGATTGGAAAAAACCTTGACTATTGGCCAGAAGATTACACCGCCCATATGCTTGCAATCGAGCTGCTTTAGAGCATCGATGACAGTCTCGAACTCCTTGAGTCCATGAAAAAGACACCATTATCATGAGCATTGGGTTGACTTGTCATATAAGTCACAATGCTTGGGAAAGAACACTGGTGGAGTGATATGAAATCATGTGATACGGTGGTACATTTGAATTTTGCGCCCGCATCTCCTCTTTTCTTTGGAGCCCTCAGAAGTTCCATATATACCATACCTTGTATACATCTCAAACATCCAATATCAAACTTAAAGACCCCAAAAGAACATTGTGCTCATCACTTCATACTTATACTGCTATCTCCCTCGACACCGGTTAATCACCAGGTCCGGACGTGAGACGCCGTTTTACATGTTTGCCGAACATAATCGCATGATAAATTATCACCTTAGCATTCACCTTATTAGCACTTACCAAACATCAGACAAACATACAATCATCACGGAACCTAGTCACGTAGCGGAATAGAATGAGGAAACTTCTTGTTTTTACAGAGACGCATTGTTACAGCTTCACAGTTCAAACATTATACTTCCCTCCCATGAACCAAACACTACTTGTATCTTGCGTGTGACAGCTGTGGTATGATGAATGACCGAGAAGAGAGGAGCTTGGTTCGTCATTCTATCTTGCAAGCAACCATGTAGATCCACCTAAGATTCGTTTCCACGTTTTTCAATATTATCGAGGAGCTAATTCCACGCTACTGTTAGAATTCAAGAAGAGGAAGGATAGCATGATGCTTTACACATTAAAATAAAGTGATTTTGTCTATCAGAGCTGATTAGTCTTCCTCCATCTTCTCCGGACTGCGTAACTCGCTTCTGTCCCTTTCGCTTTCCCTTTCCCTTTCCTTATCCATATCTCTATCTCTCGATCTCTCCCTATCCACACTCATATCATCTCTCGGGGTATCATTGCTATATCTCCTTTGTCTTTCCTCGTCTCTATCATCTCTCTCTTCGTCCCTATAACCACCCATATCTTCATCTTCTCCATTTTCCTGCTTCACGTGACCTGTCTTCTGCGATTCAAGATGTAAATCACCCAGTCTTGGAGACCCATCTTCATCACCCACATCGACCCATATCCGGACTGTTCCATCTAAACCAGCACTAACAATCGCTCCATTCGGTCCCGGAGCAGTATCAACCCAACAAACTACGCCTTCGTGCCCATGAACTTTCTGTATCAATTCCTTCGTGCTAACATCCCAGAAGAGAATGTCTCCATCTTCACTACCCGAACTGATAAATCCTTGATTACCACTGAAACCAAAACTTCCACCTAGCGAATATTTATTATTGACGTGGCCTTGATATGTCTTTTTGCAAGTTCCAGCTACATAGTCCCAAAGTCGTATGCAAGAATCTAGTGTATGCGCCAGAATATACCGGCCGTTGGGTGAGAATCGGACTGTGGTTACCGGCGCATTATCTTCGTGTACGAGAGTCCGAAGACATTGACCAGTTGCAGTATCCCATACACGACTAGGATACAATTAGTATTTCCGATACAAAATTATGAATGGCTAGCAAATGAACTTACATGAGCCCATCAGTAGAACAACTGCATACTAACGTCCCATCTCGGATGAAATCCACCGCACCGACCGGATCAGAATGCGCTGGTAAGCTTCTCATCTGCCTTCTTGCACGAAGATCCCACAAGAAGACTGCTTCATCATAACTTCCACTTGCGATCACATTCCCCTTTGGAGAAAATGCGACTGAATAAACGTAATTGTGATGGCCAAGTAAAGGCGTAAGATATGGTTTACCAGTGGCTCGATCCCAAAGTCTAATAACCTTATCATCTGATCCTGAAGCTATAGTATTTGAATCCGGACTCCAAGCAATGGTCGATACACCTGCAAGATGTCCTTCCATTGTTCGCAAATGTTTTCCCGTTTCCGCATCCCATATTTTAATTGTGCCATCTGCAGAACAACTAGCTATCCATCGACCATTGGGCGAATATCTTACTTGCGCAACTCCTTTGCGATGTCCTCGTAAAATAAATTTGCATTTGTAGTTGAGTTTTAAAGGTTTATGAGAAGGTGTAGATGAAGATTGCGCCGAGCGATGTGAATCTTCAGAGGTAGATCTACTTCTTGATTGATTTGAATTTCGACGACTGCGGGGACTTCGTGGACTTCGATGACGGGTATTTGTATGATCTAGTTCATCGGCGCTGCCATCACTAGAATATGGTCTTGATTGTCTCCGTGTTGAGTCGCGACGCGTACTCGTAGATGGTCGGGTTGCTTTATCATCTGCCAATTCATCGGGCGAGCTATAACCCGGTGTAGAAACTTCGCTATCGTATCTTCGACGTTTTGTTTGGTGTCTTTCTGCCATATTAAACGGAATTGTAGCTATTTTATCAATGTCGGATATTATTTCGAGCTTTCGAGCTCTTGTTACATTAATGACGACTCAAATTAATTAAGCGCTGGCACATGGAGAAATTAACCGCGATGCGCTTACCCTTGTATGGCATCGGCTGTTCTACCGGATGGGACCCATAAACCCCTGGTTTGAGTCCTTGGTGTTGAGCCTAGAAACGTCATGAAGGTTAATTCAAGGGAAGGGACCGAATTGATGGGAAATGGTTCAAAACACCATCATAGCTACTCAATCCAGACATTGAACTAATTGTCCGAACTTTTTCTGCTCACCTGAGTTTGGTTTCAATAGAATAGAGTGATAGAATATATTGTATGCAACTGCAAGGGTCAAAATCTCAAAAGGGAGTCTTTAATTTCATTTCTTCAGCGATACGCCGCTCCCGCCTTAGCAGATCTTCACGATATAAGACGTCTTCTATTCTACCACTTCTATCTCCTCAAACCTTACGACAATCGTTATGGACTCCCAACCACTAGAAGTCAATGAGATCAATGTGATCACCCTCAATTGTTGGGGTCTCAAATTTATCTCTACCCTACGAAATGAACGTCTTACGGAAATTGGGCAAGCCATTGGCTCTGCAAGTCCTACGCCCCATATAGTCGGTCTACAGGAGTGTTGGACACAGGAAGATTACAAGAGCATACGAAAAGAAACGAAGCATATTTTGCCTTATGGAAAGTTTTATCACAGTGGCATATTTGGAGGTGGCTTGGCAATTTTGTCTAAATGGCCAATCGAAGAGAGCTCGATGTTCAGGTATCCTCTGAATGGCCGACCTACCGCGTTTTTCAGAGGCGATTGGTTTGTTGGGAAGGGTGTTGCTGGTGCCAGAATACGATTTGGACAAGGGCCGAAAGATATTGTGGAGGTGTTCACTACGCATGCAAGTACTTCGAAGCTTTCTGCTCTGCCAAAACTAATGTACATAGCTCCACGCACCATACGAAACAGAACCAAACGATTCGTATATCTGCCACCGAACAGCGCAAGCATGGGAAATAGCGAAACTTATGAGAGGTGCCGCAGAGCGGGGACATTTAGTTCTTGGCCTAGGAGATTTTAATATGATACCGTTATCCCTCGCCCATCGACTTATCAGCACACATTCGCCTGCTCGTGATGTCTGGATGGTTTTACATCCTGATTGCTCTATCGGTGCTGCAATTGATGAAGTCGAAAAGGCTCGAAGACGCCCAATACCAACTGCTGAATTCAATCTGTCGGAAAACGGTGCAACTTGCGATAGCGTATTAAATACTTGGCGTTGGAATAAGGGAGAACAAAAGCGTCTTGGTCCAAATCGTCCCGAGATTGAGATTCCCGGCGATACCCCTGACCCTCGTGCGAAACGACTAGACTATATTTTCGCCAACACATGTTTCGACGAAAATAATCCATCGGCGGGAGGATGGATAGTAAAAGATGCACGTGTTGGTATGCTGCAACGACATTCCAAATATCAATGCTCATTGAGTGATCATTTCTCCGTCGAAGCAACATTGGTACACACAAAATATGCATCACCAACGGAACAAACAATAAAGAATAAATCCGCAGTTTCTAATGGTGTCTACCTCCAAACCGCACCCTCAGAATCTCATCTTCTCAGTGCTCATACACAACTCAAAACTTCCTCATCACCACCGTACCTCCCTATCTCAACATACGATGAAATCATCGCCATGATCCATACCTACCGCCTCCGAGAACGTCGTCAAAGACGTCTTCGTTTAGGTCATTTTGTCGCTTCAGTATTCATTAGTATAGGTTGTTTCATTGCTGTTTGGTGGAGTCCTCGAAATTTCGTTGCATTTATACTTATGCTATTGAGTAGTTTGGGACTTGGAGCGGGTATTATTGATGGGTTAATCGGGGGCCTTTTTGTAGGGAGTGAGATTAGAGCACTTAAAGAGTTTGAATGGGAAATTAGTAATGCAAGGGCGGCGGCTAATGGGGAACCGCTTGATCTTGCTGAGGAGGGTATTCAGGATTGGTAGTCCTTTCCTGTAAGAGGGATAAAGGGGAGAGGGAAGTGTTAATGTTTAATTGGTATAAAGAAAATTGTGGGCTGTATTACTAGTAGATCATGATGTAATTTGGTATTTTTTATGCTATCACGAAGAATTGTATTATACGCCAACGAGCATTCCTTCTTCAATGTACTTTGTTTTTCTCTCTTTCTTCCTCGCAACTTATTCATATCGTCAATAGTTTAGCGGTAGCAACCTCAACATGTCCAAGCATTCAAACTCTCCTCGCTCATTTCTTCTTTTTACCTTCATGTGATATTACTTTTCCAGAACCTACCTTCCGTCTTTGCTCTTCTCTTGATACCCAAGTTTTACATCTCATCTTACTCGTCTGTTCCTTCCCCCTCTCTTTATTTGTTTTCATAATAATATCGAGCATGGGATGAGATGGTAACAAAATATCAAAACATCATATACACCTCTTCATTCTTTTTGTTATTATTATCGTTCAAGATTGGTATTTAGTGTACGTGGGTACTGTTATATTAACTGGGGAAAAAGTGCCAAAAGAAGCTTGGACGAAGAGGGATTCTGCGTATAGATACGGAAAGTGTGGGAACGAGTCGACTGCGAGGTTTGATTGCGTAGAGGACGAGGCGGGTTCAAGAAACCAGGAGAGATTCAGATTTATTTGTTCTATATTTTTGATTTTGGGTTCTGGAAGTAACTGCGAAGGATCCGATTATTATGCCCGGTTCGAGAATGTCACCGTCTCCGACGGATACAGAGCGTCTGGTTGTGGTGGAGATTGAAGTGGACCTTGAAAAGCATGCAGAAGAGACGAGAGAGGGATAGAGAAAAACGAGAGAGAAGAGAAGGGGAACAGGGGGAAATAGGGGGGGGGGGAGACAAGAATTTCAGAGAGCGGGGTGGAGCGCACTAGGGAGGAAATGGAGAGCAAATTGATGGCGTGATATCTGGGGATGGAGATGGCACATGGGAATGGAGACAGTATTGGAAATTGTCGGGATATCGATCATGTGATCATAAAGGGCACTGTATTAGCTAGCGCTTCCCTATACCAAGTACTAGCTTCCCATATATAGAATGATCATAGAGGGCACTGTATTAACTAGCACGGCGCTAGCGCTTCCCTGTATCAATTACCAAATTTTCATAGATAAAAATGATCAAAAACGAATACAACCATAATAGACTAAAGTACTTTACACTTATCAACCAAGTTGATACCAACAGAAGCAACACAGAGACAATGGACATAGACGATCGTTTGAGAGAAAGAACCCTGCAAGCTGGAGGTGAGAGACCTGGACAGGGAGAACGTGCCATGTGGCAGGAGAACGGGGAGACTAGGTACAAAGAAATGGCGCGCGAACAAAATCCAGTAAATTGCAGACGAGAAGAGAACAGGAGATTGGGAACTGCGGACTTTTCAACAATGGAAAATAGTAGCCAAGAAGCTGAAGAAGAAACCCGTGGCAGCGGAGGCAGAAAGAAGTCTTTGTCCGAGAGACAAGAGACTGAAGAGCAACGACAAAAAAGACTCCGAAAAAATGAACTTCAAAAACAGCGCACTCGTAGAGGAAGACTTCGAGATGTGGAAATCATGAACGGGAATGATCCAATCAAAAAGAGGAAAGTCGAACAGGGAAGGCTCAAAAGAAGTGAACAGGCAAAGCGAAAACATCAAAGAAGAGTAAAACGAGAGGAGGAAATCATGAACGGGAATGATTCAATCAAAAAGGCGAAGCTCGAACAGAAAATGCTCGGGAAAAAAGAACGAGTAAAACGGAAACATCAAGAAACAGCGAAACGAGAGAAGGAAATCGAAAATGGTGACGACGAGTTGGAGAAGGAAAGACTAGTGGCTAGAAAAAACAACCGTAACCGCAGGGAAAGGGAGCGTTATCATAGAGAGAAGGGAAAGGCGGCTCAGATCATGAAAGAGTATGATCAGCAGGTGAGGGCGACACCAAGAGTGGAAGACGAAGAAGACGTTGGCGATGATGGATCGGAGGAGGGAAAAAAAGGCTATTGGCAAGAAGAACAAGGTGATGAGTACGAGAAATAGTAGCGAGGAGAATACAGAATTTGAGAATTGAGAATTGATGTTCTGAATAGCATTAGCGTAATCGAATGAATATAAGTTCAACAGTATATAGGAGTTTTTGTTTTTCTCCAGTAGCTGAATAAGTATCGAATTCGGTGCATTGCCTTATGCGATTGAATTCTGAAGTCTAATAGGAATCAGTGGAACATATGGGATGACTTGGGATTTGCTACACATGAACTCTAGGATATCTGTCCTTCTCACATTGTATGTCATAATTCTGTGTGTCGATTATTTTCTGTATCATATTCTTCATTTGGGGTATCTATTATTAAATATCACATACTATACACTCATCACTTACTGCAACCACCCAACGTCAACGGTATCGCCTTTTCCTCCGCATAACACCTCTCCTCGCTATTCCTCCTCTCCATCCAATCCACCACTCCCTCCTGCACCTTCCTATCGTCACAATACGCACTCTGTACTGGTTCCCCCAGCACTTCATACAACGGCAACGCTCCCGTCCATACATCATCCCGCTCCCCCAATCCTCCCCGCTCCAAACTCTCTACATTCCCCGTCCGGATCTTCGCCGACGCACTGCGCACAACGACTTTAATTACCTGCACCGATTTCATGGCTTCGGGCGCCACGGGATTCGTCTGTGACCAGCGACGACGAATCATGTGGTTTGTGAGGAGGTGCATGGCGTAGTGTTTTTCAGCAGCGGAAGTCACAGGTTCGGCGGTGCCGTGGATGATGCAGGAGCGGTAGTTGAGGGAATGGCCATTGGGGGTGAAGTGGAGAATCAGACCGTCGACTGGGGTTTGTTAGTGAGCGTACGCTTGTTTGAAATAGGGATCAACATACCCTTGGTGCTACTGATTACAACTTTCATATTCCCTCCCTGTTTCGTCATCCGGTTTAACATCATGGCGGAATTTCCGTGGAGATAGACATCGAATGGTCCGTCGCCGAAACTCTCCTGTTCTTTTACATACTGCTCCTCGCTTCCGTCATCTTCAGAGATGGGTTTGTGGGGATCATAGTTTCCAGCCACAGCGGTCATTGGTAAGGAGAATGGTGAGGGCTCACCATCTTCATCTGGTACTATGAATGAAATGGTAGAGACGAATGTTTGAGAGAGAATTGAATGAACCGTGCGGTAATCATAATATGCTATGAGGGATTAGAATTTGTTTTGTAAGGAGAGTAGTTTTAAATACCTCTTTTTTTGTATACTCTGATGGTGTTTTCTTTTAATCGAGGGTATTCCCCGGATTTTTGTTCGGGTGTGATGGAACCCATGATTTTGGTTGTGGATATGGATATGGATGGATGTGAAAAGCTAATTGATATCGAAGTAACACAATGATTTTGTACAAGTACAAAAGATAGATAGTTTATTCCAATTTTCTCACAAGAAACACAGAATATAATAATACAAACACAAGAAAACAACCACCCGAACATTCCTCCTTTATACCAAACAACATCCTCCAAGATGTCACCGCAAACCTCCTTAACGCTACCAAGCAAGGTAAGTCGACACGACCCCTATTCTCAGGAAAGTGGACGCGAATTGCCCTCACTATTGATCCGATTCGGGTCCCGTGCAAGGACCTTCCTATCCACCACCCCACCAATCTGATCATCGTTTTTCTTATCTGATCGATTGATCAGAATTCGTTGATTTTCATTCGACAATCGCATGCGATTCCGGATGTGACGATTTCTTTCGAAGTTTGAGTTTGTGTGGGAAGGTGGGTAGGTATCAAGTAGCTGTGCTGCGTATCTATGGGGAAGGCCGAGGTGTACAGGCGGTCTGTTCTTTATGGGAGAGTCTGGATATAAATATACATATGTATCTCATGGAAGATGTGATATGTAGCTTTTGAAATTTTGTTTTAAGTGTGTTCTTTGCATTTTGGTTAATCGATGTTGCACAATTCGCCCTGTTCCATTTTCTTCAAATACTGAAATTGGTTTTACTGTGTTTGTACAAACATCCGGGAATCAGATCGCTCCACTCAAGGAAATAGAAGATCAGTGTCTTCCAATTCTTCAACAATGGCTCCCTCCATCGCGGAACTTTCATCGTCTCTCGCGACTCCTGCCAAGGAAGTTCCTGTGTCCACCACTTCTGGGCTCGCGGAAGAACAGCCTTCGAAAACCTCTACAGCTTCAACATGGCAAGCCATCGCTACTCGTCGCCAACAAGAGATTTTCTCTTCTATTCCCTCGGAATGGATTCTTCCAGCAGACCTCCTCAAATCCAAACGACCTCTTGATTTAATGAAAACTTGTGGTTTGCTGAATGAGAGAGAGATAAAGATTGTGTATAGTACTGCTGTGGATTTGCTGGAGAAAATGAGAACGAGAGAGTATACAGCTGTGGAAGTTACAACGGCGTTTTGTAAAGCGAGTGCTGTTGCTCATCAAGCGGTTGGTCTTCAATTTCCTTTCTTCTGGGATATGATTACCCCAATTTTCGTCACTGAACCTTCAATGAGATTCCCGAACAGTATCTGAAAAGAACAGGAGTAAAAAGGAAAGAACTAACGAAACAATACAGACAAACTGTCTCGCCTGGACCATGTACCCCAACGCCCTCTCCCACGCCGCCAAACTCGACGCGCACATGACTCAAACCGGGTCTCCCATCGGACCTCTCCACGGTCTGCCCGTCTCCGTAAAAGAACACATCTACCTCATCGACACACCCTCCACATCCGGTTTCGTAGGCTGGGCCGATAACTTCTGCACTTCCCCCTCTCAAGAAGGAATGTGCATCCAAGTCCTCCGCAACAGCGGCGCAGTATTCCACGTCAAAACCACTAATCCCCAAGGACTCATGGCTCTCGAAACACGATCGAATCTCTATTCCACCACGACCAATCCCTTGAATACCTCCCTCTCCCCCGGTGGTTCATCCGGCGGTGAATCTGCACTCGTCGCCATGCACGGCTCGATTCTCGGCATCGGCACCGACATAGGAGGAAGTATTCGCAGTCCCGCGCTCAGCTGCGGCATCTACGGTCTCAAACCCAGTGTAGCGCGACTTCCACATTCCGGGCTCTCGGGCGCACACGATGGGATGGAAAGTGTGATTGGGGTTGTGGGACCCATTGCTACGTGTCTGGCGGATGTAGAATTATTCTGTAAAACGCTTTTGGATGCGCAGCCTTGGAGAGGAGAAGTTGGACTACTTCCTATTCCATGGGGATGTCGCGAAGATGTTGCGGTTGAGAACGAAGAGAACAGGAAATTGAAAATCGGTATTATATATACCGATGGAGTGCACACTCCTCATCCGCCCATCACCCGTGTGCTGCACTCCACAGAATCCACACTCAAAGAAGCAGGACACGAAATTATTCCTTTCCCAACACATCTCCACGCCCCTTTAATCTCTACCGTCGATGCGATGTACCTTCTCGACGGCGGCGCCGAATATCTCTCTCACCTCTCTCTCACCTCCGAGCCTCCAACCTCCCTACTCCAATGGCTACTAGAAAAGAAAACCACGAAAAACCGCACCGTTTCCGAACAATGGAAATTACATAAGGAGAGAAATAGAACCCAAGACGCATATGCAAAATTGATGTTGGAGACGGGGGTAGATTGTATTATCGCGCCAGGGGGTGTAACGGTAGCGAATGCGCATGAAGAAGCGAAGTATTGGGGATATACGAGTGTTTTCAATGGGTTGGATTTACCGGTTGCGTGTTTACCTGCTGGGGAGGTGGAGGAGGGAGATGTGTGGGGCGATGCGGATGGGAATGATGGTGGGAAAACGGATATGGAAGCGCTTTGGGGACCTGGGAAAGAAGGGGCGCAAAAATATGAGGGAGGAAGTGTGGGATTACAGATTGTAGGGAGGAGATTGGAGGAGGAGAAGCTGTTGAAAATGGTTAGGATAATTGAGAGGGATCTGGGATTATCTGGGTCGAGTTAGAAAATAGAACTTAGAGGTAATCTAGAAATGGAAATTGTGCACAAAAGAAAGGGGTATCGAAGTAATTCAAATAATCTATAGAAGAGTAAAAGTACGACCAATAGTTCTCATCTCAACATCTCTAAAACCTTAAATCTTCAATTTCCAAATAAATTCCCATACATTCATAAATCAAACCAAAAGTATACAACTCCCCATCTCCCTGATCGTCGTAGTGCAATCGATCAATCTCCCCTCTCTCCTCTGCAACTCCCAACTCTTTTCCAAAATCTCAAATGCACTACTCGAATTCCCGAAACTTCTTGAATCCGTTACCGCCCCTCTCGACGTCTCCCTAAAGAACTCCTGATCTTGTTTCGAGCTTGCCAAACAACCTGCTACACTCAATGGCCACACTAATCCTCTGAACATTTGGGGATTAGGGATCATGCGCATAGCGTTGATAGTGTTGTGGAGCATCATATCGACATCTTCCGGGAGTAGGTTATCCGTGATGACCATTTGAAGATAGATGAGAGATGCGCAAGCAAAGATGTGGGTTATCAGGAGGATGGTATGTTTATTATATAGTTCTGTGACATAGAATGGCGGGGTTCCTCGATGAATTGATCTTAATGCGTGGAGTTCCTCTAACGTTTCTGAATTTTTAGATTCAAGACGACCTCGAATGTTCTGTTCTGTGAAGATTAATTGTTGTCTGAAATCTATGGTAGAATCAGATTCGTGTTTTCGCTTCCAGGTTCCTAGCCAGGCTATTTCGCTAATCATTATCATAACCCAGTTTTCACATCCCATGATAGAGGCTAATTGGATTTTGTGGTCGGATTCGGAGGAGCCAGGTCTTTTGGCGGAGAGTAGTCGATTGTGGAATTCGGAAAGCCAAGGATGGGATCCGGTTGATACACAGGCTCTATGAATTCGATGTTAGTAAAAAACTATAGAAACCAAATTTTGCGGATGACGCTCCGCTCGCCCTCTGGGGGCCATTGCCATGGAGACCGAATAAGGTCATATGTACGATCTTCGAGCGCAGCGAGCTATGGGGGTTTGGGGGCTTGCCCCCATAACACTCCTTATCAATCAAATGCTTGTTCAATTGATTCAAAAATCTGAGTAAGACAAGACTTCTGCCATATCTCCTTCCACGGCCCTTCAATCTTTCCGGCATACACTGAAATAAGAAAAAACGAAAACGGCTCTGAAACCTAAGAAAACCAAGAAAACTCACAGCGCATCCATCCAAATAATCGCCCCCGTAAAAAAATCCAACGCAGCACTATCCCGCGAAACCAAACTTTCACTCAGAATTGATTCTGGCGAGCCTGCTCCTGGAATATTGAAACATTGAGATGAAGTCAATAGTATTTCTGGACCTGGTATACTACCATTTGAGACTTCGTGAAGAACCAGTATAAGTTCTGATGCTGCTCTGAGATGGACTTGCCAATTGCTTACACCACCGTTGAAGAGCTTTGAAGGTCTGTTAGTGATTGTGTTGTGATTTGTGATGCATTATGGAGAAGAGGGATACTAACCTCGAAGGATATCAATTGAATCATACAAGCTAGAATTTGGATATTCCCATCAAAAGCCCCTTGTTCAGATGCATTTTTATTATTTGTTTGAATAAAATCTTGCAGCCCTTTCAGTGCCAGATCATAGTGATGTTGTAGTTCATGCAGATAATCTATCTCCGCTTGACCACTTTCTTGTTCCAGGAGAAGAGATTGACGGTGGAAAGCACTTAGACTTAGAGCTGCATGATAGAGAGGTTTTGTTTTTGTGAGCAATGATAATAACCATCCTCTTCCCGATGATAATGATGGGGTGTGAAACCGGAATTGGATAAAAAAGACATGATCAAGATAATGCATCATTAAACTTGCTTCTTGATCTTCGATACATTTTGGGAATAACGGAGACTTAGGTTCAATAGATTTATCATCATCCATTTCGATGGGTGGTGTAGACATAGAAGCGACATTCTCGACACTTGGTAAATCGTCTCCTTTCTTAGCGATTTTCGTCGTGGTACTAGTATTAGTCCTAGGTGATTTTGGTGATTTGGGCACCGATGATATAGAACCCGTATTTTTTCTCGCACGAAAAGCGGCTCTCTTTTTACTTGCAGAGGCAGCGACAATAGCTTTAATTTTCTCCAATTCTTCTTTTGCAAACTTTGAATCATCGATCCATCTTGGTTTGGGACCATAGTGACATTCTACATTAACATCCTTACATCTCGAACAACCTATGAGAATCGATATTAATTCTTTTTCTTCGGCAAGCAAAAACTAATCATGACTAACCGGGTTGTATTTCATCACATTTCTTTTTCCGAATTCTACATGTCCAACAACCTCGATTACTTCGAACTGCGATTGGTGAATCGACATTAGTGCCGGAAGTCATGTCCATCGAGTACGGAAGAGAGGAAATGATGTTGAGCTGAAGCGGACACTTGCATAAATGATTACCTGTTACACATTATTGTACACAAATAGAATCTAATATCGTGATTACAGACTCGTGACTCTTCGTACTGTATGGCTAGTATAATTCACGACAACTTTGGATATCGTATCGTCGAATCAGGTGAGGAATTAGGAATATATGAGTGTAAGCTAACAAAGTCCTCAAATATCATTTACTGTATATCGGGTAGATAATACACGAGAATTTGATTGCAGAGAGGCGTTTGTGTGAGAGAGTGTGTTGAGAATTGAGAAATTGATTGAATTCTCAAGTAGAAAAAGTAACTGGACACGAGAAAAACTTCACATCGGCTCGACTTACTCAAAAGGGAAGTATTTTCAATCCATTTTCGATTCATGCAAACCGCCATCTAACTCCACACAAGTTGACAGACAGTCCACAGTTTCTTATCATTGTACGGGTGAAACAACGACCAAACAACTCTTCAAAGATATCTTGGCTTGGATATTGTACGAATCTCATCTATAGTTGTAAGATGCAGATAAATGCCCGAGAGCAACGACGAATGAATGAATCTTATTGGGAGATTTATATGCTTATCTGACATTCAACCACTCGCACTTCCCGGATTAAAGATGGTCTTTCCTAATATATCTTGATTAGTATCACCTCAGTATTATTGGTGAGTATAGATCATAATAGGTAGTAGACGTGGTAGGTTCAGCTCTTTGGGATTGAAGCTGTCTCGTGTTATTGCGATGGACGATCATGCAAGCCTCGAGCATTAACGATGTTGAGGTTACCCAAATTCTCAATATTATGAACATCTTCATTTGAACAATTTTCGAGATGTTATTGCACTCAAATCAACAATGAATCTACAATGACGTCTAAAAAGAGAGCAACGTCCATAATTACCCCAACCCAGTCTCAAGGATTCTCAATGCTAAAATTCTATTCAGCTCTCTTCCTCGGCACTTTCATCCTTACCATATGGCATTATGGAATCCCTTCACAACTGATATCTCCTGCAAACCTCGAATTAAATAATCTAGCCTCAGTCATCGCGAAAACAGGTTGGCAATGGAAAGATGTAAGTTTTTACCCCATGTAAACTCCTCCACATTCTCACATCTCCAGGTCGAACCAAGCGAATCCCTAATCTGGCATACTTGCTACTCAACGTTTCAATGTGCTCGTCTTTCCCTACCACTAGACTGGCTTAACACTTCCAATCCTTCCAGAATTACCCTCGCAATCATCAAAATCCCCGCAACAGATCTAACCAATTACCTCGGTCCCGTGTTCACTAATCCTGGCGGACCAGGCGGTTCAGGAATTTTTTCCCTCCGAAGAAATGGACATAATCTTCAAAAAATCGTCGGTAAAAATCACGATATTATATCTTTCGATCCTCGAGGTATAGGGGCTTCAACACCTCTCATCAATTGCTGGGGTTCCTCACGTCAGAATGCAAAGATTTGGAGATTAAGTGATGTAGGAGTAGTGGATTCGCACCCAGGAATGCTGAATGATGCATATGCGAGAGCAAGTGCTCTTTCGAAAACCTGCGAGGAAAACATGGAACGCGAAGCGAAAGCCAGAGGAGAGGAATCTTTATTAAAATTCGTGAGTACAACGAGTGTGGCACGTGATATGCTTGAGATTATGAGGAAGACGGGCACGGAAAAGTTGAGGTATTGGGGGTTTAGTTATGGGACATTTTTGGGTGGTGTGTTTGCGGCTATGTATCCTGATTTGGTGGAGAGAATGGTTAGTGATGGTATGTATTCTGTGGAATAATTTTCTTTATCCAAGTGACTTTTCTGCTCTCTTCTCCTCTCAGGTACTCCCCAATCCTCCAAAAGCATTACTTTTTCCTGCTCTAGGAATTAGAAGATATGGGAGAAGAAAACAAAATACTACATAATACGCTTTCTTCTATAAAAATGATCATCGAAATGAACCTCATAAAGTAACCTCCAATACTAACTCCCACCAGGCAACGTAAACTACAACGAATGGTCGACCAACACTCACACCTCTTTTCTTCACGACTCAGAAAAAATCATGTCAGCATTCTACCACTATTGCCACCTATCCGGTCCCACAATCTGCGCCTTCTACTCCCCTACTCCCTCCCAAATCTCCACTCGCCTGGCGACTCTCCTCTCCCAACTAAAAATCCACCCTATCCTCGTCTCCCCCCAAGACGCCTCTTCCCTCCCCGAACTAATAACCTACTCCTCCCTCAAACGTCTCATCTCCGCCTCTCTCTACCGCCCCATCCTCCTCTTCCCCTCCCTGGCCACCGTTCTCCAAGCCCTCGAAACCGGCAACGGCGTCCCCTTCATCGATCTCACCTCCACCTTCGGCATGCGCGAAATCTTCACCTGTGACTGTCCGCACAATTCCTGCAACGATCTCCCCCCTCCGATCGACGACGACGACGACGAAGATTCCGAAGCCACCGCCGACGCCAGCGCAGCTATAATGTGTACTGACGGCGGTTCCCTCCCTCCTAGCCTCTCCGCCTTCAAAACCTACGCTACAAACCTCATTGCCTCCGCTCCCGCCGCCGGCGCCGTCGGTGCCGAATTCAGACTTAGCTGTGTAGGTCGAACCGTCCCTGCAAAATGGCGATTTACAGGCCCCTTTGAAGGGAATACATCGCATCCGATACTGTATATTGCGAATGCGGCGGATAACGTGACGCCATTGATTAGTGCGAAGAGAAATGCAGAGGGATTTGTGGGCGCGAGGGTTTTGGTGCAGGATTCGTTTGGTCATACGAGTTTGAGTGCGGGGTCGGGGTGTACGGCGGGGGTTGTGAGGGGGTATTTTCAGAGGGGGGTGTTGCCGGAGGTGGGGAAGGTGTGTGGGGTTGAGGGGATGCCTTTTGGGGGTGGGGAGATGGGGGGGAGAAAGGGGGTTGAGGGGGATTGGGGGAGAGAAAGGGGAGAGGGGGGAGAGGATGTAGACAGAGAGATTAGAGATGCGGTGTGGGGATTAATGATGAATAATAATGGGAAATTTGAGAGAGGAGGAATCTAATGATATTGTGGTTTAAGTGTACGAGCTTTTTCTCGGCCCTTCGTGGCTAAAAATAACAATGGCCTCGCTAGCACTCTCCATAGTTATTTTTAACACCACTCAGGATCTATACCTATGCTTGTGCTATGCAGTTTTTAGAATCCTAGGGATAAATGAGATTTATATTCCTATATTCCATTAAAATATGAATTTTGAAGCTATTTAGAGATTATAAGATTATCTTCAAAGTTTTTGAAACTATTTCCAAAAACTAGTTATTGGTTTGCTTTAAAGGGATTAAATAAAAAGAATTATTAGAATAAATACAAGATAATGATTAATATAAATATAAATATAGGTTTAGAATAAGATTTCTATTAATTTCTTTTAAACCCTTTTTTTAAAGTTATATATATATGAAAATTCTTTAGTATCGGAATAATATCAGCCCGATGCCGGTTCCATATCGATGCCCGTAACACCAGTTATAAACTGTGTTTTAAAATCTATATGTTAAGGATATTTGAGATGAAGATAAAGATAAAGATTAGATATAAAAGAAGAATAACATAGTTTAACATCGAGTGGCCCATATCACTAAGTAGCCTACTTTCATCTTAATTTACATTTTCAAACTCATATTATTCAACAATAATTGAATCAATCGATTGAAATTATTAAGAATCTAATAATCTAAAATCTATTATATTATTTTTATAGATTTTTATATTATATCCTGTTTTTCTATATTTATTATAATATCAATTAGAAAATACTTCCTCATTAGAATTCCTTTCTTTTTGATACTTATCATATTGAATCTGAATATTAATCTCTTATTAAAATAATATATTAAGAGTTTTTTATTCAATAAGCATTCCTTCTTAATATAACTAAGGTTTTTTTCGTATATCGATATTTACTTAATATTTTATTTGTTATTTGAAATATACAAATCTCTACATTTAAAAGTATATTCTCATAAATTAATCTTTTTGTATCTTTAGTTAAAATTAATATAATCTCAAATATAAATATAGAAGAGCTTAATTAATAATAAGTTATTCGAGATTTAATTAATATTAATTAAGAAAGAGCTTCAATAAAATTACAAAAGATTTGAGAAATCCATTAATCTAAATTGAAAAAAGGGAGAATAGATATACGAATTCGAATATCTAATTTTGAAAATATAATTTCAAAATTAAATAGAATTAAATGAAATTAAACCTATTTCTCGAAATCCTGTTTTCATATTTTGAAAAATAATTGATTCTTAATATACAGCTTTGAAAACTATAAAGAATTCAATCTTCGAAATATAATTAATATATGCCTTAATAAATTTATTGATTTGAGTATTATATAAACATTTTAGATTACTAAAATAACTAATATTAAGTGGTTAAATTAAATAATTTGAATATAGTAATAAATTTAGATATATAATATTATTCTTTTTATAGTATACTTAAAAAACTACTGATTTATGGTTTTTATATTTATTTAGTATTAATATTCAATATTTACCCTCTTTTCAATTCTTAATATATTTATCGAAATATTTCAATTATTCTAAATCTATCTCATTATTTATCCATCTATTAGATATAGATTTAATAGTTTATTCTACAAAAAGATTGGTTTTGATATATTAATTAAAGAGATAAATTTATTCTTAAACTATTAGAAATGAGGGAATAGTTTTATCCTTTATATTTCCATATATTATTATTATAATCTATTTTCGATTATCTAATTATACTAATTTATTTCTATTATATTTCTTAGTATTAATAATAATCATTGCTGCATATATAATCCTTATTATAAAGCCTATTTTATCGAAATTATAGAAATCATTATTCAAAATATTATATTTCACTTATATATTTACAACCAATCAAAACCATTTTTCAATAAACTTAGAATTTTTATAAAAAACTCTTTGAAAATCATAAATACAACTAAAACACATTTTTAATTTAATTTGATACTTTACAAATCAATATACCCAAAACTTCTCAATACATTTTATATTCTTCGATTTAAGAATATAATTTATTATATCTTTTATATTCTTTAATTTAGATAGAAATCCTTTTGAATTTATATTGAATATATATTAAACAATCACCTCTTCTTTTAATCCTATAATCTTATAATTATTAGCTCAAATTTCTATATAAAAAAGTAAATCTTTTATTTTTTATTGAAAAATTATATAAAGAATATTATAAAGTATAACAACTTTTCGAATATTTAGTTTTTTATTTTTATAAATAGTTTTGATAGTAAAGAGTATATAAGCTTTTTGATTATTCGAATTCATTATAAGTTGTTAATAAAATATATGTTGAAAGAGAAAGATATAAATTGAAGTGAAAGTGGGCCACTTAGTGATATAGGCCACTCGGTGTTAAACTACGTTAGAGAAACCAAAGAATAGATAAATGAAATACTAGTATATATGAACAATTACCTACCTACCTATATCAATATAAAAATACAGGTCAATCTCCCTTTCAAGTTTACATAGAAAGCAAATATATATATATATACATTATTATCATCATCATTATTCTTATTTAATAAATAAGACTACTTATAGATTATCTCAAGACCTACTTTCTTCTTCTTTTATTTTTATATTTTCATAATTCTCACTTCCCAATCCACGGTATCGCGAATCCAACTTTGACACCCCAAAATTTAAAATCTATTTTTATTTTAATTTTTATTTTTATTTTTATTTTTATTTTTATTTTTATTTTTATTTTTATTTTTATTTTATTTTATTTTATTTTTATTTTTATTTTTATTTTTATTTTTATTTTTATTTTTATTTTTATTTTATTTTTATTTTTATTTTTATTTTTATTTTTATTTTTATTTTTATTTTTATTTTTATTTTTATTTTTATTTTTATTTTTATTTTTATTTTTATTTTATTTCTTATCATTTTTTATATTTTTCAAAAGAAAATCGAAATCCGAAATCCGAAATCCGAAATCCGAAAACTGAACATCGAAAAATAAAAAAGTCGGAATGAAATGTTATTACAGAGAATTCGAGCGTAGCGAGCTAAGGGGGTTTGGGGGCTTGCCCCCATTAAAGCGCTCATGATTGATTTGTATATTATTATTATTATGATTGTCATTATTGCTATTTACTATTCTTGTTGGAATTCGGATGAGTATATGAGTATATGAGTATTACCCAAGACACTCACAACAGAACATTCACAACACTGCCATACAATTCCTCATCACACCTCATATCATCACACAACACCTTATATCAACTCAACTCATTACACCTCATTACACCTCATCTCATAAAACTCCAATTCATCCATTTATTCATTTACCTATGCAGCATGCCATTCATTAAGTATATCATATCATACCACATCATACCATACGCCATTCCTTGCCTTCTTTCCTTCCTTCTTTCTTTGTTTCAAAAAGAAGAAATTAAAATCAAAATTAAAAGAATTCAATTATCTTTCATACCCATTCCCATACCCATTTTCAACACCCCAGCACCAGCACCTTTGCACCAGTTTGCAAGAAATGCTATGCTATGCTATGCAATCTTATGAACGTGATATGGATCTGACATGACATATTATATCAAGTCCAATGCAATTAACCGCGAAAGCATAAATTCCCAAAGTTCCCTGAACGCACCCCATCCCATGAATACATTCTATCCAGCCACCCAACCCATGGAATCTTCGAATGAAAAGAAAGAGTCGAATGAAAAAATCAAGCCAGATACTTATAAGTAGGTACTTTAGCATCTTCGATTCTTTCCAAATATTCTCTTTCGATTAAACTTTCAATACGTCGTTTCATCATATTGATATTAGGTTGGAAGCGTTGTGAAAGTTGCGAAATGACTTCTGTAACGAGTTGTTGATGAGGACATTCTTTACGTGCCCTATAATATTTTATTAGTATATAATTCATCAGTTTGAGAGCAGGAAAAACATACTTCATGATTCGGACAATAACTGTATCCATAACATTTCCTCGATGTTCATCATTTCTTTCTTCAGTCAATTTCCTTTCTTCAGCTCCTTCAACCTTGCTAGTTTGTCCACCCATTGCTTGAACCTTAATCTTGACAGCTTTACTAACAAAACCGGCATTGAATGTAAAAACATCACCCATTGTAGGCAATTCATTCGGCTTTCCAGGTTTCTTAAGAAGAACTCGAGATTTTGGTGGACCAGAGAGTTGCATCAATGCACGTGGTAAATCTTTGTCGCTAATATTCAAACGTTCTTGAATTTCTTCATACGATAATGTTGCTCCATCTGGTAGATCATTGAAAAGCATCAAAATGATCATACCATAAGTATTCACATTGAGTTCGTACTTTCTTTCCCTACTCTTCGGTCCTGTTTCTCCTGGAATGGCTGGGAAATGACATCTGACATCAGCATTTCCCAAATTACCTAACCAAGTCAACATTCTACCATTTCGATCTTTGAGATAGAATGCCTTGAATGAATCTTGTAATTTTTGTAGTTCCACAGGCCAATTACAATATTGTCGAGGTCCGTCTTCTGATGAAGGAATACCACCAATGAGTTCCGTAGGCCAACAATTGGTAGAAAGAACAATAGCAGATAATTCGATTGGTTTTCGATCCTTATCTCCAACGTTGTCGATGTGCTTTTTGTAGTTCTGGGTGAGTTCTTCGGACATGGTAACATCCTTGAACATCCCTTCCAGCTTCGTTGTAAATGAATTTCCGATTTCCAACTTCATTCGAGAAATCATCTGCTTCTCCACATCAGTGCTTTCAGATTTGTTGAGTAGTAAACGTTTCGCAAGATGTTTCTTGTAATATCTTTCAAACATATCCTTGTCCTGAATATATCGAAGTAAAGTGGTGGCTTTGTCTAATACTTCGTCGATCTCAACCTCGGTTTTGCCCTTGATACCACGCTTGAGATTATCGTCAATGAACAAGGAGACGTACTCGGAACATCGGTCGAAAAGGTTAATGAAATCCGAAAAGCTCTTAGTGATAGCCGTTTCCAGAATGGTATCTTCACTGAAACATTTCTTCCACATATTGTCGAATTTATCCTTCAATCGTAGGACCTCATCAACCCACTTGATGGCTGCAAGTGTTTGCTTCGCCGCAGCATTCATTGGCTTAGCCTTCTTCTTCGCACCTTCAGCTTCATCATCCTCTGCTTCGGGCTTGGTATCCTCAGGAGTTTCGAAATCCCCACTAGCGATAATTTTGTTGATTTCCAACCCGAGTTGTACCACACGACCTTGTAGTGCAATTTTCAGCGGTCCTCTACCTGCATCTATCCGAGTGATAAGTTGATATAGAATGGATAAATCCTCAAACCGGTCGTTTTCGATCATGGCCTGCAAACCACTGCCTTCCATGGCAAGAAATTCGTTCAGATGACTGCTGATCAATTCTTGTTCGACAACTTTTTGAATCTTCCTACTTGTGAAATGAGCGATAGTCGTATCACACCTATCAGCTTCCTCATCGAGTCGTCTTTTTGCTTGACGTAACCAAGTACTAGCAGGCGAGTCCCTTAATAAAGTTTGACATTCTGCTTGGTAAAACTTTCTGCTAGCTGCTAAAAATGCAGGTTCGAAAACTGTAATGTATAGCTTCTCACTTTCGTTCTCTGCGTCGCTTTCGTATAGACCCTCTAGCATATAGATGACCGAACGGATTAAATGTCGATTGATGACATCACCTTCTCTCTCCATCCCAATCTGGTCCAATATAACCGAGTTGAGAATATCAAAGGTGATCATGCTCGAATTGTCTAGAAGTGGTGAACGTAAAATGTGATCCCGGAAAAGTCCCATAGCTGTAGTGTATATTGAAGCCTTGCGATTATCGCCACAATAAACTCGATCCATATACATGAGGACATCAGTTGTCATACCCATACACAAATTGTGATCCGTCCAAGAAGCCTTTAGTCCTTCTAGAAATTGTTCACCGGTAAGTCTTCGTTCGTTTGCGGCAGTTCCAGATACGCCACCAGCAGCGACATTGACCAGATTCGAAGTTATAAGTTTGCGAATAGTTGGCATGACTTTCCCAGCGAACCATTGCTCCTCGAAAACTTTGACTCGTTCATATAGTAAATCTCCGTCTTTCCTCAGTACGATTTTATAAGAAGCCCGGTATAATTGTTCAAAAGATAGAGTTCCTGCATTCTTTTCGTGGATTTCCTGAAGTGCATTTTGTAAGATCTCCCATTGAATCTCGAATTCGTTTTTTTCGCCGGCACGTTGAAAGGCCTGTGTAGTAGAAGAATATCAGTCAGCAAAGTTATCAAGAATATAAAGACAATCGCGAATGTAGGAAGAATGCTTCGAGGTAAACTACCATCTGACTTGTGGTAATAGCATGTGCAATGGCGGCATCAAAAGACTGTCCTTGAGCGGGAAGCATTTTGAATTACTTGATAATCTAACCTTGGCGCAAACAAAGTTTTGAAAGTTTATTGAAGCTATTCATTCGCCAGAAGGTGTAGGTAGCTTTTGTCAGAGGAAAGAGCATGGAGGACCTTGGTAGATAGGTAGGTATCCAAGTGAAAAGAAGTGAATATATACATACCCTACGAGGCGCACGAATTCTAGCTCTTCCACGTCCCGAAATCATCTTTAAAAATCTTTCAGTTTCCCTTGACTATTCAATTTCTCCAAATGAATGTTTCAATATGATATATTTCTTCCAGGTTCGAGGAACTTCAAAGTTCTGTGGTGTTCTGTCTGGTGAGGGGTCAGATAAGATCAAGGCTCCAAGATAATTGCCATGAAACTGTGTTGAGAAATGTGAGGCAAGTAAGGTAGGTAAGGCAAAGTAAAGTTAATAAACAAAAGAGTCAAAGGGTGATTTTTATATTGTGAGAAGAGGAAGAGAATAGATCCTTAAGTGTAAGAAATGAAAAGTTCAATACATAACCTTATGACATGGAATCTTTTCAAAGACTGTACTAGTAATTGCTAGGTACTTTACACTTTACCAGTACTGAGCTATGTGGGATACTCGGGCTTAGTAAACAATTTTATTTTGCCACCAATCAAAGCATTTGTAATCTTGAAGCTAATCCTTAAAGATCAAGACGGTGAATAAAGTATTGGCTTTACCTAATCATAGTAGACGGGTAGTAGTAGGTAGTTAGTTGTATGTAGTAGTCGTAGTAGTGATTAATAGTAACGTTAGTAATAATTTTATACCAAATAATAAACAACACTGCCATATAACTTCAGCTATGACATATGGTCTTACCGGAATCTATAACGCTAGCAAACACTAGCAAACACTAGCAGTATAAACTCTCAATTCAACACAACCCCTCACACATATCGTCTCCTCTTTCTTCTTTCTATGGTAGAAAGTAGCTAATAAGATTAATAAAATATCAAAGCTTTTCCATCTGACCTACCGAGCCTACTAGGTACTCTGCCCTGTCCTACCCAGCCCCAGCCTTGTCCTCGTCATATCGGCAGAATCACAAAGCGGTAAATGAGATAAATTTCCTTATCGCAATCAATTCCGTAGCCTTCCCCAAACTTCTACTGGATCAAGAGCTTTCATCTCAATAAACACTCCCCTCTTCTCTTCTATTATCGATTTTCTTTCGATTGGTATCTGTTTTATACCTCACAAATCAATTTCTATCTATACAAATAGGAGAATCCTGATACGATTCCTTCCATTCTACCATCACATCTCTCCGTTTCACATACAGAACAGAGATCGATCAAACCTACAAAACCCTCCTCCCAACACAACCAAACCGTTCTTCACAATGTCTCTCAAATCCTCCACCTTTGCAGCTTTCCGAGATCTCTCCCGATATCAACATCAATGCTCAACCTCCAAACTCCCCTCTCGCATCCTCTCCCTGGGCCACCCCCGCCTCTACAGCACCCCCTCCAAACCCCTCACCGATCGCTCCTCCTCTCCCTCCTCCCCATCATCCACACCCCCCCGCGCCCCTCAACCCTCCTACGATCTAACCTTCACCTGCCAACCCTGTTCCGCGCGCTCCACGCACCGCATCTCCAAACAAGGCTACCACTCCGGCTCCATCCTCATCACCTGTCCCAGCTGCAAAAACCGACATGTGATTTCCGACCATCTGGGAATATTTGGAGATCGCAAATTGACGATTGAGGATTTGATGAGGGAGAAGGGGATGTTGGTTAAAAAGGGGACGTTGAGTGAAGATGGGAATTTGGAGTTTTGGAGTGATGGGACGAGTACGGAGAGGAAGAGGGAGGGAGAGGGAGAAGGAAATGCGGGGAGTGAAGGGGAGAGGAGATAGAAGATGTAGTTAGCCCTGGAGTTCTTGAGAGGTTAAGAGGAGGGGTACGAATAATTGGAGATGAAGACGGAGAGGTATAATGGAAGGATATATTTCTTATCGGGCCTGGACGAAGCAGGAGTTTGAAGTACACGCACGCGAAAACCAAAGATACCACGATACATCACACGAGATCACCAAGAATCAGTATCACCAAGGATCACCAACTGCAGTTCCGAACTAAATATTAAAGCTATTCAGCATATAACCTCAAAGCCCACAACAATCAACATTCTCAACTCTATTTCCCGAAAGAATACCGAGAACACACACACCCACACACACACATCCCAAAACAAACTCAAACTCAAATCTCACTCACAAGAGGAAATCAGTGTATAAAAACCATCAGCGTCACGTGTTGCAAAAATGTAATAATACCTAGATATCTAGTTAGCACAGGATGATAGCATAACGATATCAAATCTACATGTATATAAGTATATATATAACAACTTTCCTCTTTAAAATACCTATACAAACAAAAAATTACCGCACATCTCATCTCATCTCATCTCATTTTCAAACGAATATAAATATAAACATAAATTCTAAATTAAACTTACACCCATCCATCCAATCTACCCAGATACAACAAATCAAGCATCTAAAGAAACCAATTCACAAATGTAATAAATAAAAGCACGTAAACAAATTACTAACTAATATAATAGGATTTACTCATCTACTCTATCTAGTATTGCGAATCCTGCGACTGACTGACTGACTGATTGACTGATTGACAGACTCACTGCAATAAATACAAAGCTAAGCAAGCATTCACATGTCAAAGATACAAATTTTCCCCTTCCCAAACGCCATTTGAAATCGCCCATGAAATACAGACATGCATAAATGCAAGTTTCTTTCATCTTTCCTCTCTCCCCCATCCCATTCCATCCCATCCCACACATCTCACACATCCACTCTACCACATATTCCTCTTCTTACTAAACATCTCCCCCTTCTCCTTCCTCCTCTCCTTCTTCCTCTCCGTCTTCTTCCTCTTCTCCTCTCCAAATTTCTCCGGCATACTAACCGCCTCGATCTTTCTCTTTCCACTCCTCTGCGCTCTCCTCTCCTTAACCCCCTCCCTCACCTTCAGCAACGCATCTGTGTACTCCTGGGTTCCGACCTTCCTCTTCAACGTCTCCAACAGCTCTTCACTCGACGATTTGAGGGCCTCGTAATTATTGCGGAAGAGTTCATCGGTGGAGTACGGCATATGAATGGAAGGATCCGTGAGATTATGCAGAGGGAGAATGATAGTTCTCAGCGAGGGAACCAACGATTCAGGCTCCAATTTACTGCACAAGATTTCGAGAAGTTGAAGAGCAGAAGTCTTGGGGATCAAGTTGTCTGCAGTGGCTGGATGAGTTTCTCTTCTCAAGACGAAGGATACGCGACTGAAAAGATATTGCAGGACACTGTTTGAAGCATTAGACTCTCCTGATTGTTCGACATCGGCTTCGACGTCTAGATCTTCATCTTCGGCATCTGCTTTGGGTTTTTGTTTGAGATTATTGGAAGCGGCGCAGCGACCGAGGAAAATAAGATTCTTGACAACTTCATCCGCGAGTACTTGTGTGAGAATTGGTCCCCTGAACATCCTAACGATGCGGTGAATGAAATCAGAGATATCATCTCCATTGAGTTGGAGACCACCTGAGCCCCTGAGTGGTAAGCCTTCTAGACCAGCTTCAGCATTGGTTCTTGCAATGTCTGCAAAGTATATGCTGCTAAGTCTTGTCGCACCTACTTTCACCCATGTATGCGGATATGAAAGGCATGCTCGTACCGCAGACCATAAAGATGCAGTCTTCGAAGAGAAAAGTTTCTCTGGGAATTTCTGACACATAGTCCCACCAAGTTCGAGGGAAGTGTAGATTAATTGCCAATAATCTTCTTCATCATCGTCTGGAGTTTCCAGGATCTTCGAAACAGTACCGAGTACGAAATTTATATTTGAATCTTCCATATCGGATCGAGATTCGAAATACAATGCATACGTTTGTAGCGCTACCCGGACAGCCGAAGTCTTGTTTTGCTTAACGAGTGATTGCAAAATGGTAAGGAAATCCGTCATGCGGCTTTCATCCGCTCTCTTGAATGTCTCCTTGAGGACTTCTCCGGCTACCATACGACACTTTTCGCTTTCATCGTTGGCAATGACCGAGATCAAAGGCACAAAACTAGATGCTGCGACCTCTTGAACAATATCATCCGAAGTCTTTGTCAAAAGGAGAAGAATGACTTCGAGTATGGACATTCTTCCACCCTCTCTATCGTACTTTAGATTTGCTACGATAAATTCTAATTGTTTGTTCCATCGACTCTTCTTTTGTGGAAATTCTCTGAGGAACTGAACGAATGCGCCGCGTGCCAGATCTCTTGTATCTTTGTCGTCATTTGTTACCATGACCGTGCTGACATAGTCCAGAGTGTCATATACTACAGCCGTCTCAATCTTTGAGTCCAGCACAGATCTCAAGAACTTGAACGTAATATGTCGTCGCTCTGGTTCTGTAATGTCATCCTTCATTTTCTTCAAGATATCATCAATCGATCTACTTTTGACCGGAACATCTTTTCGGTCTCTGAGAACGACCGAGAGTAAATTCAAGGATGCTTGAGCAATATCCGAAGTTGTTGAGGAGGATGAGGCTACACATTTGATGGCTTCATCTACCGCGACCCGGTAAAGATTTGTTCCATCACCATCAATTTTGAGTGGAACCTTGACAATGGTGCTAAGTAATTTGAAGGCCGCAACCTTTACTTCCTCCTCTCCTTCAGCAACCGCGTCGCCAATCATTGGGATGAAGCCTGCAAGGTTGCTAGGTGTTCGAATTGAATCGTACTTCTTGACGACAGATCTCATGACATCAAAGGCAAATTTGATAAGCTTGAAGGTATAGACTGTCGTAGCACCGCGTTCACCACCACGTTTGGCACCCTTTTGTAGTAAGTAGCGTTTGAATCGATAATCGTCTCTGCTCGCCTTTTCTTGAGGTTTTCGACTATTGTAAACATCTTGAATAACTTCATAACAGAAGACCAAGCTATCACGACTTCCGGCAGCTGTATTTTTGAGTAGTCCAGAACTGATCCTGTTCAAAAGTTCATCAATTTTGCGAACCATCCGAATGTTCAGCTTCTCCTTCAGCAATACTCGAATTGGATGAATCAAGTCTGTCAGTCGGCTCAGAGTAGCTGTCTTGGCTATCAGTTCCATAGAATCATGACTTTTACTGCTCTTGACTTCTTTCATCTTGCTGATATATCCTTCCTCGTCCTTTTCTTGTCCTGTTGCACCAAAAATATCGTCCATGATGATTGCAATGATTGAAGGCAGGCAATAATCAAGGTCACCCGGTGCGTATTCTGGTGTCGTAGCTACCAACATGGAATGCATAGTGTATGACAGTACATGAAGCTGGGAACCTCTTGCTAGCGCACTTCGGAGTTCTCTTAACACAAATCCGAAGCAAGAAGGACCAAGTAAAACGCAAATCTTTACTAAAGTATCCCTAGTAAGATCCCGGGATTCTTGTGCTTTACTGCGGAGAATGTGACAAATATCAGTCAAGACTGCTGGAAGTCGTTCTGTCATTTTCTCTTCTGGCAATAGTTTGAGAAGCCTAACAATGATGACCGCAACAGGAACTCGCAAGCTGACTGTCGATTCATCCTTATCATGGAGATAGTCTGTCAATGGTGGCAAGATATTGGTAATGAGATCATCAGAAAACTTCGGCTCTTTAGGCATAGTGGTGGCCAATTTGCATGTTTTCTTAGGAACATCAGTCTCCATGTCAGTGTCAACGAGTGGTTGAGCGGCAAGTGCTAAAGAATCAATAACTTTGCCAAGAAGACGGATGATCTGTTTCTCAAGATCAGGTTTGGCCTGAACATATCCAATAAAACGTTTCAGAAGAGCACGATATTGCGGCCACTCTAGCGACCCTGCAAGAATTCCAACAGTCGTCGTAGCTTCAGCAGCAAGATTATGTGCATCGTTGCCTTCGGCTCTATCGAAGATAAAATGTTCGATGAGAGGGATGAAAAAGTGGCTGACGTTCTTGCTACTTAATTCTCCTTTCTCGGCAGCAGAAGAAAGCATTCCCAGAGCACTAGATTGCCTGCCTTTACCTGCTGCGATAATGTTGTTGAAAAACGAGGATTCTGTCTCGTCTTCACCAGCCAGAAGATTGTGCATGTCGCTAACTTGAGACCAATCTGAGAAATTACGGACCAGATGAGCCATAACGTTCATGTATTCACGACGAACCATTTCCGAAGGCTCACGAACACCAGCAAATAGAGCTGGAATTAAGATTGTGGAAAGCATGTTTTGAAAAGCTGGGAACTCTGAAGTTTGCTTGGCATCTTTAGCTGTTTCAATAAATCGACGGATTCCATCAGAAGAGTTTGATGACAATACTCCGTGTTCCTCATCGTGCTTGATATAAAAGAGCATGTTGAAAAGTAGCGGTGACCACTGATGAGAATTGAAATCAACATCTCTCTTGGCGTTAATGGCGTGGAAAGCCTTCACTCGGCGATCGTAATCTGGTTCATCAAGCCGTCCTTGGGCAAAAGAGTTGAGATCTGAACACAAGGCAGCTACTTCTTTCAAGACAGGATCTTTGTCTGAGTACACCAATAGTACTCGTGATAATACCTCTCTACTAATCTTGTCTTTGAAGAAACCAAACAAGGAAGTGATAGTATGATAAACTCGATCCCTGAGGTCAACATCGTTTTGGAGATCATAGAGAGGTACAAAATGCTCCAGAACCAGAAGTAAGCCCGCTTTCGTCTTAGGGGTAACCCTACGCGAGGGTTGATCAAGTAGGAATACAGATACATCCACCAAGTTGCGACCTTGAGTGGAAGTCGATACGAAAGGCGCCAACTCGGAAACAGTTTCGACGCAACCTTCCAATAGGTTTTTGCTCATGTCGTTCTGATCGCGTAGAATCGTTCCGATTTGAATCAGACATTGATCCATGTTAGAATTCAGAAGCTCTTGCTTTACTGAGTCACCCTCTGCCCCTTCCTCTTGTGCACATTTAATGACACCCCTGATGATGGAAAGAGCAAAGAGTTTGACTTCATCCTTTGATTTTGGTGGTGCTAAACACTCTGCTACCTTTGGTAAGATTTTTTCGTGGCTACCAAGAAGTAACACTGTCTTCATCGAAGATGACCAGACGGAAAACAATCTAAGGAGACCGGAGATACCCTGAGCTGTTTCGATTGGTAAGTTATCGAGTCTTGGTAGGACAATTTCGGTCACAATGAGATCCATATAGGGAGACCAGTCAAAATCTGTCGAGTTGTTGAACAATAGCACGAGACACTTCAACCCAGTCTGTCGAACAACTTTGAAAAGAGAAACTTTGCTGGAAATTTCCTCATCTTCAGTTTCTTCAACATGCTCCCCCTGTAGTTGTCGTGTGGCAATTACTGTACAATACAAGACAGCTTCCAGTAATTTTCGAGTGAGAGGCACAACTTTAGTGGCTAATTCCTTCAATACTGACTCCATCATATTTGTGAAACCAACTTGCTTCCTTGCACCCAACAACTCCTTTTCAAAGATTGACATTTGGACTGCTCCATCCTTCACCAAATCTAAATCCTTGAGATCACCAAGGGCAATATCCAAAAAGCCTCCAATATCTTCAACGCTCAAATTTCTCAGCACCGTCAGTCTTCTTGCCTCCATCCCTTGCTTTCCACTCGCAGCGCCTTTTCGAGAGATTGTACGTCCATAGAGTAATCTGAGGAGAACTGGCATGAGTGCTTCGCGATGCTCAGGTTGAACCAGGGTTTGTCCCTGAAGGAGAATTGTGATTTCGTCTTTAAAGCGAGCTTCGTCCAGTAGATTCAAGAGGTTCTCAGAGTAAGGTTTGATGCTCTTGTTCCTCCATGTCAAGACGGCTTTCAGAGCAGCTTTTTGGGTTTCAATGTCACCATTCGCCAATAACCTTAAAAGTGCTTCGTAAACCTCATCTGTCTTGAAAATAGACTTCGGGTTACCAAAGAGGCCCAAGACATCCAAGAGAGCCTTCTGATCTTTTCTTGTCCAGTCGCTTACAACAGCCTCGTCTTCATCACCGGTCTGATCAATCTCTTCGGAGGCTTTGCCAGCCCAAGAAAGGAACATTGGAATGAGCTGTCGAGATCGCCTTTCACCAATCATAGGAATGGCAGCCAAAACACGAAGAGCCTGAGATCTAGCAGTGTTTGGTTGGGCATCCACCAGTTGTTGAGCAACCTCGAATTTTTGAAGCATAGTATCACGTGCATTGAGAACTTCCGATTCAGTCTCTTTAGCAAGTTTGTCCAAGTTATTCAAATTAGAGCACTCAAAGTCGGTCAATCCATTATTTTGATCCTTTTGCATGGGAGCGGGTGGCCCGCTCCATCTTACTGATGGTGTCTCTAACCATTTGAATGTCAATACGGCAACTGCTTCCTCACCAACTTTCGATTCTGAGATCTGTTTGAGGGCAGCACTAGCATCGTCCCAGATTTGCGCCATCTTCACAGTAAGCATACCAAAACAGAATGATGGTATAGCATATTTCATCCAAGGTATCGCCATCTGTGAAGTATAGATTGAAGCAAGCTTGCGAATATGCATAGAAGCGGAACGAGCAGATTGCAAATCCATTGGAGTCTGCTCAATCATGATCATGAGTGTAATTGCTTCCGAAGACTTTCCATGATCAGTGTCATGAATATGCTCCAGTAGTCGCAAAGAAAGAAGGCGTAATTCGCTAGATTCGGATGAAAGATTCTCTACTAAGGATCGTACCAAGAGGTCGAACTCGGCGTCAGAGTCACTCGTATCCTCTTCCTCGTCTGATTTGCCACCGTCGGGTTTAGGAGACAATTTGAGACTGGCTTTATAGCCTAGTAAAGCTTCGAGGAAATTCGGCAATCGGGCATATCGAGGGGCTGCTGCGCGTAATAATGGCTCCAAAGCCCTATCAGTCTCACCAGTTCCTTTTGTCATGCGAGAGAAAGCACTGAACCCTCGACCAACGATAAAATGAGCTTCCTCTGGCGCAAGTGAAGAAGATGGTCTAAGTGCAAGTTTGAGCTTGCGAAGTAGGATTTCCGAAATTCTTGCGTTCGTTGAAGGATGCACAGCAGTGCACTCCAAGATTTCTAACAGAGCATTATATTTAGGTAAACATCGATCATGCCATGTTTTTGGGCTGCGATTATATGTAGCTGGCGATACCTGTTCTGGGAAAGGTTGTAGTTCTAATCGTTCAAATTTGCTGACAATCTGGTCCTGCCAAGACTGAGGCAACGAAAATGCGTCCTTTCCATGTTGACTTGGAAGTACTCCTGAGGCGACCATCTTTGGTAATAATACACACAAGGTATCTCCATTTTCCGCGTCAGACCAGTGCGTGACAACGAATCTAGGATCGATTAGCATGTGGTTGAAGACAGATAAGGTAATTCAACTTACCTTTTGAAGTAAGGCAACGCAATAGTTTGGAAGCGTCCAGGCTCTCCTTGTGACAAATATGAGCAAAATGTCAAGAACCATTTGGCCAACGGATCCTTGGTCAGGGCATCCATGAAAGGAGCAATAAAAGGAATCGTAGAGTCCATTGGAGAATATGTCAGAGCAATAGCTATGCTCTCAATGAGGTATTTCCACAAATCCAAATGTTTGTCGTCGGCTGCCACAAAAGATGCGTTCTTGGACACTGTCTTTAAAATATTAGATAGCGCCTGTAACAAAGCTGGCCAATTCTGAACTCTCGAAGCTCGTCGAACACCAGCTAGAATCCCTATGGTTCGCGCTGAAAGTAAAAGTTTGTTGAAATCATACATCGTCTTTGACTGTGTAAAAGAATGGGTGATAGTGTTTGCTTCCTCCAGTACTAGTTCAAGGATCTCTTTGATCGTCTCCGGGGTTGTATGATGAACTATACTGGTTAAAACACCACATATAACGTCAATCCATGGCATTGCCTCCTTCTCTCCAAAGTCACTCTCTTCAATGGCGATGAATAGAGATTTGAAAATCGTTGGACCCGACGTATGTACGGTTAACCCGTTACCCTTCATAGCCTCCGCGAACATGGTCATTATTCCATGGTAGTATAGGCCGAATTGTTTGGTATCCGCGATACTCAAAAGATCTGATTTCGCATGATTGACGATTAATGGAAGAGCCTTTGCTCGGTGGGCAGGTGCGCCAGCTTTTTTGATGAGAAAGCTCATAGCCTCCGCAGCGAACCGGGCAATATGTGGAGGTTGGGCACTTTTTCCGAGTAATGGTGCCATTAGATCATATGTAGGTCGTAAATCTGGTACAATAAGTTTTGACAAATATTTGAACAAAAATGTTAGGCATGTAAAACACCATTCGATAACTGCGACATCTTTTCCAGTGCCTGCTATCGTCGACGTAACCAATTCCAAAGCTTTCGCATAATGTTTTTCGAACCGAGGACCCAAATCATGGGCAAAGTCTGTAATTAACTCCAACAATGGCTCTAACGATTCCCTTTGGTTTCCTTCCATATAAGTGACGAAAAGACCCATAATCTTATCCTGGAAATGTAGAATCTGCGGTAAACTGTCGCATAATGGAAGTACCTCCTCCGTGAAGGATTGGAACCCAGACGACAAATTGAGTTCGGTCCATTTCTCTAGACTGGCTTTGAAATATGATGTTGTCGCAGAAGTATCTTCGGCATCGAGGTCATGACGACGAACTCTTCGTAGTGGATCGAGGGAGTTTAATTTCGAGATTTTTGTAGTAAAAGATTCCCATCGATGATTCTTTTGATGGGCAGTACCCTTCTTGCCCTTACGGGTCTTAATTATTCTTCCGGAGGTTGTGGCAGGCATCGTAAAGTTATGTCGTCCCCAATCAACGAAAATCCACAATCGCAGAGAGAATGGAAATTTTTATTTTTTGATAAGAAGAAATGGATATTTGCTTATATAAGCAGCTGCCACCTAGAATTCATTAGTAGGTACTAGGTAGGTGAGTAGTCAACGGATCAAGTCTCTCAATTATCAATAGATACAATTTTATGTAGAGTATCTTCTAATCCTCTTCTTTCACCTCATTACTTCCTGTCTTTCCTCTCCTTTCTCATCTCTATATTGAATTTTATCATTTATTTTCCTCTACTTCTCTTCTATTTCACTTCTTTTTGCCATCAATTTCTGCCCATTTTGACCGCTCAAGTAATAGTCTCCACTCTGCCGTCCTTGCATTAGCGTGACGCTAAGATATGAGCTTTTGAGCTTTCCTATCGAGAAGTCAAATCGCGTCGCAAAGAACTTTTGAAGTGAATATTATCCTTACGATACCGTATCACTATATTGTTTTGAACCTCCACAACAACCTATACTTCTCCCACAATCTGGTGGCTTCGAACATCAAAATGGCGTCTAAGATGTGAGTTTTCTCCTTTAAAATTCAACGACGATAGGTATTGGCGGTATTCCTGAGCTTTTCCTTCCATTTATGGTTGCATCTTAACTCACTTCACCTCACCTTTTGTGAACTGAACTGATTGATTGACAGAATTGTTCTCGGCGACGTGAACGGTCACATTCGCAATGTCTTTACCAAATTAACATCGCTGCAACTCAAGAATAACTTTGCCCTTGCTATCGTGGCTGGAAACCTTTTCGCCGGAGCTGAAGACACAGAAGCCGAAGACACAGTTACAGACCTCATTACGGGAAAGATACCCATACCATTACCTACATACTTTACTGTCGGATCGTTACCTTTGCCCAAAAGAATCATCGAGAAGATTGAGAAAGATGAGGAGGTGCGTTAATCTATCTTTTGAACGCGGAGAATACCAATACTCATGCTCTTAGATATGTCCAAACTTACACTACCTCGCGAAGAGAAGTACCACGAAAACTTCAGAAGGAATTAAATTAGTTGCACTCGGTGGTCAACTCGACGAAAACATAATTGGGGGTCTATCGAAGGAATCATATCTACCTTTCCACACTGTTGGAGATGCGAAAGCTCTTCATGGAGCGCACACAGCGGATATTCTTTTAACGACTTTGTGGCCAAAATCGATCCGAACTGGTTCCAAAATACCAATTCCTGATGACTCGAAAGATCCCATTGCAGGGGATCATATCGCAGATCTTTGCGCAGCTTTGAAACCTCGTTATCACTTTTCTGTGTCTCCAGATTATTTTTACGAGCGAGAACCTTTCTTTCACGCCCCTACTTCAGATGAGCCTGACGTTCGACCCCTCACTCGATTTATTTCCTTGGCCCCGCATGGCAATCCTCGGAAACAGAAAGCCTTATATGCATTCACGTTACAAGCAACAGTCGATCCAACTGCCCCATTGCCCACTGGTACCACGGCGTCGCCATTTGTAGCTCGACCCAATGAGAGAAAACGAACAGCTCTTGAACCGGAGCCATATTCTAGATATGGCGGAGGCAATGATTATAAACGTGGACGAGGACGTAGAGGACAAAGACAACCACCCCCTGGGCCCGGTGAATGTTTCTTTTGTCTTTCAAATCCAAATTTGGCTACTCACCTTATTGCTTCAATCGGCGATGATGCCTATTTGACAATTGCAAAAGGACCTTTGACTACCGCGACCACGAATGCGTCCTTGGGCATTGACTTTCCTGCACATGCATTGATCATTCCTCTCTCTCATTCGCCTACATTGGCCCTAATCCCGGAGGAAGAGTCAAAATACAACACCTACGTTGAAATGAACAAATACAAGGAGGCGCTACAGAAAATGATTGCACAACGCAGCGAAAACAAGCTAGGCGCTGTTACCTATGAGATCAGTAAAGGTAATGGCGTTCATACACATTGGCAGCTCATTCCTATGCCTATCGAAACCATCCAAAAGGGTCTTGTTGAAGCCGCCTTCCGAGTCGAGGCCGAAAATCTTCAATATCCAGCCTTCGAAGTGAGGGATCCAGGAATCGGTCAAAATGATGGCGATTTCTTTCGCGTATGGATCTGGACACCTCCGACCGAAGAATCTCCAGAGGGAAGTACCAAATGCATTACAATGCCATTTGATTGGAATGTTCGCTTCAATCTCCAATTTGGTAGAACGGTCCTAGCAAAACTTCTAAGTTTGGAAAAGAGAATCCAGTGGAGAGATTGTGCTCAGACAGGGGATGAGGAGAAACAAGATGCTGAGTCTTTCAAGGCTGCATTCAAGGAGTTTGATTTCGCGCTTTAATCCGCATTTAGATGTTCATATTCAAGCGGGGGCGTATACATGCATAGTTTGGGAGTTCTTGCATATCTTTATTTATCATTACGCACACTTTCTTCTTATCATTGGATGGACGCTGGAAAAATTATGAAGCTAGCATACATATGCTTTTTGTCTTCTCTCACGGTGGGACAAATAAGTAAATCGATGCATGGTTGGTACGCATAAAGGCGTTGAGGAAAATCATCTTTTTATTTTCAATTTTCGATATTTTTTTATATCTAGGTTATGGGAAGGCATAGATGAACACTTCATGGATATCATACATAGTCAATACACACTCAAATAAAAGCATCCTTTTCTTTTCATCTTTCTCTCTTTTTTTCTTTTTATAAACATCGCAGCAGTCAGCTCTTCAAGCTCATCTCATCGTCTTGATAGTCAACATTGAAATTGAAATTACATTTGAAGAATTTCATTTACATACCTAGGTACCTGCATCCACTCTCCCTCTCCTCCTTTCCCCCCCTCGCGTATCATCTCTTCCTGTGAATCACTCAATATATCTATCTAATCTAATCTAATCTAACCTAATCCGCGACTTGTGTAAATAACTAATAAAAATAATAAATAAATTGATATCGCGGATTTCGTAATAGACGGATTCCATTCACGGACAGATAGCATCGTAAATCAGAATGTGAACATTATTTTTCTGTGTACGATTAATAGGTGATAGATAGGTGAGTAGTTAAAATATCATATATGTGATGGAGACCTTTCTTTCATCTTGTGATTCTTGTTTTCTTGAGGGGGGGTCTCATCTCTTGTTTTTGCTTTTGTGTGTTGATTTTCTTGTTCTTTTTTGGGGGGGAGGGGGGGAGAGTTTTTACACAGATGCATGCCCGTGTGTATGGATGAATGAGTCTTACGTAGGTGATGGATAGATTACATATATATCCCTATTAAAAATTTGTGATTCCACACCTCACTCACATCTCAACCCATAAACACAACCTCTCCTTCTCGATAATTGAAAAATTGGAAGAAAGAACGTAATAATTGATAGATAGATAGATAATATCAAGAACATTTGGGTAATCTGCGAGAGAGAGACTAGCTAGCTCTACTATTTAACTTTCTTTCTTCAGCTTGGTTGGTATGTTATGTAAATGGAAATTTAGTTGGATGTTCTTTCATCTCGATATATCATATTTTGTAATTTTGAGTTGTGAATAGATGAGTTTGTGAACTGATGAATTGAGTTTTCCGGATACTATGGAAGAAGGTCTCCCATCGAGTCGCTAACCAAATGTACTCAGTGTGATGATGCCCTGCACTTGTATCCACATCTCCCTGGGGATTCCACTCATCCCCCTCTCCCTTCCTCTCTCACTCACTTCACTCAAATCCCAACCTCCCATTAACCATCATACTCCTTAGCCATTCGAATCTCAAACCACTCCTCCTTCTCCTCCTCCTTCTCATACCTCCCACCTCCACCTCCAATCCCGAACCCATCCTCCCCATCCCTCCCAGCACAATGCAGCCACCTACTCTCCTCCGCCACTCTCCACCCATTCCCCACTGGGCCCAGTGTTTTTCCTCCACTCTTCTCCTCTCCCTCACATATCCATTCTTTCGCCATCTCCCCCTTCGTCACCCATTCATTTTCTTCTTCCTCTTCGCCATCTCCTTTCTCTAAATCCCAGTCCCATCTTCGTTTTGATTTTCTTTTTTTATCTGCTCTCGCATTTCCATCTCTATCCATCTTCGCTCTCGCTCCTACAATTCCCTCCATAGCCCCCAAGCCCTGCCCTGAGCGCACGAGATCAAGAGCCTCGAAATGAGACATCCGTTTTTTCATATCGCGTTTCCAGAAATGGAAGATGCGGGCTCGGAGATAGAGGTAGAGGAGGCGGGGAACATAGAGGAGGAAGATGAAGAAGAGGGTTAGGAGGAGGGTAGTTATAGAGAAGGAGAGGATGGGGTATGAGGCGAAGGATTTAGTGCTCATGGTTTGTAGGGTGGTTGTTTGGGCTCGGCTGGGTTGTAGTGGGTGGAGGAATTGAAGAATGGGTTGTTTTGAAGGGTTTGTGAAGCTATCCAGATAGATGGTGTAAAGATGTGAGGTTGATCGAGTAGTGTGCGCAGAAGTAATTGTATTTGGAGAAAAAGAATCATTTTGAGGTTTTAGTCCTAATTTGCGTTCAAGATACACAAAGAATAGTGAGATAGATGTTGTAGACCGAGGAGCTGAAGAAATGCAAGTTGATATGATGGTATGATGGTATATGTATTAGTCAAACAATGAAGTTAGCTGTAGTGGAATGCATACCTAGGTAATGTAGCCGTAAAGTTAACGAATACGATGAACTTGTTGTTGATCAGTCTGCGTGTTGTGGAAATTGGTGACGATGTATTCACTTGCTGAATAACCGTATAAATTCATCTCACGCACGAACGTGGTAGTCATTCGCCTTGTAATGTAGGTATTTGCCAAGACAATTTTATATTCACGGGAATGATATTCATTAGGTAGCATGAGATAGGTAGACAGAACTTTGAATACTTAGCAGTACCTAAGTCATCGAAGAAAAGAACTCTATGGAGTGACTACCTCGCCAATTCCAAGGATATCAAGTAATCAACTCCAGTTAAACTCAGATGTGCAACAAGAGCCGAAAAGCTCTATCTAATTCCATCTATTTAACTCTCGGGCAAATCAGATATGCAACAAACCTTAATGAAATATTTCTCCTACTTTAGCTAGGTACTTCAGGAAAAGTCGGACACGCAACGAGACTCAAAATAATTCATCTAATTCCGTTCATTTAACTCTCGGGCTAGCCAGATGTGCAACAAAATCCAAAGGAATGCATGTAATTGACTCTCAGAAAGTCAGATATACAACAAGACTTGAAACATACACTTCTAATTTTTTGAATGAGATAAGATCATCGTACTTTGAGGGGATTCTGGTGGTATAGAGTTTTGGTTGGAGTAAACATTCACCCATTCTTCAAAACCGGAACGCAATTATTCACCAGTCTGACTTGGACATAGACTGCATTTGTAATGGAAGAGAGAATGCTACATTTAAATACTTGTGACCATTTATGTGTGCGCTTGCGTTGTATAGAGGTAAGTAAATAATTCGATGCTCTGGTCATTTTTTTCAAACTTCCAAAACATTTGTGTGTTTGGCAGAATTGAAACGGCCGAGGACAACACGAGGAGAAAACATCCACTTAATGAACTGTAGTGATCAGGAAGGTGATCTACAATGGTTTAGATGCCAAGAGTATGAGGGGAAGAAGATATTGTCAGCGAGGATGAATTGAGAGCATGAAACTTGCTGCTGACGAAGTGAGAAGGCCTGAAACGATCGAACAAAACTATCTGCAGGCGTCCAGGAACTGCGTGCTTGACATGTTGTCGATACATATCTGAAGTTTTCTACAATTCTTATCGATTTCATTGTGTGTTAATAACAGATGTATGTGGATGTAGGAATGAATGAATATTCAGGTTCTATCAGCCCTTTCCTCAGATGGATTGCTGCAACTTTGCTGCAATAACCTCTCGATGTGTGGTTCGCAAAATGATTTATTTAACGAAAGACAACGCAATCTATTGCTTGCCGTTAGATGAATTCGATGTCAGTTCGACGTCTAATCCGTAAATGGGTGGGGGGCAAAAGAATAAGAAATCTCTCATCTCTTCCCAAAAGTAGCGGGGTATAATTTCATCAAAAATGAAGCAAAAGATCAATTGTCCTTGGAGAGACTCGAACTCTCGACCTTTGGATGGCTAAAGTGACTGTTAACAATCACCTCATATAAGAATATGAGACCAACGCTCTAACCAACTGAGCCACAAAGACTTGTTATCAATTTTGTATGCTTGAAACTGCTTGTTGTTGGTATCTATTCAAGAACAAGTGGGGGCTAAAGAATTTTTCCTCTCTTTTTCTTGTTTGTGTGGTTCACTGCACCCTGCCCTGCATGAGTCGGGTTACATCCCGGCGGGGGTTGCTCCGCATGGAAAGATCTCACAACTAATAAAGCTGTTTGATCAATCACTCGGGTGTGTCCCCGCCAATCAACCTTGAGACGAATTACTGGTTGTTCGAAAAGCTTTGAAATGTTGGCATTTTGTTCTATTTAACCGGATGCCGGAGTCTCGAGACGTGATGTGATGCCTCGAACTCTCAAGCTGGAAACCGTTGAAGGGCAAAAGAGGTTGAGGGTTCATACTAGGTACGGCTTTGCCGCCCCACCCATTTTGATGTAACTTCGAGATGTAGAACGTCAAAGTATCTCAATTTTACTTATCAATATCAACAATAGCATTATGATTTGGTTTTGGAAAAAAGAAAAAAACCTATGGTCGCAAGACATAGCTTCCTATCGATTCAATTTCATTCGAGAAAAGTATGAGATTATCTCAAAATCAATTGCTACAAGCTAAAGACATATTTTACCCTTCATTTTCATTACTAAGCGAGCAATTCCATTCCTGAAATCTGATAAATGCTGAATTACTATCATTATTCTATGTTAATTTGCTAGAAGTCTGATATTTTAAGTACTAGGTATCAGGTTCCTTGACACGATTGAACTCTGAGATACAGGTTCGTTGGTAAGTAGTTGGCAAACTAGAAGTCACCACTGATTGGCAGGCTGCCTTTTGTTTTCCTCACGTGTTTCAATCTTGACCAGTTATTTGGTTCCATGGACGGCTCAATACCGGTTCACATTCTGTCATCTTATTGTCTGCCTCCAAACGCTCGCCGCTGCGCCGTTCGTTCTTGGCCTCAACAGTACGACACATGACTTGGAAAAGTTTCCTTTTCTCGTGATGGTCATGGGAGAATACCCAGGATGAACTCAAATGAAATGACCAACCATATCTGCGGTACTTTACCCGATGCCAACCCTGCCTAACTATGCATGTATTGGATGCACAAACACAAATGACCATCAAATTTGTATCACTACCCCGCCAAGTGAGGGGAATTCGATTCACTATTCGGAACCATGATACCTTGCAATACCTAGGTAAGAACAACTCGTCCCAAGTGTTCGTCGGTCACACTCTCGGACCGATTGTATATGCATGTCGAGTGTTCTTGTTGGTGCACATTCGGAGCAGCTCATCCCTCGAGCCATACATAGGGACAGGAACAAAGTCACTCCTAGCCTCCGAAGCTAGACCCCAGTAACCCCAGACTTTTGGGTCCCGCCATCGGGTATATACAAGGAAATTTTACTTTAGTTTGATAATCTGGGGAAGAGCTTTATGAGTTCATGGTTTTTCAATTTGACACGGAAACGTGCAGATGAAGCTATAGCTAGTCTAGATTACCCGAGCCATATGCATGATGCCGTGTGAAATTACCACGCTGCATGAACGTCCAGTTACGATATGATTCATATGCGGAGGAGATTTCTCATTACTCTCAGTATTCACTATGACCCTCGTAATTTCCCTCTCAGCTCAATGTAAATCCCTACCATTTTTCTCTTAAAGAGGAAGGAGGGACCCCACAATTTTCCACTTTCTCTCTTTCATCTCCAGAAAGCTCTCGAGCAACTGCTATGAAAATGAAGCTCTTAGTATTATTTAAATCAGCTGTATTCTTTACTGCCTCTGCGTTTGCTCAAAACGATGGAGATTTCTCTCCTCCTAGTTATCCATCTCCATGGATGAATGGCAATGGTGATTGGGCAGATGCATACGCCAAAGCAAAGAAATTTGTTAGCCAGCTTACTCTCCTTGAGAAAGTTAACCTTACCACCGGTGTTGGTTGGGAAGGTGAATCTTGTGTAGGAAATACTGGCACAATTCCACGACTTGGTTTCCCAGGACTTTGCCTACAAGATTCTCCTCTCGGCATTCGATTTAGTGAGTTCCCTTGCAACATTAAGACTATATAATGACTGACGCGTTATAACTAGCTGATCAGAATTCCGCTTTCCCTGCTGGAATGAATGCTGCTGCAACATGGAGTTATGACTTGATTAATGCTCGAGGTATTGCTATGGGCCAGGAACATCGAGGAAAAGGCATTGATGTTCAATTGGGCCCTGTAGCTGGTAAGCAATTTGTCGAAGTCCATTAAATTCTGAATTTAATTTGTCTGAAATAGGTCCAATTGGAAGAGTACCAGCAGGTGGAAGAAATTGGGAAGGTTTCAGCCCAGACCCTGTTCTTACAGGAGTTAGTATGATGGCAACAATTGAAGGAATTCGTACGACTACTCATCCTTGATAAGAACTTTCTGTCTTCCGAATCTTCATACGAGCATGAATGCTAACAACTTCTCTGTTGCAGAGGATGCTGGAGTCGTCGCTTGCGCTAAGCATTATATTATGAATGAGCAAGAACATTTCAGAGAACCTAGCAACGGAAATGCTGCATTATCCGCAAACGTGGATGACAAGACCATGCATGAACTTTATTTATGGTAAGTGTTAAGTACCTCGTCTCTGGACACAACTAACTACTGTACAGGCCATTTGCAGATGCTGTTCGCGCAGGAGCTGGTGCCGTCATGTGTTCATACAATCGTATCAATCAAAGTTACGGTTCAGAGAATAGTTGGACTCTCAATTACTTGTTGAAAAATGAATTGGACTTCCAAGGTTTTGGTATGTACTTCGAACTGTTGGCATGTTTTCAAGCTAACAGCACATTCCAGTTGTAAGTGACTGGTGGGCACAGCATTCTGGAGTTGCTAGTGCATTGGCCGGACTCGAGTAAGTTTCCTCAGTCTTCACAGCAACAAGCCGAGCTAATGATTCTTAGCATGACAATGGCCGGAGATCAAAATCTTGCTTCAGGTAACACTTACTGGGGAACTAATTTGACCAATGCCGTGTTGAATGGAACCATTCCTCAATGGCGTCTTGATGACATGGTTGTTCGAATCATGTCTGCATACTACAAAGTTGGCAGAGATACAGCAAAAGTTCCAGTGAACTTCAATTCTTGGAATCTCAGTACCTATGGTTATCAGCATCCTCAGGCTAACGAAGACTTCGCCCAAATTAACCAACATGTTAATGTGCAAGGTGATCATGCTCCGCTCATCCGCGAAATTGGTGCCAAGTCGACTGTTCTATTGAAGAACACCAAAGGTGCACTGCCATTGAAAAATCCAAAAACATTGGCTATTATTGGAGAAGATGCCCATGATAACCCAGGTGGCCCAAATGCTTGTGGAGATCGAGGGTGCAATATTGGCACGCTTGCAATGGTATGTTCTCCCTTTGGAACCTGATTGATGAACTCCACTAACCGCGATTCCTTACTACAGGGTTGGGGTTCTGGCACTGCAAACTTTCCTTATTTGATATCTCCAGTCACAGCATTGAAAGCTAAGGCAGGAGAAGGATATGGTCATAGTTCCACCACCGTTAGAAACGTCAGCGACAATTACGATTTCGCCGCTATCACTGCAGCCGCAACAAATGCTGATGTCGCCTTAGTCTTCGCCAATGCAAATGGTGGAGAAGCTTTCATTACCGTCGATGGTAACCAAGGAGACAGAAATAATCTCACATTATGGGGTAATGGAGATGCTGTTATTGATCTTGTTGCATCCATCAACAAAAATACGATTATTGTCCTTCACACAATCGGACCCGTTATTATTGAGGCATACAAGAATCATCCCAATGTGACTGCCATTCTGTGGGCTGGTCTACCTGGTCAAGAATCAGGAAACTCAATTACGGACGTCTTATACGGTGAAGTAAACCCACAAGCAAAATCTATCTTCACATGGGGAAAGTCTCGGGAAGATTGGGGTGTAGATGTCGATTACACCATCTCCTCTCCAGACCCACAGCAGAACTACAAGGAAGGTGTATTCATTGACTATCGTCACTTCGACGCCAAAAATATCGAGCCATCCTACGAATTCGGTTTCGGTCTTTCATATACCACATTCTCATACTCTGACTTGCGCATTCAAAGCAAGCGTGCTCGCCCTTACACACCCACCAAAGGACAAACATCATCAGCTCCAACATTTGGCAAAATTAATTACAATGCATCGGCTGCCCAATTCCCACCAGGATTCCACAAGGTTCCTCTTTATGTATATCCTTATCTTGATGGTCCTGTGGTCGCAAATCAAAGCGATCAAACCCTTCCTCATTCAAAGGATAGCACCCCACAACCTCTTCTCGCTGCTGGTGGTGAACCAGGTGGTAATCCAGGCTTGTATGATGTGCTTTATACTGTTACTGCTACAATCAAGAATACAGGCAAAATCGTTGGGACCGAAATTCCACAACTTGTAAGCTCCTCCTCTCCTTTCTCTCCTCTTTTTCTCCCCTTGTATCCCCTTCCCTCTCATATCAACACACAACCACACAACCCACTAACCCCACCACCCAGTACATATCCCTCGGCGGACCCACCGACCCCAAGATCGTCCTCCGCGGCTTCGACGACATGGAGCTCGAACCCCGCGAATCCGACACCTTCAGATACGGCATCACGAGACGTGATATCAGTAACTGGGATCCGGTAACCCAAAATTGGTTTATCAGCGAATATCCCAAGACGGTGTATGTAGGAAGCTCGAGTAGGAATTTGGTGCTTAGTGGAACGTTGCAGTGAGGTTGAGAGGGTTATTTGGGGAGGTAGGGGTTTATATGGTGGGTCGGTCCAGGGGAGGAGAATAGTAGGTATGCAGGGTAATCAATACATGGGCTATTTTACTTGATGATAATATCTTTTGAGGGTGATGACTGATATGTGAAGATATTATGTGCGCTTATGATTAATCGACCTGGCATTAATTATACGCGGTGACGAACGAGTCACTTCTTGAGCTTCGAGTGAAGCATGGAAATTCTCGTGAATGGTTGAAGCATTCTGCATAAACATCAGTAAGACCAAAAATCGTTATTCAGCAGATCTTATGCACCATTCAGTTCACTCCAGTCACTAACATCACAACATTTTTTCGACGGGAGAGAATTTATGGATATTCCCAACGCTATTATTGTTTTCTATTTTGCTAGCTCTACAATTATCATTGACACCGACGTCAAACACGAACCCCTCCGAATATCTTACCCTAAACCTGATTTTTGACTCGCTGGCCTATACAGGCGTCCTGACAAACAAATATCCATATTTTTCTGCCTCTTCTCTACTTCTAAGGTCTTTCCGCCCTACGTATCTCCGCCCTACGTCTCTCTTCACCTCGGCGAATCGTTTCTTTCAGAAGATGAAGAATATAGGGCATAAAGCTATAAAAAAACCAAAGCCAAAGTAGATTGTACAAATTATCTCGCACGATCTTATTGACATTCCGGAAGCGCGTAATGAAAGCTTGTTTACTGTCATAAACAACTTCATACCCATCGTCCACTTCCACAGCGCGCATACCTTCGTTCCTTCTTTCCTTACGAAATTCTTCATTCATACCCTCATAGTCAAAGTTGCTAAAGCTCGCCGTAACCCCCAGAAAGATTTCTCTCAGACACTGGTAGCCAAAGAGGAGTATTTCTTTTGCTGCAACGAGGCATTGATCGAAAAGTCCTGGTACTAATTGAGCCTTCGTTATCACAGCTGCTTCCATATACCGGTAGCAGGTGAGAAACACTCCTGCCGCCCAACCGGGACACTGAAGAATAATGCCTGGTATTAACTGAGCATTTGTTGACACAGCTGGTATCTGTATGATCAACACAAGCAGCAATAAAAGAGCTGCATGAGTCCATCTGACACGAGCACGCACATCTCTTACCATCTTTTTGAATCTGACAATGAATTCCGTAGAAGTAGAACTGATTATACTTTTCCGTCCTAATATGAATTTTTGGTCTCCCTTAGAGAACTCTCTCGCATCATCCGACTTTCTTTCCAAGTTGACCTCCATGACTTTCAAGTTTAAAGGCTTGTTACACCATGCCGAGAGATAGATAGTGCATTCTTGGAGTTGACAATCTGGAGACATGTTCGGAAAACCAGCGATATTTTGGGCCTTTCTGGGTTGGTAAATGTTGACTACCCATCCCAAGCCTGCAATAGAACCATGGTATAGATAACAGAAACCGATGAAAGCAAAAATACAGAATGTGTCCAAGGCAAGATAAAGAAGTTTCGCTGGACCGACGAGTTTATAGAGCATGATGTAAGGTTTCAAGATGAACTCGTACATAATCGAAAATATGGATTTCACCAACCACATAAGATTGGATGGACTCGTGAGGAGAGATGATTGCATTAGTACCATGAATCCGAGTACCATCGTTATGATCTGGGAAAGCTCGAATGGAAGTGGAGACATCGTACTCTCGATACTGAGCGAGGCAACTGTTTCCGCGATTTCTTTATTGCTGAATTCTGAGGGGTCACTATTGGTGAATAGTTAGAATGATGATTGTTTAGGTCATGATGAATTGTATTCTGGGCACAATGAAAACATACCAGACAGCTTGTTCAGCCAATCCTATGAACACAGCCCAGAAGGAAGGTTTGGGGCACTCAGCCAGTTCGGCCATCGTGTATCTTGGGCTTGAGGTTCAAGTAGCTTAAGCTATGGAGACTGTGTCGAATATGAATGAAGTAAGTAATGTTCTTCTACCCAAAATTGTTGTGAATGGTTGAAATGAGAAGAATTGATTAATTGTTGTTCACGAGGTTAAGCAGAAGGAGATTTGGATTTTAATATGTATTTTTTTGGGAGAAGGTAGTTCCTTCCTTTTTATGCTATTTAGATACATGTACATGTATGATTCCTGCCGCTATGTAAAAACTAAACCAAAATGCAAGAGCGAAGAAATAAAAAAACTGAAGGGCAGAGAGAATAACCATTCCTGCCCGATGCAAACTGAGTGCTGTCATAACAGATGCCTCAAAAGATGTAGACCCATTCCACCAAACTTCCTTACAACAGCGACACAGACTCCTGATGCCCAGAATACCTCCACAAAAACTCTTCCTCGCAATGTATCAACCACTTTTGTGTGCTATTATTCCTTTCACATCCCAATCCAATCCACAAATCAAACACCACTCCCGGATCCCGCCATTTCTTAACAATCATCCCCTTTATATCAAAACTACTTCCCCCTAACACCATTACAATATCTCAAATCACCCCAAAGTCATTTTTCCTTAACCCTGCGAAATGTATTGTCATTAGATCTGCAGCCCATTGTTAATTCCCAACCCTCAGCGTCAAGCATTCGATAGCTTCTCAACCCGAACTCTCATGGTGTCAATGGAATCCTATCTTTGGCTAAATAGCTTAGTTTGCCAGTGACCCCATTGACTTCGGAGCATTTTCTGCCTGCTTTGTCTAGTAGGTGCCGGATCATTGCGCCTAGCGGCAGCAAATCTTGAACGATATGGTCTGATCCGTGAAGCCGAAGCATTTGGAGGGCTTGGATTTTGCTGCTGTGGTGGAAGTGAGGTATCCTGGCGGACAGGGTAGCCGCCATCATTGACATCATGATTGAAATGTTCTTGTCCAGCATCAGCCTGCGTGTGTTGACGTCGACCATCTGGGTCATAATGCACACCATCGTGCCCAACATAGTTAGTGGCTGGCTCCTCCCACATATTTTGATCAGGAGAATCGTCCGATGTTGCTTCAAAAATAAGCGAATTTGCCGCAGTACGGGTGGGAATCTGTATTCATTTAGTAAGAATTTTTGGCAATAGTCAAGTAATGATAAACCTACGCTGCCTATCGGTCTAACACGCTTTCTGCTGTGTTCTTCCTCATGTTCATCGTCTTCCTCATATGTACCGAAAGTGCGCTTGCGGCCATACTCGTCATCAGTTTCTTCATCCTCGTCGAAGTCCTGGATATCGTACTCTGTAGCACGGTCATCTGGTGGAACTTCTGCTAAGAGACAAGTGACTGTATCGGCCCACTTCTCCAACGCAGCCTCTTTTCTCCCTGTCTGCATGATTTCATCCACAATATCTATCTTCTTCTTGTCAAAGTCTAGATCCAACTTCTTTCTGGCCCATGCTCTCTTGATTGGATCTCTAGAATGCACGGGATACATACTGCCTTCATCTTCCTCGTCTTCCATATAGTTGACGTAACTGTCTTGTTGCATCTGTCGATTTGCAATGATTGGGAATGCAGCATCTAGATGCGGGGTAGGTAGAGGATTTACTGGCTGTTGGACTTCTTGTGTGTTGTCATCAATATTTTCCTGTACCTGGGAAATGATGCCTCCAGTAGCGATTGGCTCTTCTTGTCTAGTGGGTGTCGCAAAGTTAGATTGATCCCGAGGCAAATTGGCATCCTGCTCTAGAATTTCTTGCTGTTCGAAACCAACTGGCTGCTCTGCTTCAACAATTTCTCCTTCCTCGATGATGTCAGCTGGACCATTTGAGATGGTGCCATCATCAGTTTTCACAGAATTAGCCGCGAGCGTTGGGCTCTCCTGGTGTTGGCCATTCCATGCTTGGGGTGCTTGAGGAAGTTTTGTTTCGTGGAGGGCCTCTTGTTGGCCATCGGCGATTGTAAGTGGTTCAATTTCTCCAGAATCGGCTAATACTTCCGGGTTGCCTGTGTTCTCGGAGTCATGTGGTTGCCGAGCCTGAGCAAAGTTCTCATCCCCACTCACCTGCTCTTGCTCATTCGGAGCTGCAATGTTATCGGATTGTGCAAGATATCCACTGGGCTGTACAACATTCTGGACGCCGTGGTTTCCTTGTTGCTGATACATCATTTGATATGCATCAACCATGACTTCTGCTTGGGTCATACCAATTGTTTCATGATAGATGTATGGCGTGGCTGCAGGTTTCTGCTGGGCTACAGAGAGTGCATACTCAAGTTCTCGGATTCGTTTTGCCTGCTCCTTGACCACATTCTTCGTCTTATCGTGAACATACTCCATTTGCTTTTGTCTAAGCAATGTCCAGCGAGCATGTTCTTCAACAAGCAGTTTGTGAGGGACTGCAACCAACGAGATTTGTCTTGAGTTCCATTTATCCATGATGTCACCTGCCTCCATTTTGAGTTCGTTAAATTCAACCAAATACTCTCTGTCTAGGAGTCTCTGATATCTCGTGCTTTCGTTGAGACATCTGGTATATAGCTTTCTCTCCTTTCTGAGAGCTTCAAGCGTGCGCATCTCTGAAGGATCGAGTGAACGACTGATGACTTCCTTATAGAGAGCCATAACATGGCTGAATCTACGGTCTTCCTTCTTCATCTTTTCTTCATAATGTTCTTGTACATTGATGAGACATTCCTCAATCACCTCAAGCATCTCATACTCAGGATCGCTCACTTGAAACGGGGCTGGTTCATAAGAATTGAAAGTCTGGATTTCATCCCGCAGGTATTCTGTTGGGAGATCTGGATAGTGGTTCTTGTCTGGATTGGCAAGGTATGGATGAGTTTCCTGTAAAGCAGTTAGGAAAAGTCATATGTTTCAAGGGAGTGCGGGAAAACTTACAACGCATTGAACCTCTTGATTCTCTAGGGCATCCTCGTATAACTCCTCAGGAGCGTCGAAGAATATATCTTCAACAGTTTGTGCGCCGGCGTCTCTGTATTGGAATGAAGTAGACATTTTGAAGATGTTCGTTCTGGAAGTATGAATTTGAGTTGTGAGAGTTATCGCGATGGATATCGTGAAGAAATCTTGTATTGAAGTGTTGAAATTGTAAAGTAAGTTTTCTCTATTATCAAGTCGAATTGATGTCAAGAAAGTTATTGTGAAGAATCAGAATCAAATTGGTGCGAAGAAATGCTTTTAAGCTAGATGAGAGATCATATTTCAGTACGGTTCTATATATTACAACGACACTGGCTGTTTCTGAGTGATTAGCGGCAGTGAAGTGAAGATGCTGTATTATTCAACATGGTCAATCTAAGAATTATTCTATTTGCCCTTCGAGAATACAGCGAGGATTTGAACTGGCTGGCATTGAACATGAAGCCGGATTGCCATATGATTCACCGTTGAAATTTTCATTGACACTGTTGTAGATGAGGTTGACGATGTTGATGATTGGGACAGTGTATGGTGAAATAGGAAGACTGAGTAATATTGAACGAATGGTAGAAGATTGATATTGGGTATCAACTTCGAGATATACTTCAAGAAAGACTCCTGTGGTTGGATTTGCAGAAACCCTTGGACTGCCAAGTGGGAGCTATTTGCATCCGAATTCTCGAAACAATAAATTTTGATGCAGTAGTTCCACATTCCAAGTCCATCTCATACGGCCGGGCGTATATAAAAGTAACTAATATATCTGTGTAGTATACATTGGAAAGCGTCTTGTGCTTCGTGATGAAGTGTTTTTCCTGGGTGCGGGAGAATTGGCATTGGTGCCTCCCAAAAGCTATCCTTATTCATATGAGATGTGATGGCAGACATGAAGGAAATCACCTCTTGGGATGGTATTTCGTGGTATCAATAGCATAAAAAACAGTTGATCGTATAATATTCTTAAGTATTGCATCTATCTACTCTTAACAAAATACATTAACCATGCCAATCATTAGTCACACACCACTATTAGCGACGCGCGCGTTTTGCTGCTCTCTCTTCCATCTCGCGATCCTCATACTCCTCAAATCTACGCTTATAAACTGAAGGCTCCCATGTTCCATCCATTCTATTAAATACCTCTCCTTGCATTGCATGCATCTCTAGCTCATCACTCCAGTTTTTTGATCGTCTATTTCCATTTTGAGTGCATCAATGCTATGATTCAAACAATCTCCTCGAGCTCTAGCCTCAAACAGGTCTCTTCTTAGCGATGTCAGCTCTTGTCTTTCCCTACCCAGATTCTCCAGCAAAACACTACAATTCTCGCGCGCAGCATCTCGTTGACGTCTTTCGAGGATGATCGCTTCACGGTGATTCCTGAGATGGGCTTCAAGATTTCGATTTCGAATTGCGTCATCGTTTTGTTGTTCGATCGCACGATCGACGCTCCGATTATGTTCTCCCAACACGCCCTCTCTCACTCTTCGAAGATGGTTATAATCATCTTGAAATTGATACATACGGGTCTCAATTAACTCATTGTCGTATTGGAGAAAAGCCAATCCGCTTTCCAGTCCCGCCTTCTCTCTCAATACATTCTGGAGACGATTCTGTATCTCTGAGTTGTTCGCTCGCAGCTGTTGTAGGGCCAATTCTGTTTCGCGTTCTCTACATTTCTTCTTCCATTCCTGTGAGATTTCCCTCATTTTCTTCGCAAGCATCGATACGGTGTCGAGATATTCATTCTCAAGGCGTTCCTTTGTCCGAGAACATTCATTGATTCTCTCCAGGACCAAATCTCTCTTTCTCTTATAATCGGAGCCAGTATAGATATTGTCCGGCTCGTGTAATGTTTCTCCAACAGCCCAAAGCTTTTGGAGAGTCACACTGATTGTGTGGTCTTCTACCTCGATATCACGCTCATGATTATCGTGCAAGTTTGAAAGCTTTGCGCGTATATGCTGAAGCTGGATATATTCTCGATCGTCATCACGAAGATTCTCGTCTGTAATAAAGACGCCGATTTCGTTGTTAAGTGTGTCTGTAGGTAGTATAGGCCAATAATTCCGTTCTGGATTGTTGACAAATCTGTTGGTCTTTTCCTCTGTTAGAAAGGGTGACTCTCATAGAGGTAATATCAAATTAATTAGATTACTCACAGCCAAAACGATATGAAAATTCTGATTCTCGAGAGCATCAAAATATTCTTCGATTTCTTGCTGTGGTAAGTCGGCGGGCGCATCGTACCACGTATCTTCGTCGCCGAAAATGTGATCGGGGTGGTAGAGAGATTTTAGCATGTCGGAAAAGGGTGAGGAAGCCATCGTAACGATTACCAAACTGTTCTGGATGTATGAAGTTTCTCGCAGAGGTGGTCGTGGGTAATCAAATCAAAAAGGTTGTAGTCGGGCACAGGAATTTTATTTAATCAGCGGTGCTATACCAAGGTCCAAAATTCAATTTAGCGTGGTTTAGATTTATACTGATTCGCTTACTCAATTAGAAATCAAGAGCAATTCCATTGTTGGCTAGCGTCACGTGGCTCGCGTATTTCAGGAGGACTGTTGGGAGTGAAAGGGCAGTGCATGGACCAATGAGTGAATTTGAAGAAAAAAACAAATTTGATTTTGTCAAGATCAAAGATTAATTCACTTTTCTTGCAGTATGAATGACACAGAGAAGTCCCGATGATGGCAGGTTAGAGATCAGCCTCGTGGTATCACACCTAGAAACTTTACAAGAGGTGAGATAGCGTATGCATGTATGTTACTTTGATGTCGAGCAGATATGCCACTAAAAGAAATTAATGTGAGAAATTTATATGACTGTAGATGCGTGAGTATAAGTATTCATATATCATGAGATCGTTTGCTTTTCCAATATATTGAGCAACAGCAAACGCGAAAATGCTCTAAACCACCGAGTAGAACCAGAACTGTTTGCGCTTGAAGTCGGAGAAATCACGATGAATAGAATAGTTTTGTATGAGATTGCCTCCATCGTCCCTATCCATGAATGCTTAGGATAATTGAGCCTGTGATATCATATTTACCATATAATGACTTTCCAGTTTACAAATGATCATTGAAGTGACTCATAAGTTCACAGTTATCATAGATCTTCAGAAGATCACCGCATTGCTTCAAAAAATGCTGATATCATTAACATCATATCTCATAGAAATATCATTCTGTCTATTATTCTACATTATTCGTACTCATGACAGGAGATTTAGAAAGGTCTGAAATTATGTGAGTAAAGAAAAGAAAAAATTGTTACGCAGGAAAGGATACGAAAGAAAGAAAACATTATTCTCTATGCCAATACATGAACTGCTATTCCTACATGCTGCCATTAATGAGGCTGGCCAGTAAAAAACCATCAGGATGTCATATATCCATTTTTCAAGTACGAATTCCGCGAAGGAATAAGGTGAGAGATGCGCCAATCACACCGCAGCTTATTGACAAAATGACAAAGTCTCGTTCCTTCACTTAATGAATATTATCAAGGTCTATCATATTCAGGAGAGAAACAGGATAAGGTCTACTAGTGATTCGGTTAGTTCACTTAGTTCCCAAACACTAAAATCAAAACACTCACACCAAGTGCACACATGCACCCCCAGAATCAGAATCACAATCCTGATCGCTCTGCGTCCCAATTTCTTTGCAAATCTCTCCAGTATGGAATGCACAACTTGTAGTCGCGCATGCCAGAACATCTTCCGCAAGGAGTTCGACGGTCGCAGTTCTTTTTCATCTGTACACACGAGGCACAGCGAGGAGGTTGCTTGAGTCTGAAATCTGATCTGGCAGAGGGTGAAGATTCCGTCTTGGCACGCTTGGGAGGAGGCATTGATGGACTGGAAAGAGATGACTCTAATGACCCGCCAACTATGGTACCAGTTGCGGCAACATTTTGTTCAGGTGCAGTGTTGTGCAGGGATAGATTATGGAATAGCTGCTCGGTATTGGGGGGTGGTAGCGAGGCACGTTTGCTGTTCTTGGTAAGACTTGGTACCCACTTCTTCGAGTGAGCCTTGCGCTTAGGGAGTCGAGGTTCTTCCTGTTCTTGTACTTTCGATTCTTCCTTTGGCGGAGAAGGTGGCGCTTGGTAACCCATTTCTACAAAATAATTGGTCATAGTCGTATCAATTGAATGGGCATTTACTGCTTGGCGCCAGTGTTCTTCATCTTCTGCCTCCTGTTCCGCGGTAAGTTGAGGAGATGCAGCCTCACGATCTTCATTATGATCTCTATCTTTATCGTCATCAACGTCTATAGCCATCTCCCCACCCATTTCAGCACTCATGCCATTGTCGATATTACTATGTCTAGCACTTCTTCTGAGTCCCTGATGTACTATTGGTACACCCGTATGTAGTTTCTTAAGTTTTTCATTGAAGCTTGTGAAAGAATCACGAATAAACTGGATATGCTCCTCGGCCACCACTGCTGGATATTTCTGGCTGACTAACTGCTCAAGAAATTCACCTCGTCGATATTCTGTCTTGGCTTGATTGGCTGCTGAGGATACGGTGAGGGATTGAAATCGAGGTACAACTTCTGATAGCCTGTGTATGGCGTTGCTGGGTTGGTCTGTCGGCTGACCAGGTGTACGGCGGGAGGTTTGCTTCATTGCAAGGAAAGAGTGGTAATATGCGCTTATTCGATTTTCGATAGGCAAGGTTCGATTTGTGGCACAGGAATGTGTCTGACCGAAGCCTTGTGAGATAGCAAAGGTGCGAAAGCGCGTTGTTGGGGTTGTTGTTGTGAATGTTTTTTGAGAGTTATTTCAGTTACCCAGTTTGACGCGCTGAATATATTCACTTTCAAATTAAATTTTGTGGGAAGAATGAAATTACTTCAATAGAGTAGAATACGAAAGAGAAAGAGAATATTATCAAGCAGAAATGACTTTGTCGTGTCTTCTAATACAGAAATATATGGTTTGTGGACAAAACAGTGTATTTCCTTAAGTGATGTAATAACGTGATCAGGTATCAAGTAAACTTGGTGATAGCCTCGTTGATATCGTCTCATACACGCTGATTATTTCATTTCAATGTCGGCAGAATCGCTTGGATATTAGAACGCTATTATGTCGCGTGATGAGATTCAACATCTGAATCCTCGCTCTTGCACTATGTAGGCAAGCGTCCATGATTGACTTCAGAAACATGAAGCCTCACGTCGGCCTCGAAATGCCCAGCTGGTCCTTACGTACGAATATGATTTGAAAAGTCTATGCACTCAATCAAGATTCAAAAGTGCTTCTTGAGATATCGTAACCAGAAGTTCATAGCATGAAAGTACTAAACTAGTGTCGCTAACCCTTTAAGTAAAATAAATGTAAGTGCGAGTAACATCAACACTCTTCTCGAAAGAACATTTGAGTCAACCCTCAAAGCATTTTGCCAAAGCAAATAAACCCTAGACCATAATTGTGAAAGAAAGCATCGGCAGCTAGTATCTCGAAGAACCCTGTAGCCTACCTTTTTTTATGAGAAGTAGCATCCTCCACACCCTCCACACCCTCCATTACACAATCCAATTTCCTCTTGAAACCTGTTAGTGTCGCCTCCAGCTTCGTGTTCTCATCAACCAAGGTCTTATGTTCATTCTCAAAGCTCTCGGTTTGACTGTCCAAATTTGCCAGAGCCTCGTCTCTCTCTGCTCTGCACATCTGCAGTTCCTTCTTCAATGCAAAAACGCGCTCGCGGTAAGTATTTTCTTTTTTCTTGAGAGACGTCAAGATACTGAGAGCTTTATCCGTGTAGTTGCGTGAAGTCTCTAAACTGTTGGTGATCTCCTCCAGATTACTCTCATTATCTCTTACTCGTCCCACCTCCTCTCTTAGTTCTGAAAGCTCAGCCTCATTCTTGTCGACGTCACAAATTAATTCGTTGTTTGTAGCCTCTAATTTCTCATTCTCTGCTAACAATCTCGCAATTTTGATTTGTAAATCTTCAATCTCTTTCCGGGTATCTTTGTCTTTCGCGGACCTTTGTTGCTGACCACCCGAACCTCCTGCTCCATCCTCTGTGGCGACAGAGTCTGTCACAGACTCAAGTGTATCTTCGAGAAGGGAGATACAATCTCTGTATTTAGTACTTGGATGACAGTCTCCACGTCTTAAAATACTGCGGAGACGAGCTCGCACTTTTTCGACCATGGGTAATTTGGTAGGTGCATTGGGTTGTTTATCATTCCTGATGTTTTGGCCCCCAGTGGCCCCAGTGGCATCTTCTCGAGCAACAATGCTTTCCATAGTCACAATCTTCTCAATCATTTCGCGCTGGCTTTTAGTGTAGCGTAACTTAACGACGAGTTGATCTGTCGACATGAGGCGGATTCTGGACAGTTTTGTCCGCGTGAAATTCGATCAATATCTCGATGGTGAAGATCTGTAGTTAACAAATCAATGTTTGTCTTAACGAAGTATGATATTTGCTTTACCAACCTGACTAGTGATTTGGGAAGTTAAGGTTTGAGAAGAGAAGAGAGTGTTGTTTAGAATCAATCGTTATATATTCTTTGACTGCAATTTGGGCGGGTATGCTTTGTTCAGGAAAGAAATCGTGGTATAGATTAAGAGTGAGTTATCAACTCACCGAAGATTTTTAGAAAAATTACCTATCTCCTAAAAATACAGATGGAGAAGATGTTTTGAGGCTTCTCGGAATGGCGCAAAGTGAATCTGTATCGTCAAACACGGTGTCAAGATCAGTTTACATCACACAGATACCTGCGATTGCGCTCTCTACTACAGGAAAAAAGGTGTTATCACATTCACATCAACTATGCATTTTGAATTTCAAATTTGTATTTATATGTGCTTCTCCCATTGATGTTATGTAATATTCTGTATAGAAATGCCTTTCCCAGCTGTGATCACGAATCGCAAAAAGATATAGATGTGATTCCTAGCAATTAACGATAATGATTGCTCAACTCCATAGACTTCTGCCTCCAAACCATATCAATAACACAGCTGCATCTTTAATGAATTCTAGTGAGAAATTAGTATAGGAATGATCTTGTAATCTCAACAACACTCACTTCAGATAAAAAAGATCACCTAGTTCTTCCACACGAAGTAAATCTAATATCCCACAAGTTCGGAACACTATGCATGACACCAAACAAGTCAGTCTGCTGTAGGTCAAAGCTTTTGTAGAATTGTGCTCGAAATATGCTTGGCTGAAGACTTACCCAGGCCTCCTTGAATGCCTCCAGGATGATGATTTCACATCTTTTTGGCCAACCATTCTCCTCGAAGAAATTCTTATCAAGCTGAAGCTGCTTCCTAACTCTACGTTTGATTGCGCAAGCTTTGACTGTTTGTTTATTACTGACGTACATCTGGTTTGTAGTAGTAATAAGAGCAACTCGTATTTCCTCCATGTCTGGTGCTTGAACTCTTGACAATGGTAAAGGCATACCGTCGTCAGTGAAAGCTCTTTTGCAGTTATTGCGAGTGATGTTTTCATTAAGATCCACCAGAGTATGGCTGGCGACCTGCTGAGGTTGAGTCTCTTGAGCTTTTGTCTGAGATTCTGCTTCAATTTTCACTTGGAGCCTTGCTTCAAGTTCTGCTTGAAGTTTCACTTCAGATTCTGCTTTCTCGAAAGCTGCTCTCTGCGCTGCCTCTATAACTGCCTCTGCTTGTTTCCTTGCCTCTTCTTCTTTTGCTTTTTGATGGCGCAAAACAGCTTTTATGGTAATAAGTTAGAATCAGTCAAGATGCAGCGGAAAACAAGAATGCTGATGTACTCACAAAGTCGCATTTCTTCTTCCATATCTACTTGAGGTCTCGCATTTAAGCTTAGATACTCTTTGCTCACTCGAAGGATTAAGGTCAACTCCCCCGGCTCCCTTTTTACAATCCGCGCTTTTTTGGTTCCGTCGAAAAACGAACCCTCGAATGTGTGAACCGGAATGGAGATAATGAGTTTTCTCGGCTTCTTCTTAATAATCCTTGAGCCTCGCATTTTGGCCATATTAGATCTGCTGTCATGAATATTGGGAAAATCGGCAGATGGGCGAAATAGATCGACTGGAGTAAGAGGAGATGGTTTAGCCATTGCTCGGGAATGGTGATACTTGTCAATGCTCCGTTCAAGAGCAGCAAAACAAGCTCGAATCTTATTGAAATCAGAGCTTAATTCTTGCCAGTGACCGAAGAGATCACCAGATGGAGACTCTGCGTTGAAGTAATCCAGCTTGGTCTGAGGAAAATTAGTATCGCCGTCCCAGAGGTGGAGAGCCCGCGCAAACAAACCTGAAATTTTTGAAACTCAACGCAAGACTGTCTGAAAACCCAAATCATCCGAATAAGTTCTGGAAACCCCACTGATTTCTCTTCTATACCTTTCAAGATACGAGTTAGCTCCTGCCACTGTTCGATAAGCTCATTGTATGAAGCTAAAAATGGAGTTAAGTTGCTCATGGCCATTGTTGAGAATAACTTGTACGTCAGCAAGAAACAGAAGATTTTTTTGACGACGTTAAGAATCTAAGCTCAGTTTCGGATTTCTATTAAGATGTGCATAGTCATGTATTCACTTTATCTTTAAAGATCATTTGATTCCCCGCACTCTTAAGGATTGAGATGACGAGCAACAATTCCATACAATCCAAGGAAGGAGTGCCAACATGGAGAACCTAGCTTCGACTTTGAAGCATGATCATTTTTGTGAAAAAATCATATGGAGTGGATAGTCATTTTAAAGCTAAGTTGACTAGAATATTTTGGTACCTGCTCACTATAATCGTGATCCATTCCGCATCTGCCACCAGATATTATCTCAAATATATCTCCAAATAACAGCTCGTCGGATGTCTCTGGCAGTGTGTGACATCCATGAGGCTACTTAAGCCTAAGAACAATCATACTAGGGCTCCAAAAGTGTTGTGCACGTTGATGAGAGACGCAATCCACCAACTGCCTAAGGCATTGAATCTTGAGTTATGTCATGATAGTTGAGGGGTCCAACATCTAGACCCAATGGAAATACCGGATACCTGGGTGATTTTCTCTTAACAATAGCGAGCAAGTTCAATGAGAAAAGAATAGTCATTTTATGGTGCTTCAAAAAAAAAGATAACTTAATTAATATGTCACAAACCATCAAGACTATGCATGTGACCCTTTTGGGAACGCGAGATGCACGTGACTCGTGCAAGCCTCCAACTCTTCTTGTAAGGCTTGGCTCGTCTTCTTACGACTTCGGTGCTGCCGCAGATTATAATATCGATCTTTTGAAGAGAAATGATAATGAAACTAGGGAGCTAGCGTTATCAGCGTCCTTCAACACTACGCCTCTGAGCAGTTCATATGCTGCTACACTTGTACCAGAGGCTCAAATATATGTGCCGGTCGGCTTTGACTCAGGCAAATGGAACGAGGTTTTCTCGACAGAGCCCAATTTCGAAGTTTGGATGACTGGCTTCGTAGAAGCTGGTGATATAAGTAAACGATTTCCCCCGATCCCATTGGTCAATGATGAGGAAATTCCTGGTCAGATAGCCACTGCACCGTCATTCTCACCAAGTCCCCAAGAACTATCAGGAGTAACTCATGGGTAAGCATCAATGACATGTAGAATCGGAATTTTTGCTAAGAAATGGAATATCAGATCTCTTGACGTTGCTCTGAGAGGGCAAGAGGGCAGATTGAGTTGCGACTACCCAGGGTGCAACAATACTTTTCCGCGCAAATATGAGTAAGTTACTTGACTCGTTGCAATAATGTGTTTCTATATCTACTCATTAGTATTTACGATTTTTCCTGACATTATAGAAACCGAATGTATAGCTAATGAAATATTGTTCAAGACTCAAGCGACATATCAAGGCTATTCATAGGCAAGAGTTCCGAGTAGTCTGTCCTGTTTACGGGTGTCATCGAACTACGAAGCTATTTAAAAGAGAAGACAAATTTAATGAGCACTTCCGAAAGCATGATAGTTCGCGAAGTTATCGGTGTCTGATAGAGACTTGCCAATACGCTCCCTTTGATATTCCAGGATTAATTGATCATCTCACGAAAAGCCATTACACAGGCGCCGATGCTCAACCCAATCTTGACTTTATCAATAAGAAAGTCTTGGGAACCCGTTACATTCCATTCTGGTTTCATCGTTTGTGTTTGAATGGTCGTGATACCTGCCCATTTGCACCTATTGATTGTACTTATCGAGCCATAGCTGATGATGACGAAGACCGCTCCAAGCTCATGATGCAACAGCACGTTCTTAGCCATAAGCTTTCTGATCGCCGCCAAGGACCAGCACTTTTGACAGGCTTCTTCGCAGGTAATGACAATTGATTACTGGACGATGGTACAAAAACTTGCATGTTATGTTCGTTCCAGGCCAGCGGCTACTTCCACCGAGAATTTCTCTTCGACCACATGGTGAAAAATCATTCTCCGGAAGGGCGTGGTTTCGTTCTTGGAAATAATTATAGATGATCTTGGAATTCCTGTATCTATAGTATAAGCAAACCGGATGGAAACGGAATGTCGTCGTGCTTTGAGGCTGGGTTCAGATTTACGAACTATCAAGAACGCTCCCTGATCGGTATCTAGAAGAATTGATTCTCAGCCTGGGATTAACTGGCATGTCGTACCCGCAATCTGCATTCATCTTCTGAGCGACGGCTGTCTCATCATCGAAATATTACTTAATTTCGGAATTGCGAAGCTATTCTGGTGCTTCAAGAGTGCCCCGCCGGCACTGAACTTTTCCTACTTTAATCTTTTCCTCTATTCAATGCCCTTTCTTTGTAGTGATCAGCATACACGAGATATCACACTTTCCTATATATTCAGTTTAGTTATTTATTTCGTTGGATGAATCTATGTTTCTGCATTTCAAAACAATAAAAGACAGAAAAAAGGACGAGTTTCACATATTCTAGATTTCTTGATTTACTTTTGGGCATGTACTCAGTGTTAGCTGGATAGGAAAAAAAATTTCATTCGTTATTCAAACATTTTTACTTTAACATTCATTCATTTGTAACAGTCTGAAATTTGAATTTGTAGAAGCGTCTCATTGCCAAGATTTTTCATTATCATATGTAGGTAGGTATCTAAAGCTACAACAAATCCTCACCTTCATTTTCCAGGACGTTGGCAAGAAACGTGAAAGTATGCTCACTGGCGTGTCTAACAAGGGAAATTGAAGAGATATGCCGAAGAAACATAGAAACCCCCTAAATTACCAGTATCTAGGAAGCCGTCATAGACAATGATAGTTCAATCTCTGGACAGAACCACCAGAAACAATGTTAAACATTGCATCAAGCCCCCAAAACACTACATCCTCATCTGTTTCTCTGCTTGCATCTCTCTTTCATCTTCAGAGTCCAATGATGGAGATATTAAATTGCCATGTTCATCGCCATGCCTTGTAGCTTTGTCAATAGATGCTCCACCATCTCCAGCATTTCCATTATTTTCACTATTTTTCTCCTCAACTCCCTCACTCTCCTTCGCAGGAGATAAACCATGACTTCGCAAATTATTCCCAATCACCTGATAGTACCAATTTCGATGCGGATAAGCATACCCATCCGGACCCTCCATATTTCTCCTCAACCAAGTCAACCTCTCAACAGCAACACCCACAGCGTCTTCCAAACTCTTGAAGAAAGGTTTCTGAGATTCCTTGAATCCCTGCACATCTTTGACTTCTTCTCCTTTCTCGAATCTTTTGGTAGCAACCAGGAAATTGATGACTTGTTGACGGACTTCGAAGAGATAGGGAAGATCAATGTCGATTGACTTCCAGCGAGCGGCGTTGGGGCTGCTGTCTCCGCTAGACATGAAGGTGCTGTAGAGACGTTGGTAGTCGGAGGTGAGTTTGAAGAGTCTGTCTCGAAGCTCTTCGGCTTTTTCGGATGGAATGTGGTCGAGAGTAGCAGTGGGAGCTTGTACCGGTGGATGTGCAGCGGAGTTGCTGGTGGCATGTAGAATGTCTTGTGTTGATTGGAGGTGCTGTGCAGCAGTTGGTGTTGGTGGAGGTTGTTGCGGACCAGGACTGATGTTGGTCGTTGGATTGGCCTGCGATAGTAGAGGAAAGCGAGGAGTAGATTTGACGTCGGCAGGCTGACTAGCCTCTGATGACAAAGGGAAGCGTGGGGCATACGTCATGTTGGGTTTCGGAGCAGCTGATGCTGACGGAGGGAGTCTTTGAGTAGAACTATTGTTGGTCGGTGGGAAAGCATGTGCTAATGAAGGTAGTTGCCGATTCGAGTTGACCTGATTCAATCTTGAGCTTGCTCCTTGAGGATTCGGAGTAGGATTGAAAAGACGAGAACCATGGCTGTTGCTATCACCGTCTCTAGCGTAACTTTGCGGCTTCCAAATGTCTGGACCTAAAGGATTGACATGAGCTACACTATCATTGCTGGTATTGCTATATCTCGCGTAGCTCTGTGGTCTCCAGATATCATGCGGTAGAGAGCTACCATGAACTGGACTCAGAGGCTCTCCTGACAGTGGTTGCCACTTAAAAGGATCGGCAAAACGGTTTTGTGGATCAGGCCTCTGAGATGGTAGACTCGGTAGATTGAAAGGAGGTACAGGCTCTCGGTTATGTTCTGTGGTAACCTCTCGGACTTGTTGCCGGTCATCATCAACAGATGAATGTTGTAGAGCATTGTCCGAGATAGGGGGTGCAACATGTAGTCTTTGATCAGGTTGTGCTGTGATGGGAGGAGTTTCCTGTGATCTGGAATGTAGAACATTGGGGCTCCCCGAAACTTTACTATCCTTGTGAGAGCCAAAACCGGTTGGTGTAGACATTTTCGATCAGTATGTGGTACAAAAAAATGAACTCTAGGATAATTGATGATGTTAGTCAAAGAACTCGAAGGTCATTGTCTTTTAAATTGATTGAAGGAAAACTAAATAAACTTACCTAAATGTACAACTTGTTGGAATGTTGTGAAATAGAAAATTTGTGGTTATGAAGCTGTTTTTGTAGATGGAAAGTAAAAACTGATCATGAATTTTACATTCTGTGCCCGGAAAGTGGGCCTAATATAGACAGATTCGAGTGAGATTTTGATCATTTGTATCATGATGGTGAATGTTCTCTTCATCTTGGGTGCACTTCGGTAATTTCATGAAAAAACGAGTGACTGTATAAAGAAATAAGTAGATAGACAGATGATTCGTTTCGAATTTAACTACCACTAGCATGAATAAATGAGCAATTATATGGAGAAATGAGCTGTCAATGAGGAAATGAGATGATGAAATCTCATCTGCTATGCGAAAGTAGTAAGCAATATCTAGTTAGATGACTTTTCAAAACACTAGCATCAGTTTCTTTGAAGGGAGCACTAGCAGTCGGCGGCTTAAAGAGCCGATTATAATTGTTAGTGCCTTTCTAGTTCGATAAAGTCTGAATTAGGTGTATAAGTTTGATATATGCAGAATGCAGGAAGCATAAGGCTATATTGCCTGATATTGACTAGAAGGAAGAAGTACTGAGTAAAGTGATCCAGATATATAGCCAGTCCTAGTCACATAACTTCATTGTTATTGTTACTCTTACTCATACAAATCACTACTCTCGCAAACTCTGTATAGATAATGTAATATCTCCCAAACAGTTTTCCCTGACTTAATCCATATACTTCGGGTTTTCAAAGTGGTTTCTAATGGCAAAATACAAAGAATCATAAAAGAAGACAACAAAACACTGCAGTAATACGGCTTAACCATAGTTTGACTCCATAGACAACAATAAAAACCACAACAAGTCTATGAATACTCCATTTGGTATCTGTTAGTTCAAGAAGTGTTCAAAACGATGTCAGATTGATTGTTCTACAATTTTTTCTCCTGAGGACTTCCAATATGTGTTTGATCGAGGACGTCAAACCCAAACAAAACCTGCAGTAGCAAGCTCTTTGTGCTAAGAACAAACAGTCTCACTCCATCTACTCTAATTTTCAATTACCAATCGTCCAACAATTTAAATTGAGTAATAATAGCACAAAAAGAGCTACCAATGACAATACAAACTAAACTGGAACCTGGGAGCTGGGTTTATGCAAACCATATCTCCGTTCTACCAAATCCTGTATCTATCTTCTTCAGGGAGCTTGGTAATCTCTTCGCTCAACTGGAGGTGGAGTTTGATTCGACATATCAGATAGGACATGTGATTTAAAGTTTGTGGATAAAGCTACCTCCCGTTGAGCAACTTTCAAAATTAGTTTGCAACGCCGAGGGCTACATAAATATTGCCCAGCCAGCTTTTTTTGTGATAGCAAGTGGAGGGGGAGTGAGAGGGGGGTGTTTTAGATACTATTACATCGGTCAAAAAGGCTCTGGAGCGTGATAGAAAGTCAAGATTCGGTAGGGAGAAGGAGAACGAGGGGACAACGGGAAGAAGCTGGGGATATGTCTAACTGCAATTCCGGCGCAAGTCCATTGATATCGATGCTCGGGAAATAGCATAGTCATATGATTAAAGATCAGCCACAGAAGACTTTGAATGCTAACCTAAATAATTTCATTCTTCCAGCCATCTAAACCAAGTATCCCGCCCTCGGCTCTGGGGTCGATTGGCCATTTTTTAGCCGCCAGTATATCCAAGTCGCTCCTCCAGCCAGCTTCCCACATTTCGATACCTGTCCACCCTATCATAGCTGCATTATCTGTACAGAATCTTGGAGGTGGAAATAACAATCTCATATTTTTATGACCCCAAACATCTAGTAATGACCTCAATATATACTTCAGATATTGGTTTGCAGCAACACCTCCTGAGACAACGAGGGTTCTTGTTTCCTTCAAATCTGGGCTCTCAAGATTTAGAATCACTCTAGAAGCGAGGTGTTCAAATGCGATTCTCATAGTCTCTTGAGCAAGTAATCTCCTTTCTGTCACATCCATTTCTGGATTACGGTTCATAATGCGCTTGATTTGGCTTCCGACACCAGAAAATGAGAATTCTGAATTGTAAGATTTTAATGGACGATGACCAGTACTCATGTAGGGAGGTGTTAATGTCCATTCATATTTTGTTGGCCTTGGAATCTGTGCAATACTTTTTTCAGAGGGCTCATAATCATATGTGGAATTGGGATCAGGAAATGCGAATTTTTCCATAACACGTCCATACATGACATCCGATGCAGATTCAATTACAGAAGCTGGTAGAATATCTCGTGCTGTCTTGTCGACCATGTCTCCAACCGCAAGATCCGAGGTTGATGCCAAGATTTCGTGATCGCAAAGTTGACGAGAATGGACAAGCATGGTGTGTCCACCAGAAACCAACAAAGAGAGGAATGGATAGGCAGGATCATTCTCATACTTTTTGTTTTCAGTTTTGGTTCCTGCTTCAAGGGCTGATACCATTCGTGGCGTTAGAGCATGGGCCTGCATATGGTTTACACCTAATAGAGGAATTTGCCATGCCACAGCCAAACCTTTCGCAGTATCAATACCAGTGATGAGATTTGCTCGCATCCCTGGGCCTCGTGTCACGGTTATGAAATCTGGCTTTTTATACAACTTAGATCCATGATATGATGCGACGGCTATAGTGTTCTGAAATGATGCATCTGTGGATTCTTGTCGAGGTAGAGTCCTAATAGCTTCTTTCACCAATTGTGCTAAGTTCTTTTGATGAGACTCATGTGCTGCAATAGGCCACACTCCCCCGAATGATCTGTTGTCCGATGTAACCTTGGAATTGAAGTGTAAGGTGGCAGAATTATTTTCATGCTTCTCTACAATGGAAACGCTTGTATCATCGCACGAAGTCTCAATCGCTAGCGTCAGGAGAGATCGTTTGGGAGTGCGACATAATGAACTCTTCGTGTTGCAAACACGTCTGGAAAGGGGACATAGTGACTTCATAAAGTACAATCCAATCCTCGGGTGATATTGGAGGTCGATCGTGAGAATAGAGTAGAGGCTCGAAGGAAAGACAACCTTGGAAGTTCAGGTAAGGCTGAGCCTGATATCTTGAGCCACAGAATGATAGTGGGGTAGCTTCAGCCACAGCCAAACTTTCCACGCACGGAGTGTTAGCTCCGCGAAATTCACAAGTTCAAACGACATAAACAAAGCTGACCGACGGCATCGTCATCAGAGGCAATACAGCCTCGTTCAGCCTCGCAGTAATATAGAGGCCATTGCCTTTCTTGGCTTATTGGAGAATACCCTGTATTCACATTCAGATACCGGTCTCATCACCATCGGTCGAAGCTTTGATAAGGTCGATAAGCATTTTTCGAGCCCGAGAATGATCAGAGCCAAACGATATCCTTTACCTAGCCAGGTAATTACTGCAACGAAACCAATCAAAAGATTATGATGCGTAATAAGGAACCTCTGGTCTCCCAAATCTTGAGTGATTCATCACTTCGCAATGAACCCGATGGCATACGATCGAAAGCAAAGACAAAAGCCAAACGCCTGTTGAGGATTGACGGTAGCGATTTCACATCCGAAGATAATGAAGAGGACGAATTTTTCGACGCTGTAGTGGAGGAAATCAATCAGAGCCCAGCTTTTGATGCAGAAAAGGTACTAAATACCTCCAGATTGGGAAATGGATCGCGAGTAGAAAGAACAAAAAACGTCTTGCAGGGGACTGCAGATGTTATAGCTCACCCTATCGCGTCAATCAAATCGAAAGCCACAAGACAAACTGCGGGGAAATTGGCCAAAAGTCGACCGTATCTCTCAAATCAAGCAAACTTTGACTTCCTTGAAGCCCACGATGGCTTACAGCAAGCCAAGGACGCTCAACATGCTGGCGATGATGAGGATGCGATTGAGGATCATCTAAATAACATTGACTACTTCGAAAAGAGGGTGGACAAAATCCAGCGAACTCGAGAGGAAATGCGTGTTGCTTGGGTTACCGCCAGACATGTTCACCGTGTTCGAGCCGTTGAAAACATTCCTCCAGCATTTCCGCCCATTCAGCATTTTGAAAGGAAAGACGATCATGGGTTCACAGAATTTAAATGGGAAAAATGGATTGGATATGTGAGTCTGCGCAGATTTTGATATTATCGACCTCATTCTAAATAATCGATAGAAACTTCTTCATGGCTCACGACCTTTCACCGCGCAATACATCGATGATTTTGAAGAACTTCCCTTCGATATCGACACTTTCCGCAGACACGTAGAAAGACTGATTATAGTCAGTGCTCCATTGCAGGAATTCGCAGTAGATATCAGGAAGATTTACAGATGGGAGGACCAATGGCGAACGTCTAAATGGTTGATATCATATATATTGCTTTGTTATACATCATATATCATGTCATTCTTGGTAAGTAAGTTTCGGATTCAAAGTATCTTCTCTAACCTTTTCGTGTTCAGTATGCGTATATTGTCTACGCGACTGCAAAGAACTACTATTACCCTTCATCGGTGTCCGCGTTGCGGGATGAATTTTCAAGAAATATTGAGCGAGGAACTACAGCTCTGAAGGCCGGAGAACTCATGGACCAGCATGGAAACAAAGACTGGCTAGGCCCTCTTTTGGACAAACTGGGCCCCTATCTACAGTTACAGATTGCGGATTTGGCCAACTTACTTGAGGTTTACGACAGTTTTACTCACTTTCGTCGCCCGCAGTCTACATTTCACTCTCTTTTCCTTTTTTCAGCCGTGTTTCTACTTAGTGCATGTGCTTCAATGCAGTTCACCATGAAGGTATTCTGGTTTGTTGTCGGTCTTATATTTTTTGGCTGCTGGCCCATCAGCTCTTTATATCCCCGATATCGCCTGCTTGTTTCGCCGCTCAAATGGGCCTTTTGGGATATCCCCACGTACCCAGAATGGTCTCTCCAATATCTTCAGGAACGTGGATCTTCTGCCTTGAAACAAATCAACCTGCGCGCGTTGGAGAATTCAACTGACCGATTCGGAAGTCCGGAGGTATCGGTGGGGCCAGCGGGAGACGAGGAAAATAGTCCCAAAGCCGAGACAATTCATTTTCAAGCTCTAGGTTTGGGCGCTATGCATGAAGAATCTAAAGATCTTCTGTCATTTCGTTGCACTTTGCATAATGTTCCAGGACATCTCATAGTTTCTACCAGAACCATTCGTTTCGAAGCTTTGCTCCCCAAGATTTTGCCCTGCGAATCGTTCAATAAACCATATAGTGAGTTAATCGAAATGTCGAAACAACAGACGAAAGAATTGCTGTTAGCTCCGCTAGCGAAAATGACTATCGGAAAAGATAAACTAGAGTTGAAGTTTCGCGGGGAAGCTGGTGGCGATGTGCCCGGTGCGAGACGAAATGGGCATGTGGTAGCACTACTCGAAAATATGAGGGGAAGGGACAAGGCATTCAATAGCATCGTAGGCTTCAGCGGGGTGAGATGGCAGTGTTTGCAAAAGGCATCGGGAAAAGTTGCTGAAATGGAGAATGAATCATCGAATGCGAGCCCTACTTAGCGTATTATGCATTTCTTTACACGAACATCGGCGATTGCATTAGGGCCTGAGCTAATCATAACTCCGACCTTTTTTATATAATTTCAGCTTCTTTGTTATCTATTCGGTACTAGTCCTCCTTATTACAATCTCACTACGGTCGTTCCAGGAAGAAATTTGACACTCGCCGACTATACGCAGCCACACAGACTTACAAGATTTCACACATGATTGGACCGGGCGGTGACTAATTGAATTAATGGATTTGATGCTTGATCGCTGTTTTCCATTGAACCGATATTTGAATAATTTGATGGACTTCATGATTGGATTTTAAAAATTCAAGGAAATTATGATTTGGATCTGACTGAACGGCTGCAGCTCCATCACAATCGAAATGAAGCAGTGGCGGGACGGTACATATGTACCATGATACTTGAAATTGCGAATCATTTTATCAAGGCATCAACCAATTGTTAATAAATCTCCATCTCTTGAAAACGAACCAGCCAACCGTTCCCCAACAAGCACTTTAAGTGAACATTGGACCCTGAGCTTTTCATGGTGTCCTTTTTTATGCCCTTCCTTGCATCTCGGTTGGATCCTTGCGCTGATTACCCACTTCGCGTATTTCAGCTCGTGCAATGGACTCCACTCTATCCCTAGTGGGCTAGACTTTGATCTAAACCCGGACCTAAAATTAAGACTAAGAGATATCTGAGTAAAGATAGCCTATGACAATACGAATCAACTCTTCGGCGAGTCCATCACTGGTACTTCCATGATTATTTTCACTAAATAGCTTGGGTTTATATTAGAGTTTGCGGTCGTAGGTAATTCAGAGATAAAGATTTTAATGGCGATAACTGGAAATGGATCGAGCTCGTTAATTATTGGCGAATCAAATTCAAATATCTCCCGTGCTGTGAAGGGGTCTGAGGGTGAAAATCCCAATAGTCCGGGGACTGTAACTGTACGAAAATCATAATCATAAAGTCTCCCGTTCTCCACCTTCTATTGCTTTTTCTCTCAATACAGATTGGTCATTTACTTTCTTTTTCAATTCTCCCAAATCAGTATGAGTACACAGGCCGCTGCAGTGTCCAGGCAAAGAGCCGAGGCTGCTGAATACTCATTCGCTGAAGCTCTCTCATTAAGCTCCAAGGACTCCTTCCAACTTTTATCCAAAGGAGAATTGGGCTTACCACCATCTCCCAATAGTCCAAGTACCAATCACAACACTTATAGCATTTTCCCCGAGAGAACGTTGGCTGAAAAGACTCTTCCCGAAAAAACAATACCTAGAAATCTTGCGCCACCCCTGCAGCAAAAACAAATCATGGCACCATCGACGCTAAATTCCGGGAAGTTTTCCAAAGCACAAACACAATGTATGCAGCTCTGCCTGAAGACGACAGCTCTCAGCGATCGTATTTCGGTTAGGGTCTTGGAATATCTTACAACTGTGAAAGAGCTGCCTCAAGGTTTCGAAGCCCTCGCCCATGACTTTCTCGACACTTGTCACATCCTTTTTTCAATCGAAGCTGGACTCGAAGAATGCAATCATCACGTACAAAACTTTCCTATCGAAATGATAACAGAGCTCGATCACAAATTTCGAGCTACTCAAGCGAATTTCCAAGTGTTCTACCAATTACTTGCTAAATTTCTTCAACATGAAAATGTGGGAAGTTTCAAGCGAGGTTGGGGGAAAATCTTCAGCAACACTCCTAATGATATCAGAAAAATGGCCGGCACATTGAGTAAAACAAGGGATGATTTGAGGATGAGCGCATTGGTTTTCCAATGGAGTTTGGGAAGCGACAAAATTGAGAAGGAGTTGGGCATTGGTTACCTTGGCTTAGCTGCGGCGCTCAACAGAATGGACGAAAAGGCTGGACGCAAACCCAGCAAGACTTCAGACAGCTCAAGTTCTACGCCAATCATGCCGTCGCCTCTTGGACTAGGAAACAGCGATGCCAGTAGCCATTACAGCGTCCAAGCACCACAAATGCCCCTACCAAATTTCCCTCTCCCTCCACTACCCAACAACGGATGGCCCGGCAGAACGTCCTCTACTAGTCAGCAACCGGAGTCGTTGGGAGATAGAACATCTGCTAGAGATGCTTCCCTACTCCTGGGCTCAAACCTTCAGCGATATAATACGAATAGTGTTCATACTCCCATGAGTTCACAAACCGTCAATTCGCATGATTCAGGCGAGAGATCTTACACAGATTTAATCAATTCCTTCGAGAACCATCATATGAACCATCACATTGATGATGCCCGATCGCATACCGAGACTATTGAATCTGGCAGTCTCATCAAGGATGTCGATGGAATGATAATAAATCCTTCTCGAGCAATCCGACTAAAGGCAGATCCCGACAACATGCCACGTTGGAGTCCTCGAGGTAGTGCAGGCTCGAATACTGGACCTATGAAGGCAGCTTTGATTTCTGCTATTCGAGACAAAAACCACAAAGCCGTAGAGAAGTTATTGGATGGCGGTGTACCAGCAAACACAGGGTCAGAAGTCAATGCCCTTAAAGAGGCAATTCTAGCTCATGATGCAGAGAGTGTACGATTACTACTAACTTTTGGCGCCAACCCAAACGAACATGATAGAGATGGAATTACACCTTTGAGAGCATCTGTTGATAAATCCTTCCTGGCTGGAGCTACAACACTTCTGAAATACGGAGCTGATCCTAATCTTGTTGCCGGTATCGACATGGAATCACCTCTTGCTGTATCAGTTATGCAGAACATGGTTGGCTTCTCGCATCTTTTCTTGATTTATAATGGTGATGCCAATCTCTCTACCTCGAATGGTAATACGCTCCTTATCGCTTCTATCAACAAGAAGACATCTAGAAAATTCATGGAATTATTACTCAAATACGGCGCAAACCCCAATGCTAAAAGTAAGGAGGGAAAGACCGCTCTGTTTGAAGCCATTACATGTGGAAGAGCCGACATCGTCTCCATATTGTTAGAAAATGGAGCAGATCCCAATCTCCCAGGACCGAAACACATGCTCTGGCCTGCAACCTACCAAACCGCTTGTCTCCAATATCTCCTTACACACGGAGCAGATCCCAAAAAATGCCCAGGAATCATGGAATTGGCGACCAGTATTAATAATATCGAATCAGTCCGTACTCTCCTTACACATGGCGTTGATCCCAATGCCAAGAAAGATGGCGTGTACACTCCATTATGTACATCAATCCGAGATGACCGACCAGATATCTTCCAGCTCCTCATCAGCAACAAAGCCGATCCTAACACTATGGCAAGTGAATATCCAGCTTGGAAATGTGTCACCCATAACCGAATTCATTTTCTCCCCGCCTTGGTAAGTGCCGGAGCAGATATTCACAATCCTAAAGGTATTGCCGAAATGGCAGTAAGTTGCAATAACATGGAAGCACTCAATTGGCTTCTCGACCAAGGCGTAAATCCCAACGATAAGTCCGCCAAAGGAATGTCACCACTCACAACTGCTATCCGCGAAGAACGCCTCGAAATGATTGATCTCCTCCTATTACGTGGAGCAGACGTCAATGTTCGAGGTCAAGACTGGCCTGTTTGCATGGCAGTTCGCAGTCCTCAAATTCTCAAACGCATTCTATCTGTGATGCCGGAACCTCGTGCTTACAAAGGAGTCCTGGAAATGGCAGTTCATGCAAATCAATTAGAATCCGTCAAGTTACTTCTTGCAGCTGGTGTATCAGTTGAAGACAAAAACGGCGGAGTCTTTTCGCCTCTCACAACAGCCATCCGCGAAGATCGCATTGAAATCGTCAAATACCTTCTCAATGAAGCGGGTGCAGATATCAATGCTCCTGGTGAGCATTTACCTATCGTCAAAGCACTTCGTCGTTACCAGGGAGGCGAGACAGACATGATTGAATTGTTATTGGATCATGGTGCAGATCCGAATAAGATCTACCGAGGTTGGAACGCTATTATGCAAGCTATTGAGAATGGTGATGCCGAAATTCTCAAGCTGGTAGCGGGAAAAGCGGGAGTTAATTTAGAGGCAAAGGATGAGATGGGGAGAACAGTCAGCGATATCGCAGCTAGCAGGGGATGGAATGAGGCGGTCACTATTTTGCACGATAACATGTCTTTGTGAGATTAAGATAGAGATTGAAATGGGAAACAGGGATTTTTGGATATTTTCCCAATAGCCGGGCGTTTGGAATCGAAAATACTTGGCACTGTTTTGCATGGCTGGAAAGGTTAGGGGTAGATGGAGCATTCGTTTGTACATAGATTATTTTTGTGATTATTCTTTTGGACTACGATGATTACCCCTCTTCGATATATATCAATCTATATTCATTTCTAATATCTTAAGATCTTGAATCTTGATGTTAACTTTTTTATTTAATATATTTTACTTTTATCTCTTTATCTAACCGTCATACTACAAATCCATGTCGAAACCCAAAACCCTATTAAAATCCCATACAATCCCATCTTCTTGCAATGACACCCAACATATATTAAAATCTCCACTTCTCACATTCGCATACCAACAAACAGAAATTGATCGACCATAATTAAGATTGATTTTCCGATCATCACTAATCCATCCACGCACATCATCAACTTCATCTCCGAAACCTTGGACGTCTTGCTCGCCGAGCTCGCCTCTGGGTTATCATTCCTCCTGGCAGGGATTTTCAGGCCAATTCACCAAAACCCCGGATCAACCGAAGGAAAATCTATCTCTCTAGCGATGCGATGGATCCACAAAGAAGGCCTAGGCTTTTTTAGAATTTCGGAGCCCTGTGAGGCGAGGGGTGTTAGCACGGTTAGTTGGTTCCTGTCACTTTGCATACCCACTTGACGGAGTGTTTAGCAATTATTGGGGGTTTTCGGAGGATAGATTAAGAAGGGAAATTTTACTCGAGAATTTTTTTCTCTCTTTGGTTATTTGCGAGATGGGAATTGGTTAGTTAGATGGTTTGCTGGTTGGTTATTTAGTTGGCTCGGTTGGTTGGTATTTGATTGGTATCTGGCTGGTTGGACGCCGAAAATTCCCGCTCTTAGTGGCCTCGTATTGTGTATTTGTGTTTAAAAACGCTATGCAACGCCACAGTGCTAAATTATATGCGTGCTTGCTTTTGACGTGAATAATGCACGTAGCACGTGGCGAGTGAACAAACGTGTGGGGGGGCATTCGATGGGGTGCAGAGTGGGATGGGCGTCAGCACTTAAAAATAATGGCAATATTCCGAGGTTTTTGGTTAGTGATTTGAGTATGGGTTTTGAGTTTACGTTTTTGAAATTGGAGGAAAGTGATGATGGGAAGATAGCTTGATGACTTTGTTGTTTCTTATGGATTTACGTATGGATGGAAGAAGTACTTTGTGAATGAGGAGGAAGATGAAGATCAGTATACCAGCTTGTCTTCAGTAGATTCTCAGCGATGCAAGCAAGTGCATGTATCAGTATCAAACGATTTTTCATAATGAAATCGAGGTTCTAGTGTGAAGGTCTCCTATCTACATGCGATTTGGGGTAGTTTCAAGATACTCAAGCACATACATGTACTATCAAGTGAGATCGTATCCATGACTGTTTTCAGGAGAAAAGTCAATTCATAATCTGATCTCTTGGGGTAAAACGCAACTGCGTCAGTGCGAGTTGCATGGACGAAGAGCGACACACGTCAGTGAGTGCATGGACATCTTGGATATTTCCCGTCTCGAGCCCGGCTTCCAAATATCTCAATATGTCAACTTCAACCTCCAATTGATTGATGTCAAGATTTGTGATTTCATTGTTTGTTCTGGAATGTTCCATCACACGAGGTCGTAAAGCAACTCTAATAAGCAACTAAAAGAGATCTCTAAATTCAAATCTATTAGTGTCCCTCCAGTCTGTGCACTCTTAACCCAATGCATCGATATAGTGCCATGACTGGCATATGAAGCTTTTTGACTACCGGCTAGTATGCATGTCTGCATTCCAAATACAGTAGTGGGATCTTCGTTCTACCCCGGCTCCGATGAACTCTATCTTGCATTCTATTCTTGTCTAGCTTACTGTGTCCCTCGTTGATGAGAGTTTAATAGTTGATCAGGAGGAGAGACTAGATCGTCTCGTACATAGGGTTTCTCAGATATACGTACACCAACATTCTGGGTGGCGAAGAATTCGAGCGACAAGTTCAAAGAGTACTTTTTTCATGAGTACGGGAGAATGTAGAGGATAGTTTTCTCAAAAATGCGAAAGATTGAGAAGTCTGATCAAACGCATATATGGCGGTTCTGAGCAAAGCAATTGATGAATTATCTTCTTAATTAGACATATTTGCGATTAGAAGCGAGATCCCGTGTCATCCTGTTATACTTTGACTCCTCGGGATGTGTTGCCAATATCATCGGAACAAACAATAGCAAGATATAACATATACGATAGGATGACAAACAAGAAGGGATTCTTATTAGAGCTGCGTTTTTTAATAGCCTAACTTGTCTACGTATATGCATTTGAAAGAGATCCAAAATATAAATCAAAGACCATCTTAATTTTCCCCAGCCTGAGACAACGGAACAACAACATACACGACAGAAACATGAACTAGGGCACCGACAGCACAGCTCAACACACAACAAAACCACTTCACCAACCAAGTCACCTGCATAACATCATTTCACCAACTTGATATAATCCTGGAGCTCATGTTGACCGGGTACGAATAGAAATGTATAGGTAAGGTATCGTGATATTTGCTCCTCCGTAGTCGCGCCTCACATTGGCCACTGCCAAACCGTCATGAGACTGAGGAAGGACCAGTGTAAATACTGCTTGATAGGAAGAATGGGTGGCAAAGAGATGGCTCAGGTGGTATCGATCATGACCGTCTATACTATGAGCTGGATATTGAGTGTGACTATGATTGAAGACACTCTGATGATCAACATCATTGACAGGTGAGATGTTGGAAGAGATATTCTTCTGTCAATAAGCTACCACGGCTGACCAGTAAATTAGATTTTGTGTTAGAGCTGGCGTTTAGTTTACGGTGCCACAAGAAGTGATAATAAATGAATTATGTAACTATTCTACACTTCTATACATTAATGTCAAGTAAGTCTCAGTATAATCGTCGCTGAAATGTATATAGCAAATCTCCCAGGAAATCAGACTTGAATATCATAGATTCCCAGTTTCCAAACCCTATTTGAGAGCTCGTAAACGCTGTAATCATTTTTCAATTCTGCAGTTCAACTCAATACACGATTTCATTATAGTCTCCAAGTCACTTCTACACATTCAGACAAGCCTAACAACAATCCTCCAATTTAAACCAAACAATCCATCCTGTCAATCATTTCAAGAACTCCAGTCTATCCCACAAACTCCAGAACAAACTCCCCTAAATTCTCTACTCCCAAAACACTTCTCGCTTCGTGAACCAGCAGAATAAATCATGTCTTCCTCCATTCCTTTTAATCCCTCAAAGCCCTCAGAAAACAAAAATACAATGATTCAACTTCTTGATCTACCGCATCAAAAAATCAGTCTTCTCAGCCTGGGGAGACTCTTTCTACTTCAGATGCGCTGTACTCTCGACCACGACGAAGGAAATGGCGTGTGAAGAGAAGTTGTGGTTGTGTTGCTTCTCTGAGGTTGGCATATTCTGGGAATGCTTGTGAAGGATCTTTGGAGAGCCTTTTATCTTCTTTCCTCTGGGGACTGGCGGGATTCGTGAGTGTTCGATTTCGTACAGAACACTTCGGTTACCATCTCTTTCCAAAGAGTAATCGACGGGCTTCATTTTGAAGGCCGTCGAGCCTACTAACCAATCACGAGCAGTAAGCTTTTGCTCGTATTCAGAATCATGATATTGAAGAATTGGGTGATGGTCCGATTCAAAATGAGCAGATTTAATTTGTGCAATCAAACATTTATGGGGCTTGATTTGATTTTCGCAAGATACGTAGTAGAAACAAAGTTTTGCCGAGGAGGAATCAATTGAGTCTCACTCATGATTTCGGGCTGATCGATGCTTCTCGATGTAAGTATTGAGCCTCCATAAAGCACAATAAGGGACTACCAGGAGAGCAACTTTGGGCAGGATCGTATTTGGGACACTCTCTTCTGCTCTTAGGAGCAATAGATGGGATATAAATTTTATCCATTGTTTCAAGTTGGTGCATCTCGAAATGATCTGATGTCTTTGGACTATACTACCTTGGTAACTTAGTCGTCATCTATAGAAATTGAGAAGTTCATCCCGTCTTTCGGAATAGCTGAGTTAAAACCAATCTTCGAGTTATGATACAATCGACAGTTTTTGGTGGCTTGAATTTGGTAGTCGAAGCCTTCTCACTCTCTATACCCAAAACTATCATGTATATAAAAAGTAGCAGCGCTTCAGATTGAATTCTCACGTGAACTCTCAGGCTCTGGGTTGAATACCAGCTAGTAAAACGCAAGGATAGACGCTCATTCACGACGACGATAAACCTTCACGAACCGCGTTAAGGTTCTCATGACCCATCCCGGCACCAGAGCTCTTGATGCATTGCGTATTGTCCCGAGCCCAAAAGTCCCAATAACAATCGAGTATCTCATGATTAATCTGCCGCTGGACTTGAAGGGCTCACTGGGAAGAGACTAGATGCCCCGTTGTTTGTATTGACTTGAGGGTGTGCAGATACCATCGAGTAGATATGTTGTCATCAGCCTCGTGATGGATGTGAAGTGCCAGAATATTTATTTCAACAACTCATTACCCGATGAAGGGTCGAAGAGTACTACTTTTGATAGATATGGGGACTGCATTCCGCATTGGAACGAAACAGGTTAGCGGGAAGGGAGTGCTTAGATTCAGAAGGAAATATAAGAAAGAATACAAGATCAAATTTATTGTTTCCGTATTTCGCGCTGTATTACCCTCCTAAGAGTTTTTATACAATGCAGAAGAAGTTCTTAATAAAAGTAGATAATATCAAGGGGTCGATTCTACACATTCCACTTACATTGGCCAGTACCCTGGAGGGTGAGGCTGACATTCCTTGAATTTGAGATTGTCTTTGGTGTCGCTTGATACCCCTATCCAGATTCAGAGCACTTGAATAGGGACAAATTTCACGTTCTTTTTTGATGTCATTTCCTACATTGATATTATGTTTTGATTAGCATCTTAAGCATCTGAAACATCCAATACCTTGAACGATTCCTTGTATTTAAATTGTAGTTATTCAAGTCCCCTTCACTTAGCTCTCCGTAAGCAACCATATACATTCATTTCAGTACACGCAAGGCTTCGAAGGTTGAAGACAAGGTCGAGTTAGGCGGCTAGTCTATATTAATAGTGGTGTTTATGTGAGACTGAATACTCGTGATGCCAAAAAGCTCAGAATTCGAGTGACTTGTAGAAAATTCCATATCGTAAACAATGTTTCGTCATTTTCAGCCATAAAATTGTGGATTTGAGAACACATTGGGGGTTCATCGGTTCCGAGGTCTGTTTTGAGAGAAAGTTGATTGCACAGCCACACTCGAGCCAAGATTTCTCACCACCTGCCCACCATACAGAAAAATACGTCATTGTGGCTCTTGCTGCTCCCTACCTTCCAGTACAGGCTCTACTCACATAAACAACAAGTAAATTACTCGTACAAAGTGATGAATTTTCCAGCCTGATATCATCTTCATTTAATTCGATATTTTTTCCAAGGAAGGAACAATGTTCTACAATAACATCGTCAGCACAACTCAGATTCCCTAACAAATACTATACCTCCTTTCAATCTTCGAACCAAACAAACTATCACGAAGCACACGCAAAATCGCCATCCATACTCGGAAATGGCCTCACTCCTTCGTCAAATTGTCGCAGGTCCGCGTTCTCGTCACCCAGAAGCAGGACTGGATCTCTGCTACGTAACACCTAACATAATTGCGACGTCTGGACCCAGTGGCACATATCCGCAACGAGCATATCGCAATCCGCTAGATCAACTCGTTACATTCCTCGATTATAAACATGGGAAAGAGGGATGGATGATATGGGAATTTAGGGCCGAGGGAACTGGATATCCGGATGAGGAGGTGAGAGGAAGAGTTAGGCATTGGCCATGGCCGGATCATCATCCGCCGCCTTTTAAGTTGGTTCCAGGGATTGTAGGAGGAATGAGAAATTGGTTGGAGGGGGCGGGAGATGGTGAGGGAAAGGATGAGAAGAAAGAAGGAGGAAGGGTGGTGGTTGTGCATTGTAAGGCTGGGAAAGGGAGAAGCGGCACAATGGCTTGTAGTTATTTGATTGCGGAGTGTGGATGGAAGGCATCTGAGGCACTTGCGCGATTCACAGAGAGAAGAATGAGACCGGGATTTGGACAGGGAGTTTCAATACCAAGTCAATTGAGATGGATCGGTTATGTGGATCGATGGACACAATCTGGAAAACATTATGTTGATCGACAAATTGAGATTATGGAGGTACATGTTTGGGGATTGAGAGATGGTGTGAAAGTCCAAGTCGAAGGATATGTTGATGAAGGCAAAACAATCAAATTATTCCACGTCTTTACAAAGAAAGAAAGAGTGGTGGTCGAAGGAAATACACCCGGTAGTGGGGGAATCAAAAATATGATATCCGACATGGCAGGATTTGGAAACCAAGATAAAATCGCAACATCTAAAAGCGCAGATCGAATTGAGGAACCCAAAAATCTAAAGCCAACCCCACGAGCTACAGAACCCAATCAAAGCGAATCAGAAACGGATTCAGAAACTGGGGGAGGGGCAGTCATTTTCAAACCTTCTACAAGAGTTATTCTTCCTACTAGCGATGTCAATATCGATTTTGAACGCAGAAACAAAGCTTCCATGGGTTGGACGATGGTTACAGCCGTTGCTCACGTATGGTTTAACGCATATTTCGAAGGTAATGGGCCTGAAAAAAATGGCAAACCAGATGAGAATGGTATCTTCGAAATTGAATGGGATAAAATGGATGGAATTAAAGGTTCTTCTCGTAAAGGTACAAGAGCCTTCGATAAACTAGCCGTCATTTGGAAAGTCTATGATCCCGAACCTGGCCGCGGTAGAAGAGAAAGTATCATTGAAGAACCTGGTCGAAATTCCCCAGTCCCCGAAGTCCAAGCCGCGGATTGGAAGGGGGAGAACGAAGTCTCTCCTACCAATGGAAATAGAGATTTAGGACTTCGAACAGAAAGTCCAGCGAGCGCGGAAGTCAGTAAGGCGAGTAGTGTGAATGAGGCTGAGAGGGAAAAAGAAGAAGAGAGGAGAGAGGAAGAGGGATTGAGAGTCTCGAGTCCAACGGGAGAAGAGGATTTGCAGTTGGATATTACGAGTTTACCGAAACCGCAGGGAGGTGCGCCGGTGCCGGATTTGGAACAGATTAATAAGGGACTCGATACGGCGACGTCGACGACGGTTAATCATGAGGCGAGGAAGTGAGTGCAATTTTCGAAACGAGGATGTGTTGAGGGAGGAGAAGTTACTGACGTTGGGATATAGAGATGTAGGGAATCAGAATGGGAGTGAAGATGGAAAGAAGGGGATAGATGGAATAGACGATATACCAAATGCACCACACGTATCAACTATCTCGACAGCGGATTTACCGGGTGGTGTGCCGGAGAATCAGATGAAGAATGCGAAGGGACATAAGTTGGGGCATTTGCAGAGTGTGAATAGGACTATTAATTCATAGGTTTGGGGGATTGCGGTTGTGGGAGAGGAAGAGGGTGGGAGAAGATTTACAGTGGATATTTTCGAGAGTTTGCTAGAAAGGTTGGTTCATTTTTGAGAAAGGTTGAAGGAGAGAGGAATTATTTAAAGAGACAGAGTAGGACAGATCAGATCAGATCAGACCAGAGTAATTTTTTTATTTAGAAAAACGTTGATACCATTGCATGATACCTACCTACCTACCTATCGAACTTTACTCTGATGTTGCTCGTGCTCTTGATGGATAGAAACTGTATTCGAGAGGATTCATGATTTTATATATCTATTCTATTTGTACTGCAAATAAAATAATCTCGTTTATGGGACTTGTGTGTATGTTATTGTTATGATATGATATATATATATATATATATGGTAAGTACGGAATGATATAAAATGAAATGGTATAATAAACAGAATAAGGGTGGATACAAATGAAATATAGAAGGTTTATGAGTATAGGAGGGGGTAGCAGATAGTGATTGTGCAGTCTGTTGCGTGGTATATATGAAATGACACTTTTCTCCCCTTGCTTATCCTTCTCCTTTCTCCTTCTCCTTCTTCTTTATACTTATCTTTCTCTTTCTATTTCTTTCTATTTTCAAACCCCGAGATGTAAACCAAGTCGGACGAAGCAAGCTAAACCAACCACCCTCTAAACCTTATCCCCCAAAACATCACTCACACTCCCACTCGCCGAATGACTCGGACTATACGCGCTACTGCCAGGCGTATATCTAAATCCATCCGCCACACTTCCACTCTCCTCACTCCCATCATTGTCTTCATACGCTGGCAATACCTCATCAACATCCTCATGCTCATCATCCATTCCAATCCCAACTCCATGCATATGATACCCATCAAAACGACGAATCTGATCTTCAGATGCGCTTTGCTGATGAACGGGAACGGGAATGGGAATCGAAGGAGAAATATAATGCGCAGGCGCAGAAAAAACAACTCGTCCTTCCTCCGCTGCTACCATGTCACTCACAACATTTGCCGCATTGCGGAAGGAGGAGAGATCTTGGCGGAAGGAGTATTCAGAGGCGGTGTTTTCGCTTTCGCTTTCACAGTCGGAATCGAAATCGGAATTGGAATCTGAGTTGTCGGAGAGCAAGCGATCTTTTTCTTCGAAATCTTCTTCTTGGCCTAGCAGGCGGTTCCAGCAGTTTCTGAAACTGGCGTGGTGGCGATGGCGGGTAGAGTGGGATTTAGACTTGGAATTGCGGGCGCGGGTGCGGCGGTAGAGGGTGATGAGGAGGAGGGAGAGGAGGAAGCCGATGATGGCGAATTTGAGGATGTGGAGGGGGAAGTGGGGTGGGCCGTGGGGAGGGGGGCCGGAGAAATCATCTTCGAGGCGGTGGGGAGGGCCGGAGAAGTGCTCGGGTTCGGAGTGGGGTGGTGGTGGTGGAGGGTGAGAGCTTGGGGGGCCGGGGTGGAAGGGGGGTTCTTGGTCCTCGTGAGGACCGCTGTGAGGTGGGCCGTGGTGAGGTTCTTCGTCGTGTGGGTGGTGTTGTTCTTCATGTTCTGGGCCGTCAAATGGTCCTTCATGTGGATGTTCACCATGATGATCTTCTTCAGGATGATCGAAATCTGGGCCATCAAATGATGGTGGGCCTTGCTCGTGATGTGGTTGAGTATGTTTTCCATGAGGTCCTTCGGATTCATCTTCAAAGTTGTCATGACCTTTGTGAGGTTTTTCTAATTCTTCTGATTCATCTCCATGATGTCTGGGTCGTCCTTCCCAAGGCCCATGTTCCTCTTCATCATCATGGAAAGGACGCATTTCATGGTGTCTTCCATGTTCGAATCCATGAGGACCGAATTCATGTGGAGGAGGTCCATGGGGAGGTTCGTGTGGTGGTCCATTTGGTGGTCCATGTGGTCCGTCGTAATGAGGACCATGAGGATGAAAATCAAAAGGAGGAGGACAACGACAAATTGGAAGAATATGGTGTCGATGAGGAGGGAAGTGTGGAGTGGTATGGTTGTTCTTGCCGTGAGGTACGTGTGGAGAGGTATGGTTTCCGGATGTATGATTACCTGGTTTCCCATGGAATCCTTTACCGTGTTTCTTATCCTTCTTTGAATGTGATTCGCGAGAATGATGGAATGATTCTTCATCAAACTCATCACCAGCAATTCTGCCGTAGAATTTACGAGCGTTCTCGCTAATAACTCCAGCGACGCATCGAAGACTATCGCAGTCTCTGATTCTGTCATCAAGATTATGATGTTCTCGAGCGTGTTTTGAGATGTGATGTTTCTTTTTATGGATGAGATATTTCAACTCTTTCATTTGAGCTTTCATATATCTAAGCTCGGCCAATTCTTTGTGAACGTTGAACTCTTTGTGGGCCATGTGGTGTTTATGCTCTCTCTCTGGACCGTTACCCATGGGGTGCCTGTGTTCTCCTTCAGGGCCCTCGCTCATATGATGTTTGTGTTCCTCTTCAGATCCCTTGTCCATATGGTGCTTATGTTCTTCCTCTGGACCCTTTCCATTATGATTTTGCTTATTCGATGATGAGTGATGCTCGATAACTTGATCTTCTTCCGAGGAAATTGTTTCGATATTCATAATCTCTGTCTCTTCAGTCTGTCTGAACAAAACAGAGAATCCTGAATTCTCAATTGCCTTTCCATCAACAAAATCAATCATAAACTTCATAAGTTGCCCACGTGGTTTACCATCGATAACGATACAATCGAAAGACCATGATCCCACTACGATTTTATTTGTTGATGTCGAAATGGAACCTTTTCCAGATGAGATTGAAGTTTCCGAGTCGAATGTTTGTGAAAGAGGTTGACTATCGATTAAAACATTTCCGAAGCCGCATGCTTCTGTGGAATGAAGGATATCAACTCGAAAGTCTAGAGGGGAGACATCAGCTGATGAGGAATCATGTCCAAGATCAAGTCGAACGAATCCCATGGTATAAGCTTCTGAAGTAAATATTAGTTTTGATAGATGTGAAATCGTAACTCGGATATAAACTTACCAGTAGTATCAACATCATTCTTTTCGAACTCGACATCAATATCTTGTTCTGAAGTTGGTGGTAAAACAAGCGCTGACACTATGGCCGGCGCAAGTAAGAATGCCTTCAAAAGGCTACGCATAATGATAGGAGAGCACAGAAGTAAACGGTAGAGTGTAATAACAGTGAAATATAATGATGAATAATAATAAATAAAGAGATATTATGCAATAGCACAATATCGAGATATAATATCAATTGTACGGGATACCTACTGTACGGTTTCTACCAATACAATATAACCGAACAATTAGACAAAAGATCAAAGAAAAGATCAAACACAAATTTTGACGAAAAAAACAGAGAAAACCTTAAGAATTAAAAGGAAAGAAATCAAATAAATCATCGATAATAATATAACGATATAAGGGTTATTATTTTCATCTTCCCCCACTGCCTTACGAGTCCCTTCACAATTGCGCAGTCATGATTAACAGAAACTAACCAAAACGATATTACGCGTCGTCAGCATCAAAGCGGTTATCACGGAGTAAGAGAGTAAGAGGGCTGAATGGTTGTATAGGATAGCAGGTAGGAAATGAGAAATGCTTGCGTGTGAGGAAAGATATCTAGTCATGTTGATCGGAGACGACGACTTTGATATAATTTTATACTCATTAGATACCTAGACATCAAAACATGAGTGAAGTGTGATATTTTGATAAGTTGATACATATTTGGTGATAAACTTAAGCGGACCTTTCCGACATTTCCATTGGCAGAGTCGAATTTCTGTCGGTACCGAAGATTGATAGTGTTGCCTGAATTTCAAGGCTGATTTTCTTTTTGCCTCAATTCTGACCTTTCTACCATTTTGCCTAGCTGGTCAATCTCGAAATCCGTCATAATTCGATACGGTAACCTAAACATCTCAATTATTCCTTGAATATCAAATCCACTCTAAAGCTGAGCGCATATCAAACAACATTATATCATCTATCTCTTCATCTCCAAAATGGTTGTATGTACTCCCTTAAAATGATATCTACGTTTCCACCTTTCCTACAAGCTGCATCACTTGTGCGCATACAATCTGCGATACTAATTTCTTTTGCTATAGCTCCCCTTAGGTCTACTCACGGCCGCACAAGGTCACCCAATGCTGGTTGAGCTTAAGGATGGCGAAACTTTGAACGGTCATTTGGTATCATGCGATACGTGGATGAATCTGACTTTAAAGGAGGTAGTTCAAACGAGTCCGGTATGAAAGATTCTGTCGAGGGCGGAGCTGGGGCGTTGGGTTGGAATGCGCTGAAGCTAATACTTCGAATTTCAGGATGGCGATAAATTCACAAGGTTACCAGAAATATATGTTAAAGGAAACAATGTACGTTTTTGTCGGGGAAAGTCGGATGTGGGTTAAAGAAGCTATATCCTAATGCGTTTTGCAGATCAAATATCTACGAATGCCAGATGAAATTATCGATTTAGTAAAGGATCAACAACAAGGACAACAAAACAACTACAGAGGTCGCGGAGGTAATAGGGGCGACAGAGGTGGTGATAGAGGTCGTGGTGGTAGAGGTGGAAGAGGAAGAGGAAGAGGAGGGAGAGGAGCTTGAAACATTGAGGACTGGAGTAATGAGCTGAAATTGGACTCGAAGAAGCTACATAATGGCACGTATAACATACACAAAGTGCAGAGGGGCGGCTACATTCTTCTTTATGGACATCGAAGGATTTCGATATATGCGGCAGATTTGCCTTGAAATGATGCAGGCAGGTATACTGGGCATATGATAGGTTCATATTGGATGTGAGAAATCGTTGAGGCACATATACATATGTCTCAGCAGAGTCTCAGCAGAGTCTCAAACCATCACATATTTCGAGATCATAGCCCACAACAACAAAAACGACAATTTCCCCCCGTGTTTTCCTCTTGAACGTCCTTCATGGCAAATTAAAATTACCCCTGTCGTTCGTATGAATCCCGCTCAACGAATCGCGGGGATCGTATCTTCCCCTCTGTTCCCACGTGATTCTATAACATTTCCGCCGCGCCTAGAAATGTTTCCGCGAACTTTGAAAATAAAAATTATAGATCAACTCAATGACGACCACAAAAATTCCAATTGATGGACTATGGCGATGTCTTTGTCCTTCTATAGATGCATTTATTTTCGCGCGTTCTAATACCTTGAATCAATTACCCAGAAAGTTCTTGAATCGTCCTTTGGCTAGGAATAAAAAGATCCCAACATGTTTAAAAAGTCGATCCTTTCATACCACTACCACGACTTCACTGCCTGTGTTAAATGGACAATATACTCCGAGATCGCGAAACGGTAGAGGGAAGTCGAATATACCGAAACCCCTTAATTTGGAACAACTGAGTAATGGTGAGATCCATGAACGATTGAGAGAATTGAAGACGGAAGAGGGGGCATATACACAAGTCGCAGAAGTGGTGGAATATCTGGTGAAGGACAGGCAGGAAAAATATGCGCTGATACATTATGATGCATTGATTGCAGCTAATGCGGATCCTGAAAATGGAAGTGTAGAGGTTGTGAGGACTTTGTTGGAAGAGATGAAGGGGTTGGGAATTGGTGCTGATTCGGGACTTTATCATACGGTTTTACAAGTATGTATACTTTACGATCTCTTTTGGAGTAAGATGGCTAATGATCCATGTTGAATAGGTACTTGCGATTCATCCAGATTATCTTTTACGCACTCAGATATTGGAAGAAATGAAGGAACGTTGGTATGGTTTATCCCCAACTGGATGGCATAATTTGGTCGTTGGTCTACTTCGCGATCGTCAATATGAATTGGCTATGGACAAATTTGAACAAATGCAAGTAGATCAAATCGAAATTAAGCCATGGCTTTACGATATTTTCTTCTTTAGATTGTGTGAATTGGATGAGTTGGATGAAGCTTTAAGACTATTGAAGTCTCGATATGATCAACCAGTACTGGCTATGCATATGTATTATCACTTGTTGGATTCATTTGCTAGTTCATTTCATGTAAGCAAAATTTATACAATAGCTTTATTTCATCTATTGACTTTTGATGTAGTATGAAGGTACCAGTTATATCTGGAGACTTTTGGTTGAAACCTCGGAAATGAATCCTGCAGATGGAACCTGTACCGCAGTATTGAATTGTGCTGCTCGTCATGCAGACCCCAATTTAGCTACATCAGCCATCGGACTTCTTTCCAAACGTAGCACTGTTCTTGGAGTGCATCATTATGAAGCTCTTCTCGAAGCTTACGTCGGCATTGAAGATATCAAAACTTCGTTCCGCATTTTAAATATCATGACCAAAGCAGGTCTCACACCAGATGCAAGCTCCACAAGATCAATATATCTTTGGCTAACAAAATCATCGTTCCATGCCCTTGAAGGATGGAAAATTCTTAAATCGTTAAAAGCGGATGGATACACGATTCCTATTGCCGCTGTAAATGTTGTTCTAGAAGGTGTCATCTTCACCAATAATCTCAGTCATAGTCATGACTTGGCCATAGATTACTACAAAGAACTCCACAAAATATGCGACGCGGGTCCCAATATTGAAACTTTCAATACTCTTCTCCGAGGTCTCGGTGCTCATGGGAGAGGATCCAAATCTAAAGCTATGTTCCTCGCTTCGGAAATCCAAGCTTTGAATCTCAAACCTGATGAACTTACATATGATCGACTCATTTTGATCTGTCTGCATACCGAAAACGCGGACTATGAGGATTGTTTTAGGTATTTGGAGGAAATGATGTTGGTGGGGAAAGATAAGGTTGATGCAGCGGGGAGGAGAGGCTGGTGGATGAGACCGGGGACCGTGGTGGCGTTGGTAAAGAGGTGTGTGGAGAGTGGGGATGAGAGGGCCTGGCAGTTGATGGAGGACATGAGGGTGAGGGGTATGGTTAACGAGTATACGAGGTTGAAGGTTTGGACGGAATTGTATTGGCCGAAGGGGACGGGGAAGGGAAAGGGAGGGGGGGAAGTCTTGAGGGGGAGTGAGGCGGTGGTAGGGTAGTAGGATGTAGGATGTAGGAACTAGATTTGTTTTAAGGAGATGAGATGATGGTTTGAGTAGATATATATCACTGAAATGCTTACCATACGAATAATGAATGAATCTCCTCACTTTATCACTTTTCTCTTGTTTATGCTGTCTGGCCTTATGTAAGTTTATACTTGTTCCTTCCTTCATCCTAAGTTGTTATCCAGAAATTTCTAGTGTTCCTTTTCCTTTCCTTTCCTTTCTTTCCCTTCCCATCCCTCCCTCCCTCCCTCCCTTCCTCGAAATTTCTTCTTCTTTTGCCTTTTCCCCCTCCTTTTCCCTCTCCAAGGCCTAATCACACCTTTCACACCATTAGAGGGAGAGGGACAGGGGAGGGGAGCTAGGAGGGGGGTTGGATGGAGATTGGGTGTGAGGAGTTGGATTGAGTTGAACAAAAATGGAATATATTAGAATGAAAAGATTTAAGTCGAGATGGATGAGAATATAGTGGGTTGAATTGCCTTGGAGTGGTATTGAAGTGTAGTAAAGTAGCACAGAGATTGATTAAGTTGAATTGGATTGCCTTTCCAGGCTTGTGAAAATTGAAGCAAGCGAAGCATAAAAAAGGGGGTAAGCATTTAGAGGGATGGAGTGAGATGTAATGCAATGCATTCAAAGCGTATTAAATCCAGAAGTAAAGCTGCATATCAAAAAGGAAAATTTGTTCTCGATCTTCATCTCCGTGAAGTGGGATGTTGGAAATGATTGAGTATTGTGCTGGTTTTGTTGGCTGATGTTGTAGGAGGGTTTTGTTAGATATTAAGATTGATATATACTGGCTGGAGTATTGGATTTGTTATGGGGGTAGTTTGGAGGTAGGAAGGTAAAGTGGGATGTGGAATGTGTGTGTGAGGGGTGATGCGGTTGGGATTGCGGGGTGGAGAGGGAAGGGAGGTGTATAAAAGAAATGGGTCTGTGTAGGAGAGGGCATGGATGATAATCGGACATGGGAGCAGAAGCGACAAAGAGAATTCAGGCTGGGAGTGAGATTGTTGATTTCTTGGGGGAAGGAGAGGGGAAGAGATTGTAGGGGAATGATGATGATTACAATGATGGGTAGATGATGGGTAGATGATGATAGCGAGAAGTTTGTGGAAGGTGGTGATGATGAGGATTGGTGAGAAATTGTTGTTGTTTATCTACATTCATGCTTCTTACCACATCGATTTATAGGAGAAATTTAGCTCGACGGTAATAGTGATGAGAGCAGTAATGATAACAACAGCAACAGATAATATGACTCCTCTGATAGTTAACGAGAAGAGGGGGGATAAGCATTCCTCGGGTTTGATATGACAGCTACTAGGTTGTCAAAAGAATTCTAGTTGGATTATCATAGGGTGGAGGAGGCACTCCCAGTGCTCCCCATCATCAACTCCTCGTTGATTTGTATTTTGTTCATGAAGGAAGAAGAATAGAAGGGGGAGAAGGAGTGTATAGATAGGCATCCATTGAAGACTTTGATATCCCAGCCAGTTTTAGTATATCCTTGGGGTTGAAATGTATGATAGAAGTTTTGAACATGATGATCTTTGTATATTCAGGATTTTGCGCTCGTTAATATCTGTATGGTTCTTATTTTAGTGAAAATCTGTTTAGAGATTTTGAGGAAAGTTGTGGTGTATAGATAGATAGGTAGGGGGGTATATAAACTACTCTCATTTTAACTTGCGAGTGCGTAGGAATAACCAAGTACGGAAAGAAGACAAAGGAGAGGTTGAGATTCGTAACTTGGAGACTACTGGATGGTTGATATGAGGGGCTTGAAGGTAGGATGGTAAGTGAGGGATGAGGTTTGGGGAGATATCGAAGGATGGGAGTGTGGGATGGGTAGGAATAATGAGAGTTGAGGATGGAGGGATTAATGACAATAAAGTTATGGACAGTGGTAGTATCACTTGAGGTGGTGAAAATGATGACGATTGGAATGGGTGATTACTAGGTAAGCGATCAACAGCAATAAAATAACAACAGTAACATTTTCTCAACCGCATTTCACTAACAACAAAAACTATAGACAAAAATCTCTCATCTCATTTTTCGCGTCGAAGCAGTAAGTAGCTACCTACCCACCTACGAGTTTAGTAACGATATGAACTATCCAATATCTCCGAGACAGCAAACCTCGTTTTTGAAGTTGTTATTATTAAGTGTGTAGCTGCTTGTGGGAAGTTTAAGGGGTGGAGGTGGTGCATGTTGATATACTGTTAGAGGGGGAATTGTATGATGTGATGGATATGGTGGGATTTGGATAGCAGATTGTGAGCATGGTGATTACGAGAGAATTTACTGAGTATGTTTTCTTTCCCAAGTCTTCAAGAAAGAAAATCGTATCTATATAAATCTTATTTTTTCTACGTTTGATGAAGCCTTAGATTTCGATATATCGAACCTCCAATTGCCAAGGGCGCAGAGGGGATCGAGGTGTAATCGTATGATCACATATTCTGAGATTTATAGTTTCGATGATTATTCGGATGAGGTCTAATGCAGTGAGATGGAAAAATTTGGCGAGCACAGTGGAATAAGAATGGGAAGATGATAGTACAGTCCCGAATCTCGCTATCGTTTTATTCTATACCGTTTATTCTAACAAGATTAAAAATTTCAATAACAGTAAAAATATGCATAGCTTGTGAGATATATGGATTTTCGTCACACTCCAGTGACATGTCGAAGTAGTTAGATACAAGCATACTCACATCTCTGTATCGAGATATAGGAACGTCCATCGATGTCTGTTATACAACAGTCCATCTTGAACGACTCTGTTGAAGCTCTCTTTCAGTCTTGAAATCTATATCTCATCCACTGATAGCAGAATTCGAGATCTATATACTCAAACCTTAATTCTCGAGATCATAACCATGTAATAATAGTTAGAATTTAATCACACCTCCCCCGTGATTTCAAATTAAGTGGAGAATGTATTATCATACTCATGAATTGAAATATATGTGGAAAGATTAGGTATATAAACCCGACTACTAAACAAGCAGAGGAAGCTGTAAATTGAACACACTTACAACTGGCAATTGTCCCAGGATCTGAGATGATTTTTTTTGACTGATAAATCTGTGGAGGGGTTGTTGCTTAGCTACGGATGGGTGGATTTATCTGGGTATTAGGGATGAAGTGAGATAAACTTTTGGGATGGGGGTGGGAAAGAGATATTGTGGTATGGGTTTGTTGACAGTGATAGAGCATACTTTTTGGATTGACAGTAGAGATGAGTATTGACAATGAAAGATATGGTCAATACCATCAGAACAGCTTGTATCTGATCTAGATACCACGTGGCCTGGAAACTGTGAAAGAGATGGTGCGAACCTAATCACCGAGCTCCTCTACTTCCATTTACCCATTCTGTGAACTGCTGTAAAGCACAGCTTGTGAACATGATTCTTATCCTACTGATGGAAATCAAGGGATTTATATACTCAAGAAAATCTCGGCGTCTACAAGAAGCGAGGTTGATCATGCAAAGCGAAAATATCCGAATGTCACTATTTCATGATATCAAGGTCTAAAAGTTTTGCTTCCTATAAAAAAGCAGTTCTGAATCAATCCAAAAAACTCGTAAACCTTCGACGATCGGGCAGATGCGAAAGACTAGGACTTGGTGAGCGGAGTTTTCGAGGAAATATCATACTTGGGGGAATTGGCTGCGTTTGAGAAGCGATCAGGATGAAGTATTCAGGCATGGCTTCAGTGAAAGGTTCAATTGAAGTTTCTTGTTGTCATAGCAGAAGTTTTGATGGACTAGAATCGGTTAATGTCTCTGTTATGACAGTGAGAGTATATTTCATTGGCAAAAAATACATCCGTGCTATTGCCCTACTAATATTTGCACATGACACAACTAGCTTAGACTGCAGTATATGGCCCTTAGATCCCCAGCTGGTACTTGCCTCTTGACCCATGGTTCTCTCCATTGGGACATTGTATATCTCATCTGCTGATCTCTGAAAAACAGACAAGTGGTTATCTACCCTTTGAGACCCTTTAGTCGAGTGAAAAATGGGTACGTCATCTGTGCTATGAGTTCATACGGTTATTACTTCTTATGATTTCTTTACAGTGTAGCATCAACGACAACGCCTTCGATTTTATATAAGGCTAACTATTTGTAGAGTAGATGACCTTCCAGTTGATAGCAGTCTCAACACAAGTAAACAGGATTGAGAATCAGAAATGGAATAGTATGGTGCGGTATAACAAAGATTTAACTGCTTGAGTTGTCCATGCGAGGCTCTTGAAAGAGAAGAGTACGATGTAGTAACCAAGGATGTAGTGAGCGATTAGATGACGACAATTGATTTTCGCTATCTCGTTCGATCGAATAGATTACTTCTCTTACCAACAATCATGGCAATTATTGATAGTAAAAAGGGAATCCAATGTACGAGAACTTTAAGTCGATTTGGCACATCTACTTTATCGAGTCAACCATTTTACGTACGCCGATGATTAAAATTCCCTAGCAAAAATGGAATTCGTCTTAGCTGACTTACTGAAGATGTTGGCGTTTTCGTTTGCTATCTAGTAGAAAAGCAGAGTGAGATTTATATATCCAGCGGTTTTGCTTGGGGGAGAAATGGGTGTGGAGATGTCTGGGCTGCTTTGATTCACTTCGCGGCTATGAAGGCACTTATTCCGGGTCGGCTTTTATGGGGAAGAGTGATTCATTTTGGCTTTCTATAAATTCATCACTCTGTCGTGCATGAAAATACTAAATACAGTATGGAACTTGCTGCAAATACGGATATGTCTGCATCCTAACCTGTTACAATCCGTTGCAGTGACGTAAGGTTGAAAAATATAATTGAATTTAATCTCGTGATAATATCTGTGTTTTTGTACAGTTATCTTTAGTAAAATCGAAATTTGTCATTGAAAACATTATGAAATCTTTGTTGTCATTCCGAGTGTGTTAAGAGCTTTCATTTTGGTAGTCAGTAGAAATCTATTCACTGTCTATGCGAGACAGAATTCGACCAAAAATTATCAAGTGCCAGTGCTCATTATAATTTCTTCAACTGCCACTAGGCTGAAGTCCAATAATTTCGGCGATGTGTCAAGGAAATTTCTGGCAGGAAAGACCCCATTCTGCAACTCGACGTTTTCTAGCTCATATACTTATTCCTCTTGGATTCGAGAAGAGGATGAAGTTGTTATATAGTCGGAAATCTAGTTCAGAAGAGAGACAGATTGAAAAAATACCAAAAATAGCGAAGCCTCTGAAATTATCGCCTGGCAAGGGAACTGCGGAGTCCTCTTTCTACTTGATCACAGCATGTGCACGAACAATGCTTACTTCATCTTAATAATCCATGTATTGAGACTTGTCCATGAAGTCATTAAGGACTAATCTAAGTAAGCTGATCCTTCTCATCGATGAATGTGCATGTGTAGATACCCTATTTGCGACATTCTGGGTTCGGTACGCCGAAAGTGGCGCAGGATGTCTTCATCCAACATGAATGCCGAACAGAAGAAGAAGTCTCGATAATCACACAGTCCACGGAATATCCACGAGAGACTTGGACATATGCGGCCAGACGAATGCCTGTCTCTCGCATATCTGAAAGTACGGAACTTTTCTAATTCTTGGCTGATGTCTTTCCGACCTGCACAGGTTTCCGCCCATTCTCTAAGTATTTCTATAGTTACCTCGAGAGTCTTCGGTTCCACTAGTATACCATTGCGATATATGAATTTATAGCCAGACTCATTCAGGGAACCGAAATACCTTCGGAGGATCGAGGCTCGGGGTAGTAGCTCCAATGCTAATCTGTACCATGGTGCTGTGGGTAATCCATGACTGGGATCGTTTAGTCTAGTCATATCCTTCTGAACCAATCTTGTCTCAATAATATCCGGTAGATCATCAACGAGGTACTTGTCGGCCATTATTGCAGGGTCCATGAAGGGTTTTGAGTGAATCGGGAGTCCCTCGACGGTGAAAGTTACCGGTGCATCATGAGTGACATCGAATACCCAATGCATGAGGATTGAGAAAGCTTCGGGATCGTCATCCGGTAGAGTACATGACTGTGTGCTTGTCTCAAGCCATTCGTGGTTAAACATGGCATCGAAGAAAGATATCTTTGAACATAGAGGACGTTTAGGTACTATGAACTCCGTGATGTTAGAGCCTTGTCCCACTTTGATGCTGACAGAATTTTCTTCGAGATCACTATCGTTTTGTTAGTGGATGTTGCTAGTCCAAATATAATTGTAAAGGAAATTGGGGAAACATACTGGTCGCACTCTAGTTGATTCTTCGCTAGCTGCTGGTCAACGCTTTTCTGATAATCGATTGACTTTTTGCTTGATCGTAAGATCAGCTGTCTGGAAATAGCTGGGCCTAATAGGTGTGTATTTTGTGTTCTGTCTTTGGTATTCATTGTATAGTATTTTCTGTAATTTATCGAAGATTTTGAAGTTAAAAACGAGTCTGGTGGGACTGTGTGATAAAGTCAATTGTTGGTGTGTAAAGCCTTAGTAGTTGTTTTGAATGAATTTTCCTTGAAAGAAAGACGCTTGTGGTTCCGTATGTATTTTCGATAAGAGTTGAGCGTGATGATGTCCAGAATTCCTTGATATAATAAACGGGATATCGATTATGTCATCATAGCACAGAGGTACAGGCCATGCGCAGGCAAAACGCTAGGGGTGATTATGGGTATATACCGGTAGAACTGACGGCAAAGGATATTGATCTCGGTCAAGTTTGCAGTACTATTTATTAGTGGCCGTGTTGTCTTCCAAATGATCATTTGAAGACAGAGAATTCATTTGCCATAGTATACACCATACCGGACAGATGATAGTCCCTTCAGACAATAAGTACGGAATGATTACTCATGAAAACTATAAATCACGAAATTCAGTAGTATAGATGCCTCTGTCTTAGGTGAATTGAAGGATTCACGAAAAGTTCTATGTAGGTACGTGTATATATATTCCCACATGTTTGCTTGCTTTTGGTCATTAAAGATGAATATTTAGGCGAGAAGAATATACAACAGTACTAGAAGATCATGTGCCAATGGAATGCAACAGGTAAAACTACGGTCACTTGAAGTGAAATGATTTCTGATGGAGGTCAACGTCATCTGACAAGTCGCTAGTGGTTGCAAGAGTGACCAGCAACATTTCCATGTCACCATATGATTATGAGAACCATACTGTATTTTGGAGCGAAATTGTTAGGAATGACGATGAGTCGTACCTCCTCACCGTAAGATCGTCAGATTAGGTTACTGGCTTCAACCGAATCTATAAAAGCGCTTGCTGAAATGGACTACAGCCATGCTGAGCCGTAAGACTTGAGAGAGTCTGCACCGTATCTCTTAATGTAGTATATATGCATCCTTTATCATCGTCTTCGAAGCTCCTTTCTTGAACATCTACTAATCTTTCTTTATAAGAAGCAAGACATTACTTGAAACCTCTAGTCCATCTCGTTCGATATAAAGAATTCATACCTTCCAGTCCTTCACATAATTTTGAAGCATCATTTCAACTTGAACTAATATCGACTTCAAATTCTACTAAAATAAACGTTATGGACTCCCCACGCCCAATCAAGTTGGAGCCAGAGGAGATAGAACCGGCATTCAAGAAAGTCAAGACTAACGAGTACTGGATAGAGTAAGCACTCACTATATAAGTCAATGAGAAAATTTGCTAACATTTTACAGCACAATCGGCACCAGACTTGTGCACCTTGAGGTCGGCACGGGCTTTGATAAAGTAGTATTCAGTGTCCATAGGGCAATACTTTGCAAGAAAATCGCATTTTTCGATAAGATGTTTAATGGAAAGTTTTTGGAAGGCATAACTCATTGTGCTAAGATGCCCGAGGACAATATCGAAGCCTTCAAACTAGTGCTTGGCTGGGTATACGGCGGAGCCATCGAGCCAGGAATTGGTCTCACCTTTGCAAACGGTAACTCCGCCAGCACACCACTCTTGGAGCTGGTGATACTTGCGGAAAAATACGACATCAATCCACTTGTTGATGCCACAATGGACTACCTGATCAATCTTCTCCAAGAGAAGAAGATAATCATTGGCGAGTCCCTGTGGGTGTATACGTACGAGCATACACGCCGAACATCGAAGCTTCGATTGTTCTTCACAAGATTAGCCATCTACGCGATGCGCTTTAAAGATGGAGAATTCACTAGCAATCCAAAATTCTGGACCGTGAAGGCAATACACTCCATATTGTCGCAGAATCCAGAGATCCTCATGGATTATCTCGCTTTGTCTCAAGGGGTAAAGCTTCAAGAAGATCCATTGATAGCACCACCTTGCGACTACCATCGCCACGCGACTGACGAGGTATGCCCATACAAGCTGAAGAGAACCGCCAAAATCACCAATGAGAGTGGGAATAGGCCCAGCGACCTGGATGATTGATGATATGCACTTGAATGCAGGCAAACACACTACGCTGCCAGAAGAACTGAGGTTGCAAGAAAACGAGTGTGTAGTGTCAACCATGTTTGAAAAAATGGGTTATTTAAATGGGCTTCTGCAAGGAACTTTGATAGAAGACATGGGCTTGAGGATATGGAGCAAGGCACAATTTATGTTGGTTTTTTAATGTGAATAAAAACTTGGGTATATGGAGTAGACGTTATAATCAAGAGTTGCTTTTACTGATGCCGGTTTCTAAACCCATCAATACAGACCTAGTGCCACGTGATGTTCAAGACCTCATTCACTCAAAGCTTCGGCAGCTTTTTGACGCATTATATGAGTTGGAAAATTTGACACTTGTATTCGACTAGTACTCATAAGTTTTATGCTGAACTGTGCTTGGAATAGAATATCAAGGTGAAAGAAAAGCTTGGTTTCAACCATGAATTTGATGAACCATCTTTACCCGAGACTTTTAGATACTCAAGATATAAAATGCTAATCATGCGCCATTGAAGTGAATCTGAGAATTTGACACCGATAAAATTCGTTTGATAGCCTTCTCGGTCCATCTTTCTTCCTGGGAGGCTTCAGGTTTGAGGGCAGTGCATAAAGTGTAAACTTGACTTTTGGTTTCCGATAGAAATCGCAAATACTGTGAATAAGAAACTTTATTGCACCCATTTAAAGATGCTGCGCCTGCCATCAAATTATCCGTTCTCTTTATAGCTAAGTCACCTTCAAGTCGCAGCGGTCTTGTGTAACCAACTATCTATCTTGGCCAGCTACCCAAATAAGACGTTTTTCGTGTAAGTTAAACTCCCTTCTCGATCTTAGACTTCTTCCTATACGTAAGCATATTTTCAACACTACCTAACTTTCGCGCCACCAAGATAGCTATATTCCGGCTCTCAAGCTATCTTAATCTACAAACTCAACGCAGCCATGACTTCCAGCGATATGTGGTCAGCTTCTGCCATCTCTGATTGGTGTACTGTCACTTCAACAACAAGCAATTTCAAAACTACCATGAGTGGAAGTACCCATACTCGCCATAGCTCAAGCGGTACCTACATGCCAGAAGTTGGACCTCATCTATCTTCCAAGTACATTCATTCATCTTAAAAAACTATCAGATGATTTTGCTGACATGGTTTACAACAGAGAATTAGGTCCAATCATCTTGCAAATCGAAGTTGGCAGTGGTAAAGAGCCTGGAGGCACTATCACTTTCAAAGTTCACGCCAAACTTCTCTATGCCAAAATTCCAGTCCTCGAATATATGGTCGCCAATACTTTCGAAGATTTCCTAGACCCAGTCAAAGAAATTCCAGATGTTGTCCTTGCAAATGATGATCCCAAGGCCTTCAAGTTACTCGTTGACTGGGTCTATACCAATAAGATCGATGGCGGTCTCAGTAAGATTGCAAGTTTCGAGAAAACAACCACGCCCTCCAAGGGTTCCTTCAAAGGACTTTTCATGTCGATGAAGCTTCCAATCCTCGTAAAGCTCTGCATTCTTGCCGAAAAATATCACATCTCGCGTCTTCAAGATGAATCGATTGACTTCCTCATCAAGTTCATGGTCGATACCAAGGCGAAAGCTAATCCTTCTTGTTGGTTGGAGGCCTACAAACACACTTCTCCCAAGTCAAAGTTGAGACTTTTGATCTCCCGAATTGCGGTATGGCAAATGTCACAAGTTGGCGGATTGGATGGTATTAGTGATATGGATCTGGAGTCGATCATTTCTCGTAGTGAGGAATTACGTTCTGACATATCAGCACTCACAGAGGATAACATGGGGGGTAGTCTAGTTGATCCGTTGTTGGCACCAGCTGGTGATTACTATAGCGATGAAGTTGGTAACGAATGATCTTGTTTACACATTCAAATACGCGGTGTTAGTTGAGACTCGAAAGATGGATACACGCTTTAGCTATGGGTGATTTGGCTTTCAGGAATTAGTTTGATTCGCTGGGGTTGTGTTACTGCGAGTTTATTAGGGCACCAAATCAGATTTCTTTGGCAGATCCAATGCGAAAGGTTCATGGACTTAGGATGGTAATCTAAATTATACACCAAATCTCAAATTGATCGCACCTTGTGATATGATGCTGAATATTGAAATCGCCATGTTAACGCCGATATTTCACCCGGAGACGTTCACTTTTTCACACATGATATAGTTCTTTCACTTTAAATCTTAAAATCTGAGGGAAACATGTTTCATATTCTCCATGCTAGAAACCCAATACGTGATGGCTTCGCTCACATCAATCTCGGACACCTGGATCAACTTAATCTCTATCATGGGAAAGCTTAACCCTCTTGCTATTGCGACGCTCCTCCCCGCTTTCGGACTCAGGTGAGGTGACCTGAACACTCATACTGTCTGGCGATTTGCCGGATGAATCAATGCTAGAGTCTGCAGAGCTATCAAGCTCCGTTCTGGTATGCTTATCATGATTGTGTTCATCGCTACCAGAGCTAGACGAGAGCAATCTATTTCTACGAGTGTGGTCGCCTCCGACTTCATCGTGAACAGGCTGAATGTCATCATCAACTTCGGTACTCTGGTAGTCATCATCGCTAGTGTTGTTTGCAGCAATTGATGCTTCCTCAAATCGCCAGATAGCTTCAGGGTCGACATCATCAAGAAGCTCTGGAATATCGATGAGAAGCTCGGATACTTGCTCGCGATTCCACTTGAATTGATTGTATTCTTTTATGGCTTCAGCAACAAATTCGGCACAAAAAATTCGGAGTCTTGATACTGCAGGGGTCAGTTCGTATGCAAATCTGACATGCTCTGGCGTGAATCTTGACTCGTGACGACTTTCATGAATCTCCTCAGCGAGACAATCCATTGCTTCATCTTGTAAACTTTGTTGTTCGAAAGTGTGCGCGATAGCAAATAGAGAGAAGAGCTCGGTAGTGCGGCATTTGTCCCTTTTCTGCTCTGCAATCGAAGTTCCATATAACCAGCGCTTTAAAAGCTTGTATCCAGCTGGATCAAGTTCAACAAATTTCTCATAGAAATTCAATCGACGATAATTGAAGCGCTTTGCGAAAAAAGGAATCTTCTCTCTCAAGCGTCGAACATGGATTACGAGTACGGTGTTGGAGCCAATCCCGACACGAGCTGTGTCAATGCCGTAATTTCTACGCGAAGTTAGCTGATAGACCTTCATAGTAGGTGATTCAATATAATCGTATGAGCTTTATGACCCAACTGACAGTTACCAAACACTGTAGCACGGGCTATTGGGCAACCTGATTGATATAGTGGGGGTTTGCAAATGGGAAATGAACTCACTGGTTATCTTTTTCAAATAAATTGTCTGTATCATCAGATGAGCTCATTGATTCATCATCATCTCTATTGCTCGAAGAGACACTTTCAGACATATCAGATGTGTGTTCTTGAGATGAGGCTCGACGACAATGAGGTGCATGGACCGATGATCTGGGATCGATCGGGGCCTCAGGTTTTATACCAGTGAGAGCTTCGAGAGCAATTTGTTGCAGTAAGTGTCTTTCATCGTCACAGGGGGCGCATGGCGTGTCGTTATTGTCCATGATTGGCACTTCAATTGATCTTAGTTAAACAACGGAAGTGAGTGTCTGAATACATTAATTGTTATCGATGGTGTAAATGTATTTATGGGAGTGGCTACATACCTGATGGTAAATTGTTGAAGAGTCAATAAAGGGTTAAACGAATGTGTACTTTCAGAGCTCTGTGTATATTTTTAAGATCGAGAGAAGAAGGGGGTTGAAGCGTATATATATAACCGTGGAATTTAAGCTTTCAAGAACCGTTTTTTCCCCCTTTTTAGTACTCTCTTAGCTGCTGTCTAGCCTACACTAGATAAAGCAGCTCAAAATCTGGCCGGAGATCAAGAAAATAAATAAAAATGGATTTTAAAACAACTAATCATTATTATATCGACAAAGTTGTTCACCAAATAGATGTGCTTTTACTCTATATTTGACCAAAAAAAGACGATTATCTGAACGGATTTCAACAGCAATTTGGTTTTGCGGAATATGGCATCTTCATGAGGCTCGCTTAGCTTGATTTAACACTTGTCAAGATGTCCACTATAAAAGCTTCGTTTGACTTTCCTCTAAAAATATCTATGAGGTTGCAAGCGAATACTAGTTTGTGTCTAGCTTTAAGTGTTCTGCGCCTACAATCGGTAATTCATCACAACTAGCAAGTCGTACTCAAAGTATCTTTCCAGAAGAGGGACGATTCGCGGCGAGCATCATATATACTTGTTTGTTTCATAGGTTAGTAGATAGATGATGCCAAGCAGTGACTCAGATCTCCGCCGCTCAAACTATTAATTATAAACACGTGATTTAGCAAAAGATATAGGGGGGTCGATCAAACCATTTGACCAATGACCCAAAGTCGTCACATATGATCCATGGATTCCTCACGTGTATCTGCTTCCAGTATCCACTGTTCGTATTGTTTCTACGTAATTCAGGCTCTTTATAATGATCTAGATCTATGTCTCTATCAAGACCTAACTTGAGCAATGACTCGAATGGCCAACGCTGACTTCCATTACTGCGCGGTGCAAATTTTACATACAATAATCCACGGTCATCGATACATTTCCTCAACACTCTTATTGCACAGTCGCATATCCTTGGTCCTAATCTATCTCTCATGAAATCTTCATCTGTAACCATGGCTTCCCACATTACTTCTTGCGGTTTGTCTTCTTGTTCACTCCCATCTCACAATGACAATCCCATGTTCTTTTCTGTCATCTGCCTTTGCATGTCCCTTTCTGCTACCATCAAATTCCATGGAAATTGACCTGTAAACCCAGAATCCTGTATTTATGAAAATCCCAAATGATACCTTAAGCTCCTTCCTTACATTTTTCAGCATGATTCTCTCCATGATTCTTTCGCTCAACGACGAGTCTCTTGCTTCCGTAATCTTGATCATAACATGCACAGTTTCTTCGAAGAATTTGCCAATCAATTTCTTCTCCTCGAACATGTATAGTTTTTTCAGATACAACAATGGTCTCCCATGTTCCATTACTATATGATCGTTGACGCCGGGGGACAACTAGCACAAAAATAAGAATGCGATGGGATGCTCGAAGAGGAAAGATGTGATGAGAGTAGACTGGCGACGAGAGGAGATGTCGGTGAAAGAGCATATTTCGAAAACGCAGGATGAGCTGTGTCGAGTAAAGGTCAAGCGGCCGGAAGAGGACGAGAAAAAGAGGGAGAGATAACATCTTTGCAGCTTTGGGAGATTCATGAACTTTGGGGGCGACGGCTATAGCAATTCGAATGCCTACAGCTCTGCAGAAACCATTAGTATTCCGCGCTGTACAAGACGAATAGAGATGACAAGGAGAGCATAAGGAAGAAGAAAGACCTGGAATAACTCACTGCCCATATCATCTATTTCCAAATGCTGCCTCAAGAAGTTTTCCTCCTCAATGAGTCTGACAATCTAACCCCCAGTCCCATCATCGGAATGCTATTTCATTGCCGCGACTGCCATTTAAAGACCTATATCCATGCTCTTTCCCAAACCATATTTTACAAAAGTCAAATCATGTACTAGAGGAATCGAATACTAGTACATGGAATGAAATGAAGATTTTCAGTTTTTCATGGTCAAAACCTGGTTAAATTTTTGTTAAGCTGTGTTAGATTTTGGGTGATTGTTTGTAGGTATTTCGTATCTCGTATGGTATTTCGCATGGTGAAATACCATATGATGGATATACCTATGTAAGCATAGAAGTGTTAGCAAAAGCACCTGTGTATATTCTCACAAGATGTTATCTCATTTGGAGAACAAGGTAAGGTCAGGTCATTATTGCCATCAACACAAACACTCAAGATCACGAAGAACCAGACAACACGTTCACAAAGTCCGAAAATAATGATCCCAAATCACAAGGAACAGCCATGAAAACAACAATTCAATCATTGCTATTGAGTTGAGTTTGAATTAATTACATTATGACTCCTTGTCAGAGAAAACTGTTGGAACATGTTCTAAGGATCATGTATACCTATTATGTGTGTGTAGACACCATTATTTGAAGTAAATGAAAACCTAAACTAAGCCGAGTCGAACCAAATCAAATTGAACTATGGGATTCCAGATTTGATAAACACAAAAAGATTTGTTCTGATCGAAGAATTGAAGGCCGAAGGAAAAAAACAAGCACGCCGACCAGAAATACTCCCAGCATAGGGATAACTATGGAAGAATGACTAAATGGCTGAACAGTCTTGATATTGCCGTTGAGAATGTCGAAAAGCTGGAATAAAAACGAACCAAAGAAAAAACAGAAGGTATCGCGAGAATTAGTTTTGGGCAGAAAGAAACAGCGCGAAAAGATCATTAAGATTAACCGGCACCCATGCAAGACCAGATCCACCATTCCATCACAAATTCTCATCATCAAAATCCATCTCAAATTACCTCTTAAACTCTGCTCTATCCTGAGCAACAGTCGTGAACGGCAATCTTCTCTGACGCCCAGTAATCTCAAGATTAAACTGGGGACCCAAAGCACCGGGCGAGAGATTTATTGTGGTTTGATGATATCTCCGCAGTGGACCACGATCGAGGGTAGAAGGTGCTGAGGCTGGACGAGGATTAAATGCGACCTTGGGACCTTTTTTGACAGGGGTTTTTCTTGAATTTCTTGGAGTACCCTTTGCAAAACCTTTAGCTGGACTTCTAGCTGAGTTTCTACGTGAACCTCTGGAAGAATTCTTGTGGTGACGTGCTCTCTTACTAGGACTATCCTCTTCGAAGTCATCTTCCTCTTCCTCATTCTCTTCAATCTCCTCGTCAACATCTTCCTCGTTGTCTTCTTCATCCTCTTCATCAACATAATCATCTCCAGCTTCTCCTTCGACTGACCCGGTATCCTGGAATCGGAAGTAATTGCCACCTCTAGCCGACAAATCATACCGTCTTTGGCTTCTGGTACTAGCACGAGTACGATGAGGTGTTACTGGAGCGAGCGTTTCTTCTGGCTGGCTTCTTGTACCAGCGTTATCCTGACGCGCTGATTCCGGAACATGAACTGGATCCATTCCACCGGATTGATCAAAGGTCTGATTCATGTCGTCGAATCCAAAACCGGCATTGATTCGTGCGAGTGGTGTATTATGAAACATGAACTCATCCATGCCTTCAAACACAACGGGTGTTTGATTTACACCATCAATTTTCTCATTGGCAGTGCCGAAAGATTGTTTCATACTACCGAAGGCGGAGGAATCAGCATTGGGATTGAAAGTACCGAATTGACTAGAGGATCTTTTGGGACTAGAGAAAGGCATATTCTCAACATTGAAATCAAGATTGTAGTTGCCCCCGAAATCTGCAAAATTATTTGAGCCGTGGATGTCATTCAGGTGAGGATTTTGAACAGAATCTGCATTTAGATCCATGTTGAAATACATATTTAGACCCATGCCAGTCGGCTCAAAGTCACCAAAATTACCGCGATTGATCCAGAAATCCTCTCGCGGATTATCAAGAGCTGTAATAGGTTGAGATGGTCCATACATCCCAGGAATCCGATGATTCAAACTGTGATTTCCAGGACCAGAGAATTCAACTCTTTCAAATCCTATTTCCTGCTCGTTTTGAGTTCGGCCAGCAGCAAAGCTTCTCTGTTCTTGACCGGTAGAAGTAGCGGTACGACGATAAGTTGCTAGAACAGGTCCAAAATCCATGTTCTGATTCGCAAAAGGGTTGAATCCGAAGTCACCGGGCGCACCAGCTCCCCTGTGCATGTTAAGGAATCGATCTGGAGTGAATGTCGCAGCAACATTTTCTTGAAGTGCAAAGTATGGCATACGACGATCATGGGGTTTGTTGTACAGATCAGCATCCCGTCCACGACGTAGTCTTCCAGGGATGATAGCTTCGGCTGCGTCGGATACTTCTCCTACTTCTTCATTCATCTCAACTCTAGCTCCATCATTTCCAAAATTTCCAGAAGGTTCCTCGTTTTGGCGTCCGAGTGATTGGTAGACAGCAGCGATCTGCAGCTGTTCACGCATTTGGGCCCGATTCATAGTAGGAGCGAGGCTCTTCTTCGATCTATCAGAGCTGGTTGAAGGTTTTGTATTAGTACTATGATCTACGCTTTCTTGTCCGACAGTTGCTTGAGAACGTCGCTTAGGTGCAGCATAAGCGGGAACTAATTCTTCAGATGATCGACCACGACGTGGAGGCGCGATGTGATCAGGAACAGAATAAACGTGGGCGGGTGCAAGTGAGGAAGTATCAACAATGATGGTATCGCCATTGACAACAGGATTAGTTGTCTTGTATCGACCCGTCGAGGACTGCGATTGACGTGTAGGACAATTGTGGTCAGAAGTAGATCTATCGTATGATTTGTTTTGAGGTGGTGCTGCATTGTTGGCAGGAGCAGAGCTCTCAGATGATTGAACACGATTGATAGGTGGATGATTGGAAGGAACTGGCCCTGTAGCTGTCGGAACCACCCCCAATGCACGATAAACCGTAGCAACTTGGAGTTGAAAGTTACGATTCACAAATCCAGCTTTGGCAGCTGCATTAATCGCCTGTTCCTCCTCAGCAGCAGTCATATTATTTGCATTGGCCTCGTCAGTTGAGCTTGCTTGATTAACAGACAGTATAGAGAGAGGTGGAGAAACAATACGAGATAGAGGTACGCTGGACAAGCAGAACGTCTGGCTCGTACTCCGTGTGCGATGTACAGAGGTAGTTGATAAGCTAACTTCTGACCCCTTTTGTGAAGAGGGTGTAGCTTCTTTTGCAACAGCCCTATTCAATTCTTCAATCTCTTCCTCTGCTACTTTCAGCGCCTCTGTATTGTACTCATGAAAGAGCTTGTACTCATCCCAGACATGGTCGACCAATAAATGCTCGCAGATCCAAGGGTGCTCTGCAACGAACTCCATAGCATCAATCATCTCACGAAGAGAAAAACGTTCATCGATGTCCCCATCGACAGTCTCTGCAGGAGAGGGGTTTTTGTTTTCAAGATGGTCTTCGATCTTAGTACTACGGTTAGGAGTTGCAGCCTTGTTCGAGAACTTTGTCGTATTCGTGGGTCGATCACGTTCGTCGTCACTAACACCATATAAATCGTCATCCTGAGAAGCTATCTCCGCCTGAAGATTGCTTTCCAGCTGCAACTTTTGAGCTTTTTCTTGGGCAGTGTGATAGAAAGAGTTCTTGTTCATCCTACTGATAGCCTCAAGCTCAGCAGCGGCGCTCTTCTCGAGGGTGAGGGCAAATCTCACGTGCTTGGGGTGTCGTTCGCCAGTGTGAGATTTGGAGTTGGAAGTCGTCGTTTGCTCATTGCCACCGTTAACTTCAAGAGGCGCAAATTGAGGAGGTGGTAATTGACTCGATGAGGTACACTCATAATTATTTCGAGTTTGAACTAAAGAAGAGAGGTTAGCACCTGCTCTTATTAACAGATCCCGTGGCTAGTAACGAACCACTCTGAGATAAAGCTAACAAAGATTGCGCAGCTGCTTCGCGACTTTGCACTTCAAATCGAGGATAACTTTGCACCTTTGACTCAGAGTCACGGCTAGAGTTACTGTGGTTTGTGATGACGAAATTGTATCCTGAATGAGTGCTGAAAAATAACCGACTTTCTCGACAAGCCGCCTCGACCTGTTCTTCTATCTCATTCTTGTGCTTTTCTATGTCTCTGAACTTTCTAACATGGCATTTCCAACCTGGATTGTATGTCTCGTTAGATAGCTTGACGCACAATCGCTCGCACAGTGTTGGCTATTGAAAAGCTGTCAGCATTCGTTGAGGGTTAACTATACGACCTTACTTACATGTTTAACGAACAAACGAGCAAGAAATCTGGCATGCATCATAGCCCAAGCGCGCATGTTGACTTCTGGGTTGAGGTTTGGTCCTCTCTTCAATATTGGAATAACATTTTGAACTTTGGACCTGTAAACGTCCATTGCTTCAAGTAATATTTTCCCGAATTCGGCTCGATCTTGCTCTGGAATCTTAAGGACCTCGGATTCACAGGCAAGGAACCAAGTAGCTGGATTATAGTAAACTATCTTAGCAATGACTGCCTCTTGTTGCTTGGAGATAGCCATGATAGCTGTTGTACAAAACAGTGTGTTGTAGCAAATGCAATGAAAAGGTAATACAAAATTGTGAATATAATGTGCCAAATTTGAAAGCTTTGCAACGCCCTATTAAGGGAAGCTGGTAATAAAATACAAATTAGGGTTTGAGAGCTTTTGAAATAAGCAAGTGTCTTTGTTGTTGACAGAATAAAACTGAGCTTTTGCGACGGTGGGATGGAAGAATAGTCGGCTAAAGCTCGGGTCCTCCGATCTTGTTTCCATAGCATTATCTAGCTCCTCAAAGTATTCACTGGCGAAGTTTAAAGATTTAGAAAAAGGTGATGTGAAAGACCTGACCTTGTCAAGTGAGTTCATCTCTTGTATTGATATATACTAAGCAAAGCCAGTGAATACCTTTGAAGTGTTGAGTTTTTCTTGCTTTTCCTAAAAATTCGAACCCCTTGAATCATGGATTGCACTTCATTGACCTTAAGAATTATCAGTCAAAGATATCTTTGCCTCCTTCTGATCATCCCAACATTTTTCAAGAGCGAATAAGAAGAGATTTGAGCAGAAATACATTGTGTGAATTTATGCTTGTCCCTGATTGACTCCCATCCAATGATCTTGAGTTCTATATATCATATATATACAGACTTTCGATCCATTTACCCGTTCACAACTTGGTTAACAGTCCCTTGTAGTATCCTGAATAGTTGGTGGACAACTCAGAATACCAGTAGCTGATTTTTGATTGATCAAAGTTTGAGACAGACAAGCTCCTGTATGTGTCATGTTTGTCAGAACTATGATAGCCAAAGAAGACACAGTGCTCGTTGTCAACAGCCAATTCCTCTATATTTGCAAACTTCTGGTTTGATCTGTTAGCTTGTAATTACAATTATGAAGATCTTTGGAATCCTATCCTAAAACAGGAACCGTCAATCACTATGTCAATAGTGATTGTCATCAGCAATGTAGAAAACCATCACACATTCATTCAAACCTGCAAATATTATCAGCATTAATCTCATCAACCAGTATTAATTCGATCATCAAGCACAAATCCCCCGACAATTTCAACCTTTCATATCAATTCTCGCTTCTTACATCCGCTTACCTTCTCCACGCCAATACACATCTCATCTCTTTTCCTCTAATCATCAACCATACTTGACTCCCAAAGACCTCCAACAACATAGACTCTACGAAATGAAACTTCTGAAACTAAACCAGAACAGGAACTTCACAGCTTCAACAACCTTAACAACTGTTCCAAAAACCCCAAGACACCCAAAAAAAAGCACAACCATTCTACCACCATCCGCACTCTACTCATCATACCTACATATGTTTCTCTCCTCTGCTCCAATGATCTTACAGATGCACGAGAATCTCCAGAACTATTCAAGCCCATGCAGACACAATACATGCACGCCTCCCTCTCCCTCTCCAAGCTTGCATATAGCAAGAAGATCATGAATTTCTCTCCTCTCCTCTCCCTCCTCTCCACCTTCAGTCATCTTATACACATATATACAAACATAAAAACACACCCCCAGACCATCAAAGCCCCCTAGCTCTTTTACCTCAAGAAATTGCAATGTAACCCCGCCTCTCTTAACATCTCAAGACAGCATACTAGATACGTCAAGGAAACCACGAATTTCTCCCCCCCCTCCACTCAGCCTCATACATCTACAAATTCTCTCTTCTCTCATCCCCCCTCCAAAACCTCCAGACCAAATCTCAAATCCATAACCCCAACCTATATCTAAAATCTCAAATCCATAACCCCAACCTATATCTAAAATCTCAAATACCAAATCCCAACCTTCATCAACAACCCCAACCCGTATCTAAACCCTTCCATCAAGACCCTTTCATCCAAATCTCAAATCCACAACCCCAACCCGCATCTCAAATTCACAACCTCCAGTCCAGACCTCCATCCAAACCTCCAATCAAAACCTCAATCTATCCCACCCCAAGCCCTCCAATCTAAACCTCCATCTAAATCCTCTTTCCAAAATAAAAACCCGAAACAATACATCCACAAGAGTAGCTAGATCATGAGCTAAAAAAAATAAAGCGTGAAGCTACTGAAGTGAAGCTACTACTAAAGTGAAGTCCAACGTTGAACTTCCAGACGCACAGACATTTGATACCTAAGGTCATCACGTGAGTGACTTGGAACAGGTAGAAATAGGACTTTTAATTTTTTGATTTTCTTAATTCTGGAAGAATCAATAATGATTTATAGATTAGAGGGGGATTGAGAATCGAGTTGAGAGGGTAGGATATATCGAGATTGATGTGTGAAATTTTGTTGAGTTGGGAGGAATATTGAGGAGGAAAATCGACATTTTTTAAATTCTGAATTTTAGTTTCGTCAAAGGGACATGCATGCATGCATTTCTCCTGAAACAACGAAGCATATGCTAGAATGTATGAGTAAAATCGAGATTTGAATATATTATAAGAACTACTGAACATGTACTATTACTAATTATGATGTCGAAAAAAGTAAATCCATCAATCCGCCTATATATAAGAAATAAAGGGTAGTTGAGATGCCACCACGATGCCCACATTTTTCAACTATGCCTTTATGTATTGACTCTTAGTTCTTAAGTAAGGACCGAACCTATACAGGATCCAAGGAATCGGTATCAAAGAAACAGTGATAAAGCCTAGCATTGATGTCGCCCACGTGAAGCCAAGTTTGTCGAGAAATGTTGGCGTTATGAGAGGGAAACAAGCCGAGACAAAGAAGCGCATGAATGTTAAGGCGGCTAACATTGATGCACTATATTGAGCAGTGTAGAAGTCGCTATGATATACCGGTAGACATAGCTAATGAAATGTAGCGTCAGCTTTTGCTTCATTATCTCTACATCGGATTGAAAGACGTACCATGGTGAGAACAAATGAGAACCCGAATAGTCCACCAGATAGAATTGGTATAATTGAGGGAATATCTGCGCGACCTGTCCATGCGAGCCTAATCAAATTGTCAGTAATGTGAAAAGATGAATAGAATAGAGTCATCTTGCCAAAACAAAGAGATAGGAAGTGTGATAGACCCTAACATGGCTGGATATAAACGTTTTTCTGGTGCAACCTTGGTCCCAGTTCTAATTGCTTCGTTTCGTGGTTTTCGATAAAATAATCGATCGAAAACGGCGATTGTCGGAAGTGCAGTCACACTTCCAATAATCAAAGGACAAAACGCCATTCCGACCTCATATGGTGTTTGTTGGTATATTTTTTCAAACAAGTTAGCATATGATACAAGGTAGGAAAAGACAACAGATTGTGTTATTGCCATAACTAGACCGGTCGGAAGGACTGTAGGTTCAACGAGTAACATGTGTAAAGGTCTTCCGAGGGAGGTAAGGACAAGCCTTGCAAGTGTTGCCCTGGTAGTTATGACACCCATTCTTGCTTCTGCTCGGCGGCGTAATATCTGTGGTTGATATGTCTCGGGAAGTAAATAGGCAAAAATTGTAGAGCCGCTGAAAAGTATAGCCGACACCCAGAATTCCCATCGCCAGGAATGATTTGTTATTATTGCTGCACTGACCATAGGCCCGGTCTCTGTCACATTGATGAGTTAGGAATGAAGGCATGTGAGAAGCCACGAGAACTTCACGTCGTGGAAGTGCATAATCAAAGGATAATTTATACTTACGGGTACCACCAACTACAAACAGTACGAACAAAGCAGCAAATGTAGTTCCAGTTTTCTCGAGACTAATATTCCATACATCACTTATGATTCCTCCACCAACTGTCAGGTAAGGAGATGCAAAAAGACCGGCGAGTGTTCGGGCGATGGCAATTGTGGCAAAGTTTGTAGCACATCCTCCCAAAAGAGTAAAGATCAATGCTAGTGGTGCAGTAACTCTGTATGCTATTCGCCTGCCGAAAACTTCAGAAAATGCCGTTGAAAATAATGCCCCGATACCAAGACCCGCAGAGTAACATGATATCGGAATAGTGGCCATTGTTTTTGAAATTCCGAAAGATGTAACGACACCAGGCATACCTCCTGTATAGGTTGAATTACCAAAAGTTCTGTCATATGATGAGCACGTGAGTATTTGTAAGGGTATGTAAGAACTTGCGCTGCAAATGCTGTGTATAGAACCGAAATGGAAATTGCGTATTTGATAGTAGGAGACCAGTTACGAACATTCTCATCGTCTTTCAGAATGATCGAAGTGCCTCGAGGACGTTGTGGTGCATATGAATATCTCTCCCATCTCAAACAACATTGAGGTTGTTGTTTCTCATTTAATTCGTCAGAAAATGCAGTACCTTGGCTGCTTTTTCTCTCATCCATCTTGATAGCACAATGATTCTCGGAAGCGACAGGAGAAGATGACAATTGCTTGGATCGGCAAGCTCACTGAATATATCAAAGTGATTCAGTCGAAGGGAAAGACACCCGGTGGTATAAGTAAGAGGCAGTCGATAATGAGCAGATAAATTCCGATTCCGATGACGGAGCTGTAAACTCTGATCGTCTTCTCAAATTCTTCAAAAATGGAAGGTACAACTTGCCCAATCTGGCATGTTTAGTCGCCATCGAGATCCCAAACCTTACTTCTCCTACAACATCATCTTCCATAGTTGATCAAAAACTGACAGATGCCTCATCAAGATCAGGAGTTCCAACGTTTTTTCATTAAAAGATCGGATTTGCGGGATATTATCAATTCATGGCACACAAAACGTGTATTTATTCCATGATCAATGTCATCTGCGACCTATGACTGTCGATCAATTTTGGTTGAGATTCTCCATCCCTCATGAAATTGAAAGACTTATCGTCGAGTTTGCCTGCAATCCTACTTCCATTAGTGGAAGGGATTTTTCAAAAAAGTGCGGTGGTCTCGGAGGGGCCCAGCAGGATGAAATGGTTTATTGGAGGGATATTCGATACCATCAATTCGCCGATGAAGCTATCCTCATGGATCACACGTGTGGTGGTTGATAGGAATGATCCAACAAGTCTCCAGCTACTGGCCGTTTCAACTTGTCGCACTCATCCGCTTGAAATTGATCCATCGGACGATGTATTCCGATGAACTCGACGATGAATGTTATATGTCATCTCACACATCGTCTATGTCACCACGACTTCGCTCATAAAGGTGCAAGTACCCGAGACAAATGACTTCTTTTCAAAACTGTCCCGAAATAGCATCTTACCAACATTTTGGTCATCGTCGTATCGATCCACAACAATTACGAGAAAGAATGGAATCCCCCGTGCCCCCATCGTCGGTAAAGCTTTTACCAGTGAAATGATCCACAAATGGCGGGGATTACCTGTTTTGGGGTAATTCCCCATGAAAATTCTTTGGGGTCAATCAAGGATATGTTGCAATAGCAATATATTAGATACGGAGTACGCAGAGATATATAGCATCGCTACCGCCCTACTGATTGTCCGAGGTTTCCTGTCAACTCTTTCTCTCGACTCAACGAATTTTTCTTTTTTCTTTTCTAGATCTTACCCCGGATACCCCACCCCCACAACAAAACACAACAGAGCCTGCAGATGCAGAAGCTGGTGTCGAACATTAAAAGAAAGAGAAGAGATTCATATGATTAAGGACGGATCAAAAGAATCTTGGGAGAATCATCCACAATCATTTTCAATCTCGCACGAGTTTCTTTCTATTGTCGTCGTTGTCGATAAGGTTCCTGGCGGAGGAACGAAGAAAAAACCTTAAGAGTCTCCCCTTGGCTGAGACCTTTTCAAGAACCAAGCCAACCAACTTTGAGCAAACAAACCCAACTAATAAAAGATCACACAACGCCCTCGAATTTCTTACCTTTTTACGTGCAACACGAACATGTTCCGACATTCATGTGTACCAATCGATAACGATTTATGATGCGACAATGATGTGAAGCTCGATCATCAAGGGTTATCAATTGGGCTCAAGTTTCATCCAGTTCAATCTGCATTCAATTTGACACAGTGGTACGGTCGAGCAACAAAGTCACAATGAACGAGAGAGAATACAGAGCAGGTGGAGCTATAGTACATGAATTATTCAAAGTTGTATTTTTCATTGGTATCGTACTGTAATTTTTTCCAATGATATCCCAAAATTATGAACGCCGACTAATGCATATTTCCAATCCCAGATATTCCTCATAAATTCGATCACAGATCGCCCAGTCATTGACACCATTATCCCGCAATGCTATGCTATGCTACAATAAACAATACTAAAACTGCGGAGTGACCCGCGATGGGAGGGTTTGACCTTGCGGAGACAGTTCGGAATCCCATACACAACGCGAATGAATTCAACTACCCTTGTGACTAGAACCTGCCGCCAGGTCAACAAAAAGGGTCCGACAAAAATCGTTGCACGACTTGTTCGAAATCAGAATCTCCTCCGAATCAATTCTTTCATACGAAAGGAGCTGTGTATAGACCAGTCTTCTTCTTTTGTTCTTCATCGCCCTTCTGCGTACTAGCAAGCTTGGATCGAGCTCGTAAAAGATGTCCATACTTAAACATGATGAAGGGAATTAAGGTCAAGGCAGTACCAGCGATTGCGAGGATCAAACCGGCATATTGGCTACCGACATTATGGAAGAACTGGCTTGCAAACAAAGGTGCGACTGCTCCCAAGGCGTTACGCATCAAACCCTGTCCAGCAATAGCGGAGGAACTATTTTCGCCATAACAATCCGAAGTGTAACTGTAAGTGGATTCGAAAATGAAGAAAATTCCCATGGAGATTGGTGCAAGTGCAATGGCTGGTGCAACCCATGTAATGAAGCCATACTGGGTGAAGCTGTAGATGAACAATCCGATTGGGAGGAAACAAGCACCACACATTGCACCGTACAGTCTAGATTCCGGAACAATGTGTTGGTCATGAGCCGCCATGATTGATTTGTACTTCTTGATCTGGAAGAAGTTCAATCCAAAAGCGATAGTCACACCAATACACAAGGAAATGTATGGCAGACCAGCTACACCTTCATTCCAGCCGTGGTGTTCTTGAAAGGTAATTGGGATGACCGACAAGAACAAGAAGGTGACGAACCAGGCGAAAGCGATCCATAAACCGAAAGCGAAAACGACAGGCTCTGTGGCGAGCATTTTGACAGCCTTGACAGAAGAATTGTGAAGCATCTCCTTCAAGTCTTTTGCCTCGAGGTCCATTTCAGCCTTGTATCTTTCATCGCCTGTTGCAGCTCGGAGAGCTTTGGCTCGCTTGTGCAATGCGACACCGCCTCTAGTTTCGCGAAAGAAAAGAAGGATTGCAGCGAGAAGTGGTAAGTTTGCCAATCCTTGAATTCCCTCGATCCATCTCCAGCCGATTGTTTCATCGATGAATCCGGCATAAATTGGCGCGCCAACCGTTCCCAAGATAGCTACATAAGCGAAGCATGCCATTGGAACAGCTCTTGAATCTGGTGTATACATATCACTGAAGGTTCCACCCACGAGAATGGTGCCTACACAACCGAATAATCCGCCTATGATTTGTTAGTAATTGTATATTGCTATCTTTGAGAGAGGGATGATTACTCAATGTTCTCATGACAAGAATTGTTGCAATGTTTTTGCCAAGAGCCAATCCGATAAAGATGATGATGAAGCCTGCATAAGCGCCAGTATAAATGATCTTTCTGCCAACCAATTCGCAGAAAGGTGCCAGGAACAATGGTGCGAGTGCACAAGCCATGTTGAAGCAGAAGAGTCCTAATTGTCCTAATTCGGCCGAAACACCAAAGTCATCGCACATTGATGTAATTCCACTACTATATGCAGTTGTTGCCAAACCGATGAAAAGTGTCATCATACACAGCAAAACTGTGATGAATACTTTCTTTCCTGTGGGCCAGTTGAATGGATTCTCTGGATCTCCATTGGCGAAATGAAGGAGAATATATTCCCCGCCATCTTTGGTGATAAGTTCAGTGCGAGTTTCTGGCATATCGATATTGACCTCTTTCAGAGGACCGTCTTCAACATTATCGCTATCGCTACCACGCATCGACTCTAAGAAAGAACCTCCTGCTACTCGTCCAAGGGGTGGTGTTCGATTTTCCTCTTGCTTCAAATCCGGTAGCTCAGAATTCGAACTGTCCTTGTTATTGGGGGCGGGGCGAGGCCCATTGTGCTTTGGAAGGTCTGCCATGTCGTACTCTTGAGGTTCGTTGTGAGGATTTTGGGAAGACGACATTTTCAGGAATGAGGGGATACTTGGGGATATTTATTCAACTTTCGGAATAAGGAGACTCCAGAGAGGGGGCCCGTTAATATGCTCTCCAATTGTTGGAGCATCACATTTTCCCGGTAAGTCATCATCGACCTGCGTGCCGGTATGGGTTGCCATTGATCTATGTCGTCATAGACCGAGGAAAAACCGCGTGAAGAGATTTCGGCGACACTTCAAGTTGAGTTCCATATTTTGGTGGACTGCCTGATTCAATCGTTGTTGATATCGAGTTTGACTTTCAGTTCTGATCCACAAAGAAGCCGGCACTAGATTAACATCGGGTATCCCAACACACATCCTTCCGACTCGCCTCGCCAACGGAATTAAAATGTGTGTAAGAAACTTGGTGCATAGTCCACGATAAAGCCACTCATTGCATGATTGAAGCAACAGAGACTTGCTCATTACATCTATTTTTATTAACTTTACAATGTCGAAAATCATCAAATTTTGCAGTAGGGTCCTTCACTGAAACCGACACTCACTGTTCGCATTGAAGCCCGTCAAAAAATTTTCAACAGGGCTGGGTCCATATTTGTGGATTCCCAAACCCGCTAGAATGACGCTAGAACGTCACTAGAAGGATCTGATGTCTAGGGGTTTCCGGTACACGAACAATTTGCGTCCGGGCTTTAAATTTTCGAACCTGCCGCCAAGTGGTTGTGTGCAAATTTTGATGGGCTAAAGTTGGCATTTGTAGCACTTGTTTACGATGCATCGACTGCTGTACGCATTATTCAACTCATTTTTCGATACTCGATCGGAAGATTCGTGCATTGCGCTAGGAAATTGAGGTTTTGACGGTACGAAATTTGCGACCATGCCGGAGATAATACATTGGTCTATTTCTGTATTATATCCAAGCACGACATTGATGATAGCAGCTATTATTAAGGGTTTTATGGTTCACTGCAAGCCTTACAAAGTGGCTTATCAATTAGCCATTGGTTGGTGTTTATCACCTAGCAGTCCGCGCTCGCCGCTCCCGTCGGCTTAGTGATTTGATCAAACACTCCTTACTCGAGTGTTGTCCTGTCTCACTCTGGACGGAAAAACGGGCACACCAAACCCATCAAAGTTGAGACTTTTTTCAAAACATTATTAATTCAAAATTCAATTATAATTTTGAAAAATATAACCAATCAGATAAAACAAAGAAGTATTATAGAGTATCATTCTCTTAATAATCTGTTCCCATTAGAAATAAGAAAATATTGATAATTGATTTGAAAGTCTATTTTGGAAGTAATAATGCATTTTTGGTGTGCCCGTTATTCCGTCCAGAGTGAGCCCGATACCGTCTCAATCCTGTATGTCGGTGAGAAATAAAGGTAAGGGATTTCCCTTGCGAAACGCTTCGAGACCTTACAAACAAAAATGAGGCTCTGGAGGTGAGCATCATAGGCAATGATGCTCATCGGATATATCGAAAATGGATATCCGGCAAGTGGGGCGAATGATAGAAACGATCCACCATTTAGTGGGTATAAAATATTCCATAACTGGGACTCATGGGCTGGTATCTCGTTTGCTTTTCTTTTCTTGGACATTCCTTGATTTTCGTAAATCAATCGAATTCGTTGCCATGCTGGCTATGACGGCTTGGTCGGATCGAGTGAGGTGTCCGGTGGCTTTGTCGGATAATTTCAGAGCCTCACTGGCTTGAGATAATCTGTGGGATTTATAAGATAAGGTGGGTTTGCTGTATATTGCTAGAGCTCTGTATCATCTCACGATCCGGATGATATTAGTTAGCACTACGATATCACAAGACGGCGCGTCCCATATTTGTTTACGAGATGTGGAACGAGTATTTGCGTCAAGTCGATGGTATGATGTTCTGGTGGGCAACAAAAACTGAATTCACGTGTTTGGATAACCAAGTTATTCTTGTCGTCTTTATCCATAGTTATTGAAGTCAAAAATTTATTTCAACACATCAAAATACGCAGTGCAAGTTCACCCACCCTTTTCCCACAGATATATCTTTTACTCAAAGGAAATCAATATTCAGTTACCATTTGGTATTCGTGCTTGCTGATCATTTCAGAATTAAGATGTTGTTAACAGGTTGGGGAGTGGGTGAGAGGAGAATGGGGAGAAAAGGTGAGGAAAAAGGGCCGTTTCCGCTTCCCCAATTTGCATGCTGTACAACAAACCATAATCTCACACCACTGTACTCCGTATGCTCGTGGATAGTTGGGGGAAGGGGGTGAGAGCGGTGGGATGGGAGGGGAATCGAGGGGGAAAAGGGCCGTTTCCCCTCTATGGATTTTTTAGGAATTTTTGGGGGATTCGTTCTGTTACTATCTGGTCTCTGCCCCTAGGTGCGCGACTATTGGATGTATTGAAGATGTTGTAAAAAAAAATTTTCGTTTGGCTTCGATTCCTGAAGTTAGTATATACTTGGGAATGAATAGCTATTGTATTATATGTAGGCCTTTACACGGAATTTAAAATATCGGGTTCACATGTAACCAAAATATCACAATATCGGCATCAAATCGTATTGTATCGGTAAATCTCACCCATCCCTTCCCATCCGTCCATCCATTCATCGTTCCCACACATCCCGAACTCCACACATACGGAGTACATACATCGTACATACATGTCGGATATCCCACACCAACCACCACTTTCCTAACTTGGGAACCTTGGGAACCTTGGATACTTGGGTACTTGGGTACTTGGGAACCCTGGTCGTTTAGATTCCGAGATCTTCCCTTTCCGTAGAATATTCGTGGGTTTGTTTGTTTGTTCTTGTTTTTCGTTTGTTAATGGGGAGGGGAGTAAGGGGAAGATATATAAGCTACACATGACACATGTGGAATTTGGAGATGGAGATGGAGATGGATGAAAGCGATGATGATTTCATTCTTGAATGCGAGAAAGTAGTGTGGTTTGTGGTTTACGTGTTAGATATTAGACCACAGATACTTTGTTCGGAGGTTTAAAAGCATAGATTTGTGTGCGGGTGTCCGGGAGGATATTGTTTTATTATTGTATTGTTGGTCTCGCTTGTTCTCTGCGCTCCTGCTTCTTTCTCTGCTTTCTTACGTTCATCTTCCCTGCCCGCTTTCCTTTTCTCCTGTTCAGATCAAGCCTCACTTTTTGCCTCGGAAAAAATCAACCCCCAGAATTAATACTAGCACCAATACACCTCCCAGCCTAGCGCCAAACCTAGCCCAAAATTCAAACCCAGCTTCCTCGCTCGTGTCTCGACCAAGTCGTATCTAAATATCTAGCACGGGGCATATATTCTTTCCGTAAATTATAGCGCGGATTGGATTCTCGCCTGCCGTGACGGAGACGATCTTCCATTTTGTCGAAGGCGGAATTGCTGGAATTTGTTAGGAGAGGATGGTTGGGAGTTTGGGAGAGGAAGATAGTGGAGAAGGAGAAGAGGGGAGTATGAAAAAAAGAGGAATATAAAGCTTACTTGAACCATTTCTTCCATAGCTTATGATAATAACCACCGCGTCCCTTGTGGTTGGTCCATAGATTCGATGTGATATGCGCATTGTGATTATATTGTTTCTTGCGGCCGTGTGTACCTATTTCCTATTAGCATTTTCACATTCTACACTCCGAATGCATAGAAGAGGACTCGCATCGAAACTTTTTGCTCTTCCTCCTCTTGGTGAAAACCCTACATTCACTACAATATTTCACGCCCTGCGGCATCCATGGTTGCAACTGTTTATGCAGCATTTTCGTGCGCGAAAAACATTCACAGTGATTACTCCAATACTGGCCTTGACATTTTTTTCTTGTCAGAGGGGGAAGATTTTCTGCGGCGCGGAGAATGTTCATGTAGTGGAGGGAACGATCATGGCTGTTATCGTGTTAGTATTTTTGATCTCTCGTCAAATGGAATGAATGGGATGAGAATTGGGATTGGAGGGATATCGATTGAAGGGAAAACTCACCATAGTTGTGCCCCCAATCCACATTGGCGAATGGGAAAGCGCTGTTTGTGAATATCAGGGGAGATATGCGATACTTCTGGTTTTGAGCAGAAGATTTCGGGGGTAGGGAAGTAGTCGAGGGGCACGGGGTATTTGGGTGGTGAGAGAGTGTAGAGGTATTTACTTGATGGGGTGTTAGTGTTTAATTTTGGACATGCGGGGGAATGGAATAGGGGAGGAGAAATTTGGAGAAGAATCGAGGATTGGGGGGAGAGGAGAAACATACCACGTGATTCTGAGACAGGTACGGTCGTTTGGGGGACATTGTTCGAGGATTATATTGTGGATTTCGGGGGGGAAAGAGTTGAAGAGGGGGAAGGTAGACATCGTGATTGGATTGTCGACTTCGTTTACTTAGCAATGAATTATTGCAACACCTATTTCTCGAGGTGAACTCTGTGTAGGTATAATATGTACGTATATATAATATCAAAATAATACAAGCTAGACTTCTCTTAAACTCGATAGAGAATACAGACAAATAATAGGAGGATAAAACACAAAAACTATATCTTCAAATCTTAACATACATCATCAAATTCAAGCCGAAATCACCATCTATATATCTTCAATTCTATTTCCATCCCATCGCCAAGCTTCACGTTCGAGATCTCATTTCGACCATTTCGACCAAATGAGCATGGAATGCGAGACGGATCGACAGGCTACAGCTCCGCTTTTGCAGGCAGAATTGAGGCACGTGCGACGTAACACGTGAGAGACTGGCACGTGTGGACTTGGCGATTTAGGCAGGAAGGCAGCTTGTGGGGTGGGTTGGGATTTCTTGATTTTGCTGTTGGGATTTGGATTTATTGTTGTCTGTGTGATTGCTCAATAGCTATGATGATATGAAATGAAAGATTCTTGCGAATTTTAGTAATGGGGTTTCTGATGAGGAGCGGAATGGGTGGGAATTGTTATGCTTATGTAAACGTTATTGGGAAGAGAAATGATGCTAATGGGATACGATTTATCACTATCGATGAAGGTTACACTCTCGAACTTCCTTTTCTATTCGGACTGATGTCCGAGGAATTCCAAGACGATATTCTGTTTAGGAAACACGATGAGGGTTTTCAGGGGATTGCTAGACAGTCACGTGGTAATTTATACATTCGATTTATTTCGGTGGACTGGATTAAGAGGTTTTGGACTGATGAGGATATGTTACTCTCGTGGAATAGATTTCTCATACATTCCGGCTATTGCGAGACTAATGATATGATAGAAAAGTGGATGACGGTTAGCTATCGGGAAGTGGAAGCGGTAGAGGGATATAATCGAGCGACGGGTTCGTAGTACTGTGTACTGTGAGTATCATAGCTTTACGTTGCTCATTCATATGGGGATAAGTATACGTGAGCTTTTTGGGACAGGTCTGTCATTAGTATGTACATTAATTTGATTCCGATTTCAACTAATATAAGGATACATAGACTATTGCTTATATCATTTTACTTGATCATCTTGTCCATCATGTCATAGACAAGATCTAAGGGTTGATGCACGGACCAGATACTTTCGGTTATCTACCCCTATGTTAGAGTGATTACTACATTCTAGACTCTCGAGACTGTATCTCTTTGTTAGTTGTAGTAATTGTAGGATCTTACATTCCTTGTGTTTCTTCTATGATCATGAATTGGAGAGTTTAGTGATACCAGATCGAAAAATGTGTCAGCATCCAACACAAATATCACTCAACTTCAGTTTGCACTATTTCTGCATCAAGCTTCACTACAGATACACGATGGCATCACGAGAGGTGAAGTCATTCGTGAGAAGGGCCATCTCCAATGTATATCATATTCAATAGTATGCACCTCAGTTTCGACTTTCTCTCTACGATTGTATGAATCAACAATTGTCCTGAAGTACATACTCAGAAGCTTAACTTATGAGCACGTTCAGCTCGATGAACATGGCAATTTCGCATACATCCAGGTCAATCAAACCAAACACCTCCCCTGTTCACCTATTTGTATCGGCTAACTTAACTCACACCTCACCTACTACTTGTATCTTCACTTATCAAGTCAAGTCAAACTTAGTACATCGTTTCCTTCACCTACATTTCTATCAACTTCAAATCAAACTCACTTTTGGCCTCACAAAACTGATACCCTACTCTTCGTTTTCAATTGCTCCATGGTCGAATATATGCCTTTCGGCCCTACCTTCGAGTACGAAAGCCCCAAATTCATAACATCATCCCTGAAAATAACCCTCTATAGAGCACCAATTTTCCAGAGCCCTATATTTTCGCACATCGTAATTGTGAAGAGAGATTTTCAGCTTCATCGATGCAGGTTCTGTTTGATACACGGCAACAAGCTTCTTCCTAGCGCCATTTGAATCCTTAATTGTACCAACGCGTCTTCTTCAAATCACTGTCTTTCTTACAACTCATTCCACAAGCCCGCATCCCCCTCTTTTTTTCTTACACGTATGCGCCAATACGATATTCTGCAGTTCCGTAGGCTTGCCTGCAATTTCATCCCTTCTACTGAAAATCCTTTTGATCTTTGAATTCCCGACATCTTCCTCGATCTTTGACCTGCTTCTGCACTACCTTCGGTCTACGCTCGACCCTACATTTCTTGTACAACAATTCTGTGTTAATATCGCAAGTCGAAGTAAGCCACACACATATCCGAACCGATCAGCACAGCGTGAGAACTGGTTTCGACCCGCTGATCTTCTTAGGACTCTGTAAACCACCTTCATCACGCATTTTGCGCCTTAATTCTCCGCAACTATCAGGAGATTAACCGCCCCATACCCATCATATTGTCAAGATGTCTATAGTAAGTCTATTCATCCATCTCACTCAAACCTCCTCACTCCCACTCCATCATCCCAAAACTAACTTTCTCCAGTGCATCATCGACCCCTCGGGCGACTTCTACCTGCAAGTCTGTGACGCAAACTCCATTGACACTGTCCGTTTCCGCGTCTCTCGCAGAATTCTAGAAAGACACTCCACGCACGAACTTGCCTCCAATCTCCGCAATCAGCAAACCCCAAATCTCCCCCTCTACGATGTGAAAATCCCCGCTATGGAAACCATCCTCCGAGTTCTCCACGGGGTTCTCGATCTCAATCACAACACCAACAACGCCCCCCACTCAACATTCGATCAAGAAAATATCGCAACCCTCTCCCACATTATCGATCTCGGCATCAAATGGTTCAAGACCGAAGAACTCGAATCCTGGTTCGCAAAATTCTGGGCAGAACGAAGAGAAAACGAAATGTCCTTGTACGATATGAAAGTTATGTTGTACCCATCCTATATCTTTCGACACGCGGAAGCCTTTGCTCGAATTACCAAATCTCTCGTTCTGGAGTGGAGAAGTGGTGAAATGCATGGCTTGAATCCTCTTACGGGACGTGCGGAATTTCGCTTTGAGCATAGGATTTTGAGTGCGTATTTTGTTTCTTCGTTACAGAGATTATCAGGTGATTTGATTAACGATAGAGCAACTCGTTCGTCTCAAGACCCGAATCCTCGAGCGCGAAATCACCAACAATCTCCTCGATCCATTAGATCATCTCTGCAACGACTTCTGCGAGGCACGTGGTGAGTGCATGGTAGCGTACAACAAGTCATTGCGAGACTGTCTCGTCATTCCATCCATCGTGCGCCGAAACTGTTCTATCAGAGATATACTCGAGAGCGAGGGTGTGAATTTCTGGAACTGTGCCAGTCCACCGCACGCTTCTGAGCACTGTTCCAATATTCTATCCGGCAACCACATTGTGAAGATCAAGAAGAATGCGTTGAATTTCTGGGAGGGAATGTGCATCGAATGCGTGTTGCGTACTTCGGGTGGACATGTCAAGCAGGAACAATTCTGGGAAGACGGGCGACGCAAGCGCTACGGAACTTCTTGTCCCATTCCCCACAACTATCAGACGTGGAATTATAGTTACATGGGTCCATTTGAGCTAATTTCAAAACATATAGCTGAGCAGAAAGAACGCGAGAAGAATAAAGAGCGTACGAAGCATGGAATGAAGTTTTCCGCCAAATCACGATTTCCTTATGCTTCCGATTCACCCAAACGATCTCGTCGACGTTCTTCTGTCAGTTTTTCCACTCCAGACGAATATACCATCAACAGCAACAGAAGATTGCGGAATGGTCTGCCAAAAACGAAACTGTGAAGACGATGGAAGTCGAAGCATCAACAGATTCTAGGAGACCAAGAACTCAAGACACCACACGCTCTTTCAACACCAGTTCACCCAAAACCCCATCCCAAAGCACTCCCCCTATCAGATTCGCCACTCTGGATGAAACCGCCTGTCTTCAACAAAAGAAGATTGCAGAATGGACCGCAAGAAACCTAGCCAACCAAGCTAGAATCCGAGAGGCTGAAGCTGAAGCCAAAGCTACCGCTGGCTATACCGACGCGTACTTAGCGAGCCTAGAGTTCTACAACCATGATGACGATAACAATTTTGAGCCCGTCAATACGCCACCTCCACCCGCCGCTAAGAAGGAACCCCTTTCTAAGAGCCAAGAACCGACCATGAGCACCACCCCCACCCCAACTCCCATCCCCACAGCATCTCCAACCACCACTCCCAGAAACTCAGACCAATCCTTCGAATTCCCCCAAGAAATGCACGCTTTCAACTCCATCCCCGTCAACAGAGCTGCTCCCAAGAACGACTGGATTGCACAGCGCCTGGAATTCTACAACAGCAACCGAGAAGCTGCACTGGCTCATAAACGCATGATGAATGGCGAAACGGCTATGGATCTCGATGATTCGGATGAGGAGTTGTGATTAGTAGTTGACATGTATCTTTTCCCTTTCTTTCTGATATTAGGTAATAGGATTATGTCTTTGCTTTCTTCTGCCAAGATAGATTTCGCTCGTGGGCCTTCTCTGGAGGTTTAGGCTTGGGGTTGCTGGTATTTTTCGGTGTTAGTCTTTAAATTTCAACTGTTACAGGGGAGAAAAGTCACATAATTGCACTACAAGATTCTGTTCCATCAGCCTTATTCTTTAATAAGAGTTTAGTGGCCGAGTATTAGTTAGCTCTACAATAAAAAATCTTTTCCTCACCTTGAGTACCTAACACCCATGCCTAGATATGGATCTTATAGCCCCAATCTTACCTACAAAAATTACGGACTTTGTGAATTCTACTACTGGTTTAGAACAAAAGTTGATATTCAGCTAGCCCCTACGTGCAATGAAACCTGATAGATATATATATTCTTCTCAATTTTCTAGTTATAGCTACAAAGACCTTCGATCATTTCGCCCAAAAGAAAACCTTAACATTTCCGACAATTTGAACTATGGCATCTAATGTATCTGCTCATCTCAGTGTACGTTTCAAACAAGTGCGAAGATTCGGGTCCCTTTACCCTCATTACACTGACCCACCCACCTAGCTCCACAAAATATTTAGCCTCTTCCACCCAACAACTTTTTCCTCTTCTGGCTCTGGATTGTCGTTCGCTATATCAATAAACTTTTGAATTGGAATATCAGACAATGGAATTATCTCAGTTCCCTGCCTGTATTTATAACCAAAATATAGAATGAGAATCAGGGGAATGTTGATATAAGATGAAACGAAAGTTTCTGTGTTCCAACTGAGAAGGAAAACTTCATTAGTCACAATCTCATGTTTAATGAACAGGTTGAAATCTGGCAAAGACTTACTGGTCCTTGATAAAGACGGAGTAACCACCTGTCAAGAGAAGAATACTGAACGAGATCAAAGCTATCCATGCAGCATATGGTTGAAATGGCCCTTTCCATGGTAATGTCGATCGAGAAATTCCCTGCTTTTTACATCCATAATAGAATCTTAGATATACGCCACAAATAATCATCCAATTGACAAGAGCGGCAACTGCAACAAAGTCCTGGAGCCAGTTGAAAACAGCACTTGCAGAGCTCGAAAGTGTTAGGAATCCAAGGCAAATGAAAAGACTGAGGAACCCGATAGCAATGTATGGCACATCAAAGCGATTAGTTTGGAGAAAGACTTTTGGTGAATGTCCATGTTGACCAAGTCCATATAACATTCTAGATCCACCAAGCATAGCTACAAAATTTAGTTGCGGGTTTTCTCTTTCAAAGTAGTACTAACCTGCGTTACCGGCACTCCAAGCACTAGTCAAAACAACAGCATTAATGATTGAAGGAACAACTCTAATTCCTGCATTATTGGCTGCAATAACAAAAGGTGACTGGGCTGCTGTTCCTGTCGATCGCAAAAGCTCTTTATCATTCGATGGTACAATCATACCGATCATAAATATCGAAAGCACTTTGAATTGAATCAGCAATCAACACCAATCCTTGGGGAGGAATCAATTCATACCGTAGAACAACATAACTCGGAACAAGATTCTTTTCGCAGCGATAGGAATATTTCTTCGAGGTGATTGCGTTTCTGCAGCTGCAAGTGAGAAGTTTTCAACTCCAGAATAGGCATATACTGCATTCGAGAATGTGGTCCAGAAGCCCATGAAATATCCCAAGGCGCCAGTATATCCTAGGTAGTCAACAAACGGCCCTGGATTGCGCCAATATCGGAAGCCATATGTTTCACCATTTGGTCCTCCACCACAAGTAATGACCAGTGCCTGAGAAGGATTAGTAAGAGCTCTTGCGGCAGATGGATAGATGCACCATAATGTTCAATCCCACTATGAGCATTATCTTTAATATCGCACATGTAAATTCAAGCTCCCCATATACCCGCACAAAAAGGAGATTACTAATGACCAACAGGAATCCGAAGCATATAATCCAGACAGCATTATTGATTTGGACCCAGAACTGAATCAAAACTGCAGCGGCGACGAGTTCGGCAGGTATAGTAATGATGTTGCTGTATACTTGATTCCAACCATTCGCGAATGAAAGAGCGGGATCGACAAAATATTCGGCATGACGTATAATACCTCCGCTTAGAGGAACAAGAGCACTTTGATGGCCAAGATCAGCAAGAAGTCTTTAGATTCGATACCCTGTGCGGAAACGTACCTTAATTCAGCTATAGAAAGAACCACGCCAGATACAAGTATCCCCACAAGAGTATATCCGAGTCTGTTGGGCTAGTAAGCGTTGTACATTGTCTGTTCCATAGAAACTTACAATGCTCCTAGTGGACCTGCTCTGGCAATAGCTTTCCCAGAACCTAAGAAAAGACCCTAGAGAATGAGTACCCACCAGGTACAGCTGCAGCATGTCATGAGTCTTACCGTCCCGATTGTTCCAGCCAAAGCAATCATTTGAATATGTCTCTGAGCTAAACCTCGTCTGCGAAACGAAATCAGCCCAAAGTTTGTGGAAACCGGTTACTAGTTATTTATCGTTACCTCAATTTCTTGACTTCAGCAAACTCTTTCGGTTCACTATCTTGAGGCTCCGGCGACGCTCCATTAACTGGGTGGACTAAGGGTTCATGGCTAGGAGTATTGATTTGCCGATTTGTTTCAATATCGTTTGAGTACATGTTAATGAAAAGGACGTGCTTGAGCGTTTGATTGAACAATCTTTCAAATATGACCATTGGATGGACAGTGGGTAAGCTGTCAACGCAAGATGAGAGACTTGGTGAGGCTAAGAAATTTCATGATTCTCCTCCTGAGAAAGAGGAAATGGAAGGTAAAAGAAGTCCGATAAGAAGTTGTACCTGCTGTTTTTGCCTGTGTATCTCTCCGACTCTTCCCACTGGGAAAGAGCGACTTGAGTTCGACATGTCTTGGATAACCGTATCTTATCTCCGCACCTACAGGCTCAAATCATTTTGTGTATCGTGAGTTGATTCTTGTGACCTGTTCTTCTTTCACACGTCTGATACCAATTACGCATCAAGGTCTTATCGTTGAGTGACAGTTTTATCGTTTGGAGGGATTCCATGACAGAATATCACATACAACGCAACAAACATTGCAGGGTCTGAATGTGGAAAGTATAAGAAGAAACGAGCACAAGTAGAGGCTTAACATCATAGTGTGTAACACATCTTGATGATCACAGAGCTCCACAGAATCAATTCTTGCGCATTTTTGTACTCTCTGGTTATACAGGAATATGATGGTTCTTGAGGGTTTGTTTGAAGGTTGTGGTATACGCTAGTACCAAGCTGGGTTAGTGCATTTACCCCTGAAATCAGTGCTTCACCAAAAGTCGAGAATGTGAAATGCTCCCAGTTAGAGCTTCGTAAGACTACAGCACATGTTTCGTTGATGACCATGAAGTTATCAAACATCACTATTGTCAGAACCATTCTTCTGAAAAAGCCATCCAACAGAATGGTCACGTGTTTGTCGTTAGTTCTATCCAATGATACAGCTATCTATACCAGAGTTGCGACCGAGACATGGTAGTACCGTTACTTTGTTTTTGCTTCGGATCTTGCTTCATCTTGTTGCTTTCTTATTATAGAAGGGTTAGATGCAAACAGAGGACGATGATATAAAGTCTGTGTTGTTATTATGGACAAAGTATCTCAACTCGGCGGCACGGAGATACCGTACTCCAGTCATTCACTGCTATTACAGTCTTCAATTTTGCTTGAAAAAAAGAACGGCTTTTGAGATCGTGCATTGGGTTCCCTGTGAGCTTCTACGAGATTTAACCCGTCTGCTCTTCACTTCCGATTTGATTTCATTCTCTATTAATACTGCTATTTATTACCTCACTCGACACCGCACTGTTTCCTTCTTGAGTATCCTAAAGACCTTCTCACCTGTACAGTGAATCCGCTCGCAGAACTTTTGTTTATCAGGAAATATACAACTGAGCTTAAAAGAACATCGTCATGGCGAATCCACGGACTTCCCATAATTTCCCAACTCCTGCCAAGGATTCCACGGAGCCTTTCTGGCATTCTGAAAAGCATTATCTTCGTGATTATAGGAGTACTGATATTCTACCAGTCAGTGAAATCATCGATGTCGTTATTATTGGAGCAGGCTATGCCGGAGTAGCCACGGCATACAATCTTGTCAAGAATGAGATCACGCCCAATTGCCCCAAGCTATCTGTCATGATTCTTGATGCAAGATCTGTCTGTTCTGGTGCTACTGGAAGAAATGGTAAATTCAATGATTCTTTTCGTTAAGCAATAGCATACTGAAAAATTCAGGTGGACATCTCCGACCAGATCTTTACGGTCACATCCCTAAGTATATCAAGAGAGGAGGTGTTAGGGCCGGTGCTGAGATTGCAGAGTTTGAGATTGCACATGTTAAAGCGTTGAAAGAGCTCATCTTACACGAGAAAATCGACTGCGATTTCGCCTTGACAAGAACATGTGATGTATGGAACAATCCAAATGCTGCTGATGATGCTAAGGCTGTCTACGATCGGTTGCGCCTGAACTCAGAATTATCGTACATGAAGGATGTTCACTTTACCATTGGTAAAGATGCCGAGACTGTAAGTTCAATCTTGCACATTTTTTAAAAAGAAATCGCTTTACTAATCGGGCTCAGATCTCTGGTGTTAAAGGTGCCAAAGCATGTTCGACTTATACTGCTGCCACTTTATCTCCATACAAGCTTATTAACTCTCTCCTTGCTTCCACCTTAGCTACCGGTTCTGTCAACCTTCAAACCAACACTCCTGTCATATCAATCAAACAATCAGCTGATGGGTATCACTTGGTCGAAACTCCTCGCGGAATTCTTCGAGCCCAGAAGGTCGTGCACGCAAATAATGCCTATGTTTCTAGTCTTCTTCCCGAATATGCCAAGAACATTATTCCTTGCAAAGGTATATGCTGCCATATTACAGTTCCCAAAGATGCTACAGTACCTCCTATTAGTTACTCCTATATTGTCCGTACTGAGGACGGTACTCTGGATTACCTTATTCCTAGACCTGATGGGAGTATCATTGTGGGTGGAGCTTCAGCAACATTTCGTTCCCATAAGGACCAATGGTACAACAATGTGGATGATAGCAAGTTAATCGAAGCAACCATGAAAGAGAGGTACTATGAGGATTTTATGCAGCGAACCTTTCGTGGATGGGAAAACTCGGATGCTAAAATTGAGAGTATCTGGACTGGTGGTAAGTTATCCCCCCCAATGGCCTTTTCTAAGCTCAAAGAAGCTGAATCATCATACAGTAATGGGATACTCCTTCGATTCAAACCCTCACATCGGTCTCGTTCCACAAAAGTCCGACCAATTCATAATCGCAGGATTCAATGGCCACGGTATGCCTGTCATTTGGCTTGCGGCAAAGGGATTGGCAGAAATATTGAGAACGGGAAAGTCCTTTGAAGAAGTTCGTGTTCCTATGCCTCTTCCTAGATTGTTCAAGACAACACAAGACAGGATTGATAGAGCTCAAGATGGTCCTGAAGGTGGTGATATTCTCAATTGAGAAGACGAGTACGAGATAGGCTTTGGCGTGTAGATTTAGAAAATTGACCATGAATAATTGCTATTAGCTCTTTTCACCATCGCACTTAATTATCGTTTATTCTCACAGCTTTGCTTTGTAAAGCCTGATTATTTTAGTATTCAATCGTTGCTACTTTGAGTGATATTCCGCTGCGAAAGAGATTCTGAACTGGTGTTAACATTGAGACGATAAATTTTGATATATGGGCAATGCCCATCTTGATGTTAGTCGCGCAATAAGTCAGAGGTACCTAGTAATGCTGCTTTTTGAGAGTAATTAGACGATACAAATCAAGCTAAAAGGTTGAAGCTAAAACGTATCTGATAGATGAGCTAGCCCAGGAGTAAATACCTTTGGATAATGAATCCAGGTCAACAGATTCGGAGATTCTGCTACTTTGGACCTTTTCCAGACTTTTGGACGTCGAAGTTCTCCCATAGACTTGTATCAAACGATCCATAGGTTCGAATGTAGGTAGACAATAGTATACTGGTGTCAATTGACATCTAAATTATTGCATCTTCGATCAAACTAAAGGATTATTGGGCTATTTTTGCTCCTGTCAAGCAGTGCTAATGTGATACAAGAGATAATGTTCATCGTTCCTTGGATATTTGGGCTTGTAAACCACCTGCAAAGAAGCGCTGTAGGCGGGAATGTCGTAATAATGAAATGAGGTCTTGCAAGATAGTCTAAACTTTTCAAAAAGCTCCTTTCAATCGGTGTACAATGGTATATAGTCTTAAACTAAAGTGATTCAATCCGTTCAGTAAAACTGTTTATCTATACTCGTAAACACTTGGGCAGCTCAATATACAATGATCAACCAGTCATGACACACTATACATGACTATTTAATCATCTAATCTAGCCTATCATAGACGGCGTATGACCTTTACGCCATGTAGGAATCTGTCAAAAGCTCAGAACTATAGTTTTCTCGCGTACTCTAAAAATTGAAAATATATATGTATTACAACTAGATAGATAATATCAACGCTTCCCGACCCTTTGAACCCGTCTATAAATTGCGAGATCTCAGCGAAAGCAAAGAAGGATCGTCGACTAGCCGTTGAATTTACGCCTTAAAAACGCCAAAACCGCTGTCTAGCCCTCCTCATCTAAATATGAGGTAAGAAGTTTGACCAATCGAGGTCCTGAAATATAATATTAGGCATTGCCCTTAAAGCAACGACACTCTCTCCCAAGACTAAGACTCTGGCTATAATGTACCCAATGACGAATGGTCCATGGACAAGTAACTTGCCCCAAGTTGGCAACATAGCAGCTACCTCTAGAACAGTTGTCGCTTCTTTTTTGAAAACTACTCTTCCAATAAAAGGTGCAAAGTGGGCTCCAAGCGGTAAAGCCAAGATGAACATGACAATTAACCCGAAATCCACAATATTTGCCAGCTCGTAAATCGAGAATTCAACATGAGTTGGAAAAGGAATCTTCCATGCAACGCCAATGTGAAGCCCATAGAACATAGCCTGGAAAAATATCAAATACAGGGTGAGAATCCATCCAATTCCTTCAGCTGGGTGGATCGTGCTGTTGGTAATTGTCCTACGTGCTCTTTTCGGTGTTGTTGGACGCTTATTACTTGGTAGTAAGTATTGAGGCACTTTGAACGTGGCCTTGAGTCCGAACCAGAAGGGGGCAATGAGACTTTTTGAGTCTGGCGCTGGCCTAACAAAATCTAGCGGCGTTCGTTCGAAGCTTTCTGGGTCGTGCCCTGGCATGCATAGTTCTTCTGTAGTCTCGTTTAAGAGCAAAATCAAAGGTCTGGCTGGATCCAGCGGTTTATTCCACCAAAAGAAGAATGTGTGCGTGGTACACAGAATAAAAGCTAAGGTTTCGAGCTCGACTGGGGTAATGTTGAGTCCTTCTACGCTCCGGCCAAGACATGCCATACAGAACCATGCCATTTGAGCCATGGTCACTGCTCTCGCGAGCCCATCAGCTTTGTTCACAGCTCGAATGTCGTTAATGTCAATCGGAGGAAGTGATATGTAATTGTTTCTGATCAGGTGTGCCAGTTGATAGCTATCGATTGCAAAGTGGTCAGAGTCTTTGGGCGCTACAATTATCCCACCCATATCAGCGAAGAATCCGTGTCTGATGGTCCAACTACTATGGCCTAACTCCCTAAATGCGCGGACAGATTGCTTTGCAGATATCCATTGTTCGGCTGCTAGGGCGACGAGAACCTCCGGGAAGAAGACGGCGAACATCTGCCATCGGAGTTTGTATAACATCATGCGCCAGCCGCGTGAGTTTTGCTGTTCCGGTATGTTCAAACACAAAGCGGTCCATGTACACAGCCAAATAGTGCTTAGGGAGCTCCAAATAATATTGATCGTTCCTCGGGTATTAGGGCTCGATACCCAGCCGCAGACGACATTCTGAGATGGACAGACCGTTATATTGAATAGTCTTTCGGAAAGCATTATTTTCTGTAATAACCAGCGGAGAACGTCGATTTCGATCTTAACACGGCAATATGATAGTGTAGAGAAAGAGATAACTAACCAGGCACTAATGTTATTAAAGCTTCGAGATCCACTTCAATAATCTTGTACAACGCCCTTCTATACTCATATTTTCGGGAGCTGAAACATGGACTCGGTTGTCGTTGTAACCCCGAAGGTTACAATCGGTCTCAAGAATTAGAATTAGAAAATTGCGGCGCAGGGGGGACTATCTAGTTGTATAGTTCAGGCGCTGAGAGTCGAAATCATGGCACAAATAGAGGGAGGTGTTGTTTAATACTCCCTAGTGGTGACAGCATTCTGGATAAATGCGCCAGTTATTGCAACCTCAGCGCATCTAGATCCAGTTATATATCAAACTCCAAAGAGCCCTAGTTGATAGTTTCCAATAAATTATCCAAGTCCCCAGTCGTCTGTTGACAAAATACTACCTAGCAGTGTAGCTTTTGTATACTCTAAATAGGCACCCTAGCCATATACGCACAGGCTCTGGTGTTGGGGCAAGGGCTTCGTGACGAATCTTCATTGACGCCCTTTCATGTTCCTCATTGGCGGTTTCTTCGCTACCGACAGTATGAAAATTAATCTTACTACGCACGCACCCTACCACTTAGAAGCATTCTGAATTGTTAAAAATCCGCAATGGAACAGACTCAACCATGAACCTTACTTGCAAAATTGATAAAATAGCAGAAATTGTTCTTCATTACGATACTATGATGCGATAATTAGTGTTGTGGTGTTGTGGTTCGGGGTTTTAGTGGAGACTTTATCCAAGAAAAGGGGGAGGTTAGTACAAATGCAAGCGATCACAAAAGCGGTAATGTATCGCCATATACCCGGCTGTGGCTTATGATGACCGCATCCAATGCTACCACACTTGTTTTACAATAGATAAGCCAATCATTTGAACGATTCCCAGTCGCTCCGAAATGCTATAGCCGCCAGTGAATGTCCTAGATGGTGTTATTAGCAAACTAATCCTCGCCTGGGTTGATAATTTCGTTTTCAATTTCTCATGGCTGCTTATAACAAGTTCTAACAACTACAACGAATACACTATGTACACGATGCGTAGCCATGAAACAGCAGTGAAGGCCGTCGCGACTTCAGTTCGTGCCTTCTTTGCTCGAAAAGAATCATTTAGAATTTATCATGGATCGACAAATAGCACAAGACCAAATCATCAAAATCGCATTGTTGATATCAGTAACCTCAGAAATGTACTGATGATTGACCCGATAGCTCGCACAGCACTTGTTGAGCCGAATGTTCCTATGGATCGGCTTATTGAGGCGACTTTGAAATATGATCTCATACCGCCAGTAGTGATGGAATTTCCTGGTATTACTGTCGGCGGGGGGTATGCGGGATCTGCTGGGGAAAGCAGCTCATTCAAACACGGATATTTTGACCAAACCGTCAATTCCGTCGAAATGGTACTGGCAAATGGAGAAGTTGTCACAACATCTCGTTCTCAAAATGCAGATCTGTTCAGAGGAGCTGCTGGTGCAATGGGAACTTTGGGAATAGCAACATTGATTGAATTGCAGCTTATTCCTGCCAAGAAATTTGTTCAGCTGACTTATGAGTCAAAGTCCTCGGTTCATGAGACGATTGAAGGAGTAAAGAAAGAAATTGGAGATTCCGCCAATGACTATGTCGATGGTATCTTGTTTTCCAAAGATTTCGGCGTAGTAATGACAGGGAAATTGACGGACGATAAGCCAGCTACTTTGAAAGAGCAATCTTTCAGTCATGCTAGAGATCCCTGGTTTCACTTACATATCCAAGAGCGAATGAATAGCGAATCTCATAAGTCTTGCGTTGACTACATACCATTGGGCGAATATTTATTTCGGTGGGACAGAGGTGGGTTCTGGATGGGCCATCAAGCATTTCAATATTTTCCATTTGTTCCATTCAATCGATGGTCTCGATGGTTTTTAGACGACTTTATGCACACCCGGATGCTATATCGTGCTCTACATGGTACTGGTCACTCATTCGAGCATATCGTACAGGACCTTTCACTTCCATATTCTACAGCGGAGGAATTCATTGACTACTCAGCAGCTGAGTTAAACATATGGCCTATGTGGCTATGTCCTTTACGAGAGATACAAGCGCCAACATTCCACCCCTCAACTACATTACCTGGTCCAATTAAAGATGCAAAACCGATGCTCAACATCGGTCTCTGGGGTCCAGGATCTAAGAACCGAGATGAATTCTTCCGGCAAAATCGTCAATTGGAGAAAAAACTTGCGGATTTGCGGGGCTTCAAAGTTCTGTACTCTCACACCTATTATACGGAGACAGAATTCTGGGAGTTGTATGACAGGAAGTGGTACGAAGACTTGCGGTCAAAGTACTCGGCTACATCTTTGCCTACAGTTTACGACAAAGTGAAGGTAGATATGTCAAAATTCTCGGGGGTCAAGTTATCTTGGTATGAGTGGATATTGAAACTATGGCCGGTGGCTGGGCTAGTAGGTATAAGGTCTGCTATACGTAGCAGAGACTACTTGTTGCACAGGAAGCCACTATGGAGAGAAAGGATGACTATTCAGAAGCCTTGAGGTAATTGTCATCGGAAGCAGATTTTTGATAATTCAAATAATTAGTTTGGTCGTCCTATCTATAACATGTGAATATCGGATTGAAACCTGGTGAGAGCAGGCACTTTTCAGACGCTATGTAGAATAAAAGAAATGAATTTCTATCACAAATCTTAAAGAACTGAAAACGAGGCTTTCACAATGCTTCTGAGAGGAAGAAGCTTTTTGTTCAATATTTGTGATCTTGATAAGGACTCACTCTCCAGGTTTCACCTGAGGCTCGCGAAAGAAGGTAAATAAGGGGAATAGATGTGAAATGATTTTCTAAGCATATGGTCCAGTCAATTTTTCGTAACTTAGGCAGCCACATCAATTGCGCCGGTGTGGCTCAATTGTGGCTCTTGTTTTCTATCTAGCAGTCAGCTGCCCAGGTGAACCAAGAACTTCAACAGTGGAACTCATGTCAGTATGATTTAGACATCATCTCATAAATTAGAATAGACTGTTTAAACGTCATATCAACGTGCCGTAGCTATCGACGACACTTTTTTGAAGCAACTTTTTAAGTTTTCATGCCCTCGTTTGAGCGCTTTTGGTTTCACCAATGCACAAGCTGACTCGACCTTATCTTCAGCCTCAGTTGACCATGTAAACAAGATTCTTCTTTTAAATGAGATGAGAATGGCTCCTTACAAGTATACTCAGCTTGGAAGAGAAAATGAAGAGATTAGACTGTTGAGTCTAATGCCAGGCGCACGAGATGACGACATCTCCATGCACATTTTCCATGTACCACTAATTATTCCACCCCGGGAGACTAGTGAAATCAAGAGATTTTCACTTGAAGATTTGCAAAGAACTCTCCCGGACGATATGTATGCCATGAAAACAATCGATGGGCGATATATTTTCAAACACCACAAGGGAAATCCAAATTCGTGGGACCATCCAGATCCGAATCTTGATCGCGCTCTTTATGATTCGCCGAAACACAGAAATTTTGCGGAAAACATACCTAATTATGAAGCCCTTTCATATGTCTGGGGGTCTACCGAGAATCCAATCACAGCACATGTGCTAGGCGAAACTTTGTCAACAACACAAATTGGGGCTTCTCTTGCTGTTGCACTTAGACAATTAAGGTACACCGATAAGCCGCGAACACTATGGGTAGACGCTATATGTATCAATCAAAATGACATTCCCGAGCGAAGTCGCGAAATCGGACGCATGAGAAACATCTTCTCTTTCGCAGATCGAACTATCATCTGGCTTGGAGAAGAAGCTGACGATAGTACAAGCGCTTTGTCTACTATTCAGCATTTCGCCGAACAGGTCGAGTATATAGGTGGAGGGTTAGTTGCATATACTCCTGGAACCAAGCTATTAGAATGGAGACACTCAAACTTTCATCTGCCGTATGACACCAAAACATGGTCATCCATAAGAGCTCTTTTCCAGAGGTCTTGGTTCAGTCGAGTCTGGGTCCTACAGGAAGCTTTACTTGGGGATCAGGGATCATCAGTACAGTGCGGTAGTACCTCTATTCCTTTCACTGCTCTTCGAAAAGCAATGTTGGTGCTTGGAAGAAAAGTCACGACACCAAGCGACATACGCTCCCAATTAATGTCATACTCTCCAGGAGTTCTGCCTGAACCCATGAGAGAGTTACCCGAGCTTCTGAGATGGGCTAAGCATCGCAACTGCAGCGATCCTCGTGATAAAATATATGGGGTACTAGGACTAGTGTCGCCTTCAATTGCCGAAGAAATTACGTGCGACTATTCTATGCCTGTGGCAAAAGTGTATAAGAGTGCAGTGCTCAGTCACATAATTGTCACAAAGCGGCTGCACCTGCTCCAACACTGTCAGTTGATCCAAAGTTTTGGAGACGGACCATCATGGGTTCCGAATTGGTCTTTTGAAGATAGAAGTATTATGATAGGTATTGTCTTGGGAAGATATGCAGCAGGCTCTTCTGCTGCTGTAACACTGTATCGAGCGCCAAACACTTTGGAAGTTACCGGTGTATTTCTCACAAGAGTAACTTCAGTTAAAACTAAAGGTTCAGGCAATGCAAGGGAAACTTTCCAAGCAATTCGTAAATGGGAACCTGAAGGTCTCAATTCCAGAGACTATATCGCAGGTGGCTCTTTGATTGATGCATTCCTCGAGACTATTTATCAAGGGCGTACTAAGGAGAGATATCCCGGACTTCGCATTCCACATTCCTGGGAGCTCCGCCAAAGCTATTTGGAAGCTGTTGATAAAGACAATGAAAATCGAGATGCGATACTGAATTATGTTTATGGATTGAATTTTGGTGCCATGGCATTCATAGCAACAGAAGAAGGATATATGGGGATAGGATCACTTGGAGTTGAGCAAGGTAAGTCTTGATTCATTAGCTTCGCAACTCTTCACAAGAGCTGACACTACAAGGTGACTATGTATGTGTACTATTGGGAACAGAGCTTCCGATTGTCCTACGTCCAACACCATCTGAAGAGTTTCTAGTTGTAGGATCCTACTTCATTCATGGTTTAATGGATGGAGAAGCTCTACTTGGTCCTATACCAAGTCCATGGAAGACCGAACTATACCGAAGAAAAGATTCAGGGTACTCAACTCACTTTGTCAAACCGAACGAGAAAACTCTTGATGACCCACGTCTCCCTCCTCTATCTTCTGAATGGATAGAAGTCAATAGAGATGACGGTCCGTGGCCCATCGGCAAATTCTTCTTCAATAATGTTGTGACAGGCGAGATGATGGATTCTGATCCTAGAATGCTTCCACAAGCATTGGTTGAAAGAGGTGTGGAACTGCGGAAATTCAGGCTGATATAACTTCCCTAGAAAGCAAGTTCTAGCTGAAGAAACCACGAGCGCCACGAGTGGTTTAGTTTATCATTCCACCACTGGGATCACTTCCACCAGCCAATGATTGGCCAAATCAAGAACTTTTAGGCATTTACTTCCCAGAGATGGAAACTACTTCACATTGCATCTTCCATGATCTGAGAAACGAAAGAAAACAGTACTCTTCAGATCTACTCACAGTATATACAGTCCAGAGAAGAGTAAACTTGCCCCCACTTCGCCCATGCTAATCATCTAACCTATCACATCTTGTATGAAGACACCGTGGAGTGGCTAGTATCTACCCCGCAGAAGTTGCCAGTCTTCTAGAGAAGTGAATAATTACGTTTAATCCAACCAATATTATCATGCCATACCTAGACATACCTATTCAATATCAATTTTCAGGCGATTCTCAACCATCGCTAGATGGAATGGGACGATTCGGTACACATTCATTTCCAAATAGATCCAAACACAGTAGTGAATTAATACAGCGCTCGAAAAGCTTAGCCTCGGTTTTATCTTGAATCTCTGCTTAAAAGCTTTCAGAATCGTCAACAATTCTTCATCCTTTTGGAAATTCTATAATAAATTCCTCAGAACCGAGAAAGTCAACGATTCTAAAGGTTTTCGACTAAAACCTCCTTTGAAATACAAACAAAAATACTCAATTATACAACCACGCAAACATCGCAAACATGGATATCGAAAAGGTTTCGTTTAGCTCAGCCAGTAGCATTACTGATGGCAAAGCAACTCCAGTTCCTGTTGTCGCTCGTCAATCCCGGTTCAAGCGATTAGTTTTACGCCTATTTTCAAATTCTCGAAGTGGTTCTGGCAAAAGAAAATGTTTTGGTTTACATAACAGTAGCTCGCCTCAATTCCTTGCACATACACTAAACACATTGAAAGCCGTCCAAGATCAGACATCAGCGGCTACTCCTAGGGATTTTTCCTTCCAGATGTTCGAGTATGTAGACCCTCCACTTTAAGAATAGATGCAGTTAACAGCAACCATAGTACTCTGGACAAGCTTCCTATATCAGGCCACTATGCAGTTTAGACAAAGGACGAAGAATATTTTTTGATCAGAAATGATTTGGTTCTTCCACAATCGAGACCTTTCTTTGACAAAGCATTTGGCAAAGGTTCATTGAAGGACAGCAGTGCATTTCCCGCTGCAGTCCTGCCCGAATTCGGTAACATCACTCTGGGGATCTTTGTCGAGTGGACTTACGATCGCGGCATTAGATTAATGCAATCTGACGACGACACTTCCGATGAAGAAAATTCTTCACGCGAGGCGATTCGTGGAACTATACATTTGTTTATGGAAATTCTTTTCTTTGCCGACAGGTACTCTCTCGGTGAATTCCAAGATGATTTCCTCGAACTGTTCATCCAGTTATTGAGAGACGATAATTCACCACTGAATATATACCATGTTCGCCGATTTCACAGGCGAACATCGCAAGATTCGAATATCCGTGTCTTCTTGGTTGATTGGGTTGCTTTCATCATCCAAGAAATTGATGCTTCAGGGAAATTGAAGGGAAAAAGTTCAGCATTGAACGGTGACCTTTCATTAAACAAGAGAGAAACCCTGGTTGAGCTACTTCACTTGCTTGAAGGTGGCAAGATTCGACCTCCACATGGAAAGTTTCCTGACCCTCGGGATGCCCCAAGTTGTATTTATCACCACCACAGCAGTGGACAAAAGTGCCGCCAAAGAGTTCTTGCTGGTTCTTTTATGTCGAAGGATTTCAAAGTAAAAGCATGATCCTGGGGGCTGGAGCTTTGATAGGATTGATATAGTTGACGGGACAATGGGTAATGGGAGCAAGGGATACGGAACTAGGAACATCTGATCATCTAGGGGCGTTCATTTTGCGATTATTTTCAGGCAGATATCAGCATTCGCTATCTCTAGGGGGATGAAGGTCTCCTGGGAAAGAACTACTTCTGGAGCAATTACATACCAATAATCCATTTTTGATGTACAAATGAGTGATATACAAGCCGTGAACTTGCCCGTGGTGGTTGATGTTCATATTCCTCCCTCGATGGTTCGAAAATGACTCCTATACGAATACCAACAGGATCTGTGTATATGCATGAAGAGATACCAGCAAACGTCTTTTTCAAAATGCTCCCTAGTCACTACTTATCAGTCTTTGAGAATTATTCTTCTTTGCCCACGTCAAGCTCACCTACCTAGACAGTTTTGACCACATACAATTTGCATTTCTTCTCTGCTTTCGAAACAAAACTCAGATAGTCTTCAAACCTTCTCACTCAGTATATGTTCTCTCTATATCCCAAGCTTCTTCCTACCCATCACTTGCTCAAAATTTACACCACACCATACAAAGTTTTCACAACATTCAAGTAAAAAGACAACAAACAAGAAGCACAAGGTTCATACCAGATGACTTTGCTGTACATCGCATCGCACAGTTCATGAAATCCACTTTCCTATTTCTGCACTATTTCCGCACCATCTTTCAATCAGATCACCTAACCTCACCCCCACCTCCTACATACCCAACACAATCTTCACACCTCCCCATCCCAAACTCAACCTCAAACCACATATCCTCACGTGCCACCCCAAAGTAACCCAATACAACCTCTTGTTGCACATCTAGAAAGGTGACATCTTAGTGCAAACCTTCAACCTCATCAAAGTGATAAATAAGTAAACTTCAAAATCTTTCATCACGTATTCCAAACGAATTCATTCTTCTTTTCACGCCTCCGCAGCCTTGAAGATCCTGCCTCACTCAAGTTCGCTTGACTTTCTTCCTAGAGTCTCATTACTGGTTAGTTATTACACAAACCTTGATGAACTGAACACGCAGTTTGATCGTGATCTTGAATAAATAATATCCAGACATTTTAAGTCCGCCTTTCACTAGATTCCATTCTCCCAGATCAAAATCTCATTTTCGAATCTAACTTCAAACATCAATCTGACCCTCAACCTTACCCTCAACCTTACCCTCAACCTTACCATCAACTTCACTATCATTCTCTTTCGCCATCAACATACTTTATATTGTGCCCCCAGATTCCCAATGAATCCTCGAATTAGCGTTTCTCTCAAATACAAGTACTCGAAGTGAATACCCTTCTCCTTCTATACCCGTAATTCAGACAGTTGGACTATGCCGATACAAAGAATTAGCATTAGCATTAGCTTTGGAATGAACATATCTTCCCCTTTTCGCTTGTCTTATTACCGACACCGCTCTATCACCTTTCGAAATTCTTCTCTCTCTCTACATTCAAACCAACCTCCCTCTCATCCCCATCCCCATCCATCCCCTTTCAAGCCCTACAACATCCCGACTAAACCAATCAAAAACGAAATCTCAAACCCCATCAACCATCTCACCACCTCACCTCACTACACCACCTCAACACACTACCTCCTTGACCCTCTCTACCTCCACTCATCTCCCCCATACCCAGCCTCAGTCACCACACACAAGCCAGGGAGCACATTGATACATAATAAGCCCCCCTCTCCCGCTCCACTTGCTCCTTCAAAGTTCATCTACCCTCAAATCCCATCCCAGCCCGTCCCATCTCTATTTCAAGTTCCAACACCCTTCATCTTCCTTCGTATCTCTCCCCATCTCAATCACTCTATATCCATCTATTCATTTAATTCATCCAACCCCCCCCCCCCCTTTTTAAATTCTCATTCCCATTTCGCTTCTAGCGCTTACTCACTCTTCTCTTACACTTCTCTCACACTCCACTTTATTTCACTCTATCCATCGACGATCTATCTATCAAATTATCCATTTCTCTATTTCTCTATTTCTCTATTTCTCTATTTCTCTATTTCTCTATTTCTCTATTTCTCTATTTCTCTATTTCTCTATCAATCTATCTCCCCATCTATCAATCTCCTTATTAATATATCCATCTATTTCTATACACAAATCAACTTTATACCTCCCTACCTTATATCTGCCAATCTCATATCTATATATTTTATATCTCCCAATCTTATATCTATCTATCTATTCAATTCCTCTCCCCATCCACCCCCTCTCCCCCATCCTTCTCCCCAACTCCCCAATTCCAAACTCCAAACTCCAACTTGAGATTCAGAAATCCAGAAATCCAGAAATGATGAAGTTGTCAAGATCCCCCTTTCCCTTTTTTCATACACCACCACCCATCATCAACACCATCACCATCCATCCGCCGCCAACCTACACACCAATACCACCATTACCATTATCAATACCAACCTAAACACTAATACCAAGAAACCCACCAAAATATGACTTTTCCCTCTCTCCCTCTCTCCCTCTCTCCCTCTCTCCCTCTCTCCCTCTCCCTCTCCCTCTCTCCCTCCCCCACCCCTTTCCTCCCCTCCTCGCTCTTCCACAAATCCAATCCAATCCAATCCAATCCAATCCAATCCTCTACATATCAAACACCACATCAAGCACCACATCAAACACCACTCGAAAACTCAAATCTAAACTTTACTTTACCCCATCGACCTACCTATCTACCTGCATTCATTTCATCCCTGTAGCCTCCAGAGTAAACTATCAATCATACTTCCTCTTCTGTCACAGCACAGCACACAACACACATCTCAAACTTCAAACTTCAAGTCTCAATCCACACATTTCAATTTCCCCACATATACATCACAAACACATATCAAAACATCTCATTTCATTTTCATCTTCATTTTAATTATTCATTCCATTCCATTCCATTACAAAGCAAAAGTTAGGTAAGTAGGTAGGTAGGTAGGTAGGTAGGTAGGTATGTAGTTACGTACGTACTTAAATGAGATCAGGCCTTCCCTTGCCCTACTCAATTAAGTTCAAGATAAAAAAAAAGAAAAAGAAAACCACGCGCAAAAAAGAACAGATCAAAGTAAAAGTCAAGATAAAAAAGGAAAAAACCAACTAAAGAAGTCTCTCGAGCTATCATAATAAATACAGAGTATTGATCCCACCCCCCCAGAAAGTTTTTGGATGAAGAAACGCGGGTAGACTTTTATCTGAAGCCATATGAAAATGAAAAACTTATAGTAGAAACCAATCTCTCTGTAAGCATGATGGTCTTTCGTCTTGTCTCTTGCATTTATATCCTCTTCCCTTTCGGTCATTCTCATGTGCAAAAATAAAACTCCTCAAAATACCACTCATTCTTGAATGCAAGACCTCCATTATGGCATTTATGACCTTTGCCTCGCAGAAGCAATGCCGCGCCCGAAATATCACCATTCACCCCATCGCTCGCTTCTTCAACTGCCAAATATTAAGGATCAATGATTAAAGAGACATGAATTGAAAAGTAAAGTATCGGTTGTGTCGTGTCGGTACCATCATTAAAAGGCAGGCCCTGATTTTTGAAAGGAGTTCACCCCTTAACGGAGTGAAAACCCCTTCCTCTTGCCTTCCTTTTCTATTGGTCTTCCACTTTCGACTCTGGATTTCTTCTCTTCTAATTCTTGACGTTGACGCTCGAGTTGTTCCTTCATCTCGCGATGTCGTGCGTACAACTCTTCCTCGCTTTGCTTCAGCTTGCTCTCCTTCTCTGCGACCTTTTGTTGGAAAACCATCTTCATCTCGGCCTCCATCTTGGCAAGCTTTTGCTCGTGCAATTGACGCTCCTCTTCTTGCTTGACAGCTGGGTTGACCTCCTTGAAAACATTTGGATCTTGAGTAACGCCCATAGCAGTAAGCTTCTCCGATCTGTAGTTCTCGTACAAAGCATTGTTGGTGTGTTCCTTGAGCTCCTCCATGTGGGTTCGGATAAGCATTTGTCTGAGCTTGACGAAATCGCAGTGCTCCTCATTGTCAACTTCAATGGTACCCCATGGGTATTTACGTCCACGAACTTTACGTCCCTCGCTGTTTGTAATCTCGGAATTGGCACCAACCACTGCGAAAGGTACCTTGTCCATAATCTCCTTGTTCTCAGCAATTGTCTCCTCGTCATCTTTTTCGTAATGTGGACCCTCGAAGATTTGGATATCGTGGTGCTTGATGTCAGCAAGAATCTAGAGCATGGTTAGCGTGAGCTTTAAAATGTGCAATTGGAACCCTTACTCTGAACTTGAAGGCGGCAATTTCTTCATCAGTCAATGTATCAGCCTTGGCAATGACTGGGATCAAGTTGACCTTGGTATGGAGTCTACGCATAACTTCAATGTCCAATGGCTTCAATGCATGACCAGTTGGTTGAATGAAGTATACACAAGCATGAACACGGTTATCAACAATGTTCATTCTGTTGACCTTGTTCTCAGCATCCAAATAAGCATCGAAACGTTGTTCAATGTTATCGACAATTGGTCGCCAAGACTCATCATTGTTGACGAAATCACCGAAACCTGGGGTATCAACGACAGTCAAACGTAAACGAACACCATTCTCCTCAATATCAGCGCTAATGGATTGGATAGAAACGGTTTTTGGGATAATATCGAGGGAAGGTCCTTTGCGCTCTCTTGGTGGATATAAGGAAGTGTTGAAAAGAGTGTTGACCAAAGTCGACTTTCCGAGTCCAGATTCACCTGTTCAGGAATTAGCATATAACAAAAATTAGTTCAGAGAAGCTGCACACGTACCAACAACCATGACATTGAAATTGAAACCCTTTCTGACACTCTTGCGGTGCCATTGATTTGGTAAATTTGCAAATCCAACATATCCAGTCAACTTTCTTCGAACAATGTTCTTCATGTCGCTTGCTTGTTGAGCGGCGATCTTTGGATCTGTTGAGCTGACGGTCATTGGAATTTCTAATGGGGATGATGGTGCTCCGTTTGGAATTGGTGAAGACCGGGTAGGGGCCATTGGGGCTCCGTTAGTAGCTGTATAGAGAGGTAAAATGTCAGCCCAGTCATTTGAAGTAGTGCTATAATTTTTAGAAGCCTGTTGCAGCTTCTCTACGACCCATAACTCCATTGACTCATGGTGGTCCATAGAAATTTGTTCCAAGCTCGGAGCTTCTTCAACATCCAGCATGCTTCTAAATTGAGCGCAAATACGTTCTGCTCCTCGCTGATGGCGATGCAAGCTTCCAGGGTATTGACGCTGTTCGATACTATCTAACGATTGCTTAGGCATTGAGGTGCCCTTCGACAGGCTCTCAGATCGAATTACAGACCATTCCTTATCTTCAGTTTGGGATCCAGGGGGTGGACCAGAAGATTTCTTGGAGATGATAAGATTCCAGTGACCACTTGTATTTGACTTCATGGCTGGCATATCTTGATGATGAAACATCTTGTGGCAGGTTACAGATGGCTTCTCAACTCGCTGAATTGGATTTCGAAATGTGCGAATCTATCAGACTCGAGATTTGAAGCTCTGGAGTTGCAACAGTCATATGTTCGGAATGATTTTGTCGGGATGACAGATGGTGAAGTGCGAATTCGAAGAATTGAGAACCACGCAATTGTCGATGGAGTTGTTGACAATCTGACGATGCCATTTCCTCCCATAGTATTGACTGCCTCGAAAATGAAATAAATTGCTTACCCATTGTTATGATTGATGTAGAAGGATCGAAGGTGGTTGTTTTCGTGGAGAAAGAAGGTGGGAGGTTGTAAACTCTGTTGGCACGACAAGATGGGAGAAATCAGCTTCTATGAACCAAAAGATGGTCGCAGACAAAGTAGTTGAGATGGAAGAGATCAAAGACAATGGACCAGTCTCGGAGAAGCCAAAAGGGAACTTTTGAAGGTATTGTGCAAGATCGAGGGATTGATTCGATGGGATGATGTCCAAATCATGCAGGAATACGAATAATAGCACGTACCAGATATTAAATTCTTTGATCCTCAACAAGTATTGGTTCGCGTGGTGTTTTATTGCGGATCAAGATGTGAATAGGTAAAATTGACCAAGTAATTGTGTTTACTCAGGATGTGTTGAAAGGTTACGATAACGACGAGGAAGGTAAATAGAAGATTGAAGAAAATAGAAGAAAAAGTTGGGAGTCTAAACGATTGTGTAGTGAATGTGTAATGTAGATGTGTATGTGTATGGGAAAGAAGGCGAAAAAAAGTTGTGTGTAGGTTTAATAAGGTTGGTAAGGTTGTCAAGGTCGCACTGGTAAATGGTACTACACTACTACGAGGTCACTAGTACGGTAGGTACAGGAGGTGTAGTATTCTTAATGATTGCTTGTGGTTGGCGTTTGAATGCTGGCTTTAGGTCTGGTGTCTGGTATCTGGGTGGCTGTCTGGCTGTCTGGCTGTCTGGCCGTTGATGACTGGCTTATCCTTTTTTTATTATTAATTTTCTATTGCTTGCTCGACAGGTCCAACCAAGTCTTGCTTTGCTGGACTGGCTCGACTTGGTGTTCCCACTTGATTGCAAAAGGGGTTGATTTTGGGAGCGCTGGGGTTTTTTGGGCTTGGGATTAATCGACAGGGTATAATTACTTGGGGAAAAGGGTCAAGGCCAAAAAAGCTTTATTATTAAGATTAACACGCGCTTCTTCTGGGGAGGGGGGTATGGCTAAGGGGGGTAAGGGGAAACTTGTCATTTAACGTGTATATTATGATATTGGGAAATGATGAGTTGATTGAGTGTACCTAGGTAGGTATTGTATCTGGGTGCATAAAATCATGTATGGTTGGTTTTACGTGCTTAGGTATCAGTAGATATATTTACAGTAGATATACGGTGATATTTATATTTATTGAATCTAGGTGGGTGTTTGCAGTCTAGATGAACCTTGGAATGATAGACACAGACCTAGATAGGCACGTACATATATACAGCAAGCAGTGAATAAGTCGTGAGTGGTGATTGATGAGTGATTAGTGGGTGGGGAGAAGGAGTGAAATGAACTTATAATATACGCCGTCTATAATAGACCATAAGAAAGAGGTTTAAAAGATTCTATCACACCCATTGAAAGCCTTGGAGTGAATATGTTGGGAGTTGTGGACTGCAAACCATAAATGGGAAGTGGGAGGTGACTCAGGGGGAAAATGAAGATATACACATGAGAAAAGACGACGAGTATTCTATCCAGTTGTATCATCAACGCCATATACATTGATACTCAGTACCTCTCTACAACGGTCCCGGTACTGCTACTCTATCCTCCCTGTCGAGTACATACCTCAATCATCTCTCATCACATCAATCCGATATGTTGGAAGTAGCTATCTACGATCGAGTGCTCACTGTCCAATGCCAGTATCTCAGTGTTCGTGAGTAGCTCCCAACATGTATCAGATTTGGTGATCCTCCAATGATCTTTCAATCATAGAACAATAGACGGACCGGCTTCATTGAATGAGATTCTTCGTCAGTTGAATCAGTACCAGCTAATTATATCCTACTTCTACTGCTGCTGCTAGACCAATAATGAGTAATAACAAGTCACAAGTACTTCATGTTGTGTATCGTGTATTGATTTGGTACAATGTACTCCTATTTTGGGTCTTGATACCTCAACATTAACGAATCTGCAATTGACCTACCTCGTATCTACCTAGTACTCAACAATTGCTTCTTCTTCCCTTTTCCGATCTCTTCCTATAGCTGGGTATATTATCTCCTCCCTCGCTTCTCAAAGGACCCCTTCTTTTTCCATCTCTCCTCCTCCTCCTCCTCCTCCTCCTCCTCCTCCATCATAATCATCAATATGCGTTTGTCTCCCCACGAATTATCATTTCACTAAGCTCCCTCAAGCTTCCTCATTTGTGCTCTGTGCAACCCCCCAATGTAACCAAAATTCTCCACTGCCGGTGCAGGATTTCTTGGGTCTAGTATCTACACGTGACCATCGGTCCCTGACTATCTTAGATATCCGTCTTGTCCTGATTCGGTAACCACTAATCCTCATTAAACAAGGTGTCTCACTTTAGTCGATTTCCTAGTGCCGTTCCTCTCAGCATCACTATCACTATCAATTTTTGTGTTTCCTCAATTGGTTCAACAACAAACAAAAAGTGGAATTATTCAAAAGCTCTTTGGAGAAGCTTCATGATAGCGGCATCTGTAAGTATCCAAAAATATCTATCAGGTGGAGAAGATGTGAAGCGAATTGAAAAGGAGGTTACACTCAAGCAGACGACGAGGTATATTTACAAGATTTGCCCTCATTTCAAACCTCTATCAATAGTTACTGACGTGTTTCGCCTTTCAATGTAGATCGCAATCCCCCCAAACATAACTTCCGAATTGCATGGTTAGACATACAAGGACAGGCACAAACGGAAGATAAACGTCTTTTCGGTGCATTATTGGAACTTTACGAAGAGATTCATTCATCATTTGTTTCCCTTTGAGAGAGAAGTCGTTGATGTAAGGCGTGTTTATACTTTCCCTTGAAACTTTCAGTGTCAAAATACATTCCAACAACATCGGGATGTTCTTTTGAAACAGCCTGTCATCCGAACTTTAATTGGTTGGTGGAATCTGTGCTCACCATACCAAAATTGGTTAAGGCTAAGCCTCCATGAAGGGGTAAAATGGTCAAGTTGACTCTGTGGATTAGATTTTGCAACTTCATATTTGGCATTGAACGATTTATTTTTATCTTTTTGTTGTCAACTTTTACAAGAAGTATGACCTAAGAGGTCTGCGGGCCCTAGAAATTCTCTTCTTACACCACTTCATCAGCGCACAACCTCGATTATTCTCTCTCCCGGAATCATCGTGTTTCGTTGTACTAAGTTGAGCTACTTTATTTGTTGCCCAAGCGGTAATCATGAGACTCATTGACTCGCATGAAAATTGATGCATGCCTGATACTGTTGAAATAGTCACCCAAGCTGTCAAAGGGTGCCAATGAATTCTCTGGCAGACCTTTGCTTGTCATGTCTCTTATGTGGATGTTAGATTTTGCCTTGCCCGCTCGTCATCCTAAATTTGATCATTTTCAAAGAATCATGACGACTAGGCGAGCATCTCATTTAGAAATCAAAAAATAAAATTCTCATTACATGACTTTCTTCCCTTGATCACTCCCTCCACATGGGTGCCGGGGCTGAAGATTACTCAACACATGTGCTCCGAAATTACTCATCCGTCTTTTCAATGGTGTCATTCACATATTCCTGCAGTGAAATCCAATCGCATAACTGCTGAAGGATATCAATCACTCTTTTGGCATATTCCATCAACCATTCCCCGTGAAAAATCATTTGATATATCGCCCATACAGATGGTATCCCGACCCTAAACTGGAGATGAAAATAAAGCGCTTCTAGTTTATAGATTATGTGATGCTGATTCACATTCGCCGACCTGGTCACCAATGCAAATACCTATCATCGTGGCAGTATCCATCACTACTAAATCTGAAATGCCATCTCTCGCCCCAAGGCATATGACTTCGAAGTTCCACATCTCAATTACCTTCTTCGTCTCTGGTACCCTTTGTCTTCCTTGCAAAAATCACAAAAAGCATGTTCTATCTGTATTCGATCCGATTATAACTACCATAATTGACTGACTCGGATGCATCGAGAATAGAGTACCGCCAGAAACTTTATCAAGGATAATTTTGAATAAACTTCTCGCGTTGCGTGCATTGTCTTATCATGCTACCTAGTCATTACGAACTCTAGCCCAAATATCCCTCATTTAAAACCTTTCTACTCTCACATCTCACCTATCACAATTCAATCCCACGCAATCTCAATCAACATCTCCTTCCGTTCCTCCATTAGTATTATCATTCACCATCATTCTTTTCTCCTCCTTCATCTCTCTCAATTCCTTCCTCCTCTCTCCCTCATCTTTATCAATCAGACCTACGATTCCGTCCCAGCTCCTTGAACTCCATCTCCAGACCCCGGCAATGTTTCTAGCTGCCCACGTTTTGGAAAATCCATTAGCCGGTCTGCCAACTTCCCATTCTTCAAGCGTTTTCACGCCATCTGAGCCGATCTCGGGTGTGGGGATGTAGAAGATCGTGATCAAGAGACCGAGGAGCATGAATATTGAGAAGCTGTAAAGAATCATCAGCTCATGACGATGTGAGACCGGTAGAGGGAAGATCGGGAGACTGACATCAAAAGGGAATATGGTAGCCAAAGTTGAATATGATTGTAGTCAATATGTTGGCCATAGTTTACGTAGGCAAGAAATAATTGCGCGAGGACAGATCCTAATTTTCCGAAAGCTGCGGATATGCCATGGGATAGTGCACGATATCGAGTGGGGAATAGTTCTGCTGGAATCTGTACTAGTCATTAGAGAATTGGCTGCATTCAGAGAAGGATGAATCAAGGGAGTCGAAGCCACACTAACCATATAAGTGGTAGTGTTCGGACCTGTATTCTAGTTAGTGCATATTTCGCCATGGATGAGATTGGGATAATTTACCGAAGTTGAAGAATATTTGACACAGGATATACAAAACGATGGTAGCAGCCGAGCCGCCAATATTATACAAATGATTAAATGATCCCCCGATTATGATGAATAAAATGAAGAGAAAGAAGAAACCGACCATCTGAATATTCCGTCGTCCAATTTTGTCGATAGCCACGAAGGTGATAGCACAACCCGCAATTGCACCGATAGAAACAACCACAAGACTTTGCCATACATCGTCGATGAGAATAGGGTAGATGTGTTGTGGTGGAGTTCCTATGCCGTGCCAGATGGTGGAGATTATATGTGGACTATTCATTCCAAGTCCGCTGCAAATCGATCAATTAGAGATGTAGCAAGATAGTTCTATTTTGGAAAAATGACCGCGATCTTGTCGCGAGTTTTGAACCAAGATTTTTTTTTTGCAAGAAGACTTACTAGAAAGGTAAATCTACACAAAACCAACACATAGAGGTAGCGATGAGTGTCCTCAAGTTCCCTTTATACCAAAAGTATTCTTTGAAATCTTCCCATGAAGGCACTGGGGGAGGTTTGTTGTCGTTGGCGGTTGTCAATATTTGATCTTCCAAATGAATCTCGTCTAACGTCTCTTCGTTACTTCTTCGTGATTCAGATGAGCTTATTCGCCCTTTACCATTTGTAGTTGATCTACGGAGCCCAGGTTGCGGCTGTATCTCGATCGAAGTCGTAGAGGCAACTGCTGAATCAATCTCCGATGGAAGATATCTGCTTAGCTCTGATGCTGCCTTTCTACTGTCTCTACCCACATCAGCTGTATATCTTGGTGATTCTATAATTGTAAGTCGGAACCAAAGAGCGATGACTGCTGGAATCACTCCCACACCGATGATCCATCGCCATATAGAATCCATAGTTTTGAGACATTCGCCAGTACAGTTCTCCGGCGTAGCATCTGCCGGGATTCCAGTCCTCTGACTGGCCGCTGCAATTAAAGACACTAAAGTCGCGGCCAGTTGACCCAGAGGCTGACACATAAAGACTGCCGTCATCATTCTCCCTCTGAGTTTGTGCGGGGCGAATCTACGATAATAGTTAGCGAAGCGAGGTAATACTACGGAAAGAATATTAATACTCTGCAGTAATCACACTACTAAGTGGATAATCTGATCCGATACCAATTCCTAAGACAAAACGCCATACCAACAGCCATACAATGATGGACATTGAGCCTTCGATACCACTAGATGACATAACCACACCTAATGTTGCAAAGATGGTGATCATCAGCTCCAATCCATACATCTTCCGTCTTCCATATAAATCAGCACTAAGACCGAACCCTATTTGACCGATGATAGATCCACCCAACGTGACAACACTGAGAGCAATCTCGTAATTGTGAGGCATGACTCCCTTGTTGACAGGATCTCCATAGTAAATAATTCCCAGCATCGGAATTACCATGTTAATTGCGAATATCGAGTATGCATCTGTAAAAAACCCCACTCCGGCAACAACCACCACCCAGAAGCTTTCTGAAAAATCAGATTCTTCGAGACGTTCGAAGATATACTTTCTACGGTCTGATTCCTAGCGAAACAATTAGCTGTTGGAAAGGAGAGATACTAAAATAATAAGGCGGAATTCACATCGATGTGATCAAAGTCATCATCTGCGTACGGGTTCAGAAATAACTTTAACCATCTTAAACCCCAAGGCGGCATTGTTTAGTGTATGAGAAGCTTGGTGGTCGTCCGTCTTTAATTGATTCAAGAAGTCTGACTATTGCAGTCTCTCCAAAGTTTTGAAGTTTGAACGAATTGTTGAAAACAGAATTTTACAACAATACATGCTTCATGAACGGCATGATGGAGTATGAAATAGTGAGAGAGGCAAGATTGAAATGAGGTATGCTTGTAAAGACGAGGCTGTATATGAGGCATCTCTACCAGGCACATACATATAAGCATACACACATAGCCTACCTGTGACTTGGGCGTATATCTGTAGCTGTCGCTGGAACAGAGAGCTGCGGTAATGTGCCAAGGTGTGAATGGCGTTCAATATCGAAAACTCTCGCAAAGCATGCCTCGAACAAGTGAAATGGTCATAAGGATGGATGATACGAGATAATATCAAACGGAAAAGCTATCAATAAGAATGTGACATCTCATCTTGGACTCATCGCCCCACGGTGCTGAGAGGCGAGACAATCCATGAGCGAATTTTATGGACCAAGACAAGTTTTTGGCCTGTTCCTTCGTTGTATTCAAGAATATTATATTCATTCTGGTCGTATCAAAGTACGATTGCAGGAGACGTTGCGAGATTTATTGAATATCAAGGATTACCTAGAGAGGTATGTGAAGTTGAGGTAGATGTCGCCAAGTGAGAAAATCGAGGGAGATGAGCAGGGGCCACATTTGCAAGGAGTCCCACGTGGGTTCATTGATTCGTTTCTAACGACCACCACCACACAGCTTGCTTCCTTCAGCAGTTCCCCATTACCACTTTACCATCACTTTACAACCCCCAATTATCTGGAAAGAGTCACAGATCAATATTGCTGCTCCACAAGCCATGGCAACAGGGCTGAGTATCAATCGTGGAAATGCAGGAGAATGTCCAAACTTCATCTTGCTTTTGTCTTGTTCCTCCATCTGGGCGTAGATTGATTCGGACAACATCATCCCGTCTCACACAAGCTTGCATCATTCTATCAAATCGCCTTGTCAATTGATATGCCATGGATCAAGGTATGGTGAAGACGTTTAAATCACACACCACTTCTTAAACTACCCTCAGGTTACTGTCATGGCTTTTTCTGGGGACTCCAGAAAAGTTGTTGTAACTTTCATTAATTCTAACGGTTTATCATCTCAACTGATTTTCGCTTGTCTTTGAAAAATTTCATTCTTCTTCCTTTGATATCGCTAGCATATTGAGCGTTGGACGATCAAGTGTATCAGGAATTAAATAATGAGTGGGTTTGGATGGTCGGCAGGCGACATCGTCGCTGGCCTAAAACTGGTGTGGGATGTATGGAAAGCCGTCTCTGATGGACCCATGAGTGCCAAAGCTGAAGCAAAGCAATTCTTTGAAGATTTTGATCAGATTATTCAATGCTTAGATGATTGGGAACACCGAGATGGAAGTTTAGCAGAAGGTTCTAGTTTGGCAGCTGCTCCGTCACAACTCCAACAGCAGTGTGTCAAGTTTCTTTCGAGACATATGCAATTGATAAGAACCGCCAATCCTCAGACTGCGATCACAAAGCAAGGAGTACCCATGTGGTTAAGGAAAGTTGCCTTCTCAGGAGACCAAATCAAAACTCTGTATTTGCAAATTTCTTGGCCCTTCGAAAGAGATCAAGTTTTGCAACTTCGAACCAAGATGGAGTTATACCTCAGTCTAGCTACTTACAAAATATCTGCTTTAAACCACTCAGTAGCTCAAGACACAAACAACATAGTGCGAGAGATAAGGTTCATCGCATTATCAAACAATACTGCCAGAAACTAATTATCCTATAGCACTTCCCATCAAGAATTACTTTCGTCCAATTTGAAGCTGGTCTCATCTCATCTTGAACTAGTATCACTTATTACTCAAAACTTGAAAAGAGTAACACACCCTCTCGAGTCGAATCCTGAGATGAATCAAATTGATTATCCTATGCTTCGCCAACTCGAACAAGCATTAGCCCCCCCACAACCACTTAGAGCAGTCGAAGCTCTCCACGACACACAGCATCCTTGGCAGGATCAACACGACGAAGACCCACCAAACTCGATCACGCGATCAACCATATCTGGTCAACACAGCTTACAAGATGATGGGATTGAGAAACGCTACGTTCTCTCACAGAGATTGGAGAATTTGGCAATGAGGCGTGTCGAATCCATCAATTACATGTCTACTTCACGCCTAAGAGGGACAGAAAGACCAGTCGATCCGCTCATCTCACGATTACAAGATATGAGGGGACAAATATTTGATGCAGTAGGAATAAAGCCTCTGGAGTCGAATATAACAGCTCACAGAGATCCCTCATCATCAAGATCCGCACCTGAGAACGCATTGTTGTACGAGCTTGAGGCATGGAACCAACTAGAAACCCGAATTCAACGTGAAATATTGCACCCTGCTCGTATCAGTTCTCGAGTCACATTGCATAGTACGGAATCAACTGGAGAAGAATTTCCATTTTCACAGGCATCACCTCGAAGTAGTGGGGGCTCATTCCATCAAATCACTGGGTCTTCTTCCACTACTGGCAGTCCTTTGGGTACATCCCCAAACAGTCATTTTCTTGGCATTCCTCAAAGCAATCCCACCAATACCTACGGGTATTCCCCATTCCCGCATGACTCTGATGGCTCATCGAGACACAACAGAGCTCTATCTAACACTTCAATTTCACCGAGTCCCTCGGTATGTATTGATCCATCGATCGCAGTGTATTTGTAAGTTCCAATGCCATCCCGATAATCAACGACTGAATTTCTATCAGGTCATATCCCAAACATGCGGTCAATGGATTCATACAATCTATCGTTCGATCAGACAATGGGGAAGTCATTATCATAAATACCATTAGTCAGGACGGTTGCACTGAATTTTGTCATTCAGTCGATCCTGCTACACCTTCAACATCACAAACCTCTATGATACCCTTCATTGACAACCGCCACGCTGATACAGATAAAACTCATAGATACCGTGTCAATATGCAAGGCTCTCACCGGCTCAAAGTCACCAAGTCCGATGAACTTCAAGGACAGAAGATTCTGCGTCACAGTTGCTCACCAAATTACACATTTCACAATGAAAAAGGTAGATTTTTATTACACTGAATAAGATACACAAATTCTTTACTAAATTCGATCCCAGATTTCCTGGAATTTCACCGCCTCATTCTCCTTAAAGAAGTTAAGCATTACTTTGATGTTCAATGGATCAAGTCTTTGAAAGATAAAGAATCCCAATGCCGTTTATCAACAATTCAAATTATTCGTGACGCCATGTCCCGTACTCGCTACATCCTTTACTTCCGCAAATCTTCGGATCGTAAGTCGGCTTTTGAGGAGTGGCCTGGTAAGTATACTATCTCCACATGTTTCTTCATCTCTGAATATATTCTAAAATTAGCGTTCAGTGTCAATATTCAAAGAACCGAGGAAACCAAAGACAAAATCCATAACGCTAGAGAGCCTTGATGATAGGCCTCTACATGAAGCTCGCAAAAAGTTGACGAGGATTTCAAGAAACAATACTCAAGGTAGTATTACTACAATCGGCTCGCAGGAATCCACGAATGGGGCGTACGAGAGACTTCAAGATCGATCCACAATTATCTCTGGGAGGAGTAATATAAAGGGGTTGATCATCAAATTCTGTGATACTAAAGGTTTGTGTTTTCTATAACCATCATGATTCACTGCACCTTTCCCCAAAATAGCATGTCGCAAATTTACCAAGCTTCGGATTGGCCCTCGGGCTTGTTTGTTCTTGATGCTGAACCATACACTCACATTCATAATCTTACTCAGTCTATTATCTTTTTAAGCTAACATCTTCCTCAACCAGACTGCCACACTTTCTGGCAAGAATTCACAACCAAAGAATCAATCTTCGATAGCATATCAACTGGCACAACGGAACTTGGGATTGGTGATCCGAGACATAGCTTCGCGGAGTTGGCTTCTTGAACTGAGTTTACTGGATCAAAGTGGTTGAGAAACACGACAGAGATAGAGATGCAAAAGAGTATATTGCCATTCGCGTTTAAAGATTGGATCGAAAAAGAAGGGGAGGTACTGAGAAGAAGGACTATTAATTGGATGTGTATGTATCGTGCGGCGTGTATTTGAATGTATAGGATACGATGATACGATGATACAATGATGTACTTATGATAATGTTTTGATTCCGGAAGGGAAGACAGGAACCCCGGGGCGCAGTTCTGGAAGGCTGTAAGAGGGTATTGTGGGGATACTTACGATGGCTTTGGTGTTTGGAGTTTGATAATATGGCTTAAGCTCTTGGCGCAATGAGATGCTTTTGTATTTATATACATGTACTTGATGATGAAAATTAAGGAATGGGTGAGAATTGTAATTGGGAATTAGGAGTTGTGAAGTCACCGCAAAAGTATCGCAGGCCAGACATGTCCCTTTCGCTACAAGGGACGTCCATTACCGGGATAATCTCGAAAAGAGCGAATGCAAAATCTCTTGCCTTGCAATTCTACAATCAACCCAACAATAGTCTCCTCCAATGGTCAAATGTCAAAGATAATGTCAATGGCACTCTGGGAACGCACGGTATGAACACTTGTTTGAAAAACGACAAAAATTAAAACTATGGAAATCGTTCTTGATATCCAGCGTAGTGAGCGACGTGAAAAGGAAATCTATCCGTTCGACAGACTTTCTAATCGCGAGGATGATAATACTGATATAGCCATAACAGCACCGAGATTCTCAGCAGTGTAGAATTCATGGTTCTACTGTGAAGAGGCTTGTTAGGATATTCCAGATAGACTGGATGTCTGCCTGGGTATGATTTTCTGAAGCAAGAGGGGGTGTTTCTCCGATAGCAATAGCGTTTTGATACTGTACTATGTATAATTACAGTATATGAGCGGGTGTACGAGCAAAGAAATGGCTTCTCCAGAGCGGTTGCCAAGAATAGTTGCATAGTATCTTAGAGGATTGGCGTTGGAGTATAAGATTACTTGCGTTATCAAGTAAATTTCGTAGAGCGTGGTAAGAGTTTCCTTATAGTTTCCTAGTTGGCATGTTTGATGACTGAGAGAAGAACCTTACTTGGAAGTATGCGAAGAGGTTTGCTTATTTGAGAGACCATTATGAGGGCTGAGAGCGCTTGCTGTGTGGAAAGTAAGATTGGCTGTATCAAAATGGGGATTAAAGCCATGAAATTATGAATCTGATGTTCAACGATACCGGTGGGAGGATGCGGGGTTAGGATTTACGAGAGATTTTCGTTTGCATATACACTTGAAGCATTAGGGCGCTGAAGCGATATGTGCAATGAGATTGAGAGTACTCTGGAGCTGGAAAAGGTATATTGATGGCACACGAGCCTATCATATTACCCAATAAATACTGCTATTCTGCACCTTAATACTTGGGAACTGCGCATAGATCAGTCAGGATATCACGTACTTCAACGTCAATTGCAGAAGTTGTCAGATCAAGGTCATGAGAGGTTGATCGAAGTGTTTTTATTCGTTTCGCTGCACTGGAAGTTCGTGTATGCTCAAGCTAAATTTCTCAATCTGGTAAGTTACTATGGTAGCAACCTTGCTCACTGAAATTTCCTCGCTTTCATCCCAATATTATACGCAGTATCTCAAATTATCTCTCTCCCGTGACGTGAGTACAAGTTTCCGAGCGTAGTGATCATGATAAATCCTCCAAATATCTGAGGTTTCTAAAGAACGTTTCCGACCTCTTCCTAGACTACCCTTTTGAAGACACCACTTGCATCTCAACTACTGCAACCATTATTCCGATTCTGTAAGACGGGGTTGACGTGAAGGGAGTGACAACGAGTCTGGGAACCTCCATCCATATCGGACCAGAATCTCAAACTTTGGACTCGCGAATTTCGTTTCAAGATCATCTTGGAGAGTTTCAATTTCCATGTCGTCATCATAATACTCAATAGACTCGCGATAATCGAAGTGGATCATTTCGACTGGTTCTGGGAATAGATCATAGACCTCTTGAGGCTGAAAGAGTGTCAAGCCAGCAAGCTCATCCTGCTGGGGAAATACTCCACCTTCTTTTAAAAACTCTTCATCCCAGATAATATCGTCATGCACAAATATGAGCTCCTTCAATTTTTTCATGCATCGCACTACGGAGCAAAGCTGTTCCAGAGTTTCGGCGTCAATTCTGCGGAGATTTTGGTCCAGATCCACGACAAGGTGACAACACCTTTTGAAAAAGTCGGTTTGAAGGTCGAAAATTGTCAGTGGAAATTCGAACACGGGGGCTGAAGACCAGCAATAGTCCGGATCAATGGATTGACGTGACCACCGAATGTATTGATCTATAGCCAAGAATTGGATCTTTTCAGCCTCCTGCAGACTAATCATTACCAGGAAGCATCTCAAGTGATCTTGAAGTTTCCAATCCAGATATAGGGTGTCAATCTTGGCGTTGAATCGGATTCGCGCAGCAATTAGTGCCCCACCAAAGTATTTGGGGTACAAACGTAGGACAGCTCTCTCCGAGTCTTTACAGACTGTCAACACAACCGGTAGCGGAGCAGTGGAATAAAATCCATCGTATATGCTTTTTTTGGGTCTAACTTCGACAATACGCGGCTCGAGAGTCAATCTCCAGATTTCGTCTCTAATCTCAACTGGTAGGTATGAAAATAATGTGAAGCGACGTCTTGCCATGATGTACTCCCATGGTGTAAGGTTTCTCATGCTGTAGGCTGTTGAAGGAAAGACGAGAGCCTTGTGAAAGTGTTTATGAGAGAAATACAATGGGGTTCTTTTCTGGCAGAAGGTCAGTTATTAACTATCATTAGCTTGAGCTGGGGTATGACCTTCCTTGTAAACTCGTAAGACTCAAGAATAATACTATTCGCGGTAATTCAGAGTCGGCATCTCACGATCACGTATGACGATTGTAATTAACGCAGAGAGTTGGGGGGAGGATTGAGATGAGAGTTCTTCTCATTTTCGCGGCAAGATGTCTTTGCGAGAGATTATTTCCAACGGAACAGCGAGATATGGAGACAAAAAAACATAACTGTATGATTGGTGGAAGTCATATCTTAGTCAGAGAAGTGACAATTCTGCCGAAGACGGTGTGACGCCAACCCTGCACAACGCAACATCATCTCATCAAATTGATCGAGCATCGCTTCGAGTGGTCTAAACAACACAACACTACAATGTCTCTGTAGTACCATATTAAATAATTTTTAACTAGTCCCAGTACCCCTTAACCTCAAGTCTTTTCGATTTGAACAACAAAACACGTCCTCGCTAGCAATTGCAGTGTGACGGATTGCAACTTGCCCCGCATTCTAACTCTATTCACTGTCCCAAATTTAAATATCTAAATCCGCTCCGGGATCAATGAACTTCATCGAATGCTCTCACTTGAAAGGTTGCTAGAACCGCCCATACTTCCAAGCCTGATACCGCTGGGCTCAGGATCAGTTTTCACATCTTGTTACGGAGATGGTTGTGAGCATACATATAGATACTGTTGCAGACCAAGATACCCGAGAGCTAGCAATGAGTGTTAGGAAATTGAAAGACGTTTACAAAACTATGAAGTTTTTTCACAATCATGACATGGAAACGAGATGCTGCCCCGGTTAGCCCCCCCTTCCTCCCCTGGAACGAATCAGATGATAGCTGCCAAACACCTTCTGTTGAAACACTTTCTCAGTTTATCTCTATTTCGTGGTCCTCTGGATAATTCTATCACTTCTTATTACTTGGCATGCTGACCACATGGTCATTGTGCTTTTTTGAAGCCTCAAAATCAGGACTGCCCTAGTCGAAGCTGACCGAAGGGAAAATTCTATGCGCTGCAAGTAGTTGCGTGTTTTGTGACTCAGAATACTTCCCTGATTATGTCTTCCAGTATTTCCTTGTATTTGCTTTCTCCAAGATATGATGATCAAGCTGATACCGCGATTCCACACTTTTTTCTGTTGGCGTCGTACTTTTTCGCGGAATCCTCCTTCGAAATATAGCTTGGAGAAGCTCCCGGAACAGGAGGTAACCTTTGTGTCTAAAGCCTCTCGATGAACATAACTCCTAGTTGAGAAGATCAACTCATACAATTCTGGGTTGATTGTGGCATATCGAAGAGCAAGAGCCTTGCGCCGCAGTTCTCTAGTCAAAAGCTCTCTGGATACAGTTTCTGTTGCTGTTCAACCTTTACGCAGATTGCTAAAAGTTGTATCTCAGCATCCCAATTCTCTTGAATGCCATTGTTCCAGAGTTCCAAACAGTACCTGTTCAAAACGCGTGCAACGGTGGAACCACTCATGGAAGCAGGTAAACTTTAGCGACCAGACGCCAGGAGCTGATACTTGTCAATCTCCAGCCAGTCATATAATAAATGATGAAGTAATCAGCAAAGTCTGTGTTATCATCAAACTCTACCATAACGAGATCTTGTCAATGTATTTTATGTAGGTAAAGACATCCTTAGATACCTACGTAACTTTAAGTTGATTTGCCTTGTGTCTTTTCTTGAAAAAGAAATTGAATGCTAGATCGATCCTAGCAATAAAAAAAGAATGCTTCTTTGACAATCATTCACCTTAATATTTTTGTGGCTCCAACACAGAAAGAAATATTTAATTGGCTCGAGTAGTGGAGGTTATAACTTGATGGGTCCGTGCAATGTCAGCAATACACTCTGATCCTTTTTATTGTATTACTTCAAAAAGCTCTTGAAACATCAAGACTGCGACTTTTCCCTCCCACAAATTCTGTCAGCAATAACCAAAAACCCTGAAGATACAAGTTCAGGGAGGAAATCAGACTACCTGTATTGCATCAAATCTAGCGAGACAATGGATCAGTTTGTTTATGATCCAGATGTAAGGAATCCTCCATGGTTTCTATCAAGAAATTTTTACTGATTACTTTCTAGAGGTCCATATGGGACGGGCCTCCAGATGATTCTCCACCTGTTGTCAGCAATCATCGACCATTAGATGCCGCAATTGACCAACTTTGCCGAAAGAACAAGACACTGGAAGAACACAATACTGTACTTGCGAGAGAAAATGCCAGTCTTAAAAACCTTCTCGCCGCCCACAACATTGCCTGGCCAGCCAACAAAAATTTGAGCACGATCGCTGCATCAAATCCTTCAACTACGAGGTCGAATCCCGAGCTACCACTCGAAGTGAAGCTTCGCATTATACGCTTTGCTTTGCAGCTAGCACATCCAATAATTGACCCTGGTGTCAAACTATTGAAGTCCAATATCACTGATGTGGAACATGCTGAGCAAAAAAAGCTCCCTGTTCAATTATTGCGACTATCTAAATTCTTTTATAAGAAGGGAGAGAGATCCTTCTTTGTGGACAACAGATTCATCTTCACTCAAGTCTCATCTTTGAAGTGGTTCGTCAGCACACACCCCAGATCCTGTGCCCAGTTGCAACATTTAGAGTTACGGATTGTTGGCAAATACTACGACGACCAAGGTTCTAACAAAATTGTCACACTGAGCTTTGACCAGCGAATTGAACGTTGGTACGCGGTTAAACTTATAAAGCGTATTCCAAGCATCAATCTCAGCTGGACAGGTCTACAAAGCTATTGCTGGAGACAAATAGTTGATTTTCTTGGAGCACTCCAGCTTCCCTGGTACGGCAGGCAACAAACTAGGTCAAGGGAGCACATAATAGCCTTCAAGAATTTGAATTCCATGATGATTGACCTTGTGAACTTCACAGACAATCTTCCTGGTCCGGGAATCGATCTGAGGAAGATGACAAGAGAGACATTGGGTCCAATCATTGATAATTTATATATCAGGGGTCAGCCGTTGGAGCAAAATGGGTCATTGGCCTATGAATGCTTGGGTTATCTTATGAGAAATGGTGGAATTAGAGGCTGCAGCATCTTACCTCACTTCATAAGCACTATATCAAGCGAATACTTGAAAATATTTATACGCGACGAGTCCTTCCTACCAGAACTCAAGTACTATGCCGAAACATTACCGGAATCCAGAGAAGAAGGCGTCATGGAGAAATATGTCTGGAAGAAACTCCCCGCCACATTCGGTGAATTGGAAGGATCTGAAATACGATTTCACATTGCTAGTGGACTACCTGTTGAGAATGTTGAAAAAGACTACAGAATCTTGCTTTCCCGTCGAACGGAGGAAAACCTTGATGAATACGAGGGTATCTTTGGACATCATGACATTGAGCTCGACGAAGATGAGCTAATGGATATTTATGGACCGATTCGAGACGGCTGGGGACCTGATATCCTAACACCCTGGGATGCTGATGAACATAGTGGTCCAGATGCTCGGATATGTTCCAACTGTAGCAATATGTATGGCTATTGTAATTCGGAACCGGACACGCGTATCTCGCTGGAGCGAGATGGACACCGTGGAGCTGAAAATGGATTCGCCAGGGAGATGATCGGTTAATGAACGAGTTTGAGGGTATAACGGTTCTTACAATTAAAAAAAAAGGCGTGGTTAGGGGCGGGCTACGAGTCGCATATGAATAAGTGTATGGGCTTCTGTACACTCGGGGTTTGAGGGGCTATATCAAAATAGCTGGTGTTTTGGTGATGACTTTTATGACGACTATAGGAGTCACTTTACAAAATCGAGTCACTAGCTCTTCCTTGAGTGGAAACAGGTTTGCAAAAACTCGAAATCAATTTTAGATTAATTATAATACACATTTTGAATGATTTTGGATCGCTGGAAGTGACTATGGCGACTACTACAATTGTAGCGCATTGCATATTTCGACACTTCGAAAAGTACTCCTAGCACATCTGATTCTGGGGGTGACAATTAACTGTGAACTCCTACCACCACTCTTCACGACCCTTCCTTTGTATCCTCCCGTTTTTGTTTCTAGCTAAACTAACCAGAGACATTTGTTGGGTCGATATCCGGGTTTCTACGAGGTTTCGATTACCATATGGAAGTGGGCGACAGCATGTTATTCCCCTCATTAAAAATCATTCCATCATCAAAAAAGCGTGTCCTCTTGATCGAACGCAAACTGCATTGCAGATTCAGAAACTTCCGGGGAAGCGTCAAAAAGCCCTAACGTTTCCGTGATCAGCGTATTGGCGAGTTGGCGATCGACTATTCTTACTCGAGTCAAGGTTCATCAGTATTAGTTTGCAGGATTGTGACGTTGTCATGTTTTGTTGTCACTTCAACCCTGCCGTCACGAAAAAGAGTTTGGAAAAAAACTTCTTCACGACGAATGAAGATATAGTAACGGTACAAGAGATACTCTATTCAACATCACCCACATTCAATTGAGATCCACAATGCCAACATTATCATAATTATTTATGACTGCGGTATTCGCGACAACACATTCAATTCAAATATGGTAACGGTATAATTGAACGCATAGTGACGCGCTTAATTGGTTGGAACGCGATGATAAGGTTAAAGCTCCCGGGCATAATCCACTATTTTCCTCGAGTACGGTTGCGGCCGCACTAAACTAGTCACTCACTCACTGTGACCAAAATTATTTTAACATCCACAATTTCTTCGTTCATTCTTTCTCTCTTTTCCAGTTTACAGTTTGCAGCACAACATATGATATTATACCAGTTACTCCATAACAATGTCCGCAAGAGTCTGGAAGTTCCTATCAAATACAATTGGAAAATTACAAAGTCCTAGACCGGCTCAACAAAATGATAATTTGAATAATTCGCCATCCCTGCGCCAGATCGAGTCCAATCCCGACACACCGACTCGTCACGGCAATAGCAATAATGTAGGAGAAGAATCTGCAAACGGAGGACTGTCAACAGAGCAGGATGAGTCGGTGCTCGATACACCACTGAATAAGAAGATCAGTAATATTAAAGAGAAGCTTGAGGAAGCGGTCAAAACAGTTCCGAAAAATGAAGGAGAAGGTGAAGTTCAGGAGGATGTCACGTCAGAGAATTCAGACGATATTGAGACAGAAGTAGTACCAAAGCCAACCAAAAGATTGGTAACTGGTAAACCAGTTGCAGTTCCACCTCCGAGACATGGTCGTAGTAAGAGGGGAGGATCTGCGGAGAAGGTAGAGACACCGGCGCATACTGAGGTCCCGGTCGAAAATACTCGCAAAACAAGGGGAAGAGGTAGACCTGCGAAGAATTCAAAGGCAGTGGTTCAAGATGAAGCTATTGCTTCCACTGCACAAGCAGAAGGCAACAACACGGAAGAAGAGGAAACCGCAGAAGTCGCAGAGCTATTAGTAAAGAATGAACCTTCAGTCGACAATTCTACGACTCGTAAACCAAGAGGAAGAGGTAGACCTTCAAAGCTGAAGGTATACGCAGAAAGCAACCAGTCGGAGGCTGAGATCATGGCAGAAGGGGTAGAGACATCGAATAGCAACAACCCAATTGAAATCCCCAAGACCAATCGCAGCAATATGAAGAGACCCTTACTTCCAAAGGTCGCAGACCAAGTACATGTACCCGAACGCTCTATTGATACACCTCCAGTCGCCAACAATAAACGAAGAAGAGATGTTGTGGAATCATCTGCTGGAAGTGAAGAGCCTGAAATGAGTTCTTCTGCTCGTGTTTCTAATAAACGAAGAAAGACTTCTGCAAAGCCCGTAAGTTTCTTGCGCACATGCATCCCCCCTTTGATCTAGTAGAAATACATATACTAATATAACACAGGAAGGACCTGATATCCCACCTATAGGAACCACTCAGGAAGCCAAAGACGCGCGCAGAAAATATATGGACAGAGAAAGACAACGCAGGTGCCGACAACGTAAGAAGGACAGACAACAAGGATTACAAGCAGCCGAGAGAGAAGTTTTAGCGCAGGCGAAAGACGAGAGAAAGAAAGCTATGGCTCGAGAACGTGTTCGAAGGCATAGAGATAATCAGAGACAGAAACAAGGTGTGGATGTTGAAACGAAGGCATCGGGTAGACAAAGAACTAGGGAAGAGGCCAGGCAGAGGGATAGAGATTTGATTGCTGCGGGTGGAAGATGTGGTGCGAGGAATTCGGTGGAGAATGAATCGTTTAGCGAATGAAGGATTTAAGAAAGGGGTATTAAATGTTCCTTGTTAGGGTTGTCCTTTGTTTTGTTGTATGACCCACTCGAGAACACGTTACTCTTGATATTTATAACTTACAGCGAGTACTTGAAGTATTTTATGAGTCAAAGTCCCCCAAATTTCAAAACGTTCGAGTTCTTAACTAAGACTGTTTACTGATTTTGAGGTGCATTTATGATATTATGATGATCAGCGCTACTTTGCATGAGACTGTCCACCATCGCTTGATATTAATTACGAGAACAGAATAATATGATAACATTCAGGTTGAAGGAGATACACACAAATTATACATAAAACTAGTCTTCTGCCTACCACTTACCCCCCGTCTCACCCTTTTCACCCCTTCTCAGAAATAAAAATGCTCAATCATGTTACATGATATCACATTAAATTTTCAGGAGATTTTCAGGTATGAAAGGATGAATGTATAACGAAATGGAGGTATTAAGGTGATGCGAAAGATCCAAAGAAGTGAAAAAAAAACGAGGGAAATAGATGCGTTTCAATGTGGATGTCGGGGTTACAATTGAGTTCACCGTGTTCGAGGTATGAGGTATGAGGTATGAGGTATGAGGTATGAGGTATGAGGTATGAAGTAGCTAGGTAATTGTTGGGTAGCGGCTTAAGTGATCTCGGGATGTGGTGGGATGTGAGGTGGAGGAAGTGAAGAGAAGGAAAGGATAGGATAGGATAGGAGATAAGTTTTGGGTTTTGGGTGAGGGGATTTTGGGGAGGAGATGAGGATGTGATGGGGAGAGTTGGGAGAGTTGGGGAGAGGGGAGAGGGGAGAGGGGAGGGGATTGGGGATTAGCTCAGCGTTGGAGTTCAATCTAGGTGGGTGAATGATGTGGGTGATGTGATGATGAGGGTTAGATTAGGATAGAATAGATTTGGGGATGAGATAGAAGAATGAGGAAGTGGGGGAGTGAGGGGATGTATAATTGTATTGTTTACTTGAGGGATAGATAGATAGATAGATAGCTGGCTCGCTGGCTGGATGCACTGCGATGTTGGTAGATAGATAGATGGATTATGATGTGATGTGAACGATTTATAGATTTATAGAACGTGCGAGACATATGAAGCTGGTATCATATTTCCGAGATTCGTGACGTGATGGTAGTAGTGATGTATTATGATTTTCAATGTGGAGGGTTTAGTAGGATTGACAGATGGGTGGATGAAGATTGGAGGGGGAGGGGGATATACAAGGTTATTCTCAAATCTCTAGAATGATTGATAAATTACTCTTATCTTGGCAGATGTCAGGATGTTTTTGTGGAAAATAAAGCTGTGCGGTTTTTGCATTTTATTTGAGAGTTTATCACTGCGATGGTATGATCTGTGAGATGCGTGATGTGAAGCTCACTATGAGAGGTTGGGGAGAGGTGAGCGTTGACTTGTGGTAGGACAGTGCAAAATCGTATGGAAAAAGGGATTCCTAGTTTATTGTAATTTCAAAATGGTATCACGGTCACATGTGAAAGAGCTTGATTCACTGCTACAATGAAAGTATGCAGAATATTCTTTTTGATTTACTCATCTAACATTGCCCCTTTCAATCAACAATTCCGAGTCATCGGGCTCTTCTCCAAGAGCACGTTCAATTACCTCACTCGCGCATTCTAGATGACCCGATTGTCGAAATGCAATCGATAAGTGGTAATACCTCTTCGCAATTTTGTCTGAGCCGTATGCATTGATCAACTCTGCTTCATGTTCCCTAAACCATCTGCCATAACGTCTTTCCGCTTTTTGTATTGATTTCGCCTCCATGAACATCTTCTCGTGGTTTCCTTCCCATTTTGTTTGCATTAAATAAGATGTAATTCCCGCGCGATCACAGACAATCTCAAAAACAATAAATCCGAGACTTTTCAGATATTCCACTGGCAAACCTTTGAGTAAGCGTTCTCCTCGCTTGCCTGAGGTTTGGCTGCATCAATTTTTGACACTTGTTCCACATCTTAATAGCTTTGAGAAAATCTTCTCCATCGAAGAATGTTGGTTCGAGAAGGATACGGAAGACGTAGCACCCACGTATTGTAGGTCCTGTATGTCTAATTGTATTCTATCTAAAGAGCTAGCTATGTAGGAAAGTAGTAGGCCTCATATAGGCACTATTGAAAGAGCTAGTCTCTTTCGCATTCGCTTAATCCCTTTGATACAGGAGCCATCGTATTGAAGTCATTCCTTTGAAGTGAATACCCTTGTTCACACAAAAAATCTACGTCCTTGTTTCATCATGCGTTCAACATTATCTTTGAACTCTTTCACCTGTTCTTGGCTGTACACTTCTGGCACAAAAGTGATTTCCGAGGTCGCAATTGTTTATAAATCTTTAGGTATTACACCATTGAACTCCAAGTTAGGGAATGCTTTCAGATGGGCGCGGTATGGAGCTATGAGTTCTTCCTGTTGCTTTTGAGATAAGAAAGATTCGATTTCTCTCGGTGGGGAAAATAAGGCAGATACTGACCCGAACAAGGCAGAGAGCCCAGAGATCTGTTTCTTATAGGGATCGGTCAGAGTCACAATATGCTTGACATTCTCGTCATGTAGGTTGATTCTCCATCTTAGTTTAGACAATGCTCGACATAGATCGGGAATGTGACGAGCTAATAGGATGAAGCTCGCACTTGGTTGAAGGCGTGATCTAGGCTTTCGATAACAAATCTTGTGTGTTAAGACGGTTCCTTTGAAGTCCCTTGAAGTGGATGGATCGGGTATGATAAGAGGTACGTCGATCTCTAGAAATGCAAAGGTAATCTCGTATGGTGAGACTTCACATTCAAATCTGATGAATAGGTTTTTCTTTCTCATCAAATATGTGCCTTCCTGGTATATTTGTCGGCATGTTCTCAAGATTTGAGGATGAATATGGTGTCTGGCGATAGCCACTGGGTAGTTTGGCATGAAACCAGGAAATTGGCATAGAACCTCCGCTTCTTCGAAATCGCAAAGTAGAAGCTCGTAAATCCTATTGCGAATTTCACCAGAAAGATTATGAAATGTCAAAAGCTTCTTGACGTCCTTAACTGCTGGCAAGGAGGTGGATATTTCCATATTAGATGAAATGATGAAACTTGGAACCTGGATTGTCGTTGGTGATGAAAAGGATATAAATATTGGGGCTTTTCGGTATGGCGAAAAGACTTGGGAAGATGATCGCAGAGTTGCCTTTTGTTATCAAAGTACCACTGTAATTGAGATATTAAGATGGTTTGATAGAATCAGATGTAGAAAGAAGATGACTTTCTGTGAGGAAGAGTTCTTATATAGAGGGCGGCAAAGATAGTACGGGATCATCTGCAGATTAAAGCTGCCGTACAAATAAGCTTGACGTTTTTCAGTTACTCTCTTAGCATGATAACAAACTGGACTGTAACCAAGGGACTAATTAAGAAGGGTGAATTGAAATCGTCTATCTTCCTCAAGGACTTTGCTACCACACTAAAAGCACCAATGGAACTAACATGCCGAAATCGCAACTCAATGGTTTCCTGTTCTATGGATAGAGTTGGTCACTGCCACAGTCTTGGTAGCTGACCGTATCCTAAAGGCTACACCCTTCTGATTTTCTTCTGCTCCTCCAGGAACTGAGGATGATTAGGCATGGCTTTCAGAGCTTCCTCAATTGCCCCTTGTGCACGTGATGCTCCCGCCAACCGGCAACCAATGGCTTCTCGATATCTAAACTCTGCCAACTTTTGCTGAAACGGCGCCCAGCCCTCTAGATTGCAATGTTTTCTGATCTCGAAGGGATCGTCAACTGTACGCGATAGAACACGGAACAGAGCCTTTCGTTGTTGTATTCCAGCCATCTGCATTGCCTTGATGATATATTGAAGACGATCAGATGAGAGATCAAGATATATGTTCATGAGTTGATATATAAACTCTGGCTCATGGGTTTCATGCAACAATTCTCCTTTAATCATTGTCAAGATTCGTCGAATTTTTATTAAAGCTTGACACCAGATTTGGTTTGCATTTTCAGCATCTCCTGCAGCGAAGAAATCATTTCCTTTTGCTTCCATGCTCTGCAAACCATGAATAGTCCCTTCGTGATTGAGCTGCAGGGACCGAGTAATTCCTGGCAGGACAGCGTCCTTCAACTCATCCGATATATTCCCTTTCAATTGAAACCCCATGAAACCCTCGAATTCAGAACGGTAAGGTGCAATGAGCTTCTCTTGCCGCTTTTCAGACAAGGATGACGACTTAGACGTGTCTCCGTCGTAAGCTTCGAGAGTAACAATATGAGCTGCTGACATCTCATCACAATAGGGAAGTGTTCCTATTGCACTGACGACCAAAGCTGCACATAACAGTGGAAGATGACGATGAAGTAGCATAAATTTGTATGGCTCATCAGGTGAAACCCCTGAGGTTTTTGTTGATGCACAGATCTCATGAGTCATTACGCAAGCTTTCCGGAAGTCTCTTACTTGCTGCTCTGTTTCTATTCTGATCATCGGAATGTAATTTGAGAAGAAGCAATTCCTTGGTTCGTCCAATCTTATAACACCAGTCACCATAACGAAGAGATTTGTTTCTCTCATGATAACCGTAGCCTCATGATTGATCTTTCGACAAGTCCGAAGTATTTGAGGGTGAATGTCATGCTGGAGCTTGGCGATTCGTATGGGGACAAGTGTAAGGCCATTGTCTATCAAATCTTCTGGTGGATCTTCAAACGTACATAAAAGCATCTTGTAGATATGTTGACGAACATTGACCGGGAGATTGAGGAAAGGGAGAGGGATCAAGCCTGGTGAGGGAGCAATTGGGTCCATGATGGTTACTCAAAACTTCACCTAAGAAGTAGAATTCATGTAAGAAGTAATTTGATGAAGAGAAAATGTAAAAATATCCATGATTATGTTGGAGATACTCTGAAGTACCCTTTTGCATGGAATCTGATTTGAACCACGATTGCGTAAAGAAAGATGCGACCTGGTGGAGTATGATAGTTCTAGGTCTATTACATAATCGTAATATTTTCATATCCCCAATTTTTGACAGCTCATCGAAGCTATTGTGAAGAATTGGATTGGAGCCGATGAACTGAGATTATTCGATTGCTTCAAGACACCACCTTTGACATAAAATGGAAAACTTCCATGAATACTGTGATGTAGTAATTCTTCGCCTTTACAAGACAGCATTGTAATTACTCTGTACCCTCTTCGCATCGAATTCTGTATCGTCTTGACACATCACAACGATGAGAGGCTTTGAAACACGACGGCAACAGAACAGGGAGGAATCAGTACGTACTCACCTACCCACCAGCCCACCTTTCGGACGAGTCTCAGGATCTACAGGATTGTTAGTATCTGTCTCTCCCAAATCTCGTGACCGTCATCTCCTTATGTGACGTGGTGAGTATTTCTTTCTTCCAATTTCAATGGTTTCATCCATTCCATTTGTCCCAATCCTTTTCGTCATTCGACCTTGTTGCCCCGTCTCGACGTATCTCTGAAAATAGATCTCCGCTAGTGCAGGAATGGATCCTAAGGATTCACACGGACGTCATTCATTGATGGGAGTAGAATGTATCTTATCCTCGAATCATAAGACATTCCTCAGTCGAAGTTTCAAAGACGGGAAAAAATAAGAGCTTTTTATGTTTTGAAAAGGTGTTTGTCTCAATCATCGCACCGACAATGAATGTTTGGACGTGAAGGCTTGGCAGACGTTTTATGAATAATTACCCCTACACTACGAGTACAAGCTTCTTATTAAGCTTATCATGTGCTGAGAATCACCCTACAAAAGCACGGGGCTTCCAAATATTACTTTTCATTTGTGGATGAAAACCTTCATGTTATACTACAAACCATCAAGTTCATCGTCAACATAGTCGCCGATGAACTTTCTAAAGTTCAAAGCGAAAATATTGAGTGATATTTGAGATTTACAATTACAGAACATTTGTTACCTACCCATGCGTCGCATCGCTCATCGAGGCATGGGGTTTCCCTACATGCTCATCTTACCCCGCCAAATTGTCTTGAGTGATTTTATACCAAACTTTCAAACGCTGCATGTATCATGATAGTGACAGATTTTGATGTCACCTACAAAAGAAACCAGGTTTGGATCTTCCATTTAACTAATGCACATCACAGCCGTCATGGATTTTGACAGCTTCTGTCTCTTTTTCCCTACTTACCATAACTTGTTATTTCTTCGGGGCCCACGGTGATTGTGTGCAGGAAACTTTATTTTGACTTTCTAAGGTGCTGGAAACCATTGAAAAGTATCATTTGATTTACTTACAAACAGCTTGGTGTTGAAACAATTAATGAATAATGCGACACAAGGCGATTTAGCATGATACAATACAGTAAAAAAACGACCAGATTCCACAAGCAAGTTCCTCAAGTTTTGACAGTCATGAGAAGGTAGCTAACAACCTGTCTTTGAACAGAAAAACATTGATACAAGAACAACACCAATAATATCATGGCAACTTGGGGAGCCTACTTTTCCTCCTATGTCAAGAAGAATCCTGGGGCAACTCCTGCAGACAAAGAGATTGAATCAATAATTACGCCCATCATACCACTAAACACCAATACTGATGTTAAAACTATCGAGCCCTTACCCCTTGAGGAGGAAGGTTCAATACCAAACCCCAGCGAAGATGTGAAGAAACGTTTCGATGAAAAGTTGGGGAGTGTGGGAAATCTGGGGATGGGTACAGCTTCCATAACGAGAATGCCAACGTTAAAATCTAATAGTAGGGGTGCAAGGATGGCAAAGATGTTTGGTTATGGTACGCCGAAGGAGGAGAAGATCGAAGAGAAAATTGTGGAGAATAAAGGGGAAGTGGATTCTCCTGTGGAAGTGGAAGAGGTAAAGGAGATAAAGATTCAAGCAGTGCCGGAAATGAGCAAAATCGAAAAGTTAATTACTGAGAGAAAAGCTGCTGCGATCGGGTCGAGATCTGTTTCTCCAGAAAACACTCAACCAGTCCAGGTAATGCAACCTGCGCAACCTGTCAAGCCTCTTGAGCCTTCTCAACCAGATCAACCGCCGCAACTTGTGCAGCCTATCATACCTGATGAACCTTCTCAACCCACGAATGTCTTGCGATCTCTTCAACTTGAGCAGCGATCGAAACCTATCATCTCAGTGCAAACACAGCAGCCAACAGAGCCTGTTTCACCGACCAATTCATCTCCTTCCGAAAAGTCGATGACCGAGACACCCAACTCTATCAGTCCAAACACACCTATTTCAACACGTTCATCGTTCAAGGGGTTAAGGTCCTCGACAGAACGGGCTTCCACTCGCAGCAAGACTAAAGCTTCAATATCTGCATTAGATGATCTTTTGGCTGGATTTGGTGAGGAATTTATGTCCAGCCCAACTGCTCCAAAGCCTGTCGATAATGAGAAAGGGGTTGAAAAATCAGCGTTGGGGAAGCCAAGGAATCAACGGAAACCGAAGGCTTCAGTCTCAGCACTAGATGACATCATGGCCGGATTGAATTCAATGGAACCTGCGACAGAAACTTCAACTACACGAAAATCGTCAGAAGTTCGAAACAGCGAGATTAGAAAATCTGGAATATCGACAGCTGATAAGGAGCCGGAACCGATTCCAATAGTTATTCCTCCGGCTCCTGAAGTCTCCAAAGCGGTATCCGAATTGCCAAAGACGATATCGCAGAGTAGCGCGCTATCAAAAAGGAAATCGAAAGCAGTGACAAGATTTCCAGTAGTAGTATCCGAAGTCACCAAAACCATCCCAAATATTCCAGCACCTATAGTGACAACAAGACCAATTCCTTCTCTTCTAAAAGATCAACTAAGTCCTCTTCCACCAAAGACCCAAACAGTTACCACGATTCCACGCTCACCCATGATAAATGGTCAACTAAGTCCCATTCCACCTCAGTTTCGCCTTCGTCCCAAACGTTCCTTCCAAGATATGGTGAAACTTGCTACCTCACCTCGATTTGCACAAATTGCCGAACAAGCTATTGAAGCTGAAGCCGAGAGAAAACTACTTCAGTATGAGAGACAAGCCGAACAAATATTACTTGAGAA